AGCGGTTTATGATCTGTGTAAATGTTTATTGGTTTCCCATAGATGCAGATAAGGAAGTGCTCAAATGCAAGCCCACACTACGGCCAACGCCTCACGCTCTGTTTGACCATATCTCCGTTCCACCTCCGTCAGAGACCGACTAGCATATGTTATCACCTGTCGTTCTTCCGTCACATCAACTTGGGTTGACCTGCGAAAGGCAATCGCTATTTGCTGGTGGTGATGGATTACATCTCACAGTGGCCTGTAGCATATGCCTTACCAAACCAAGAGGCTAAAACCGTTGCCACGATTGTCGTAAATGAGTTTGCCTCGATCGGAGTCCCACTCGAACTACACTCTGACTGACCAGGGAACAAACTTCAAATCTGCAGTGTTTCAAGAAATGTGCCTATTACTTGGCATTAAAAAGACTCGAACTACAGCACTGCATCCCGAATCGCAAGGAATGGTTGAACGTTATCATAAAACAATGAAGACCAGCTTTCACAGTTTCACTGTTTGTGGCCGAACATTATAAAGATTGGGCCTAAGTATGTGGCACTACTTCTGATGGCTTATCTTATGATGACTCGTGCCTCTACGCATTTTACCTCCGCACGATTGATAATTGGACGAGAGATTAGAATACCGATTAATTTGGTTTACGAATGACCTGATACAAAGGATGTTCAGAGTCACTCTTAACTATGTAGAAGAGCTGCAAGAGAATTTGCAAATGATCCATGAGTTTTCGCGCAAGTATATTGGACAAAGTTTTGAAGTGATGAAAAAAATTGTACGATGGGAACAGTGCAGCCTGTGTATTTAACGAGGTTGATCAAGTTTGACTGTACAATCCCCACAAAAAAATGGAGCACCGAGCTGATGCGACCTTCGGAAGGACCATACGTTATCATTAAGTGGTTATCGGGATTTGTTCACCCAGACAAAAAAACACAGATAAATTTAATAGCAAATAAAATATAAAGAATTATAACAGATAACAACAGATTACTCTCTCGTCTCCGTTTCACTACATAAAGTCTTAAAATAGAATAATTAACCTATATTAGAAATGAAAAAAATCGTCTGTGGACCGCATCGGCGGTGTCAGGCAGAAGTATGGAATTCGGAAACAGACATTTAAAAAGGTACACCATCTTTGGATCAATTTCATGGTTTGTTCGGGGGCAATGCTGTGGACATGCCTGTGTGATTGCATGGCCTAGGGCGTGTACGAGTTATTGTTGGCGAGAAGAAATATATATGTGCTGCATGTTCGAAGAACGTTTTGGGGTTTTTTATTGTCTTTCTTGATAAGAGATAGTTCGCAGCTGAACGCGACAACTTCTTCTGTAGATTTAATATACCAAATGCTATACCTAAATTCAGTAAACTAATTTTTAATCCGCTAGCTCTATTTAAAGAAATGTGTAAGTTACTGGGGACCGTAAAAACTAGAACTCCATTACACCCTGATTCAGATGGCATAGTACATTTATGGGATAAAATTTACACCGGCAGAAATTATTATGGGACATGCATGACACACGAATCCCTGCATTCAACTTTCAAAAATATCTGATCAGAAAAGAGTCTGCACTGTTTTTGATACGCCCTGTTAATAAAGCAATTATATAACTTACTTTTACCATCAGTTGATTCACATTTCCACAGGATGTTGCGATAACACACGTTCGTTCGTTGATGCTTCATCGCCGATGACAAGATTATATTTTTAGGTCAGAATTGAGCATTTTCTTGCACAACTGAGCCATGTGCAAATGCTACACGTTATGCTGGATCACGTAGGATTTTTGTTCGATTACACCAGCGCTGACTCTTGGATTTTGTTCAAAGGATTGTTGCACTTTGCTGATATTTTTACGATGCTTGCTCTCATACAGAAAGTCCTGCATTCCGATTTAAGCTAATAGCTGGTGTAAAGAATTTAGCAAAAATGTTTTAAAACGGTTCTGGTAGACGACGGTCGGAAATCTGTTTCGTCAACGTTCGGCGACCCGCCGTGGACTTAATTCTTATCATATAGCCTTATAGGATTCCAGCACCACGAGGCGACGTTTTTCAGCTGTAAACTGCCCAGCAACCATGATGAAGCATATATGAAGCATAAATTCAAATCCGCATTTCAGTAATATCGAATTAATGTTTGCCACGGAGAACTTACTTTACAGTCATTTCGTTTTAATACACTTGATCAAGATTTGACCATTTCCAATTGTTAAAAGTTTATTACACCGTCATTCATACTACGTGGATAGCAGCTAAATTGGAACGAAATGCTATAGCCACCATTGTTAACTTCTTATTTCATCTGTAATATCCGCTGTATTTCCATAAAAAGTTGTTTAATTCTCACTTTCCTCACACGGTGACATTATTTGGGACGCTCTGTATATACGTCCAATGCTGCACGATATTAATTATGTACCAGATGAAATATCAGCATTTTATGAAGATGCTCTTCCCTTATCTCACGTGGCCTTTCAGCAATCTTGATTTAGAGAGAATGTTAGTGCAGTCTTCTGGTCAAATGCACTTTCTGTTCAATGCTTCTTTCGACTTCTCTCGACGATTTGCCAATCTGTACAGCTCTTCTTTGTGATGCCCTGATCCACGATTGCTCATCATAAGATTTCTTATTGTTTTCGTTATAATCTGTTAAAACACAACAGTAACTAGCGAAAACGTACAACGGCACTTAAACAAGAAATTATTGGTCTAATTGAAAAATGGACGCTACCAAAAAATAAACTCTACCGAAAAAAAGAACGCTACCGAAAAAACGAACGCTACCGAAAAAATGAATGCTGCCGCAATTTAGCGAAACGAAAAGCCATATCAACAAACAAGAAAGTACTAGTGGCATATTTCAGCATACCTTCCGCCGTTAACAGGGGACTTATACGTTTGGAGAAATGAACGCTGCCGCAATTTAGCGAAACGAAAAGCCATATCAACAAACAAGAAAGTACTAGTGGCATATTTCAGCATACCTTCTGCCGTTAACAGGGGACTTATACGTTTGGAGAAATGAACGCTGCCGCAATTTAGCGAAACGAAAAGCCATATCAACAACAAAAAGTACTAGTAGCATATTTCAGCATACCTTCCGCCGTTAACAGGGGACTGATACGTTTGGAGAAATGAACGCTGCCGCAATTTAGCGAAACGAAAAGCCATATCAACAAACAAGAAAGTACTAGTGCATATTTCAGCATACCTTCCGCCGTTAACAGGGGACTTATACGTTTGGAGAAATGAACGCTGCCGCAATTTAGCGAAACGAAAAGCCATATCAACAAACAAGAAAGTACTAGTGGCATATTTCAGCATACCTTCCGTCGTTAACAGGGGACTTATACGTTTGGAGAAATGAACGCTGCCGCAATTTAGCGAAACGAAAAGCCATATCAACAAACAAGAAAGTACTAGTGCATATTTCAGCATACCTTCCGCCGTTAACAGGGGACTTATACGTTTGGAGAAATGAACGCTGCCGCAATTTAGCGAAACGAAAAGCCATATCAACAAACAAGAAAGTACTAGTAGCATATTTCAGCATACCTTCCGCCGTTAACAGGGGACTTATACGTTTGGAAAATGAACGCTGCCGCAATTTAGCGAAACGAAAAGCCATATCAACAAACAAGAAAGTACTAGTGGCATATTTCAGCATACCTTCCGCCGTTAACAGGGGACTTATACGTTTGGAGAAATGAACGCTGCCGCAATTTAGCGAAACGAAAAGCCATATCAACAAACAAGAAAGTACTAGTGCATATTTCAGCATACCTTCCGCCGTTAACAGGGGACTTATACGTTTGGAGAAATGAACGCTAGCCGCAATTTAGCGAAACGAAAAGCCATATCAACAAACAAGAAAGTACTAGTGGCATATTTCAGCATACCTTCCGCCGTTAACAGGGGACTTATACGTTTGGAGAAATGAACGCTGCCGCAATTTAGCGAAACGAAAAGCCATATCAACAAACAAGAAAGTACTAGTAGCATATTTCAGCATACCTTCCGCCGTTAACAGGGGACTGATACGTTTGGAGAAATGAACGCTGCCGCAATTTAGCGAAACGAAAAGCCATATCAACAAACAAGAAAGTACTAGTAGCATATTTCAGCATACCTTCCGCCGTTAACAGGGGACTGATACGTTTGGAGAAATGAACGCTGCCGCAATTTAGCGAAACGAAAAGCCATATCAACAAACAAGAAAGTACTAGTGGCATATTTCAGCATACCTTCCGCCGTTAACAGGGGACTGATACGTTTGGAGAAATGAACGCTGCCGCAATTTAGCGAAACGAAAAGCCATATCAACAAACAAGAAAGTACTAGTAGCATATTTCAGCATACCTTCCGCCGTTAACAGGGGACTGATACGTTTGGAGAAATGAACGCTGCCGCAATTTAGCGAAACGAAAAGCCATATCAACAAACAAGAAAGTACTAGTAGCATATTTCAGCATACCTTCCGCCGTTAACAGGGGACTGATACGTTTGGAGAAATGAACGCTGCCGCAATTTAGCGAAAAAAAGCCATATCAACAAACAAGAAAGTACTAGTAGCATATTTCAGCATACCTTCCGCCGTTAACAGGGGACTGATACGTTTGGAGAAATGAACGCTGCCGCAATTTAGCGAAACGAAAAGCCATATCAACAAACAAGAAAGTACTAGTGGCATATTTCAGCATACCTTCCGCCGTTAACAGGGGACTTATACGTTTGGAGAAATGAACGCTGCCGCAATTTAGCGAAACGAAAAGCCATATCAACAACAAGAAAGTACTAGTGGCATATTTCAGCATACCTTCCGCCGTTAACAGGGGACTTATACGTTTGGAGAAATGAACGCTGCCGAAAAAATGAACGCTACCGAAAAAATGGACGCTGCCAAAAAAAAGGAACGCTACCGAAAAAATGAACGCTACCGAAAAAATGAACGCTACCGAAAAAATGAACGTTACCGAAAAAATGAACGCTACCGAAAAAATGGACGCTGCCGAAAAAATGAACGCTACCGCGGTTAGCAAATCGAAAAGTGATATCAACAAGCAGAAACAGAGGACCTTAAGTTGACCATAAGAAAACCATATCATGAAATATGCTTAAATGCACTTATCTTTCCGTTTGCCAAGGGTGATTTGTGTTGATTGATCCACAGTTGCTCATCATGAGGATCTGCTTTAGTTTTTGGCCTTGTCACATTTGAACAGTAATCTGTTAGAACAGAATTATCAAAAACTTTGTCACTACACTACTTTCTATCAATTAGTTAATATGGAAAATATGGTAGAAAAAAATTGTTGCTTAGTTAATGTAATAATAAAATACTTTAAGAGATAAAATACAAGTCGAATATAAAGATAAAAAATAAAATAAAATAATATTTTTTAATAGTTGATAATGTTGAATATTCTGTAAGATCAGGTCTTTACTTTATGGATGCATGAAGATGACAATGATAATAAACTAAATTGTGGAAAAAATAAGATGAGTATATATGCTTTGTGGCTTAAAAAATGTATGAAGTATTTACTATTTATGATATTAAAATATATATAGACTACACCAGATAGTATTTGGTTTCTATAAAGGCCTGAAACTGTCATATAAAAAGGATTATAGTTTGAGAGTCCAAAAGCAGTTGATCTGGAATAACATTATTTTTTCATCATTTAAATTAATCTATCCTAAATTTATCCTAAATTTGTAATAACTCCAGAAGCCAGGCTTTTCTACCTGAATTTGCACAGGCCAATTTTTTACATTAACAAACACTTCCATATATAGCTACATGGTATCAATTTTTTTATTTGTATACTTGCTTTGGAATTTGGATTTTGCATGCCACCTATAGCCCCTGTCGCCTAGATCTGTCTGTTTGACAGTGTTTAGTACTGTTTACACACTGACGAATTGGAAGACATACTGTCTTTTGCTTGCCCAAGTTCGTCCAGACGGATGATCCGTCTCTACTATATAAAATCAGGGCATTAGACCACTCTCAATCATTTCTTTCTCGGCTTTACACAAAATATATACAACCACGAAATAAAATATTATTCATGTTCATGATTTTGTACAATTCTACAAATCATTAGCGGATTTTTTCGCCAGAAATTTTTTTGTAAGAACTAAGAATTATTTAAAAGATACCTGGTACATTTATCCATGATATTTACGAAAAATATTAAAGAGCGAAGAAAAATACCATTTCATATTTTACTAATAAAGTACGAGAAAAGGAAATGTAATATACATAATAAAGCACCTAACTTTTACCTTTAATGAGGCTAGGTAGAGGTAGTGATGATTTTTTGAACTTCAATGCACTTTACTTTTTCAGTCTTGAATATAGCCTTGACAAGCGATTTATTAATTTTGCTTGCTATAAGCCTAAAACGACAAAAATGAACAGCTATTGTAAAACAATTTCAACCTAAAGCACAATCAGAATATCATATCCAAGCATTTCTTTGCGAATAGCAAAAAACATTTGTAAAAATTGAACGTTTTAAATTTCAATTGTTATAACAAGACGGGCGAAGCGAAAATATGGCCGAACCTGACGAGGTCGATTTTAAACAGAGAAATTCAGTTAATCACTTTTATGCCATAAATGTGGAGTACCTTGCAATAAACTGCACAAGAACATACCTCTTTTCTTTGCCAGGCTACCCAGTGTTTATGGGGCTAGGTAGAGGAAGTGATGATTTTTGGAACTTCAATGCACTTGACTTTTTCAGTCTTGAATATAGCCTTGACAAGCGATTTATTAATTTTGCTTGCTATAAGCCTAAAACGACAAAAATGAACAGCTATTGTAAAACAATTTCAACCTAAAGCACAATCAGAATATTATATCCAAGCATTTCTTTGCGAATAGCAAAAACATTTGTAAAAATTGAACGTTTTAAATTTCAATTGTTATAACAAGACGGGCGAAGCGAAAATATGGCCGAACCTGACGAGGTCGAATTTAGTTACTCACTTTTATGCCATGAATGTGGAGTACCTTGCAATAAAGCACAAGAACATACCTCTTTTCTTTGCCAGGCTACCCAGTGTTTATGGGGCAAGGTGGAGGACGTGATGATTTTTGGAACTTCAATGCACTTGACTTTTTCAGTTTTGAATATATAGCTTTGACAAGCGATTTATTAATTTTGCTTGCTATAAGCCTAAAATAACAGAAATGAACAGCTATTGTAAAACAATTTCAACCTAAAGCACAATCAGAATATCATATCCAAGCATTTCTTTGCGAATAGGAAAAAACATTTGTAAAAATTGAACGTTTTAAATTTCAATTGTTATAACAAGACGGGCGAAGCGAAAATATGGCCGAACCTGACGAGGTCGAATTCAACACAGAAATTCAGTTGATCACTTTTAAGCCATGAATGTGGAGTACCTTACAATAAAGCACAAGAACATACCTCTTTTCTTTGCCAGGCTACCCAGTTTTAAAAACCTAAATTTAATGAATTTATTGAACTTTTTACAGTAATTCTTGTTCTCAAAAAGTAATACCACAACGAAATTTTGAAAATGCCTCGCCCTCGCTCGCGCCGGCGCGCCCTCGTCTCACATCAGTCACATGTTAAAAACACTATCACATGACAATGAATCACTAATCCTATTGGACAAATAAAAAATTATTATTCTTATGTGTCGGTTGTACAAAACAAAAAGCTGGAGAGCGCTATCCATCGAATAAGGATCGGTTTTTTAATCGCTTTATATTATTCTCCACTTCTCTATAATCGCGCTATAATTTTCTAATCAAAACAAATTAAAAAAACATAATAAAAGTCTCAAAGAACAAATAAACAAACCCCTGCACCTGGATTATTCTTTTTTCGCCATGTCACCCCCGCTTCGTTTATCCCATTTTTGCGGCATGTTGTCGGCAATCGTCGAAATACGATTCACATTCGGCCAAGCCCGCGATATCCGACCGCTGAACAACAACAAAGTATTTTCATTTGCTACAAAACATATTACGAAAAATAGTTGATTTGGTATTCTCCATTTCTTCATATCCCTTTTTTCGGAGACGCTACCAACCATGGTGTTGGCTCATCTTTTCAAAAAGGTATCAATCAAAATCAGCGTTCTCTCCTAAAGGCGGATTTCCACTTACAGCGAAATCGTTCGCTAGCGAAATATTAGCATATTTTCTTTTGAATTTAAACAGCATAAATAAATTAGTGCGACTTCAGTGCTCTCAATTCAAAAGAAAATATGCAAATATTTCGCCAGCGAACGATTGGAAAGTGGAAATCCGCCTTAACTTGTATCAGAGGTATATAAAAATCAAATTCTATGTTAATTATTCTTTTTACTTTTACATATCAAGACCCTTTGCTCAAGGGTGGTACAGGCTGCTGCAAGGGGAGGTCTAAGGAAAATTGCATTCTTTCACCAAACGAAAACTTTTGAACAAGAAAAATAAAATCATACTTTGGTGAATTTCGAAATTTTAGGCAAATCGGTAACGGGGACCAAAGGAAAAATCCTGATTTTCGTCAATTTTTTTGAAATTTGAAAATTTGGTTCAAAATACCTCGAAATGGTTGAGAACTAAGTAGAATTGCACTGTTTCATGAAAAAAACCATTCGACCACAAAAATCATACTTTGGTGAATTTCAAAATTTTAGGCAAATCGGTAACGGGCGACCAAAGGAAAAATCCTGATTTTCGTCAACTTTTTGAAATCCCAAAATTCGGTTCAAAATACCTCAAAATGATTGAGAACTAAGTAGAATTGCATTCTTTTCACCGTGTAACAGGTTATGGGATTGTGCAAGATATTGAAGGTGGTATTATTACATTTGGTGACACAGAGGATAGTCCACATTTTTGTGCCTCTCATAGATAGCGCTAGGCTAAGATAGCACTTGCATGCTACAGAGGTTAAAATTCTTTGGTTGCAGAATTCTCAAACTCTTCTGTGCTTTTCTTTGGTTTTCTAAATTTTCCTTGTAACCATATTCTATACATCTTAAGTTGTCGTCCACGGTTTACTTGTAAACGTCTGTCGACATAACTTTGTTCCTCCACCAAACCTTCTTGAGTAAACAGTGTCTTTACCTCTTCTGAAACAACAGGTTCAAGCTTGGTTTCAATTGACCTTTTCTCTTTGAATATGACAGTTGATTATAGCAAAAGCCACTTTAAGTTGTGATATCGCTGCATTGTATTCAGGAGTGATTTCTTGAGGAAACCCCGTCAATTTTAGCTCCTTCGCTAAACTAAATTTCTCATGAGTCATGAACACAGTGCCATCACGCAGCTGAAATGCTCAAACCTGCCGAGGAAAAAACAACTTTTCTATCTTACCTTCGGTGAAGAAATAACATCTGGTGCCATCGCCACGAACATAGAAATTTTCTGCTAAACATTTCCCTGACATATTTGAAAAAAACAAAATTTTCTTTCTACATGCAGGCATACTACAAATGGCCATTGCAAAGTTTCAGTAGAGGGCAGACATGCATGCAGCTTGATAGATGACTAGAAAGGTGTGTTTTATCCGAGTCTAAATAACTCTTCAATGCTCAATATTATCTCACCTTTTTTAAACCTTAGTTGGGCCATATCATAGCGTCCATAATCACGGAAAAGAATCCTGCCACCTGGCTTCAAATACTAAGATATACGAAAAAATGCACATTTAACAAATAATTCATCAAATCAGGTAAAATAGTATAAAATCTCTAAAAATACCTTTATAAGTCTTTGAATTGTTTCTTGAAATCTGTGAAAAAGCATAAGCTTTGTTTATATAATCATTTTGTCTTGTTTATATTAATTACTTTTTTTATATTAATTGATTTTTTTTCAGTCTTGGTCAGCCGACAAACTTCTTTTTAAGCATTATACAGATGTTTAGCCTTCTCTGTTAATCATCAAAGAGACTTTGCATTTAATTTTTTAAACTGACTTACTTGTCAGGATGAATAGCTGATAGTACGAATATTAAGAGAATTACATCTAAACTTTCAAACGGGAAAGGAAAATCCTGGTCTTCAGTAACATCACAGACAAAACCATGACAACGACCATGTTGATAATCTACGTGTTCCTAAAAGAATAAATTTTTAGAAACAGGAGTACTGTACAATACTGCAATTTCCAAAACGTCATATTTTCACAAATTCTAGCACAATTATGTTAAAACTTTTGTCTGCTAGAAAGTAATTTTCCTTTACCTTTACAAGATTAATTGCCACATCTGAGAAATCACAACAGTACACAAAAAGTTCAGGGTCGCTAAACGTGAAGCAAACCTCTATCAATATGTGAAACAAACTATAGTCATTGTTTAAATAGTTGTTGTCATAAAAAATATACTTAGCATTCAGGTCAAAACTTGATCCCTGCTTTAAATGAGAACTTACTTGTTAGTTTCAAGAATGGGGAAAACTGTGTTTCCAACACCACATCCCACCTTAAACAAAGTTTACAGCTGTATTTAAAAGGTATGCATGAGCTTCACAAATATATGGTTGGCAATATAATGCACTATTATATAAAGTTTTGTAATCAGAGTAGGTGTAGGTTTAGTTTTTGATATACTACTGTAATCATGCTAGCTTGTAAGTTGTAACCACTGGTAAAATTGATAAAATGTGAGAAACTGTTCACAACATACCTCTAAGATCCTTTTGGTAGCTTTGTATCCAGGGTATTCCACAATTTCTGTAGGAGTTTTATGAACATTGAGTTGATCTTTATTAATATTATTCCTGTCATTAGGATGGTCACAGGAGTTGGTTGCAGATGGAACTAAAAGTTCCGGAAATTCTGTAAATAACCAATGTCTATCTTTGAAAAATCTATAGAAAAGACAAAAATTTCAGAATTATATAAATTTCTTATCCTTGTTAAAGTCAAAGAATAATACAATCATGATTTAAATGAGATTTACCAACCTATTGTTATGCTGCATATAGAAAGAATTCCAGTACTGATTAGGCTCACAATTATATTTTTCTAGGGAAAGAAATAAACTGATAAGGTCCTAAAGTAAATAATGATAATATTGCAGTAAAAATTGATGCAAAAACAAGTCATTATAATTTAAACCAATTAATATACATGTACATTATATTATGAAATATCTAAAATATGTTACATGCCATTGCGTTCAATGTGTTGTATGATTATAGTAAGCATACTGGAAATTCTTTATTCTTCTGAATTAACATACATTCCATATAATTATCATGACCAAGAATTTAAAGTGTACATATGAAGTAGCTAAGTTAATTAAATACATAGACTGGTATGTACATGTGTTGACTGTTGAGGTACTTATAAAACAGTAGTTACTCACTTAATCTTATGATGACCGGGCTAATTAATCAGAATTGTGTATTTTGGAGCTAGTTGAAAATTCAACTGCACAACATGTTGTTGTCGCGGCGGAGTGGCTGCAGCAGCTCCCAGCAGTGAGCAGTGTGTGAGAAATAGATATTAATACCTTGTATGTCTGTTGGAAGTTTAATTGATGTATTTTGTTCAACAATTTTTATTGCTGCTTCTTCCTGCTCTTTATCCCACTCAATGTTATCCCTGGAAATGATATAAAGGACAAATTATATGCAACTGAAAACACATATAAAAGCCAATAGATTTATCATTTAAAATTATAACGAGAGCAGGACAAGCATGTTTCCTTATTAAAACCATTCAATCAGATGAAAAGACTGTGCATGAATAGTTATACATTACCAAGCATTATGTTCAAACACTTTTGAGCTGTCAACCAAAAATCTATTGCCAAATTGCGTTCTTCGCTCTTCACTAGCGGCTAAATCTGGAATTTCCACATTGGCAGCCATATTGGATTCACTGAGCTATATGTATCGTCTGCGAACTGAATTGTTGCATCAGTGCACACGCATATATATTGCAGCACGCTATTATTCTTTTACGCTGTTCTGAGAATTTTGCGATTATATTATTAATTTATTGGTTTAATTCACTGCTGCTTCTATAAAACGGGAAATGGGACGATGAACTGTTAAACCTGCAGGTGAGTTATATGAACTTATTATGGCTTTTTAGAGGCGCGTTCAAGTTTCAAAAGCGCAAAATATTTTAATTTTATCTTACGCATTATATAATACCTTTTATTAAAGGTAGAAAAGATTTTTCATGTATGTAAAAGCCCTGCACTGACACTTCTAGACTGTTCTAGACTGGACCAGTACAATTATGTTTATTTAATAACTCGCTATTTAATTAATAGCTAACTAATTGTTTTAACTACATTCTGATGTATGATATCTTAGGAATAGAATAGAATAATTTATTTACCCACGTATCACTGAAGAGCTAAAAAAAAGCTCGTATAAACGTGAACATGACCTAAAAAAGTTACAAGATATCTAAATATGCATGCACTAATAGTATTTACAACTTGCAGGCATTATAGATCTGTAACTTTTTAGTCAATTTTATCTTACTGGTAGCAGTTTTATAGTTGTTATTGAATTTGGTAATTTTTGTAATAAATTATATATTTGTTCATTTATGTTTACATACCAAGGTTTTCCCTACAATCATGACAAGTATTATTAACCATATGCTGCTGGTTCTTTTTCCACTCCTGTTAAGTTATGTTCATCAATGTTGTTATTTTGCCCTCATTAATGCTTGTTTACATACAACATCTTATTTTTACATAAGGCTTTTATAATTTGTACTTTAATAACAAGCCAGCCTAGATGAAAAAAGCTTTAGGAATAATTTCTATATTTAGTGCAAGATTTACATACCAGATATCCTACCTCTTATGAAGAATAATGTATGTTTTTACTATCACAAATCATGTGATCAAACAAGATTGGCCAATATTTGCGCTGTCAGCTTCTTCTACTTTCTTTGTATTGTCTGTACCATTGCTTTCTCATTATTAAATATGTTATTTTCTTTGAATATTAACTAGCAACAACATTTATTAAATAAACTTAAGTTTTACTGTTGTTTGAATGTAACTGTTTGGTGACAGGTGACGCACTAGTTGTTTTGAAAACTTGCTCAGGGTCACCTACGTGATCCAAGACAGGTGACAATGATGAACACAGATTATGACTATATTCCAGTGTAATATTAGTTTCTTTTACTGCTGTACAAATGTTATAATGTTTGTGGCAGTAGTGTAGTTGGTATGAAAGTCTTTTTGCTGGTTTTTCAGATAACTGCAAGGTAAAAATAGCAGTAGTACAATTTCCAAATGATCCACCTGAATCAATGCCTAGATTTTCACAAGGTATTTCTGCAGTGACTTTTTTATCATGTGATTTTACTAGGTCTTTAACTGGTGTTAGCTTGATTGGTGCATGGCCTCCAAATTTGTTTCTTGCTAATACATGGGGTACATCAACTTCGGAATATTTAATAATGTCTGTGAGTGTCACAATGTTTAATATAAACAATGCTAAGGTCAAGAGACTGGCAAATAAACACAAGGCAACACACCCAATGTGTGACACTTTCAAGTTGTAGCAGGATGCAAGACATAAAGGGTACTTTCGAGGAATGGCATCTTTCTTAAACCAAAGATATGCTGCTTTGAAGAAAGTACAGCCAGATATAACCAAACTGAATGTTGTACAAACAAATAAACTTGTCTTCCAAAAGCTGAATATGACAGAGCATCTGACAATGTAATAGTACATGATGGTGCATTGTATTGTCTCTTCAAAACTCACTTGAAAAAGCAGGCTGATAAATACAATTAACCGTCCAAGTTTATAGGTGTTGTTCTTGCTTGTTTGACGTTTGTATAATCTCTTTGACAAGCCGAACATCGATAAACTGTAACCTATAATACTTGTCAAGGCACATACACAGCTGACAAAAAGGCTGAACAAAAAGGCACGATAAACGTCCTCATTATAGCTGCTAACATCCAGGGAATTGCTCGAATAATAATCTTTGACGTTTATACCATCACTAACACAATCATAACATTGATATGCAATCATTGCAAAATCGAGAAGATATTCAAATACAAGTTTCAAGCGAACGTACAGTTTACCACAGCCACGTCCTGCCTCGTGAAATCTCGTTTCGAACTCGGCCATCAGAGAGAATAATCCCTTCTCAAAACTCCCAGAGACAATTTTCAGCTATTTTTTATATTTCAGCTGTTCACTATAATATTTGCTGTGGCAAAGGTTAATATGACAGAGGGACCGCCTACCACGCAGGCAGGCAGGCAGGCTAGCTCGCAAACTAAGGTACCTACAAGGTCGGGGCTGCTGCTGGCATAAGCCAGTAGAACTACATAGACGTATATATGACAAGAACACGAATACGTAACTACTTGCTCTAAATATAACCGCGTCAGCCATGACGTTTTTTCCTAAATATGTGATCGCTGGATCTGTATCAGTATATCCGATTCAACACGACCGCTCATGTTGTAAATAATAGTGTTTATGATTTTTTCCAGTAGCCTAAATTGTGCAGAAGACAGTAAAAAAAACAAATTTTTAGAATGTGCAGTTGTTTGCGCATTTTTTCTCAATTCTCTCACTTCGCTACACGTGTTCTTGACTACATGCAAATCAGGGTGTGTCAAAAAAGTGCAAACACTAATGGCAGCCAGTGAAACGTATTACTACTTATTGGTTTTTAGAATACGTTTTATTCTTTGTTATTCAAATAGCCAACCAAATTCTGGCAGTATACGAACTTCGACTGCTTTACACTCTCAATGGAATTAAATGGTGATTGGTGCAATGGTGCTAAATTATGCAACTTTCCGTAAATATCTGCTTTCCAGCGTTTTTGATAAACGGCCAGTAAATATATATATGTATGGAATTAAACTTTTCCGTGTTAAAACGTAACAATGAAATAAGTTAGAGCTATTAGAGTGATTAATGACGACACTTCACAGGTCTTTATCGCAGAACCTTACAAAGGATTTTAAATCTTATCAATGGCAAAATGGAAATTAGACTTGAATCTCAATGAAGTCATAAATCTCAATGTTAGAATATATTTACACTATGTCATATGTTGATGACAGTCAATTTACTGGTCCAAAAACACTAAAAAATCCTGGGTTTTTTATTTATAAATATTTTGTTTTGTACAGGCAGTTTTTTTCTTTAAAAAATAAGGTTTGTAAACAGTTCATATTTTCAAAAAATGATGCATAATAAACTAATGCGAATATTGCAAGCTATAGTATCAAAGTAAATTTATATTGTATTGCAGAAATTCTTTACAATATTTTAAATTTTTAAATTAGAATACCAAATTAGGATATTAGAATAACAAATTTTTTACTCATTTGCAAATGTTTCGTGTTTATATCTTACATGTTATTATTTCATATCAATCGGATATCTTACTTCGGTTGGAGGATCTTTCTCGTCCATATTAAAAATTTAGTCACAAAGAAAGAAAAAGGGCTAAGAAAGACACCAGTTGATCGTGTGAATACATTGTTTGTGAAAGTGAGGTTGAATATTGTCGTTGCTGATGTCAATGCTACATATTTATATTTTAGAAGCTGTATAGTGTACATGTCATAAATATTTGGATTGAAATATATTTGTGCCTCGTACTTTGATTGATCAACAATATAACGATACGAAAGACAAGGTAATTTGTTGTTACATAAAGAAATACTTAACTCTTAAGTAATAAAATTCCAACGGATATATTTATATATATATTTATTGTAGTGTCTAAATCGTCCAGTAAATGTCATATATAGCTAAACTGCTAAAGTAGACTTTATACACGTCAGGATAATCAGCGACTTGACGCACATCGGGATATTCGTCGACATTTGTGTGTGCACTGTTACAGTCTTTACAGCCAGTAGGTTATATTTTCTAATTTAGTCTTTATTTAATGGACGACTGACTATGAGTGCCTATGTTATTCAAAACACAGCATACGTATATACATACATATAAATTTACAGTCAATTGGTCAACTATACATAAAAAAGCGCAAAGATCTAACAATCTTTATATCAATATTGTTTTATAGAATTATGGGAATTAACATTTGGATTCAGTAATTTTTTTCTTGTATATAGGGAAGATTATTTCAATGCAAGGCACTATATCATAAATAAAGCACTATTGCCGAATGCCATTATCGGTCAGTTTGACTTTTGTGGTGCTAAAGGTATAGCCGTGATTTGTCGTATACACACGACTCGTCTCTTGGGGCCGCCCGGGTTGTTCAAAAGCCCTAGGTTAAAAAATCTTCAAATCTTGTCTACAAAGTTGAATCTCTTTCCATAAATATTTTCTGAACAGACAAAAGCAATATTTTGTAAATGTTTTAAAACGAACTGCATTACTGCAGTTCAGAAGCACTTGATTAAAATCTAACCCCTGGTTAGAGTTATATATAACCCAGCTTTGAACAACTGGCCTCTGACTTATATGAAAATTACTTTTGACGCAACGCTAATCTTAAATCAAAATGTTTACTAGTTTCAATAACAATTTTTTACTAATTATCGCAACGTGTTTATGTCTGCGACTGCATGTTATTATTTTGGATATATATTTCTCGGTTGGAGGAACTTTCTTGTAAATATTTTCATTAAGAATTGAGTTCAAAGTAAAAGAGTTGAGATACCAGTTGCCCATGTGAATACAATCAATACATTGACATTGTTTAATTGTGAAAGTGAAGTTGTATATGTTGTCGTTGTCGTTGTCACACATGGTTGGCACACATGGCGATTTGTCGTACACGACTCGTATTTTCAGTGGAGTATGAAAATTGACTATTGACGCAACGCAGATCTTAGTATATTAAATGAAAATGTTTTTTCTAAACGCTGATGCCAGTGATGGGAATTTAGATAGTAACGAATTACTGCCGGATAGATAAGATAACCATGAAACGGTCGGAAAACCTCTCCTTCACATTTCCGTCAAAGATTGGAATTACTCGCGTTTCCAGTCGTCAAAATAAATCCTAAGGTCGTATCAATTGAGATAAATTAAGTATATATATAGGTATAATAAATAATATATATGGGTTAAATGTATAATGACGGAGAAATAAACTTCGGCTAGAATTTTGGTAAGCCAACACATTTATTCACCTCAATGTTCTATAGTATAATGTCAGGTTTAGAATTAAGCGAGGCTCTTTTCGCGGCAAAATTATAAGCGGGTGAACATATGCTGTAATAACGTTTTGGCTCAAAACCTATCAACAAAAATCAACACTGAAAACGGTGCATGCTGCATTATATATACATCAATACAAGACAGAGTTTAGTTTATCTTTCTTTTGCTTAGATATACTGAAGATTTGTCAGCACAGACTGTATATACCAGACAGGAATGAGCGAAGAAGAGATGGAAGAATATCACAATGATCGAACGAAGTTACTTTGTGACGACTCTAGTGAACCAACACGAAAGCTTCATGGCGAAATTGACAGATTTATTTATCCCCAGTCTGACAGTGAAACGAATCATAATGATTTTGAGCTATGGTAATTTGTACGAAATAAATTGAATATAATATTGAATATATTGAATCAAATATTTCAGAGCGTTCTCTTTAACCCGAGAAATTAATTCCAAACTTCGAAGCAACTATATGCTTGTAGCCTAATATGCTATTCATTTTATAACCAATGTTAATTATAAATGAACGCTGTACACTTTCCTCTTTTTACTATATCCTAACGATCTTATATTAAATTTAAATATAGCTCACCATATTGGTAAATGAATAAGTAAACTAATAAGATATAAGATTATGCAGTTTAAAATCTCTGGTAAAATGACACATTCGCTAAACTGGTTGATTAGAAGTTTGAATATCCAGAGTAAACAATCCCATTGATTGACAGTTTTAAAAAAATGACGCAAATATTTATTTTATATAGTGAGAGAAGACAACCTCGAAATCTACATGACAGTGACATGGACATAAATGAACAACTCAGTTCAAACGATAGGAGCGAATCAAAATTTCGTTTATTTCAAGCAATTCCGCGACGTTTTATAATTCTTGTTCTTATAACGTTGGCTAATTTTAACATGTACTGCATACGGATGTGTCTAAATGTCACCATTGTGGCAATGACTCGTGGTGAAGGGAAACAGTATAATAGTACAGGACCTCATTTATCTAGAGACATGGTAAGTATATAGACTGTATAGTGGAATATTCTTTTTATCATCTATCATGACCGAGTGTCTTCTTCATAAATTTCTAAGAACCATTTTAGAATGATGTTTTGTTGTATACGCCTATTGTTTGCTTTTTCAGGAACCAGAGTTTCATTGGGACAAGCAATTTCAAGGTAAAATGATTTGATGTTTTGTATGTAATCCTAATTCTACCAAACTTCAGTATTTCATGTGACCATAACAAAAAAGATGGTGAATGTATACATGCACCTAGCTTTCCAGTCAAATATCGTATACTATAAATGTTATCTATCATATATATATAGGCACAATATTGGCTTCGTTATATTGGAGTTACACTGCCATGCAAATACCAGCTGGATTGCTATGTGTCCAGTATGGTGGTACGTTTCTATTGGGTTTTGCGATATTTGGTTCATCACTTTTTACTTTGGCTACGCCATTCATCGTACGACAAAACGTGTATGCGTTCATATTTGTGCGCATCATGGAAGGGGCGTTCTTGGTTAGTTAACTCAATCAGTGTTTATAGCTACGTTTTATGTAGCTAGAAGTATAATACCTAATAGTACATGTGAAGAACGTTCATGTGAATGCATGCATGTACCTACTGATGCAACAACATGAGTAGCTAAGAAAGTCATCGACGGAGTTGCATGGAGTTGCTTTGACCCTTTTTTGCAAATAAGGATCCCGCGTTTAACAAGATACATTATATATTGTTGTGCCATTCATGCTTAAAATGCATGATCGATTGTGTAATTTGTGTTCAAATTCTTATTTATGAAGGGTTTAGTAGCTACTTCAGGAATATCGTTATTCAGTAAATGGTCGCCAATATACGAAAGAAGTATTTTTATGATGGTCGGATGTTCAGGTACAGTTTTTTATGATGGTCATGCATGGGATAGTCAGGTACAGTTTTTATGATGGTCATGGGATAATCAGGTACAGGTTTTATGATGGATTGGTGCAGGGATAATCAAAATAAATACACATTCAATAAACCTAATTTAGGTTATCTATGGGGGACTGTTTTTGCAAATTCAATGAGCGGTGTTCTCGCTGGCAGTTATTGGGGATGGCCGTCTGTATTTTATTTCTTTGGTAGGTTTCAAACTATTTTAATTGTGCATATATTCTAAATAACTTACATTCTGTACGCATTTAACAATTGAGCTGAAATATATATCATGCATGCAAGGTCTTCTTTGTAAAACAAAAGAAAATAAATTGGATAAGAAGTTTGACAACGGTTGGAATCAGTTTTGCATCCTAATTTATCTATAGGTGTTCAAGGGATTCTTTGGTATTTTTGTTGGATATATTTTGTTTATGAAGATCCAAAGGACCATCCAAATATTACCAAGGCGGAACTTAATCTTATAGGAAAACACTGGAATAAAAAGGTGTGCACGCATCAGATTTTTATCACAAATTTATAATACGTAAATATATATATCTATATAGAAATGACGCAAACACGAGGTTCCTCCTAGGTTCACACCTTAAGGTAATTTTCCATTGCAGTCGCTTTAATTGCCCGCGCGGTAACGGAAAATCTTTACTCAGGAATGTTGTTAAACGCAGAAAGCCTGATGTTAGACGAAATTTGATGGGCTCCGCAAACTAACAAGCAGATCAAACCAATCAAACTTCATGTATCTAATCAGACTTTCCGCACTCGAGAAAGCCGGGCTTAGCTAGATCATACAATATTTGGAAATTCGATGTTATATTCGGAGATGTGGTAAAGAAGTGGGCTAATTTTAAACAACTTGCTCGAAGTATATATATATGTATAGCTAATAGCTCACAAACTGACGTAAATCATGTTTGCATGCTAGCTTCTGAAACATGCACAACGACGCCGCGCGTCTGAATCGTCTGCCACGTATAGTTATATAGTAACCGCAATTTTATGATGTATTTACTATAATTCTAGCTATCATTTCGTGACATCCCGTGGAGATATATACTGACCTCTGTGCGGGTCTGGGCGATCATTATTCCGAACTTTACAGACTGTTGGAGTTTTTATACATTCATGATTTCATTCCCCGGTTATCTAAAGGATGTACTGAACTTAGATATCACGACCGTAAGTTATCAACTGCATTTATAGAAGCCATTTGGTTGTATGAATCTGTTTTTCTCTTATATCACGGACCAATCACCTCCTTTGAAGGAGAGATTGATCTAGCTTTAGTGGAAGGACAGGGTGCATACTGAAAAACCACAATAAACGTGTAACTGTATATGAGTATGAAGTGTTGTATACAATTATTTTTACCTTAGATTTATGGCAATGTTTTTAAAGATTGTATATAAAGATATAAATGCAGATATTAAAGATTAAAATTTCGACGTTTTCCTCTTATATAACAACTTAGGAGTTGGAAATTTAATTGGGAATTAAGGGTATACCATGCATTTATAGATACAAATAAAATAAAACAAACAATAAACTGAAAAATAAGTAAAAAAAACTGCATATACAAAACTGCATATACATCTTTACTAAAACTTTCGACGATTAATCAAGTTTGTCTTTTTAATTTCAGATTGGTTTTACCAGCTCATTGCCGTATGTCTTGTCAGCTGTCTTAACTCCTTGCTGGGGATATTTTATCGATGTTTTACGGAGCAAAAAATATATTTCTACAACAAATTCGAGGAAGCTTTCTCATATTGTAGGCAAGTACTATTCATGCACCAGCCAATTAGCCAAACAATCTTCAATGCTTACAAATGACTCAATCCATGCATCATATAGAAAAAAAAGGTTTTGATTTGCGATGAAAACTGGTAAAGCCTGTGTAACTTCCTCTTTTCCACCGTAGCTATATATCGTAGCGACCCGGCAGTAACGTATTTCTTGATCACGTATTTCTAAGTCATTAGTTTTGAATGCCCAGTTCGTCGTTTTTCGTCTCCTCATGGATAAATTTTTCTAATACACTGCACTACAATCCATCTCGGAGCTGTCATGCATATTTGACTCGCAATCTTGCATGTGGCATGCATACGAAACAGCATCCATATTTCAGCGTCACGTTTATTATTATTGCATGCATTTTGCAACTTTTTTACAACCATATACAGGTGCTGGGCTTAGTGCCATATTCATAGCCGCAATGGCGTACGCTTCAACAGCCACTTCTGCTATTGTCATTGCAACCATAGCAATAACTTTGACAAATTTCACCACATCTGGACCTCCAACAAGTTTAGTCGAATTGGCGCCAAAATATTCCGGAGTTCTGATGGGTTTCGCGAACTTCGCTTGCAATATTACCGGATTTATCACGCCTGAAGTTGTCGGAGCACTCACTGTTCACGGGGTAGGTACAGTGTATATCAATATAAGATTGACTTGCGCCCAGCACACAAAAGTCGACATTAATTTAGACTATAAATTTGAACTAACACTTTTTCTCAATATCTTTTTAGGACATTCGTCATCAGTGGGGAAGAGTATTCTATGTCTGTGCTGGTATTAATATCATTGGCATGCTGTTTTACCTCACTTTTGGATCTTCAGAGAAACAAGCCTGGGCAGAACATTAATAGCTATGTTTAACTGTGTTATCATGCAGCCATTTCGTGTCTGTTGGAATAAATTTTACGAGAATAAATTTTTACCAATTTTCTTCGTGAATAAATTTTACGACAGCAGTAAATTTATTAAAAGTTGCAATGAAAGTTTGAGTTTACGATTACTGTCATGCAAGAGGACTATTTAAATCACCCGGTAAACGAAAAACGGTATACTCGACGATGGTCGAATGTACCGAAAAACGGTGTACTAAATAAAAACTACTAAATAAACCACTAAATAAAAATTACTAAATATACCGCTAAATAAAAACTACTTCGTTATTACGATACTGCCGGAATTAAAAAGAGGATAACTTATCAAGGCCGACGACGGGATCCCAGAGGGCAAAATACTGAAGGCCTGCAAAGTGCCTAGGGGGCAAAGGGGCCCAGCGTAAGATATACTCTAGGCAGAATGTTCCCATCGGCATCGCGGTGTGTGAAAGACGTGAGAGTCATAAGGTTTGGGAAAATGCTTACAAATTTTTTTTGGGTCCTGGGCTACGTCGAACTTGTGATGGTTAACGTTTGACTAAATTAGTGTCAAAATCCGTCAATCTAATCACTTCCATGACTGTCAACGACGTACGAAAACCAGGCTTCGTCTGATAAACTCATTTTTGGGGTAAATAACTTGGTTTATAAATTAGGTTTCGGTGATGATTGAGTGGATAGCGATAATGTGACAACTGTTTCTGATGTTTCCTCAGGGTGGTAAGGCATAAATGGTAAATACTTTGATATTTTCCAGCTGTTCCCGATTCCAAATGGTAAATCGTAGACCCGAAGTAGCCTTTTTGCAGTATTTTTCGAGTCTGCCGATTTGACCCCTTGCCATTTTATCATTCCTCGCTCTTCTGGTGTTCCAGGGACTAGGTTATCCAAGAGTACACTCAATATCCCACCAACTGCCATACTAGTCTTTAGAAGAACTGTAAGAATCTGATCAATTTCAACGACACCTTATAAAGCAAAATTAAAAAGAGTGTGAAAATAATCCGGATGATTACTGATCGAGATCCTTTTAAAACGTTTGTGTCACGGCAACATTTATATCTTCCATTTTACTCTGCGATATGGATTCATGAAATGAAAGTCGTGTAAACATTAGTGATTACTTGCCTGTTTTAATTGCATCCGGATTTTTGTTGAAATAATCTGGCACTGCAAAACCCATGATAAAAGCAAAGCCGATGATAAACAAATTTCGTACGGAGTTTAAATCAACATATTGAAGATTTGAAATCCCGACAGCTGTAATCATACCAAACATACAACAAAAAATACCACCGACAACAGGATCAGGGATGGTAGAAAATAACGCACCAAACTTTCCTAGGATGCCGAGTACAATCATACATACAGCTCCAATCTGTACCACACGACGACTACCGACCTGAAATAAAGGCACATTTAATGATCTTTAGCAACATGACAACCAAATGGAAACTTCTAAATCAAAGTTCCCCACGAGAAGGTTAAGGAGAATTGTTATCATGGTTTAATTTCGTTTGGAATCATAATGCGGCAATTTGTTTTGAAGTGATATTTAAAGTTCTTTAAAACAGATCACAGATTAGTCTCATTTTGCTCCTTTACGGGCTGCCAATTTCAGGCAAAGCTGGTTGGCTTTTCTGCCAGCATAAATTTTCATAACAAACATAGCAACGAAAAATTTATGAAGATTTACATACCCTGGTAATCCCAATTGCACCAACGTTTTCACTAAACGAGGTAGTTCCATTTCCTGTCCCAATAGAACCAGCAAACAAGCAACCCAATCCTTCAACACCAATCCCCCTGTTTACCGCGTGTTCTGGGGGAGGTGGAGCACCGCATAGATTTGCGCATGCGTAGTAATCACCTACCGACTCAACAATACCTGCAAGAACACCAGCAAGCATTCCAAAAACACTGGCAACACTGACGGTTGGTGTACCCCACTGACCTAGTAACGACAAAGAAATCCATAAAGTTCAAACCCAGGGAATATGAGCAAACTGCTGGGCCAGGGTTACGGTCTTCTTACAGTCTTTTTTGGCCCGGCTTAGCGCACCCTTATATATTTAATAAATTTCTAAAGAAATGAATAATTATAATAACCCGAAATATGCATAGCGGAACTAAATTGTCAGGCTGGTTACAACATTTATTTCCTAAGGTGAAAATATCTACCTGGATAGGGTATTCTAAACCAAGGTGAATCAGATAAGACTGAAGAACGAGCATCTGTTCTAGCTTTAGAACTTTTGTCAAATGTCCCTGCTGCTGTAAGAATGAGACAGAATATCCAGGCCGTAGCAATTGCAATCACCACCTAAAAGATAGGTTATAGTCATAAGTAGGCATGAAACTAGTGCGATCATTAAGGGGGTGAGTAGTTCATGTACTCTGTTCTGTCCGATGGCGATATATGCACAAAAATGTATGTATGCACAAAAGAAATCAATCGGCTAAAACGAATATTTGAATATTGACATATAACCACGCCCTCCCCTTAAAAATAGCGCATCCAGTTTCACCTCTGGTCATAAGATTTAAATACTCATACAATAAGATACGTTATTATATATCTTAAACAACTTACTGGAAATAATTTGAAAATCCGTAGTTTTTGTCGGAAGAAACCACTTGTCCTTGAATAGCAAGGTAATGGTACTTGAATTTCGGCCAGAAATAGTGAGCATATTACCATCACACCAATTGTTCTAAAGGAAAATATACAGTTTACAAAAAGCTGTGATATTCATGCATTAAAAGTATTGTTTGAATGCATTCATCAGTATTTTATATACTATCCGGCATCGTGCGTTCTACGATGTCAGCGCTTTCTTTGTTCAACTATTCTGAGCAAGTAAAATGAGACACTCACAACGATGCTATTCCCCAGTGAGTTCCTAGGATATATGAAAAATAAAGAATACAGCGTTTAGCAAATATAATTGAATGCGACTGGTAAACGTATCTAGAAAAATAAAAATCTAAGAGGTGAAGGAAGATAAAAAAATGGAAATCTAAGAGGTGAAGGAAATTTGGTGTAAAAGCATGTTTTAGGAATATAAGGTTAGGTTTGCAATGTTTTGGAAGAACGGGGAACTTTGTAAACTTTTTAAACCTTAAATTCCATATACTGTACAAAAATTACTGGTACTTTTCATGAGACAATTCCATCATGGTCGTGCTTTAAAATTTCATCTGCAGACATCAATAAAATACATCATGGCTTAACTTGCCTGCGAAATCAGAACTTGCTCCATACAAGGACAATCCAACAAGACTAATGGTAGGAGCTACAGTCAAAGGTCCAATAAAACGTAACATGAGACCCATCAACCCGCTGAAGCCAATGAATATTTGGAACAGAGATGACACCATTACTGCTCCCTGAAGCTAGTAGATGATAAGGAAGAAGATGAGTTGTTGAACTGTTTGGATAACGAGATTGCCGCTTTCCTTTTGGGACTTAAAACATTTCGAATTCAAACAAATTTATATTCAGAGACTGGGAGTATTTTAGTAAACCTAAAATTTCCGACGAATTTGGAGTACCTGGAGCGTAGTCAGGGTCCTAACTTGTGCGCGGACAAGCGCGTTTAATAGATGTCGGGCGTCATCCCCGAGGACAAAATCTTTGAATTCCAGGGCTTCTAAGTCCCCCAACCTTCATTGCTTCTTTACAAAAAAGAATGCGTTGTATGAAGCATCAGTATTTTTATAGATTTTACCTCAAGCATGCGTTTTTTCCAAATTCCATTAAAAGTACTGTTCGACGGATCTAAGAGAATAACATTAAACAATATTATTCGAAATGCTGAATTTTATAGTTGTCTATAGTTTGCTATACCAACTTACTTTCTTTGAAACCAGATGGGCAAGTAAACTCTGGCAAGGATAAAATTGAAAATGCTGGAACTAAATATGAGAATGTTCCTCCTTGAACAATGGGTAATCTGTGGAAAAAGAAGAAAAAATCTGTAATGGAATACCCTTGCATTGAGAGTTACCAGTTTAGATCATTTTACGGGGAAGCTATATATATATATATATATTTATACCTGTTACCAAGTATAGTCTGGAGCAAGGTTGCAACTCCACTCATGAAGAAAATCGTACTGATAAGTTTCCCTTTGACGACGTCATCATTAATGCACAATGGCATGGCTAGTACCAACGGGATGGTGATGTTGGAGCCAAACATAGTCAAATAATGCTTAAAACAGAACAGGATAAAGAGTTTTAGAAGAAGTCGTAGTATAAAAGGGGTTTAGGCCAGAGGGCTTTAAACCATATTTATACTATGATAAGATTACTTATTGATTGTGCCATTGTGGAAAACTACGAAGTATCGTTAATCTTAAGTACCTGAAAACCAAGAAGTATTGAGAGATGCCATGGTGGATTTTCTTCAATTGAGTAGCTTAACTTGTTTTTTTGCTGAGGGAAAAGTGGTTAAGCTGATAAGCTACGTTTACACTTTACACTACCTTAAATTTATTGGCACGGCACCGCTACATGCATGGGTACCCGCACCAATTTTATAGCATGAGCACCGATAAAATTAGGTACGGGTACTCATTATAGCCTTGTTGTTCCAATACTAAATTGAGTATAGTGTTAATAATATAATAAAAATACAAGTCTTAATTCTTTTTACCGGAAAAGTATAAAAAATGTTAGTGTAAACACGGAGCTTAATTTATTCATCAAAAAATTGTGTTAGGCGGGTTAAGTCATGGGATTTATGAGTCATTTCGTAATCTATTCTATATACTAGTCCCTCGGGGGCAAAAAATTGGAACAAATTTTGCAACCAATAAAACGTCGTTTCTTTGCGAAAATTTCACCCGATGTTCGTGTAGTTATGGTAGGTCTCCTAAAACGCATGCTGCATCAATAAATATAGTCTATAATACCGACACGCGAATATTTTTGATATAATCATAATATATTGTCAAATGTTTCACATGTGCATGTACGCAGGTTTTTTAACGGCAAATTGCCAGTCTGCCACTTACCACAATTTCACTTGTCTTCTCGGTAGATTCAGCAGCGTTTTGTGTATTTTCAGTATCCATCTCTTGCATCTATAAAGAAGATCGATGGCCGGCGGTATTCATCTTTTTTAAAGTTCGCGCGTGTAGTATTTAGATTTCAGTTAGTATGTGCTATCACTGCTATGCAATATAAACTACAGCTTGTTCTCTTTAGTGCTACATTACGTTATTTGCCCAGTTGATGTTTTTTCTTTCCGGTTTTAAAAAATACATTTATTATCATCAGCCTAGTATAATCTAGGTTTCCATATATCGTTTAAATCGTGTAGCAAATTTAGTACAGACTGAGAAAAGACTGTACGAAGTTTGTATATAAACGGAGTGAGACATCACTCATCCTCATTCCTGCATGCTAAGGTGCTTCTTTTCTTTGTTGGTTGTATCGCAAATTGCAAATTATCTTAAGTTATCTTGGCCCGATTATTACTAGAGAGGGATTATTCGTCTGGATCCACCTGACCGAATGATCTGAATATAAACACACGACAACTGGACGAACTATGTGGACGAATATGTCAGACGAAACAGAATCGTGCACTTAGAAAGCGCGCGGGAATTGGAAAAATATCCATGTGGTAAAAAGACTGCGCAATGCTTTTTCTATTAATTTTTCTTAGTTTTTTGCATGTTCTCCTACGTTTGGTTCGTTGAGATTTCTCGCCGCTTTCTACCTGTGTTTCTAACGAATACGATATAAAAGCTTCGCTACAGCAGGGTGCTACAGTTCCCCTGGAAGTGTTATGCCCGTGGGATATTTCAAGGATCTTTTCCGGCCGCTCGATCTTTCATCACATTTTTATATCAAAATTTCAAGTATGGAGAGAAAAATGATAAATATCTGAGAGGCTAAACGAAAGCGTGTCAAGCACCAAGTCTCTATTTTTTTCACCTGTTGAACGTAACGAAGTTTGAAAAGTCTCAATAACTTAACTATAGGTCCTTATTCTCTCTTGAGACAATTCCCTGCCACGCACAAAAACATATTTTGTTGCAGTTTTCTGCCTATGAGCTACAATTTGAGCTGGCATAGTAGTGATAGTATACTAACCCAAATCCACACTCTATTAGGAATAAAATAACATAAGGGGTCGAAATTTTATTTCACCACATGGGACTGCATGCAACACTGAGCAGACTTTGATGAAGCTGTCTGTTGAGGTCGTTCATGTACTCATAGCCATAGGTAATGCAATCGTACAGTGATTTGAAAACCATATTGTCCAGATTTCGAAGTATTTCGACTACAGTCAACAACGGTAGTTAAATATTTACTCTATATATATACAAAACACCTTGACCGTATATACGATGTACTGCCACATGCATGCCTATATTATATTATATACACATATAAACCGCCTCAATTTTCAGAAGAAAATTTTGAACTAAAAAGATTCCATACACATGTGACAAAAATTAGTCGTTACATGTTAATATAGATATAAGGTTTTGTTATGGAACGCCGACTGGCTGTATTTAATCCCTCTACAAGAGACGTGTGTAACCTACGTTTCTATGAGCATATTTTGTACTTACCATCGCCTTCTAAACACCAGAGTCAAAGGATTGAGGAAGGTTTCAATGTCAATCACTTATTTTAATTTATCAAACAAGATTGGCATCGATATTATTCCCCCAAATTTCGAGATCAAAAATATACAGCAAAAGGCGGTTTTAACGCTACACTGCAATACAAGCATTACTTGCGACACATGATATGCAAATTAAGGCCATAGTAAGCGCAGCATGACGCCACAAATGAAGGTCAATTAAAACAGGTCTTTTCCACACTTCGAATGTCATGTCTGTCAATACTATGTTGAAATACACGCATGAGTAGAAAACTAGTCCACAAATTCTTTTGAAACACAGTAGTTATAACATTACAGTTTCGACAGGCAAACCAGAGGGTTAATATTTCATAAACATTCACGTTCAACATTGTTAGTTCCTTTTGAAATCTTACAGTCTGCATGCCAACATAAATACATGTTGTTAGCCCCCCGCCCCGCCACTTAACGACTCTAAAACCGCGGTCAATGAAATTACACATGGACAGATTCTTTTCCTACAAATTCCAACGCATATAGTCTATTCTCTACATTCTTAAAAGTTATATTTATACGCCCCTTTTGCCAACTATAGCTACAGATAAAATTGTTCATGCTTTTTTCAGTGTTTTTTTAATTATCTTGGCTTCTGGAAGTCTCTTCTATCTTCTTGCACGACTCAAAAAGTAAACGTTTCGCGTCGTGGACATTTCTACAGGAAAACAAATATACCTGATGAAAAACAAATATCAATACGAAAACGAGTTTAACGAAATAGTTTTGTCGCAAGTCATTTGATCTATTATCTGGAAAATTAGGAAAAGATAGTTATCAGCAAATGCTTGATTTAAAATCTGTATATGCTTATCCTTAATAAACCAGAGAGGTAAAAATTGCTTTCGACATACCGAGAAGTCTCCCCATTCCCATTGTCCAAACTGTCAAGAGCTTTTTGTAATTCTGTTATACATGGTTGCATGTTTTCGACAAAATTTCCATCTAAGGATAAAGGCAAAAACGGTTCACACTTTGTCATTAATAACACATCTATTTTATGTGAAACAACTGGTAGGTTACTTTTTAAAGACCCGTTCACACGATCCAAATTTGTCGGATTCGTATGATTGCTGTTCATATATATTGCAAATCAAAAGACTATAAAACATCCATCAGAAATGAATTGGATCTGACAGAATTGGATCATTTTGAAATGATCATTTGTATGGAAATTGAATCAAAGAACTTTGCCGATATATGCATGCACGGTTTAATACAAACAAACAAATCAATCCATATACCATGCATAACAGTAAAAACTTTGCAAATTAACTTACTATCGATCACAACCCACAATATATATGCTGCTGCTTGGTACTCTAGTTCCTTCAGAGTTCCGACTTTAACACATTTTGTCAACTCTTCAACCAAAGTCCTAGAGAGAATTAATTAAATTAACATGAGAATTACATCTTCCTTTCTTAATTTCAAGAGTATTATGAAGAAGAGTAATATCCAATGACTCAAAAAATACCGCATCAAATGTTTGGACTTGCGAATTATGTCAAGCAGAAGACTGCAAGTGTTAGGGAGAATATCCATTTCACTTTTACACGTCAATGATGGATTCTATATAAGAAAGAAACACCATGTTAGCAAATTAAGACATTTGTTAGAAAAAAGAAGCAAAAAAGGGATTATATTATATTTGCTACACAGAAGATGGTCATTATAACGGTTCTAGGATCGGAATTTGGAAGTTTAGACGGGAGTGAAAGTAAGTACATATAAAAAAATAATTACAGGTTTAAAACGATGTAAACAATATTTAGAGAGATTATACATATGCCAACGATGCAACAAAAATTCTCGATCCAAGCATATACACGAGGAAAAAAGGGTAAGAAAACATTTCCTTATTTATTTTTCACAATCCTACTTCACAAACCTGATCTATAGCAGATACCAAATCTTTCAACATGGCGTTTACAATGACGTGAAGAAGACTTTCTTTCACATTTACTGAAGTCATAGGATTATTCTGTAAAAACATCTTAAAGAGTTCGATCAAAACTGGGCGAAGAGACATTAAAATCTATAAAAAAATATATATATACATGTATATTAGTATACTTAATGACGAATCAGCGCCGGATTATTAAAATCGTGCAGTTACTGTATATGATACAGTGGCAATGAAAACAGTGATATTAACTTTAGCTTCATTGCTCTTTATAACTAATTAAGTGATACCAACAATTTGGTATAGAAAAGAGATTGCAGAGAGTAGGTTATGTATTGACATAATAATACCTGGCGCTCTTCATGATGACAATATGTTATCGATGCATTAAAAATATTTTCCAGCATTAGCTTGATTGGGGTAAAATCTAAATCAACATTATCTAAAGAAAAATTATACTAGAGTGTTATTGTGGTAAGCCGAAAATATCCTATTACCGATAAAATTAACTTGCTAAATAACCTCGTTCGCCTGAGGCAAACGGATCTGATCGTGGTGCCTGGGGAAGTGTTACAACAAAATACAGTATGTATAAACAAATTATTCTGCGGCTGCAGCTACCCATCATGTTCCACGATGAACCACGATGAATATATGAAACACGAGGGAGCAAAATGATCTGATGTCAATGTTTACACACCATCTGAATAAGTAATGCCTTGAGCAATTTGGTACACCAACTTTCCAATTTCGGGTAACAACACGATCGTTTTTCCTGTAGAAATATAATATAACGATTTTTTGAGTCGGCAATTTTTTTTATCTCTGCATGACAGTCTTACACTTTCACATGAAGACTGAGCGTCCTATTTACAAAAATTCGAAAAAAAAAGTGAAATCACATCAGTCTATAGCTAATTTATTAAGTTATCGAGTTTAAATATTCTGTAATGTCAAGGACCGGTTGTATATCAAAAATTAGGTAACGTTTAACGATATGTTAGTGCAAAATGAGCCAATCAAAATCGCGTATTTTGGATTTAACCACTGAAAATATTGATACTTTAATATCAATTATAATAGTTCAAACCAACCAGCCCCTGGACTTTATAAAGAATACTGTAATGTTACACACCAAATTTCAGTAAAGACGAGGTAAATATCGCAAGGGACATGTTGAGTTCATGCTTGCTAATTCCAATCACCACGAGCTCTGAAAACAGGATCATCACGTCCTAGAGAGATAACAATAGCCGAATGAAAGACCGTGACCGTTACTGCATTTGGTAATATTTCCATATAATACCTTCAAAATGGAAATAACAAACTCGTCTGGTTGTGATTCATGATATACACTTCTCTGTCGAGATTCTGGTTCTTCTTCACTGTTTCAAATAGTAATAATAATTTAGCGAATAAATTATTGTGAAGAAGTTAAATATTTGAAATATTAAATAGCTATACCCAGTTCTTTCATCGAGAGATCGTAATAATACACCATCACACCAGTTTAGCATATTCTTGAACGAAACAATAATATCATTATCACAAGTCCTTTCTTCCTCACTTGTTTCTAGGTCTTGCTTCTCCTGATTGGATAAAGATTTTACTTTAAAAACTTGAAAAGATTAACCCTTTCAACAATTAACGAGCCTAGTAAATGAATTAGTTGCTACTGCACGCCCACTATATGTAAGACTATGCAATGTCCACCAAAGTTCGAAACATTTTCTAAGCCAAAGAGGAACAAGAATTGACTCCTTACGTGGGCGAAAAGATGAATTTGCATCCGAAAGTAGCTTTGAAAAGCTTTGCTTAGAAAGTCTTTTCTCTCCGTGCTGTCTGTATACGTCGTATAAACTGAAAGATATTTCTCGATACACCTCTGAAAAAAGAAGCAATGTTATAAATAGGGGTTCAAATTCATTATACTCGTGACTGTCTTTTAAATTAATACGAAAGAGTAAACAAGTTATGATGGTCGGTCACCATGAACACACATAAATGTTAAAATAAGAAAATTGTACCAAAGAGCTTTTCAGGGTTTCTGATAAGACTTCAACATCTTCTTTACTTTTAGCATCAAATATAAAAGAGCGACATCTTGGACTGGTCTAAGCATATAATCGGGAAACTTTCTCACTGAAGAGCACGACCCCAGAATTGCTTTTCGTTAAAGAAAAGCTATCAATTTAATAGTTTAAAGCCACATACCATTATCCAGTCAAGAAAATCCAGGCTGACGGATGATTTTGTTTGAGGTATCGAGAAACTGACATTCTTTTTTCTTCGTTTTGTCGCACTTGACTAAAATTAAATATTCTATGAGCATAATATCATTGGTGTCAGCAACCATAGCTCGTATACAGTACATTAGGAATATTCTTCAACTTTTATATTTTTTATATATACCTTCATCGGGCTTTCTTGTAAACCAGATTGTAGTCTGTCATTAATCAATTCAATAACATCCTTCGACTGACCCCAAGAACAAACGCATTCAATCAATGGACCATATACGTCACGTGGTGTCTCGTCATTCATTGAAGAGAGAATTGAGGTAAAATGATGTCTACACAACGAAGCAAGAAAAAAGTAATAATGGTTGATCCATTCTTTGATAATCACACATACGAATAACGCAATATTACTTTATTGTCAGCTCAAAAATACCTCTTATATAATTAGCTACAGAGTAGATTACATGTCTGGGGTAAACAGAACGAGAATGTCGAGAGAGAGAGAGAGACATGTTACAATTATTTTCGAAAAAAATCTAATGTGGCGAACCTTAACGGTGGAACAAGTTTCGGCGACAGATAAGCTGCCAATAAAGTAAGCGAGGAATGACAACGATTATCCTGTAATAAAAATTGAAGATATTTACTGCATACAAGAAAAGTCCAAACTAGCAAATCTTGCTGGGATTTTCGTCTTTTGCAATTATAATGCATGCGACGAGCAAATACTCGGATAAGACACGACACCGCGGAAATTGGTAGACTTAGCCGTAATTCTCAATACTTAGACTTTAAATTCGGCAAGCTAAAAGATTTATAAATACTCAACAAAATATCTCTTGCACAAAAGATTTGAAGCTTGCACACGGCAAAAACAAATCATCTGAAAATGTCTGAAAATGTCTCAAAATGGCCATTTTACGGTGGCAGATGCAAACGAAGAGCCTTCAAAAGTTTTCAAAACCGATATTGGAAGAAAAATTGAACTTGTTTTCAACTTATTTGATAGTATTTTCTTTGACAGCAGTTTCTGAATACTAGGATTCAAATGTGAGCAACTGATGAGATATTTGACTTCCAACACCAATTTCTGCGGTGTCATAAGACACATTGAAAATTGTAAACTAGTCTATTTTAAAATATATTATTACTTCTTCTTTAAAAAAAGCAAAGAACAAAGAGGTGAATGAATGAATTGAATTACTTGTACCTTAATACAGTTGAAGAGTTTTGGAATCAATTTTGCAAATTCTTTGTTGAGATTCAATTTTAGTGTTTCTTGAGACGGCTAGAAACATGATTAATAAACAATTGCTATAGTGATTTGCAGGGAGGCATTGAAAAAAGTATGTATATTCTTCCTGGCAAGCATGAAAAAAATATGTGTATTCTTCCGATCACAGCAAAGGATTATTCGAAAGAATTATAACACGACGCGACAAAAAATAAAGCAAAACATGACAATAAAGCGTTGTACATACGTACATGTTCAACAGTTAAAAGGTGTAATCTCTATGTCAGGTAACAAAAACAACCCTAGCTGTCTTGGTTTAAGACACGACAAACCTTATCGAGTTGATCCTTGATGCCTTCCCATACGATAACGCATGTCTCCAAAAGACCAGCAATTGTTCCACAATCATTGTCGTTGTTCCAGTGCTCAGTCTCCTCCGGCTCGTCTTGAGAGGCCGCATCATTTTCTTTATCAACAGCGTCTAAAAAACACTCTGTCAATAAACGTCTTTCACAGCAAAATTATAATCAGTATAACCAAGATGACAAGATTATTCCTGTTTTTGTATATATACAGTTTTATAAACTGAATAGAGATCAGTGACACGTATATGTCACTGGGTCGAGACCATTCATACTTTCATCAAAGTTTTGGAGAACAAATCCATACATTTGGAGAACAAATTCAGTTTGCCGTATAAAAATAAAAAACTCAGCCATCCTCCTATTTTTCATTACATTGTATTTCAGTATTGAGCAATAATGGGACAGACGTGCACAACTAACCTACCTCGCGTTTCATTGTTATTTTCTTCATCTGCAATGGCGTTGTCATCGTAAGTTGAAGATCTCATAAGATACTTGCACACAAGAAGAAGAAACTTAACTACAGGAAAGAAAAATGCTCTTAAAAACATCGCAGGTAAAATTATGTACGGAATGTGGGTGCATGTGTATTCACGGACAATGCACAGAGACAAAACATAAGAAAACATCGCAGGTAAAATTATGTACAGAGTGTTTGTGCATGTGTAATTACGGACAAAGCACATGGCAAAAATATAAGCACCTGCTGTTGTTAATGACATCTGTAAGTGAGCATATTGATAAAATTTTCTCGCTGCTTGAGCATTTGCTTTCCATAATCCTGCACAACGATCTAGCTGGAATATAATACAACATATATGGAATATCCTGGCTACCAATTTCTGTTTTATTTTCAAACTATTTGTACAATTATGTAGGAGAGAAATCTGTGGTAAAATTTTTTGAAAAATTTCGTACCAGGTCATTACTCTCTTTATTAGCTGGATGAAAGGAATTCATCAACAACTTAACAATCCGTCGAATGACAGGTGTTGATTGCTCAACTTCTAAACGAGCCAGCAAATGTTCCATGGGCACGATAGCCCAAAACTAGAAAAAATAAATAAGGGTTACCAGGCAGGAATATAAATAGTCCGTAGTTATACTTTTGTCATTCCCACCTGTCAAAATGTATATTTATAAGTTTGTATAACAACTTTTGCTTCATTGAAATAGTTTTTTCTCAGTTGTATAACATGCTGTAGCAATGTGGAGGAGATGACAGAAATAATGAAAGTCTAGAAAAACGAAAAGAGAATTTTAAATACCTTTATCGACCTCATTCCTTTTACTTTCAATAACAGATCAAGAAACGCAATTCTAACACTCTCCGAGTTATCGTGAAGTAGATTCTTCAAGCTTGGTAACAAAGATTTGAGCAAAGGATGACAGAGACGATTGTCCAACACGTACTTCACACCCTGTGAAAAATACGCAAATAAATAGACGGATATATTAACGAAAGTTTATGGAAGAAGTAATAACGAGTTACTCATCACATTACTACAAAAATCAAAATCAAAGCAAACCTGGAAGACTGCTACTCTGACAGCAGATGATGACACGTCATAAGCTAATGTCTCAAACTGCAAAATATAAGTATGAATTCAGGCCAGGTTAGGGAGAGAAACCAGTGATAAACGAAATAAGTGATAACGAAAAAGAAAACTTGTAACCAAAAGACCGTGAAAAAATAGCGTGTGAAATCATCAGAAATTTTGCAGAATTCTCAAGATCGTTCTCAAGGCAAGAACTACGAGGTGATCGAATTTAAAACAGTGTTAAATACTTTTAAATATTAACATCTTTGCCTTGACACTTACTATCTTGCTAACAAGTTCCTTGACAACATGCGCTGGTATCACTTCCCAGAATAACGCAACGATATGAAACACACCATGAACTGCAGTGGCTCGAACGTCTGGTGACGGATCATTTAAAAAATCCTAATAATGTAACACAAAATACCGTCAAAAAGTGCGCGTAGTTTAAATGTTTGTGAGTAAGACGACTGAATACCTTAGTCGATATAAGAAACTATAGGCTGATAAAATAAACGACTCACCGCAATGACCTCGAATTGTCGTTGTAACAATTCATCTGATTGGGCAACATTTGCGTTTGAATTGTTCAATGGAAATACGTCAAACAAAACAGCCGCAGCATTAGCGCGAACACTGGGATTTGCAACCTAAAAGATAGAAAGAAATTTTCATTACATATTCCGGATTACAAATTGAAAAATTCCTACCATTGACTAACCTTACAAGCTCTCCATATGATAGGCTCATAAAGTTTTAATAAAACCATATCCACTCCTGGATGCTTCTTTTGCTGATGAAAATATCCTAAAAGCTAATACCGTATAAACGAATACTTTAAAAAAAGATACCGTAAAATAACACTACGGTATAATGACTCTTTATATTTGTCCACCTCCTTTGAATTTCATCAGTGAGTCATTTGTATAGATGCATGCTTGGCAAGGAGATGGAAAGACCATCCGATCTCATCACCAATCTTAAGACCACCTGTGTATTGTACCAAAAACGAAAGACTCTTATTTCAATTGTAGCAATGAATTTTTCATGGAGTTGCTGTGAGGCTTACCTTTTTAAGTCTAGAGGCCATCGAGTTTCTACCAGTTCGCTGAGCATGAACTGCATGAAACATCAAATCTTGAAGGCAAAACACTTCAATTTTCTATTAATATAAAAAGCACAATTTTTCAATGCGTCTTGGTCATTTGCATCACCATGCAAGTATGTGAAATGTGCAAAATATAAGTCTTCAAATATATACTTATTTTTTTTCTTTACCTCAAGATATACATCTTTTGCGGCGCGCCATGCTTTAAAATAAATCTCTCCGTATACAACCAGTGTTCCGCTGCAAAGTTACGAAATAAAATTATAGTGCATTTATTATTTAGTACAGCACGCAAGCGGACTGAGCTCACTCAGTATTATAAATCTGGGAAGTTGATAACTGCACCTATGAACGACGATAGGGCATAACAAAAACGCAATTTCTGCAACTGCATGCTAACATTTTTTGGACTGTTAAAACAAGTACTTAAATTATTAGGATATTAGAGTAGTTGCTACGATTGTGGGAAACGCTAGCTGTATATTTATATACATATATACATACATGCAAAAACCTTTGATCAATTGTATTTCAAATTCACATGATAAAAATAAGACAAAGGGATAATTTGAGTGCTTTGATTCAAAACCACGCATGGACAATTTTATGGCGTTTCCTGCTATGAATTTCCCTCTTATAGCTGTCAGTTTAATATTGAGGTCAACTAGCATTACGAAATGTCGACGTTGTCATCATATCACCGTTTACATATACCTGTGTTGATTATTTTCAATATTAAAATGTTCATACTTCAAGCTTACGAACATAAATGCTATTCATTATTTGACTGTGATGGCCGAGTTTGCTGTGCAGTGAGTTTCAATCCTTTGATTAAAGTATGCAGTAATAAGAGCAGTAACTGTGTTGGTATGGCATGTCTAAAAGATCGTGACTGCCCAGGATATCGAGAATGTTGCGACAATAAGGTTTGCACGAACGACGTAGAAATATGCGGTTGCAAGTATGTTCGTGATCATGTATGCAGAGATGACGACAAAGTCTGTTGTATACCACATCTCAGTCTCTCGAAAGAGAAACGACTTTGTAAACACAAGTGTGAATATCATCCTTGTAGTGCTGACTACGAATGTGGTAAAGATGAATGCTGTAATCGCAATATTTGTTCATCAAATTGTACTCGACTACGGGAATGTGGCGTTGAGTCAGACTGTTCAAACGCATCAAAATGTTGCGAATCCAACGAGATGAGTGGTAAAAAAGCGTGCATGCCAAAATGTACTTATAAACAATGTGTGACAGATGGCGATTGTGCCGAGTTGTCTCTGTGTTGCGGAGACGAGAAACTGTGCAAAAAATGTAGAAATTCTTCTCATTCTTTGACAAAGTTTATAATCATATCTTGCGTTCTATTGTTTGTCATAATTTGTTCACTTCTTGTTCTCACGGTCTGCTGTACACGGAGAGGACGATGCGTCTTGTTTAAACCCAGGAGCCATGAAGAAGAGACATTCGAATTACACAGTGAAACTGTGGCGGAAAATGACGCTCCAAATGAAAACCTTCCTCCACCACCGTACTCTATACTTAATCAGCCTTTTCCAGCGTCTCAGAATCAAGAATTCCCACCATTATACAGAGCACAGGGAACCTAATGTAGCTATATACCGAAGTTTAAACTAGGAAACGAAAGGACAAGACGAGACACTCGATAGTGTTTGCAGTAATATAAATATATATGGCTTGACATCATTCAATATACACGACATGCAATTTTTTTAAAATACTGTTACACTAGCTTCCTTAATTGTTGTGTTCCAAACCACTCAACCCTCTTAACGTAGCATCTCGTCTCGTTTGCACGGGAATGAATAGAATTGTTACCAAAGGTTGATAAATTAAATGAATGTATTTTTAATCATTTCAAATCCGAGCAATTGAAATATCGTAACGTTTGGATCACGTGATAGAACATTCCAATGACCAAATCAAACATCACATCAATTGTCAAGTGATGTTGACTTTCAAACAATCTGTTTATGTAGCGTCGTTTATTATTCTTTCATTAATTGGAGAAACTGTGCAAAATTGTTTTGTAGACAGTGATTGCCCAAATAATAGTTATTGTTGTACAGTAAGTCTTCATCCTTCCCGGAAAATCTGTCGTGAAAATTGTGTTAATAAATTGTGTAAATCGGAGAAGGATTGTGGCGGCAGTCAGGAATGCTGTACGTATTCACACAAATGTACCCTATGGAAAGCAGATTGCGACTGTCGACTGACCGACGTTTGTGAGAAGATGGATCTACATTGTTGTAAACAAAAACTATTGCAACAGAAAAGTGTTTGTCGACGTGACTGTATTGATGAGTCATGTCACGAAGACCAGGACTGTGCTCCAAATGAATGTTGTAGCAGATCATACAAATGTACTACAAATAAAATGACTTGTTTAGACGTCTGCAACACTAATTCAGGTTGCTTGAACAGGATTCGGCCATACTGTTGTGGGCATCGTTATGATAGACGATATTGTTCGAACACTTGCGTGGGTTGGCCATGCAAGTCAGATAGCGACTGCGGTGAACCAAAACAATGTTGTATCGACAATTACTGCTCAAATTCCAAATGCACAAATGAATTTTCCTCTTGGAAGTTACTTATAATCTCGGCAAGCGTTGTGGCCATTATAATTTTTGGTACAATTGTTGCTATAATATGCTACCGAAGAAGAACGGGGCGCCGATGTGTACTGTTGCAACCAAGAAATCGAGAGGAAAGCATAGAATTACGTAATCAACCACAAAACGAACCAACAGAATATATTCCCCCACCACCATATTCACTACAGGATGAACCATTCCCAGCGGTAAGGAATAAAGAATTCCCACCAATATACAGTCCACGGGACTTGACAACGTGATATAAAGTAAAGCATCGTCAATGAGTCAAATCATTTATTTATATTTAGATTTATATAAGAATATAATAACATTTGAATCCGATTAAAGTATAACAGAAGGAAACACTCTTAGATTCTTCCTTCTTATGGAAGTATTGCTGATTAGAATTAGACCGCCATACTAATCGTGGAGGTAAAACGGACGAATATAGCTAATACTGAGTGAAGCATAATATCGCTGAATTTTCGGTGCAAGGTTATTATATATTGAAAGTAATAAAAAAAATGAAAAAGAGTTTGAAACAAAGAGAAGTTTATTGTTAAAGATACTTAAATTTAGTGTACCGTTAAATTGACCGGTTTTGTCCAAGAAGATTAATCATGCAAATTAGCGATACGAACATTCTTCTTTGTTTGAAATTATGGTTTAAAATTAAAATACGTCCTTTGTATGACATCGTATGAAACTTTAACCTAGGGCTAGGCTGCGCTTTTTGAATTAGACTAAACCGTCTGCAAGTACCGGAGATACACAATACAAACATATTTATATAAGCATAAAAAAACTTACATTGGGCACGATGGAATTTGTTGTTTGATTACTTTGTGAATTTCCTCGGTAAATTTTGGATGCATACCAAAAAGGTAACTCAGGAACCTCCGACCCTACATAAGAACAAAATTATATAGAAAATACAAGAAACATTTATTTTAATTGGACCCTTCCCTCCCCTCCCTCCTGGCGAACCTTCCTTCTCGTGAACATTAATCAATTTCAATCCCGAAGATTAGGGATCTTCTATGATTCGGGAGGGCAAACAATGAGACGAAAAAAATGATAAGAAGTTTTCTTACTTCTTCTACTTTCAAAACAACGGGATGAATGAGGCATTGTAGAAGTGAAGCCTTCAGTGAACATGAACTTTCATCTTCGAAATCCATCAACAGCAAAACTTGACGTAAACTCCAAAGACGTTTAACATCGACCACCTGGAATGAAACAATCCATCCAGCTTTACGCATCTTGAAACAGTAATCTGCAACTAACGTATTTAGACAGTTTCAGCATAGACAGTTTCAACATACTGCATGTACACCAGTAATAACGCTGATCTTGTCCTCAGTTGATAAACAAAAGATCGAATTAACATGTTGAACATATAATATAAGAGCAAGATAAACGGATTTTGTGTAATATCATTTTTACAAAATTTTCGCGACGCTTTGCCTCTTTTTGATTGATATTTGTCAGAATTCTTTGATTTGATCCACCGATTACGAAATAGCGGATGGACATTTTAGCAGAAATGTGACATACTGCTTATAGGGGCATGCCATAGAATAGGGCATGCGCAGTCTTTATTAGCTATTATTATTAGCTCTGCAACTTGTAGGTAGGTGCAATAGCAAGTAGTGAAACATATGGTCCAAAACTGACGTTCAGAAATACTTGTTTTAATCGGACATATCCACATCTCAACCCCCTTTATTCTAAGGTCAGCAAAATATACAGCATAAGAGTGGGCAAAACTTGGTCACAGTGAAAAATTCTGGGTTATCAGATCAATAGCAAATATATGTTTATAGTGTACCTACACACTAATTATACTTAATTGTTTGTCAGGAAAAATCATAATGCAATAAAAAAATTGAAAGAAATATTTTAAAACATTTAAATTATACCCACCATGCCTTGGGCAAGAGTTTTGATAATAAAAAATGGTAACATAGAGGTAACTAGTTCCTCTTTTCCCTCTAATCCAGCAAGAAACCTAGTGAAAAATACAATGGGTTAAAAATTAAACCAAGCGAAAGTTTTACCCAGAATATAGGTTTCAAAATATGAATATAATACAGTCAACTATGTAATATAAACAAAATAAATGAATGGAATGGAGCTTGAAAAAATACATATGAAGTTAGGCAAAAAAACTAGTGTTAAGAGATGGAGAAAAGACAGATGGTTTGACCCTTAACAAAGAAGAAAACAAAATAAATTGCCAGAGAAAAAGGCTGTTTAACATGCAGGTCTCAGGTGTATTGGCCCTAGCTGAGTCCTACTGTATGCAAGTCCCATTTCTCCCCAACAGGAAATTAAAACATTTTAAAAATCTTACCAGGTTTCACAAAGATGGGCAATTGATAGTTGCAATTTACCACAGTTTTCCGGAAGAGCTAACAGAATTCCTGCATACAAATATTAAGCGTGAAAATATAAGGAAAAAGTCTTCACATAGTTGCTTTCATTTTGAAATTACCTTGTAACATTACTGCTACTTGTAATAATGGAGCAATTATATTTGGTTCCTCTGTCTTCACAGAACATAAAGCCATTGTACTGATTCCAATAAGAACGTCATCATGATGCCCAATACACTAGAAATGGATGGAGGGAAACAAATTAAGCAGAATCAGGATTCCACCAAGTGTTTCACTATGTATTAGGCTTGAGTAAAACACACCAACAGCATACATGTTTCGACAACGTCAAGATGTCATCAGAGGTCTGAAGATGATAAGTTTTGGGGTAATGGCAAAATTGATATCAAATTGTAATACCTCTACTGTATTACTATCTGGATCCAGGTCAAAGGATGTCAGGATTTTGGTACATATTTCACTCAAACCACACCACATCTCTTCATATTGTTTACGAGACAAGGATTGAATAATCTCGGCCAAGTTGAACGGATCATTTCGAGAATTCTTAAAATTGATTCAATGTTTATAAATACATTAGTGACACATCCACCTTTTCACACTCGAATATTGTGGTAAATCTACACACATACTCAAGCGTACTCTGGATTTCAAGTATAATACATACATGTAGTTTAATAAACGCAACGAAATCATCGTGCTTTCCCTCCTTTATCACATCTAAAAGTTCTTCCCTACGGTTAGTCATCTTTCATCTTTGTTTTCTTTTCAACCATTTCCCGCCAATTCCTGTTGCGGTGTTGCCACTATGGAAATTAGACTTTTCGTGTTTTTCGTGTTACGATCACGGGTTCAACCTCGATGAACCTCGATGATGATCATGAACCGTGAGCGATCCAATGAACGATCAAGATTCACCATTCACGAATTAGGATCCAAGGGCGGAAGGTTCGCCTAATTTTCTTGACGAGAGAATCACAATCGTGTATTGCGGTGTGGATAAACAACATCAATAGCTTTTTCTTTTTTCTTTCGTTCCTGATAATCTATATGACCGCCTGGATTGCCACGTTATTGAACGTCGCTCAAAGCGGGATGCCAACCGCTTTCCAGTATGGCTCGGATCATGGTTCTGATTGGTATATAAGATTAAATTGGGAATTTTCATCTGTCGCAAATTGTTTCTTAAGTTCGTTATACTTCTATACTCGCGACCTCACTCAGTTTCCTCTCCCCTTCCTTCTCATGTGTCCGCATTGTTCTTTTTCATTCGTCTTCTGCGTATACTGCATACAATACGTTATCTTAAATATAGGCGTATCACGCAATAATGAGGCTCCTGCGGTGAAACACGTTTCTGTCCTTTATTCTGACGATGTTTTCCCTTCCATTAGGTGTCTGCATTGTTTTTTTTTCATTCGACTTCTGCGTATACTGCATACAATACGTTATCTTACATATATGCGTATCAACGTAATAATGGAGCTCCCTGCGGTGACACACGTTTCTGTCCTTATTATTCTGTGGCGCGCGTCTGAAAAGAAAAGTCATTTTTATTTAATGATCATGGATCAACTAGATTGTAAAGAGCAGAGAAACCAATATCCGGTATCATGGCAATCTCAAAAGAGATTAATCATTCATTTCTGAGGTAAAATCAAAGTTAAAAACGAGGCGAACGCTAAAATTTGAATTGCACGAAAACGAACAACTCTTCTCTGGTAAAATGGACAAAGAAATATATATGGCGCCCCAATTTTCATACCGGAAAAATTATACACGCAGGACTGCATTTGAGAGGTCATTTGCAATGATTCAACGTCATCCTATTCACATTCAAATAAGCATTTTACCCGATGTCACTGTTGACAATGCGTTGAATATACGCCGCTAATCTCAATGTATCAAGACCTAAGGCAGAAACAGGCACAAACCCTTTAGAGAGTTCTGCTCGACGTAATGAAGAGATTTTCATTAAAAGGTTTTCTAAAAGAAGAAAAGGAAAACAAGGAGTATTTGATTAAGGTTTTAGGAAGCGTGTTATGTTCCCATCCAGGTGCTGAAGAGATTTGTCGCGCTATTGGCGAGAAGTACACGGCGAGTCGAGGAACAATTGATAAAATTCCTCGTCAAAATATGACTATATCTTCAAAAGGAATTCAACTTGAAAAGGGTCTGACTGGAAGTGAAGGTTCAATAAAAAAATTCGTGATTGAGAGAATCGTGTATTGCGGTGTGGATAAACAGCATCAAAAGATTTTTGCTTTCTTCTACCGCGCTCCTGATAATCTATATGGCGGCCTGGATTGCCACGTTATTGAATGTCGCTCAAAGCGAGATGCCAAACACATCGCTCTAACGTTCTCCGAAACATTTCACCAAATGGCAGAAGAAAAGAAACGGGAAATTGGGGAAACATCCTTAGATCAACTTAACGTCGTTCGCGAAAGGGCAAAATCCGTGTCAATGATGCAACTACACTCGTCGATTGAAAGTTTATCCGAGGCTGACAGTTGCCCTGGTTCACCTAAAATTGAACGCAGTGTAAATTCTCGTAAACTGAATTATTCGGAATTACAATTACATGTGGCTAGTAGATGTGAAAATAGTTCTGGTTATGGCGACTCTTCGGATGATTTAACACACAAAATAAGTTCTAAAACAAAAAGAAAGAAACACAAAGCGTCGTCGTCGGAAAAGACAGTTCAATTAAAGAATAATAACCGGAAAACTTCAGACATAGGCCAGGTGAAAATGGATTATGTAAATTCTGAAATTGCTTGGTCTGGTCATGTTCATAAAAATAATGATTCGTCTGATTATGGTAAAAAAATTGAACACGAAACACTTCTCTCGGGGGAAGTCGAAGAATGGAGTGCACAGAGAAAGGACAGAAACGATAATTTATGTCGAAAAAAATTCACGATAAACCACGAGTATATGAATATGAAAAGAGAGGCACCTGAATAAAATTGTACATTTCGGCATTTTTTATTATATGATACTGAATATTCAATAATATAAATTAATGTCAGCGAAAAAGCTGTATTCAATTTCATAGTCAACATTAATTAAAACTTAACAAGACACTATAAATTTTCCCTAAAAAGTAAATGAATATTTTAAGTGATGAACTATATTAAAAATCCCAAATGACCAAAATGATATTACATCTTAATATATTATTGTATAAGATTTTAATAACAACTTTGATTTGATAAATTAATATAAGATTTAATCAGAAACAGTTTCCTTCGGCTAAACGTTTGAAATGCCACGTTTGACATGCATTTGAATATTGTAATTCTTCGGCCCTTTATATGTTCCTGTTTGAGTCAGCCAATCAAACTATATAGTACAGTATCTACAGATGACATGCAGATAAACATCTAGATTAAACCTTTACTTTTAGATAGCGCAATGATTGAAGCTACTCAAAACAAACCTCTAACAAACTCTGTTTCTGCTCATTATATTGAAAGGGTATGTAATAAATTTGTACAAATATCATGCATACAGCGTGAATATTATATACAACTCATTACTTTGTTTGCAATCGACTGAATCGAGTATACGATGCCTGCCTGTTCATTGCAAAATGTCTTTAAATTGCTTCTGGAGAGATCTCCATCCAAATTTAGAAAGATCAATCTAAAAAAATGAATATGCCTGAGCCCGAGACGAGAGAATAGATATTAACTGCATACAAACAGAGCTAGGATTGGAAATGCAGAAGATTAGTCTCAGGCAACAATGAAGTTTTGAATGGTTCATAAAAGGACCAAAAAATAAAATTTATTGTAATAAATTCTATACCAACCTGTACTTTAGTTTGACGTACTAATCTTGGCTTGGCAATAAATTGTTTTAGTCTTTTAAAAAGTTGTACCTGGGTATTATACAGACATTCTTCTGAAACAAAAATAGACAATAAACTATAAATATGTTATTCTTGCATGGTGACATCAACAAGTAAATTAGCTTTGCATGGTGACATCAACAAGTAAATTAGCTTGTAGGTACACCACGTACAATTTAGGTACATCAGTGCAATTTTCAGATTTAATAGTAGTCACTTAATTGCAGTGATGAAGGCCCGGGTTAACGGACCGAAAGCTATGCAGTATTAAATACTCACGTGGAGTACCAACAAACTAATTTACTCATAAATATGTTGCGTTACTGTAACCATTAGTATTAAGGACAAAAACATGCAATTCAACGTTTCGACCAGGTACGGATTTCACTTGTAAGTTCAAAAAACTGTTTCCCTCCTTTCATAAACATGCACATTTTAATGCTGTTCTCCAGAACAGACAATAATATGGATTATGGACATAATGCATAAATTGACTTTTTGTGTCCATATGACATTAATTTATTCATGCTATGACTTATTGATACTTACTAGGAAAAAGCTCAGGGTACACCAATCTATTAGGACATAATGGGAAACACTCACAGCACACTGCTTCCATCCTGAGTGATGAAAAATATTTAGATCGTAAAATTAGGACCGCTTGCATGGTAACCAGCTGGTGTGAGGGCATGTATATGACCTTTTCACATTTCACTTACATTGCAACACCAAAGAACTCGTGTTTGGCAGTTGAGACTACAACATCTGCATGTTTTAAGACATTTAAATAATCCTCTCTAGTTTCTTTAAACCCCCAATTAACGATGTGTTGAGCTAGCTTGTCTTTTGCCACAGAAAAACTTTCTAGAATTTATAAAAAGAAAACTATTACCATGCAATATTTATAACAGTATAATAATATTCTCGATTGCAAGTAATTGCACTGATGAAGGTCCGGGTTAACGGACCGAAAGCTTTGCAGTATTAACTGCTTACGTGGTGTACCTACAACCTAATTTACTTAGTAGCTAATGCAGTGATACTTAAATTTTGTACACTCTTCCCAACCCTTGCTCCAATTCCAAGATCCATTAGCTTAATTATCACAAAACTACCAGCCTCGTGTTAATGTATACTAGTGCAGTAAATATACCTGGGACCTCTTTGAACACCTGCCCAATAACTGAAAGATTAAACGTCATTCCAAGCTCACACAGTTGAAACATTGCGTTGAAAAACATGTCTGGATCTTTATCATGTTCCCTGTAAAAATGAAAATTAACAGATCATAACTGATCATTACTGTGTTTTCCCTGCACATAGTACCGGTAGTCCTGATTATCGCTAATGGTTAGCAGTGCACCTGTGCTAGCTAGAACCCAGTGAAACTGTATGTAATAAGGTTCTGGTAAACACAGAAGTAATTCTCCGTTCTCAACTATGATGCCGTTGAACTAAGTTGGTTGTTACATACCAGCGATGAGGCCAAACGATATGAAGTGGTTCTTCTGTAGGTGAGATTTCTGAAGGAATCTCTTCATCCTGTAAAATAGGATTGTAACAAACATTTAATCTATTCATTCATCAGTTTGAATCATGTGTCGATCATGTGATGCTAAAGTCTACTCGATCCAAATACAGCAGATTAAAAAACAATTGACTTTTAAAGAAAATAAATACAGTGCATCGTGATTGAATCATGTTACTAACAAGATTCCACGAAGAAGGGGGTGATATTTATTAAACAAAAAGGAAAACAGCAGTAGTTGTCACTTCTCTCTGTTAGCAGACATGTGTAGCCTACGCATGCACAGGACTTAAAGATGGCCTAAAGCTGATATTACTCGGAACGATACGAAATCTGATTGGCTTAGAAACCCATCGATACGAAATCTGATTGGCTTGGAAACCCATTGTGCTAAATAATCGTGGTTAAATATCGTCCTGTGACTCCGTGTAACATCGCGGTCATCGCCTTAAAGGTTGGGAGAGGAAGGGGTTGCAGAAAATGCAGTGTATTGATAATTGATCTATATTGATACCTGTGACCTTTCGTGTTCCTCGTCATTCACTGCATCGTCCGTCGAGAAGATATTTTCATCTATTAATTTCACAGGAAAATAAAGCACAATGCTCTTTGACCTTATCGTATTCTGAATGTCTTTCGGACGAAAATCAGGCATTAACTTGAGGAACGATTCAATTGAGTTAAGAAAGGAATCCATGTTAAACTTTGAATTAAATAGAACAGTATCTGCAACAAGACTATAAAAATATTATAAGTTAAGTCATTAAGAAACCGTCTCAGGGCGTACTGAAATTTTAGGCCCTGTCCACACGTAGCCGGGTTTTTTAAAAAACGGAGATTTTTTCCTCCGTTTTCAAAAAAATTCGCGTCCACACGTAGCGTATTCGAATCGTTTTTGCCCGTCCACACGTAAACGCGAAAACGAAGGAAATATGATAGCATAATGATAATGCCCAGCGTCGAGCATGCGCATTGCCTAGCAGAATTAATTCTCCACTCTTGTGGTAAGACAATTCGGCTTAGTCAATCATAACTACTTCACTTAGAAAACTCGTTGAATTCATCGCGAAAGAAATCATCCCTACGAAAATTTATTTGATATAAATGTACCAGGCGCAATATCACCGCAATTATTCTCTCAGGAAAAAATAAATCGTTTCTCACGACCTACCATGATAATATTTGATTGTATCCATATTGAAAATCCCTATCTTGCTGTTTCCGTACTGGATAAACCAGCTGGTTTTCGTGAAAATACAAAATTTTCTTCAATAAAGCTAAATCTGGTCTCAACGCAACTAATTCTGCTAGGTTAAGAACTGAACTCGAAAAAAGAATCCTAAAAAATGGATAAAATTATTAAGACAACTGGCATAGTAGATCCTTTTTTTCTTACGCTATTGGTTAGTGTTTTCCTTGAATTTTATTTCAATTTGTTTATGTTTTTTTTATTATGTCAGAATCTGCATGCAGATAGATAGATTCATTACTAACACAGAGTACCAACACTTGATCAGGCCTGAAGTACTCTGGTTTCAATTATTGTTTCCCTGTATGTTCCTCTCAGCCTCAGAACCAGCGCAGCATGGTCAATCAAATCATGCAAATTGAAGCAATGCAGGTTTTGCTGATGGTAAGCAGTGGGGAACAGCTAACAATCTTGTACCAGTTCAAAAATGTACCAGTTCATATATGCTATGCTACCAGTTTTACATCAGTGCCAGTGGGTTCCCATGATTCATTTTAAACCACTCTGATTTTTTAAAGGTGCAGATATTAATTTGTACAGTTCATAACAGTCCAGAACAAAAACATTTGAAACTACAGCTGGAAATTTTTATTTTTTATCAGTATGCCACATAAAGAATTACAGTTGTATGAATATGTAATCTTAGATGGTATGTATCCATTTTCTAGAACAAAGATGAAGCCAATTTCACCTTGTTGGATGATATTACAATTTCAAAAAAGATCATTCCTTTGTAAATATCATCTAACATTGTGACAAACTTGCACACTGAGTATTTGTTTTACATGCAACTTCATGGATTACCTGTATAAAGGATTAGCTGGTATATTTTGTGACAAATACAAAGCACCTGTCCTCATTCTCCAGTGCCATTTTTTTGCTGGTAATGTGAATAAGACACAGCCAGGAATTTCCTCTAATAATAAATCTACTAATTGTTTATGCGAACCTCCATAAAATGGTTCAACTAAAACAATGCTTGGTTCTGGTATATTTTCTTGATGGTCACTGGCCATTTTCTTTTATAAATTGTCACATAATACCAGTCTCTTTTGCACCGGTGTATCCGCCCCCCTACACAAAGCTACTGCTACGCCGGTTGGGGTACAAGGTTGGTCGGGGGGGGTTGTGGTGGTCGCACACATGAGTGCATACGCCGGTGGCATACCCATGCTGCACCGTGACACGTTGCGGGCTTGCGGCTGAGCGGCTCTTAAACTTCCGGTACATAAAATGGCGATTCATAAGATGAGCATAGAATGACTTCGACACAAGGAGAACCCGAGTTTCCTTTTGACTCGGAGGAGGAGTATGAATTGATACTCGGGGAAAGTTTTCTTTCAAACCGGCCCAATGCAGGCTTTCATACGATACGATGTAAGACATTAAATTTTGTTGGCTATTTCAGAATACAGTATTTTCGTGATTGTGTGGGGAATTCGATTTTATGTGACGTCACAGAATATAAAGAATCGAAGTGCACTAATTTAAGTTGCTATCCTTTTGTTTCGGAATTATATTTGAGCATTCTTGACTTGAATTTTACGTATTATGTACGCATACATACATCTCCTGAACTAGTTTTAAAACTGTAAATTCACAGATTTCAACTTGTCACATTGTTTACATAAATAACTGAATAGTATACTGCAACATAAATTAATCCACGAGTTGAACAGTAGTACAGCACTCTACCAAACCAATTTTTCAACATTGTGTACTACCATAGATGATTTTAAACCAGCATCAGTTGATACATCACAATCAGGAAATCTTGATGTTGGGAAAAATGGTGAAGTAAATGTTTCTCTTCCCAACACACAGGTATTGCGATTAAGTCCTATTCACTTTAGTTACTAATGGTGGGCATGCCTATGTGACTGGAGCATAGCCTTTTATAACTCCAACTATTCAGTAGAATATACTACTTTCTGTATTTGGTAATGGTGAGTAACATAATAAAAAACAACTAATTAATAGAAATTAATATAAATATATTCATGACTGTATTCTTTGTAGGATTCAGGAACAACTGTTTACAGGGGATCTAAAAAACCCTGTCCAAAAGAATGCATTCTGGTGGTTGATAAGGAAAAGAGAGTGAGGAAGTGTTATTGTAAACATGTATATAATGTGTATTCTGATTGGTCGAAACCCGTGTTTGGATCAGGCCACCCAAACACGGAAACCAATAAGTAATTGTTTATTCCAAACAATTTCTAAAACTAAAATTTATCTTTAACCAAATATCTAATGAAATCAGGAAATAAAAACCAGGAAGTGTGTAGTTGTGATAACTGCCCCTAGATACATACACAGTAGGCAATTTTTCATTGGTAATTCTTTGAAATTAATTGTGGATCATACTTCTTAGACCATCACACTGGAACGTTTAGCCAGCACAGTCCAACTGAAAAAAATAAGGTTAGTTTGTGTACATTTTCTTCTCCCTGTGTCTTTTCATTTCAGTCACTAGAAATTATTCCATGAATATCTTCTTATAGATCAGCATCTGGCAGCAATGCAAAAGCTTCATCAAGTCAGGGTTCACAACAAAATGAAACATCGCTCTCTCAAGAAGATATAAATGTAATTTATTATATCACAATATAACTTTTGTTAGCAGCTACATTTTGTGAAAAAAAATTATTTAACATCAGCAAAAAAAAAGTCATAAAACATTGTATCATAAAACAATAGCTTGAAGACATTGCTGGTTATTCAACATATTGTTGGTTGAATAATTCGCTATCACGAATTTGGGCAGTGTCTAGTAATTACAATACGAAAAGATTTTCATATTACAGTATGAAAACTTGGTCGGTATTAATATATAGCAAATTTGGTGTGCAATATCTATTTCAAAATATGAATGTTATTTTTCAGACCTCAACTAAAGCCAGTGATACTAGTTTTAACGTCGAGTCCACCGGAGGATCTAGCAATAGTTCAAGTTCAGAATCGGATTCAGATCTTGAAGATGTTGATGAGGAAGTTGCCTCAATTGAACAGCAGTTGCATGCATCATTGATAGAACAGACAAATGAACAAAACAAAGTAGTAAACGCTAGACCCGAGTCTTCTTCATCGTTCAACTTATGTGAGTATACTTTAAGAATTCATTACAATTCTCTACATGGCGCTGATCATGGCTCTATCATGATAGTTACTAAGTTAGATCGATCGTATTGGATTGCCTATCCTGGTAAACGAAACGCACAAACAATTCAAGAGGTTCATACTGTTATATTACTTATGGGTTTAATATGACTGGTATTGGAAAGTGCCCCATAAGAGTTACATTTTACACTGACGCTTAGTATTCTTTTTTTTCTTTCATAGGTGAAGATCTGGAATTGAGCGAATCTGGAAGTGACAGCGACTGAAAACCATTGCAGAATTTAATTTTGTACAGTATTTAAATCCATAACGGACTCGGAGAAAGGCCGATGATGTAGCTAACATACAGGCCTGAGGGTTATCAAAACTATCACATTACACTGTGGACTTGCCGATAGCGAGTTAACAGTAAAGACGAAAGATTTTGAATACATCATGTAAATAATGGGAATATATAAAGATATAAATAAATGACTGGCTATATGAATGAGATTTGAATTTAAATAGCAGCCAAACAATAATCGAAATAGGTAATATTTCGGTTGAATGGGATCACCAGGAAAATTAGTGGATATACAAGCAGTCCTTTTACCTCTTTTAAAAAACTCGCATTATACCGTCTATCATTTAAATTTAGGGAAAAGAAATACTTTTCTAACCTCGGATTTTGTTATCCCAATCTTTTTTCCAAAGTAGACTCCGTCTTCTTCCCGCAATCTCATGGTGCTAGATTCAGTAGATTGGACAGTCCTATGCCGAGGTAAAGTTGTCATTAAAAAACTGCAAAAAATTAAAAAACGAATTAATGCTTCCCACATTACTGTGCTAGCGGCTTGAATTATCAACACGATGGCTTGAAAACGGTAATGATTCATTTTATCTGCAGACTTTGAGCAACAATTGGCAATAATAGGGAGCTATTTACTGGAGCCCGGTTACGGGTTACCCGAGATTCAACGGAGTGTGAGAGATTTTGAGGTATTGGAAGAAGTCCTTGTGACAGCAAACAAGCATAATTATGCTATTTTTAGGATGACTACACCATTCCCAGGATCATGGTATACATCATTTCAATACCTCTCATTTTACGTAAACAGGCCCTAACACATAAAACTAGCAACAGGTAAAGTGTTTGCAGTTTACCTCTGTTTATCTCACATCTCTCTTAACTACATCGGGCATCTTTTTTTGAAACATTTGTGTAAATGAAAGAGTTTATTTCCTGAAGGATAGCAAAAAAAGAAGACGAAGCAATAGTGAAATGACGAAGACTAATCTCACCGAGACTCACTGAGTTAAATTTAGATTTGACCTTCAATTAAAGGATGATCCATGCAGAGCTATTCAATTGAAAATGGCTGAACTGAAATTGGCCGAATCTCTCTGGGCCAAAGTTTTTTTAGTTTTTACCATCTCTCCCCTTATTTAACTCGAGGGTAACTGAATGCATGTGACTTTCGTACCTAAATAATCAGAACTATTATATAATAAACGGCACACCAATATATTACCATATTTAATTAATTGCTATGCAAAGTTGTGCTCAACAGGAGTCGAGTAGTTCGTATACGACATCAGCGTCAAGTTTCAGGCATATTTCAACAAAGATTTTTAAGATTTATTAAGAACCTTAAAATGAAGGATAGTCGTCGAATTTCATCGCAACACAATGTCCAGTCTTTGAGACGTAAAGCACAAGAGTTTTTCCTGATGGATACAATTGAGAATATACTGAGATCAAAACCCACAGATGTGATCGTTGGAGCTTTCATTGCTATATCGATAACTGCACTCACGTTTATTATAGCCTTGTTCTGGGGGAATTATACAGTCGCTATGTTGGTAGTATTTATATGGATTATGTCGCCTTGAACTGCAGTGTTAGAGGATACTTTGACCACACATTTTAAACCGCAGCATATATCACAAAGCCGGCGGGATAATAATTCTGGCACAGCTGCTTGGACAAGCAGACGTCTATAACGCCGGGAAATTGACAGACGACGGAAAAAAAGTAAACGATTTGGTTTTTGGATTTCTATACATTAAACTTTATTGTATACATCATTGGAGTTTGTGTTCTTTTAATCAAAATGAACAAAACTTTGAAAATAGCTGGAAATATTTGTATATACAACCTATGTTTGTGTAAATATAAATTAGTACACGACGAAGGCTCTTAAAACTTATGAAGCATATCTAAAACTGAATTGGCAATACTCTCAGTAAAGGCTGTAAAGCTACTACCCTATACGCATGGAACTCTATGCAGCACTGGCACAAAATTTACGGTTGCATGTGCAATTATTAGAGGCTTTTAGAGCGCAGACACACTCAAACGAGAACAAAGCGTCAGGAGCTTTAATTTTCATTTACATGGCAAATTGGGTAAATATTTCGTGAGAGATCAAAACATCAACGTATCCAATTTTAATTAGGAGAGGCTCCGAATTTTCGTGGTACTGCATCTTAGGGTTCAGTAAAGCAGCTCTACAAAAACTTTTTCAGCAGATCAACTGATCAGTGTAAGGTGTAACACCTGACGTAAAACACGCGAACGACCTGGGCTGACTGAAAAGACGGACTGAGGGCACCTGACAAAAAGTTATTTTGGATATATGCCATATGTTAATTCAGTTGGGTTATCTGTGGTTATCTAGAAGGATGATTGGGACAATGTGAGACTAGCCTAAAGGCAAAATTGCATGTAATTTCCTTAATTTGAATAAATATTCTAATATTATTATGATACATCGGTACCCATGGCAGGGCATTTTACCTCATAATTGCAAGAGCAAATACTTCTATAGGAACTGTTTTGCCTGAGGTAACCACAACTTATTTACTGTGTTTTATCTCTTACATTACCTTTACAATTTGACCGCCGTAAGCCAGGTTGGTCCCTGACTGCCTGCATGCATGGGCATTAGGGAGTTTAAGATACTGATGACAACGGACTACCGACTACGGTTGAAACGTTTTTGTCCACTGCCTGCAAATACTAAATACTTATCATTTCAAATTCATCCCAGGTGTTTTTATACGAGAAAACCCCGTGTTTCGTAAGTTTCAAACCTTTGCAATCTCCTCAAATGCGTAGTCAGTTTCTTTACTACGTTCTTCAGAACTACGGTTATTATGTCGTATTCGAGGTCGCTGCTGTAAAGTATAGACAATATACCATTAAGAACTTGTAAGCCCCGTTCTGGGTGGGTGTTTCGGTGATTTGTCAAAAAACCACGGCAAAAGTCATCATATGACGGATAAGTGTTCATGACAGTAATACGATTTAAAAAGGTACATATTGCAAGTTCCAACGATAACTACATATTAATTGCTTGGTTATATAAGGCAGAAAACAATATATTCTTATGTATGACCATGCAAGTCGAGTTTTTATATACAGTGATAGGTGAGCCGGCCAAACGATTTTGGGCAAAATTGCAGCAAAAAATTGCCTGACTGCTGGGTTACAGAGTATATAGTACCGATTTTCCCAAAAAATAATGGTTGACATTTGAATGCAAATTGTTTCTTACCAATTTTGCGAGAGAAATTTTTACCAGTTTACGAGAAACCTCGATTAAAATTTTAAAGGTTGGTCAAATTTTTGTGAGTGTTAAGCCAGTTTTGCCAATTTGTACAAAATTGGGATCAGTAATAAAACAAAGTTTGTTGGTAAAGGCCAATGATTTCTTGCAACTTGCAATGCAATTCTACTTTTAAGAGATGTAAATTAGTGCAAAGTATTCAAAATGTAAGTGTAAAAACGTCCATGGAGTGTAATTCGTTGCTTAGAAAAAGAGAAAGAAGAGAAAGAGACGCCAGAACTTTATTGTCAATGGAGAACCATCTGCTCTGCCAAATCGATGAATATATTATATATATGTGATAATACTGTGTGTATTTTCAAATTATTTGCATATTCTGCACTATATAGCACATCAAAATCCCCCGTTGAAAAGAAAGAATGGCCATCACTTTCACAAAAATATATATAAAGAGAAATAAAGAGATTTAAAATTTGCAAATTTGATATGCGCTAGAGATACACATCTCAGTTTATTATATGTGTTATTGAAATTGATGTGCTGTACATAATGAGCATTGTATATATTATTTATATTTTATGAAGAGTCAAGAGTATAGATTTACAGACTCCAACGTATCTAGTTCTTTTGCAAGTGAATATACAAGATCATTGTGAAATGAAACCAAACGTTTTACCAAGGACTAAGAAACCACACTGCTGGAACAATTATTGCCAAAGTTATATCTTTAGTCAAGACAGCGACTAAGATAACAAACACATTCAAAGCGATTATTATGCTAGTTGCTCCTTGTCGGTATTTTTCTTTATTAGGATCGATCATTTGGTATATAGCGGCATCCATTTTGTCGACTTTACTCAACTTTTGTTTTCTCCCTCCTTTTGAAGATTTACCAGCTCCAGCTGCCGTCCCATACGTTTGTGATAATTTGTCAATGGAATCCAACATTTTAACACAAACTTGAAACACAAGGAATACCGATAACCGATCAGACTCGAGGTTGCAAGATTACCCTCTGAAGAAAGTGTTATATATGCACTTTGAAATACAAGTCAGTTTTCAGTAAACGTTCGTAAAAAAAACTTCGGGGAGTCTCTGCTTCTGCATGTATAGCTTTGAATTACGATTTAGCTACAGCTTTGAGCTTCCAGCTGCTTCATACATGGCGGGCCCCATACAACAATTGCATGCCTTTGCATCTTTTCAATCATTTACGAGTTTGTCAAAGCTACTTGGTTATTCTAATCTAAAATCCAATCTCTTAATACATAATGCAAACATAAGGCAAACATTGTTGAATCTCTTGACGTCGGATAAGTGAGTGAGTTGAATATTATCTATCTCAATGCATGGTAATGAACGGAGAGAATGGCAGTTCCGTATGTCAGTAGTTCCTGCAACAATAATGCAATAATGCTCATTATAAGCCGGCGGGGATAATTTCAAATAAGCATGCAAATTAAATGTCTTAAATAAATAAATACCATGCATATTGATAACGTGGCTCACACATGTAGAATTAAGAAATGAAGAATGCTTAATTTACATCTTTAAATTACACGACAATGACGACGAAGCGAATTAACACGTAATGCTAAAGAAATCAGAAATTAATAAATTCCTGTATTTCAATTTTTTTTAAATGTGCATGTTCTCTTGATTCAAACAACGGCGCAGTACTCAGTACATTAAAGTCATGCCAAATGAGGTTGGTAAAATGAACACTGAAAACATTTGGATTGTCTCGAAATTATGTATTTAATTATACAAGTAAATTATTGTGCATGAAAAGTACCAGATGATTCTCCTGAGAGGATATATGCATATTACGTAAATTATAAAATTAACGTATATGTATAGTTTTACTACAAATTTCTACGAATGTATTATACAGCTTGACTGCAAGTACTAAACTGCTAGTTCTCTACAAGTTTCCTATATAGATTTCTTTATATACTAAGGAGTTCTTTGTTTCATTAACGAAACCTATTGGTTTTGTATGGTGCGAATTTGTTATACAAAAAAGGAATGTAGCTGATCCATGCATATTGAGTAATCTGTAGGGTGAAAAATCATTTTGCTGCTAAGCTGGTTATGAATTGAAAACATTCATCTACAATCTCTAATTCTATGAATTATATTTTAGTGCGATTTGCTCGCGGGTGAATAATCTACTAAATAATCAGTACGACAGTGAATCAAATATGTAATCGTTGCAATTAACTGAGTAACGATCAAAATATAAGTGAAGATTAAAATCTGCATGTGCTTTCATTTTTTCTGTCGTCATCCAGATCACAGAGGGCTGCAAAGAATGAATAGAAAACGAAATCACGGGAAATGAAGGAAAGAATCATAACAGAAAACATGCAAATGAACAAAATCATAGAGAGAATAAATCGACAAACTAGGGATCCAAGGATAGTGCAAAGTTTTCATGCCCTGTAATACCTAAGCAACACGTTTTCCCAACATAAACATTTTGACCTATGCCAGTAAAAATATAATGAACTAGGTTAAACATTAATCAAAAGGAAATTATTCAAAGTACTCAAGTTACGTTAGCCGCGGATACTGTCACTATTAAATTATAATTTTAGTTGCCCATGTAAACCGGACGCGATTTTCTCAGTTTAGTCTCTTTTCTTCGTCAAACAACTGTGACTACATGATGGCAACAATTTATCGTCATTTCATAAGAATAGCCAAAATAGTTGCGTTGTAAATAATGTAAATAAACCGCGGTGCATATTATGTCTATGATGTGGATACTTCGACGCGTAGCTAAATCGATACAAAACAATATACATATAATCAATACTGTATACCGCCAAAATGATTTGATTACTGCACAAAATGTCCGTTTTGTATAGTATCATTTATGTACTGTATGCAGAATACCAGGTATCGACTTGCTATATATCGACATAATATATATTCGTCATTCGTGTAAGAGATCTATCAATACATAAACAACACAGCGTCGTTTCTTCCTAACCTCTTATGAAGCTCTATTTATGGAATAAACCTTCCAAATTATATTTGTGTCGAATTGAATGCTCGTAATTCATAACATAAGTTGATAAATTGCGTAGATTCTCAAAGAATTGCACGATTTTTACGCTCGGAATGTTTTGAAGCAATGCTCGTCGCTCCTCGTTTCTTTACATCGTGAATAATGTTGAAGGCTCGACGGCACATGCGCAGTTGCGACGTATAGGAAAAAATCGGGTGTTCCGGGGGTAAATCTGCGCAAATCCCTTTGAAACAAAACCCAAACCGCGGAAAAGCAATGCTTTAAAATTTACAGTAACCGTCAAAATTCCTCAATATTTTGGTGAACTTAGCAAAAGAAATGTAGAGAATTAATAAATAAAGCAAGTTAAACTGATTTAAAAACTTTAAATTACTGATTATATACAAAAAGCTACTATACGCATAAAAACACTCCGCCCCCCGGAGTTTACACTATGACTGATTGACTGTCTGACTGTCTGATGTGAATTTTCGCCACTCACCACAATACTGCAAAGTTTCACAGAAACTTTGCACTAAAAACGAAATCATAAATGTATGCAGGCATTTTGAAAATAATGTTACAAGACAAGCATGCAGCTTTTTAAAGGTAATTTAAATATCTTCATATTCTTTTAAGACCCATAATCGCGCACTAGGTAGAATTAAAGTAACATCAGACGGTTTCTGCCTTTGGTTGTATTAACTTACGCAACTGTGTGATTCCGTTCTCTGAACAACTGGCCTAGCAGGGGCACATTCAGTCTAAGTTATATATGGATTGTCCTAGCAAGATAGCGTGTTTATTGTGCATGGTGAAAAATATGCCATGCAATGAATGATCGATGCTACTGTTGCGCAAAAAGTAGTTATACGTAGTGCATGGCGTGTGCAGGTATATCTTATTACGCAATAAATGTGCATGATTGCATTGATTTGTCCAATTGCCCCCCTTGGAATCATATTTCTTCCTGCATCCATGCCTATAGTAAAACTATAACCATTCTACAGTGAACTAAAACTTACAGCGCATGAATTGTTTCTTCAACACCAGCAGCATTGTCATCAAAGGTGGTTGGCGAAAAGGCCATATCCTCATTTTCCTGAGACCGCACTGCTTTTCTCTGAAGCTGCTCAATATCGAACAACACTTCCTGGAGAACTTCCTCTAAATTTTAGAATTAGATATTTAGTATAATTATTCCTATTGATATTAAAGAGGATGTAAAATGAAGGGGGTGAAAAATGATTATTTCATCCCATTATAACTTGAAAGCTTAACGACTAATCGAGTTATACCTTGGAGGTTAGAGAATAACTTATCCTTCAAAAGCTCCTTTGCAGTCGGGTTTAGGATTTAGCATGCGTTGCAGCAATCTTTTCAATCTCTCGGGACAATTATTTGGTATTTCAGGAATTTTGTCACAGCGGACCTAAGAAAAAGTTCAAACTATAAAACGGTGAACCGGTATAATGCAACCTCTAGCTAGACTAGAGTATTTCTCGGCAAAGAGTGATTAGATATCTATTTCCCCTCTATCGTTAAAAAAAGGTGTTCAAAATACAGGTATTCCAGATTATGGTTAATTTATAAAAAGTAATGTTTACACATACTCATGGTTATAATTCGGGTGCCGGATCAGGCTCGGAAAAATGGGTAGAAATTACGAGTGAATAAAGAGAGTGTTCCAGAAACAAGGTCAATAAACATGTTCACGAGAGCTTAAAATGACTATAGCAAAATGCATGGTGATATTCATACACCCGTGATGCGAAACCGTCTTAATTTCTCAACCTCCTTAGTTATAAACATATATATGCTAAAGTGTAGAATTTATGTATAACCTGGTAAATAATTGTTCCCATTCCGAAGTCTTTCCACGGATGGGAACCTGTCAACAAATATAATACCAGGCAGGCAGCTGCGTATATATCAGCGCTGGTACCATATCCTTCCTCGCGACAAATCTCCGGAGACATGTACGGCGCAGTACCACGAAGGCCGTACTTCTTATTCTGAGTCAATAAATTGACTGCAAGTCCAAAGTCACCGAGTTTCACGCAGTTGTGACCAAAAAACGTGTTTTCAGCTACAGAAAATAGTAGAAAATTCCTAAATATAAGGTCTTCCTGGGAGGAAACGGCAGTGGTGAAATGAATTGCACTTCTTTGTCGAGTGCAGGTGGGCGCCGTACGGCTATTCTATCCGATTTGAAATGTAATCTCACACACTTCCACGAAATCGTCCTCCTAAATATTTAATCATCAGCATGACAATGAATTCAAATATCTTACGTTTTATGTCAGCGTGCACCCATTTTTCACGATGAATCAAGTCAAGACACTCCAAGATTGGTTTTATAAGTGCAGCAATTCTTTCTTCAGTCAGCCCTAACGCTTCACGATTATGACCAATAAACTTGAACGTACCTTAAGATGATAAATGTGAAGGTTTATACAACAAGCGAGAATGTAGTTATACAGGTAACAACCTTAGAAATTGTTATAGTTAAAGAAAAGTTTAAAATCTTATTCATCAGCATCTTTATACAGTACGCGAAACAGTGCTTTGTTTCACATCAAAAGATTCCGACTCAAGTTGCCCTTCTATCATTCTACGATATCCATCACATACCATCCATAAGCTCCATAAAAATATAGACATCGTTGCCATCATCATAAGCTCCTAGTGGCGTGATTACATGGGTTGGTCTAATCTTAGACCAGATTTCCAGCTCGATGAGATCAAAGTCTCGACTCTTGATCTGAAAAAGAAATTAGTACAGCCGTTATTTAAATAATCTGAGGAGGAAAACACATGTAGAATGAAAGATGATGCATTAATGTCATTAACACCGCAATCTTGTTCGGTATTGTACTTCCTCTTCTAGCCTATAAAGATTTCACAAATCTCACAAACTAGACCCTAAGTTCTAACCAAATATATCTTAATGGTAAAATTAAATGCTGCAGGATTCTAAGGGTTCAGGTTCCTTAACACGAGTGTGCGTTGGGCGAATTCGTTCACTGAATTGGAAGCAAAACTTTTGTAAATTACATATAAATTTGATTTAAAGTTAAAATTGAAACGAATGTTTCTAAGAATCAGTCATAATTACGGACTACATTGTTGAAGTTTTCATAAGAAATTGCAGGAAAATCAATTTGAGCATTTTTCCTTGGCGTAAGCCTGAGTTATTCATTTCTGTGGATTCTAGGTGATGAATATATATAAAAACCTGAAGTTACCTTCTTTAATGCAAATTTTTTTCGAGATGCCAAGTCTTCAATCTCATAGCAAACTCCGAACTTTCCACGATCAATTACACGAAGAATGGTGAAATCACGGTGATGTTTATACAGACCATCTTTTCCATGAATGTTTAACACAGGCTAAATAAAGTAGGAAAGTTAATGTAGCTCATATTTTCTAATTAAGATGATTCATATAGATCTAATAAAAATGAAATGAAAAACTTACATCAAATTGTAACAGGATTGTATATGGTAATGGCCTATAGCTATCCAAGGCACTTGGTCCATTTTTAATTGTCTCGTCAGGTTTATTTCCAATCTGAAAATGCGATGTTTCACCAGCATTCATTTCCAAATGATAGGATGGATCCACTTGCATTTTGCTCCCCACTGCTGTGGCTGGTTCATTTCCACTTTGGCCATGTAAAGGTTCATGCCTGTTATTCTTGCTGCCTGGAAGGATATGCAAGCCTGGTAGACATGATGCATCCACTTCCATTTTGTCAAATCCACCATCTGTTGTTGTTTCCTGAATATTTCCACTCTGTTCTTGTGAGGCTTCACACATGTTACTCTTGCTGCCTGTGAGGATATCCAAACCTGTGTGATAGGATGATTCACATGCATTAATTCACTGGATTGTTTTTCTGCCTTTGCATCAGGTGTATTTGTACCTTGGTTATTTGAATCATCACACTTGTCATCTTTGCTATCTGATAAGGTCACAACATTCATGTCCAAGGGCTCAAGGATATCCATTTCCACATCTTTTGATTGATTGCTGTCACTTGGTCCTGATCTATTTTCATTGGAACTTAAATCTGGAGTTTCTTGATAAGGCATTGCTTCAAGGTGTGATTCTTCAGGGTGTGATTCTTTATAACTGCTTTCTTGAAATTTATCTATATTAGTATACAAAACAAAATGTTTATTTTACAATGAACATATATCTGATTTGGAATTGTGACAATGAGACTTTAACTACCATTTTGTCTACTTTTCTTGGGAACAACAATATCCAGATAATGTGGTTTCAAGCAGCTAAATTTTTTCTCAGGTGGATCATTGCCATCATCACCAAATCCTTCACCATTTTTTCCACACCCATTTCCAGTTGGGCTAGCTGTGGCTTGATTGCACGGTTTGTTTTCCTTTGCTACCTTCACTTCAGTTTTAGAAGCTGAGTTGTTGCCATTCCCACCAGCACATTGTGAAATTTTCGGATACTTCCTGGCATCATTTTTTCTCTCAAAGAGGTCTTCCTGTTTTTTTAGATCCTGGAACGTTTCATCTTTCAAGCAATTTTCAACTGCTTTCTTCTCACTTTGAAAATCCTCTTCTTTAACCAGTTTCCTAAAATAATGCCATAAAACCTCTTAGCAGCTAGGGAACTACTAATTTCTAATAAACCAACTATAGCTAGATTATTCACTATAGACTTCAACATATAATAGTTGACTCATTTTATAGAAATGCCAAGCTCATAATCCCTAATAATCACATAATTAATTTATCATAATCACATAATTAATATTTAAATAATTTAATTCCTTCCCTAAAAAGGCTGATGCAATATAAATGCCAGTACTCTATCATGCCTACTGTATCAATGTACTTATATTAGACTCACAATATTATATATCACTTTCATATAGACATATACACATTTGATTTCAAAAATCATACGGCGATATATGACAACATCAAGCAAAATTATTTAGAACACTTACTGAATTCCTGGACATTGTGAATCTAGTTCATTGACTTTCTTTACTCCTATAAAAATATCAGAATTTGTTATTTGATTATTCACATAGACGAAATGATGTTTCCCAGCATATTTTTCAAGAGCAACTCTATAATAACTTGACAATCAATTCCCAATAGTGAAGATATTTGAGGACTTTCCCTTTTAACTAATGCTACATACTTGCAAAAAGGGCTTCGAATTCGGCTTCAAACTTCTGCTGCAGTTCATTTTTAAGCAGATCTAGTTTGTCTTGTACATCTTTGCCAAATTGATGAAGCTGATCTTTCAAAACAGACCCTGCGAAGTTATAATTCGACGAATCTTTTGTATTGTGACTATTGTCATAATCAACATTGAAATTTTCGAATATCATATGTAGTATAGAGAAGGGGGGTTCTGGAGCAGGCGGTGCAGGCGGTGCACGATGCACCGCCGATGACGTCGTCGAATCTTAAATATTTTAATTTATTCAGGTAATTTTAATATAGTTGAGCACTTGAGCTTTTCCGGTTTGTTACTCAGCAATTTCGGTTTATTTTCATGCGATTTCGCTACCGTTTATTTATCTACATCGTTCGGTAGTGTCTGGGTACTTCATTACCGTTAGCTGTGTACAATTTTAGTTTATTTCACACAGTATATTGCTGATATGGTTACCGTTCATATATCTGTAGAGATTTTAAATTGCTGTCGTCTTTGTTTACAAAAGGTAATTTGTGAGCGCTACGGTGTGCGCTACTCCCACGCTATCTACAATCCATAGTTTATATAATTATGTCTATTTCGATACCGTTTGTTTACAGGTTTAGCTTATTTCAGTGTAGTCTTTGTTGCTGTTTGTTTATCCACAATTTCTAGTTTATATTATTGGGTTACTGGCGGTTTCATTTATTATGAAATAAGCTAAAGCTTTACTTCTTTCACTAGATATCTATCTAAATATCTATAATAATAGATATTTGATTTTAATTACTATTTTATATTATGAGTGAAAATGCAAATTGTACCATAGAACAGACAAGAACGAACACGTTCGAGCACGTTCAATAAATAGTTGTTAGTGCGCATGCGTGATACCTATTTCATTAAATCTTCTCCCACAATCAAACGGTGAAGGTTTTGTGTATATATACGGCGTTTTGATCAAAATTCGAAAACTTCATACGTCCTGCAAATCAAACGTCGATTAGTTTTTGCGAGAAATATTAAAGACAACTTAGACAAGGTAAGATGCATTAACTAAAGTTCATATATTATAAAATACTAAGATTTAGTTCAATTATTATGAAAAGTACTAAGAAATCGCTTCCTAGTAGTTGCTGTGCCCTTGTTGGCTGCACCTATGAAGAAAGAATCTGAGGTGCCTTTGGGAAAGTCATGCAACGAACGGAGAAGTCGATTCCTAGTAGTTGCTGTGCCCTTGTTGGCTGTACCTATGAAGAAATATCTGAGGTACACCTTGGGAAAGTCATGCAACGAACGGAGAAGTCGATTCCTAGTAGTTGCTGTGCCCTTGTTGGCTGCACCTATGAAGAAATATCTGAGGTGCCCCTTGGGAAAGTCATGCAACGAACGGTTTAGTTGGACTAAATAGTGCAAGGAAGCCGATTCCTAGTAGTTGCTGTGCCCTTGTTGGCTGCACCTATGAAGAAAGAATCTGAGGTGCCCTTTGGGAAAGTCATGCAACGAACGGGTTTAGTTGTTAGTTCGAAGAAATCGCTTCTAAGTGTTGCTGTACCCCTGTCGGCTGCACCTATGAAGAAAGAATCTGAGGGGCCCCTTGGGAAAGTCATTCAACGAACTAGCGGTGGTTGTACAAATTTTATTCAGTACTTCTGCAACAATAAGATGCTAAAAGTTTTCTGTTTATATTTAGTAGTTTGATTAAAAGTTGCCAATTATCATCGTGAAGTTGAAATCCAAAGAGTTGCTGTATTGAGGGTAGGTGTTTACAATTTCAACTAGTTTGAGTCACTGGTTTGAGTTGTTTCCGCTAGGGAATGTCTAGCAACGAACTGGTGGTTGTAGTCAGTGAAGTTTATTTAGGGCTGTCTTACGACAAAGCCATTACTTGCGCATGCGTGAGGTTTTAATTTTATTCTCCCACAATAAGATGCTAAAGGTTATGTGTTTATATTATGCTACAGGTGTTGACGTGTTGTGTTTATGTATCTATGGCTGCAGTTGCTAAATTGGAGAATTCAATGTTCTATTTGTAGAATGTAGTGATGGGCGATACCAGCTTTTTCAAATCGATACGATACCGCTTCGATACCAGACAATTTGTAGTGGTATCGATACCAAATTTCGATACCGATACCAAAGAAATTTGAGCCGTTTTTTTACCGTTTGTAATTTCATATACCATACCATAATGTGCATTTATTCACTCATATTTTTGGTTTTTCCCTTTTGGCAGAAATTATTTTGATTGGTAGCATATAATTAAAGAACTAAAGAACAAAAAAGTGACGAACAAAAGAAAAATAAATAAAAATTTTTATACTTTTTGGTAGAAAACGCTGACCTAAAATACTGTAGGCTCAGTATCGAAATTTTGCGACCACTTGGTCAATGGTCAAGTATCGATATTTAGTGCAAATCATAAATATCGGTGAGTATCGATACTTGGTATCGAAGTATCGCCCATCACTAGTAGAATGTCTTTTACATGCAAAACCTGCTCCAAGAACTTTACGCAGCTGAGAAGTTTAACTCGTCATGAACGGTCCGTGCATGGAGAGAAGAAGTTTGTCTGTGATCAATGCAGCGCATCCTTTACACGGAAAGATGATTTGAAGCGGCATAAGAAGCGGCACGAAGGAACGATCACACATATCTGCGAAAACTGTAGGAAAGAGTTTCACCGTCGTGATAATTTAGTGGGACATCAAGCTCAATGTCAAGGGAATCCTTTGAAAAGAGGGTGTGACGAAGACCGAGATGAAGATGATAGCAGTCCAGCTCCAAAGAAAATACGAGTTCAAGTTGAAGAAGGTGAGCCAAATAGTCAAGTTGAAGAAAACCCTTGCAGTTCCACTTCAGCTTTTGACGATTCCTTGAAGAAGATCGAGTTGAAACCGCGGAAAGACCAGAAACAGGACGTGTCCCACTTCTTACGTGGCAAGACCAAACCGATTTTGACCCACCTTTCCAACGAGTTGGTAAAGAAAAGGGGTATCAAATGGTTCATAAGCGTTAAAGTACGGTTCATCAAACCTAAACCCGACGGTGAAGATTTGACTACCGAACCCCACTTCCGTAGTCATTGTATGAAAACAGTAGCCCAACACGAACTCGATAATCAACTAGACGAAGCCAAGCAGAAAATCATCCAGTCATTGGTCATGTTTCAAAAAGAAGGAAGCGGTTGGATATTAGACGAGATCCTTCATCTTGACCTGAGCATCGCTCAGTATTCTCCAGTTAAAGGATCCAGTTATATCCCTCTACCCAGCAAGCTAAAGACTAAGAAAGCTATCATAAACGTGAAGAATTCTGATAACAAATGTTTCATGTGGTCTATCCTCGCCGCTCTACACCCAGTGAAACAGAATGCGGAAAGATTGCATCATTATCAACAGTTTCAAGATGAATTAGATTTGGCTGGTATTGAGTTTCCTGTTACTGTTGACAAGATTGAAAAATTTGAGCGTCAGAACAATATTTCTGTGAACGTGCTTGGCTTTGAGGATGTACTCTTTCCCATCTACATCACAAAGGAACACTTTGATACCCACGTAAACCTATTACTATACTCCCAGGGAACAACTAGACATTACTGCCTCATCAAAGATCTGAATAAATTACTCTACAGCCAAAACCGGAAAAAGGCTCGTATGTATTACTGTCGTTACTGTCTTCATGGATTTATCCGAGACGATCTCCTCCAAGAACACGAACCCCATTGCTCTCAACACGGTCCACAACGTATTGAACTCCCGAATGAAGATAATGCTCAACTGTCCTTTAAAGACTACCACAAGCAGTTGAAAGTGCCCTTTGCAATCTACGCCGACTTCGAAAGTCTTACCACCAAGATCAACTCAGTTAAACAAAATCCTGAAAAATCCTTCACTGAAAAATACCAACACCACCAACCTTGTGGATTTTCCTACATTGTTGTATCCGACCATGCGAAGTACTCCAAACCACCCGTTGTGTATCGCGGAGAAGATGCAGTCGACAAATTTTTAAAGTGTTTAGAAGAAGAGCAGAAATATATTCAAGAGAAACTGGATTGGGTCGAACCCATGCGAATTGAGAGAGAAGAAGAGCAAGCGTTTCAAGATGCAGTCCATTGTCATATTTGTGGATATGAATTGGGTTCTGATCGTGTTCGCGACCACTGTCATCTTTCAGGAAAGTACCGTGGGGCTGCACACAACGATTGCAATTTGAACTATAGTTTTACCGGCCGAATTCCTGTTATTCTTCACAATCTACGTGGGTATGATTCTCATCTCATCATGCAAGGACTCGGTAAACTCAAAGAGAAGAAGATCAACTGCATTCCAAACAACACCAAAAGTACATCTCCTTCTCCATCGATAATTTGGATTATATCGACTCCCTACAATTCATGAATGCATCGTTGGAGAAGTTAGTATCCAATCTAGCAAAGGACGGCGTTGAAAGTTCCCCATTCTCAAGAAATACATCGACAGCGACAAATATCCCTTCTGCTAAGAAAAGGTGTCTACCCCTACGACTACATGGACTGCATAGAGAGATTTGAAGAACCAATCTTACCACCGAAGGAATCCTTCTACAATGTGTTGAACGACGAACATATTTCAGACGAAGATTACGCACACGCGACGAATGTATTTAACAAGTTTTCCTGTCGGAACATGGGTGATTACCATGATTTGTACTTGACGTCGGACGTTCTTCTCCTTGCGGATGTGTTTGAAAATTTTCGAAGCGTATGCCTCAAAGCCTACAACTTGGATCCCTGCCACTTCTATACAAGTCCTGGTCTAGCCTGGCAAGCGTGTTTGAAAATGACTGAAGTCGAACTCGAGCTGCTGACCGATCCAGACATGTATCTATTCATCGAAGAAGGTCTTCGCGGTGGAATTTCAATGATTAGCAACCGTTATGGTAAAGCTAACAATCCATACATACCCGATTATGACCCAGAAAAGAGACTTCTTACGTGATGTATCTTGATGCTAACAACCTCTACGGCTGGGCAATGTCACAACCTCTACCCACGGGTGAGTTTGACTGGCTAACCGACCAAGAGATCGCAGAACTTGACATCACAGACGTTGCTGACGATGACGAAAAAGGCTACATATTGGAAGTAGACCTTCACTATCCCTCCGATTTACACGATCTTCACAACGATTATCCTCTAGCACCTGAGAAAATGAAGATTTCTTCAGAAATGTTGTCACCATACTGCCAGGATCTGTCGGAAAGTTTGCAACTTCGTGGTGGCGCTGTATCTAAATTGATGCCGAATCTTCAAGACAAGACCAACTATGTGGTCCATTACCGTAATTTAAAGCAATACCTGACACTTGGCATGAAGTTGACAAAGATCCACCGCGTTTTAGTATTCCAGCAAAGCACATGGCTAAAGTCTTATATTGATTTTAACACCGGGAAACGAAAGCACGCTGCAAACGACTTCGAGAAAGATTTTTTTAAACTGATGAACAACTCGGTGTTTGGTAAAACCATGGAAAATTTGAGAAGGCGCGTCAACGTCAAACTCGTCAACGACAAGACGAAACTATCAAAACTAATAGCGTCCCCTTCCTTTGACTACTTCCGTATATTCTCAGAAGATTTAGCGGCCGTCAACATGAGAAAGACGAAGCTTTACCTAAACCGTCCCATCTATGTCGGATTCGCCATCCTGGATCTTTCCAAAGTACTCATGTACCAGTTTCATTACGAGTACATGAAACGCAAGTATGACTGCAACGCAAAGTTGCTGTTCACAGACACGGACAGCCTTTGTTATGAGATCAAGACCGACGACGTTTATCAAGATATGTTGCAAGACATCGATCTCTTTGACACGTCCGAATACGCGCGAGACCATCCATTGCACAGCCTGACGAATAAGAAAGTCCTCGGCAAGATGAAGGATGAAACGCACGGCATACCCATACAAGAGTTTGTTGGTTTGAGACCCAAGATGTACTCCATCCTTTACACAGAAAACGACAAGCAAAGTGGAGAAGAAAACTGCCAAAGGGATAAAGAAGTCCGTAACAAAACGAAAGCTCCGACATACTAATTACAAAGAATGCTTGTTTGAGAAGAAACGGACAATGGCTAGCATGAATCAGATTCGAAGTGAACGCCATGAAATCTACTCCATTACACTTAATAAATAGGTCTTAGTCCTTATGACGACAAACGATATATTTTAAACGATGGAGTGAACACACTTGCTTATGGACATTACAATGCAAAGTAATAAGAACTGCATATATCAGTACATATATATGCTAGCTATATTCAATTTCGTCACAGCCTATTTAGTGGGTTTGCACAATTCTCTATAACTTTTACAAAATTTTTTAGCTTAAGGGTGTATATTGCCCTAACGTGTACTATGTTTATTATGTTTTAAAACACTGAAATGCTTACCCTCTGTAAATATATAATAATTTTTAATATTCACAGATAATCACAGTTTGATAAAGGGTATATAGTATGCATGTAATATATGATAAATTCGTGTAACTATATAATTATGTAACTTGAATTTTTATGAAATATATTCCTTTACAAATTGCATATGACCTGTTGTGTTTTATAGCTAAGTCTTTCAATCTACGTCTACATACAAGGTATTCTGCGAGATAAAAAATTCAATAAACATGCTTTCACACCTTATCCATGGACGATAGTCGATTGCTTCGTTTGTTTGTTTGTTTTTAAAGAATAACGCATGTAAAATACACCAAACTTCATATCACGCCATTTTTTTTTGTTGTCTGCTTTGACATTACAACGACGTGGTTGCTGTTTCTTTGTAGTCGATCTTTTGGATGGTCTGTCTTGTTTGAGTCGAGTAAGAGGTTTGTCGGGTTGTTCATTCGGTTCTCTAACTTCTTTAGAAGCTCTGATATATTTATTAATGTTCACTTCCATATTTTCTTGTCGTTTTTAACTTTGTGCGTTTTCTAAATAATATTATGACCTGATATAGGTTTTGTAATTTATTGAAAATTGTCTGAAAATATAGCTTTTCAATAACCGTATACTTATTGTATATTTCTCTCGGACAGCCCCTTCACACAAACACTCCTAGCTTTTCCGGGACACCAGGGACAAAAAAAGTCCCTGAAGGGACACTTTAAATTTTCCAGGGACACCAGGGACTAAAAAAGTCCCTAAAGGGACACTTTAAATCTTACAGGGACACCAGGGACTAAAAAAGACCCTGAAGGGACACTTTAAATCTTACAGGGACACCAGGGACTAAAAAAGTCCCTGAAGGGACACTTCAAATCTTACAGGGACACCAGGGACTTTTTTAGTGATGTGCTGTACATAATGAGCATTGTATATATTATTTATATTTTATGAAGAGTCAAGAGTATAGATTTACAGACTCCAACGTATCTAGTTCCTTTGCAAGTGAATATACAAGATCATTGTGAAATGAAACCAAACGTTTTACCAAGGACTGAGAAACCACACTGCTGGAACAATTATTGCCAAAGTTATATCTTTAGTCAAGACAGCGACTAAGATAACAAACACATTCAAAGCGATTATTATGCTAGTTGCTCCTTGTCGGTATTTTTCTTTATTAGGATCGATCATTTGGTATATAGCGGCATCCATTTTGTCGACTTTACTCAACTTTTGTTTTCTCCCTCCTTTTGAAGGTTTACCAGCTCCAGCTGCCGTCCCATACGTTTGTGATAATTTGTCAATGGAATCCAACATTTTAACACAAACTTGAAACACAAGGAATACCGATAACCGATCAAACTCGAGGTTGCAAGATTACCCTCTGAAGAAAGTGTTATATATGCACTTTGAAATACAAGTCAGTTTTCAGTAAACGTTCGTAAAAAAAACTTCGGGGAGTCTCTGCTTCTGCATGTATAGCTTTGAATTACGATTTAGCTACAGCTTTGAGCTTCCAGCTGCTTCATACATGGCGGGCCCCATACAACAATTGCATGCCTTTGCATCTTTTCAATCATTTACGAGTTTGTCAAAGCTACTTGGTTATTCTAATCTAAAATCCAATCTCTTAATACATAATGCAAACATAAGGCAAACATTGTTGAATCTCTTGACGTCGGGTAAGTGAGTGAGTTGAATATTATCTATCTCAATGCATGGTAATGAACGGAGAATGGCAGTTCCGTATGTAGTTCCTGCAACCACGGAACAATAATGCATTAATGCTCATTATAAGCCGGCGCGGATAATTTCAAATAAGCATGCAAATTAAATGTTTTAAATAAATAAATACCATGCATATTGATAACGCGGCTCACACATGTAGAAAGAAATGAAGAATGCTTAATTTACATCTTTAAATTACACGACAATGACGACGAAGCGAATTAACACGTAATGCTAAAGAAATCAGAAATTAATAAATTCCTGTATTTCAATTTTTTTAAATGTACATGTTCTCTTGAGTCAAACAACGGCGCATTACTCAGTACATTAAAGTCATGCCAAATGAGGTTGTTAAAATGAACACTGAAAATATTTGGATCGTCTCGAAATTATGTATTTAATTATACAAGTAAATTATTGTGCATGAAAAGTACCAGATGATTCTCCTGAGAGGATATATGCATATTACGTAAATAACAAAATTAACGTATATGTACAGTTTTAAAAAATTACTACAAATTTCTACGAATGTATTATACAGCTTGACTGCAAGTACTAAACTGCTAGTTCTCTACGATTTTCCTATATAGATTTCTTTATATACTAAGGAATTCTTTGTTTCATTAACGAAACCTATTGGTTTTGTATGGTGCGAATTTGTTATACAAAAAAGGAATGAGCTGACCATGCATATTGAGTAATCTGTACGGTGAAAAATCATTTTGTTGCTAAGCTGGTTATGAATTGAAAACATTCATCTACAATCTCTAATTCTATGACTTATATTTTAGTGCGATTTACTCGCGGGTAAATAATCTACAAAATAATCAGTACGACAGTGAATCAAATATGTAATCGTTGCAATTAACTGAGTAACGATCAAAATATAAGTGAAGATTAATATCTGCATGTACTTTCATTTTTTCTGTCGTCATCCAGATCACAGAGGGCTGCAAAGAATGAATTAGAAAACGAAATCAAGGGAAATGAAGGAAAGAATCATAACAGAAAACATGCAAATGAACAAAATCATAGAGAGAATAAATCGACAAAAAACAAAATCATAAATGTATACATGCATGTTGAAAATAATATTATACAAGACGCTTGTCTTGTAGCTTTTTAAAGGTAATTTTAATATCTTCATATTCTTTTAAGACCCATAATCGCGCACTAGGTAGAATTAAAGTAACATCAGACGGTTTCTGCCAGGCTTCTGCCTTTGGTTGTATTAACTTGCGCAACTGTGTGATTCCGTTCTCTGAACAACTGGCCTAGCAGGGGCACATTCAGTCTAAGTTATGTATGGATTGTCCTAGCAAGATAGCGTGTTAATTGTGCATGGTGAAAATGCGCTGTCAAAATATGCCATGCAATGAATGATCGATGCTACTGTTGCGCAAAAAGTAGTTATATGTAGTGCATGGCGTGGGCAAGTATATCTTATTACGCAATAAATGTGCATGATTGCATTGATTTGTCCAATTGCCCCCCTTGGAATCATATTTCTTCCTGCATCCATGCCTATAGTAAAACTATAACCATTCTACAGTGAACTAAAACTTACAGAATTGTTTCCTTAACACCAGGAGCATTGTCATCAAAGGTGGTTGGCGAAAAGGCCATATCCTCATTTTCCTGAGACCGCACTGCTTTTCTCTGAAGCTGCTCAATATCGAACAACACTTCCTGGAGAACTTCCTCTAAATTTTAGAATTAGATATTTAGTATAATTATTCCTATTGATATTAAAGAGGATGTAAAATGAAGGGGGTGAAAAATGATTATTTCATCCCATTATAACTTGAAAGCTTAACGACTAATCGAGTTATACCTTGGAGGTTAGAGAATAACTTATCCTTCAAAAGCTCCTTTGCAGTCGGGCGTTCTCTGTGATCAGGATTTAGCATGCGTTGCAGCAATCTTTTCAATCTCTCGGGACAATTATTTGGTATTTCAGGAATTTTGCCACAGCCGACCTAAGAAAAAGTTCAAACTATAAAACGGTGAACCGGTATAATGCAACCTAGACTAGAGTATTTCTCGGCAAAGAGTGATTAGATATCTATTTCCACTCTATCGTTAAAAAAAGGTGTTCAAAATACAGGTATTCCAGATTATGGTTAATTTATAAAAAGTAATGTTTACACATACTCATGGTTATAATTCGGGTGCCGGATCAGGCTCGGAAAAATGGGTAGAAATTACGAGTGAATAAAGAGAGTGTTCCAGAAACAAGGTCAATAAACATGTTCACGAGAGCTTAAAATGACTATAGCAAAATGCATGGTGATATTCATACACCCGTGATGCGAAACCGTCTTAATTTCTCAACCTCCTTAGTTATAAACATATATATGCTAAAGTGTAGAATTTATGTATAACCTGGTAAATAATTGTTCCCATTCCGAAGTCTTTCCACGGATGGGAACCTGTCAACAAATATAATACCAGGCAGGCAGCTGCGTATATATCAGCGCTGGTACCATATCCTTCCTCGCGACAAATCTCCGGAGACATGTACGGCGCAGTACCACGAAGGCCGTACTTCTTATTCTGAGTCAATAAATTGACTGCAAGTCCAAAGTCACCGAGTTTCACGCAGTTGTGACCAAAAAACGTGTTTTCAGCTACAGAAAATAGTAGAAAATTCCTAAATATAAGGTCTTCCTGGGAGGAAACGGCAGTGGTGAAATGAATTGCACTTCTTTGTCGAGTGCAGGTGGGCGCCGTACGGGTATTCTATCCGATTTGAAATGTAATCTCACACACTTCCACGAAATCGTCCTCCTAAATATTTAATCATCAGCATGACAATGAATTCAAATATCTTACGTTTTATGTCAGCGTGCACCCATTTTTCACGATGAATCAAGTCAAGACACTCCAAGATTGGTTTTATAAGTGCAGCAATTCTTTCTTCAGTCAGCCCTAACGCTTCACGATTATGACCAATAAACTTGAACGTACCTTAAGATGATAAATGTGAAGGTTTATACAACAAGCGAGAATGTAGTTATACAGGTAACAACCTTAGAAATTGTTATAGTTAAAGAAAAGTTTAAAATCTTATTCATCAGCATCTTTATACAGTACGCGAAACAGTGCTTTGTTTTACATCAAAAGATTCCGACTCAAGTTGCCCTTCTATCATTCTACGATATCCATCACATACCATCCATAAGCTCCATAAAAATATAGACATCGTTGCCATCATCATAAGCTCCTAGTGGCGTGATTACATGGGTTGGTCTAATCTTAGACCAGATTTCCAGTTCGATGAGATCAAAGTCTCGACTCTTGATCTGAAAAAGAAATTAGTACAGCCGTTATTTAAATAATCTGAGGAGGAAAACACATGTAGGATGAAAGATGATGCATTAATGTCATTAACACCGCAATCTTGTTCAGTGTTGTACTTCCTCTTCTAGCCTATAAAGATTTCACAAATCTCACAAACTAGACCCTAAGTGCTAACCAAATATATCTTAATGGTAAAATTAAATGCTGCAGGATTCTAAGGATTCCAGTTACTTAACACGAGTGTGCGTTGGGCGAATTCGTTCACTGAACTGGAAACGAAACTTTTGTAAATTAGATATAAATTTGATTTAAAGTTAAAATTGAAACGAATGTTTCTAAGAATCAGTCACAAGGACTACATTGTTGAAGTTTTCATCAGAAGTTGCAGGAAAATCAATTTGAGCATAATTCCTTGGCGTGTAGAGTAGTTAAGCTACAGTACGTCCTAACCCATTTATTTAACCTAATAAATAAATAAATAAATAAATAAACCCTAAGCCTGAGTTATTCATTTCTGTGGATTCTATGTGATGAATATATATAAAAACCTGAAGTTACCTTCTTTAATGCAAATTTTTTCCGAGACGCTAAGTCTTCGATTTCATAGCAAACTCCGAACTTTCCACGATCAATTACACGGAGGATGGTGAAATCACGGTGATGTTTATACAGACCATCTTTACCACGAATGTTTAACACAGGCTAAATAAAGTAGGAAAGTTAATGTAGCTCATATTTTCTAATTAAGATGATTCATATAGATCTATAAAAATGAAATGAAAAACTTACATCAAATTGTAACAGGATTGTATATGGTAATGGCCTATAGCTATCCAAGGCACTTGGTCCGTTTTTAATTGTCTCGTCAGGTTTATTTCCAATGAAATGAGATGTTTCACCAGCATTCATTTCCAAATGATAGGATGGATCCACTTGCATTTTGCTCCCCACTGCTGTGGCTGGTTCATTTCCACTTTGGTGATGTAAAGGTTCATGCCTGTTATTCTTACTGCTTTGAAGGATATGGAAGACTGGTTGACATGATGCATCCACTTCCATTTTGTCAAATCCACCATCTGTTGTTGTTTCCTGAATATTTCCACTCTGTTCTTGTGAGGCTTCACACATGTTACTCTTGCTGCCTGTGAGGATATCCAAACCTGTGTGATAGGATGATTCACATGCATTAATTCACTGGATTGTTTTTCTGCCTTTGCATCAGGTGTATTTGTACCTTGGTTATTTGAATCATCACACTTGTCATCTTTGCTATCTGATAAGGTCACAACATTCATGTCCAAGGGCTCAAGGATATCCATTTCCACATCTTTTGATTGATTGCTGTCACTTGGTCCTGATCTATTTTCATTGGAACTTAAATCTGGAGTTTCTTGATAAGGCATTGCTTCAAGGTGTGATTCTTCAGGGTGTGATTCTTTATAACTGCTTTCTTGAAATTGATCTATATTAGTATACAAAACAAAATTTTACAATGAACATATATCTGATTTGGAATTGTGACAATGAGACTTTAACTACCATTTTGTCTACTTTTCTCAGGAACAACAATATCCAGATAATGTGGTTTCAAGCAGCTAAATTTTTTCTCAGGTGGATCATTGCCATCATCACCAAATCCTTCACCATTTTTTCCACATCCATTTCCAGTTGGGCTAGCTGTGGCTTGATTGCACGGTTTGTTTTCCTTTGCTACCTTCACTTCAGTTTTAGAAGCTGAGTTGTTGCCATTCCCACCAGCACATTGTGAAATTTTCGGATACTTCCTGGCATCATTTTTTCTCTCAAAGAGGTCTTCCTGTTTTTTTAGATCCTGGAACGTTTCATCTTTTAAGCAATTTTCAACTGCTTTCTTCTCACTTTGAAAATCCTCTTCTTTAACCAGTTTCCTAAAATAATGCCATAAAACCTCTTAGCAGCTAGGGAATTACTAATTTCTAATAAACCAACTATAGCTAGATTATTCACTATAGACTTCAACATATAATAGTTGACTCATTTTAAAGAAATGCCAAGCTCATAATCCCTAATAATCACATAATTAATTTATCATAATCACATAATTAATATTTAAATAATTTAATTCCTTCCCTAAAAAGGCTGATGCAATATAAATGCCAATACTCTATCATGCCTACTGTATCAGTGTACTCATATTAGACTCACAATATTATATATCACTTTCATATAGACATATACACATTTGATTTCAAAAATCATACGGCGATATATGACAACATCAAGCAAAATTTTCAGAACACTTACTGAATTCCTGGACCTTGTGAATCTAGTTCATTGACTTTCTTTACTCCTATAAAAATATCAGAATTTGTTATTTGATTATTCACATAGATGAAATGATATTTCCCAGCATATTTTTCAAAAGCAACTCTATAATAACTTGATAGTCAATTCCCAATGGTGAAGATCATATTTGAGGACTTTCCCTTTTAACTAATGCTATACATACTTGCAAAAAGGGCTTCGAATTCGGCTTCAAACTTCTGCTGCAGTTCATTTTTAAGCAGATCTAGTTTGTCTTGTACATCTTTGCCAAATTGATGAAACTGATCTTTCAAAACAGACCCTGCGAAGTTATAATTCGACGAATCTTTTGTATTGTGACTATTGTCATAATCAACATTGAAATTTTCCACTATCATAGCACCTGCAGAAGTCTCATTTTCTGCTGTATTTATTACGTCCGTATTATCCCAATCAAAGCAATTACATATATAGTTAAACAGAGGCCAAATAAGTAAGGCCAAGTAACTTAGAAAAGAAAGACTTCTTCGAGAATTACTGTCTTCCTTTACACACGGTGCCATTTTCTCTTATGATTTCTTGGAGTGGGGAATCCCACTTTATATAGTCAGCTGACTGAGCTCGGATATCCGACCGGATTTTCCGAAACTAGGATTTTGTACCTCACAAGAAATTACTTCCCCAGGGGAGGTAGTGTAAGGCCTGTTTTAGTAATCAATCAATTCAATTGACCACCTATTGGACCTATTTTTCAGTTGTTAATGCGCTCTTCAGCACATGATTTCACCTGCAGGCCTGTAACGATTTCATTTATACAAGGGCTTTACTTGAGGGAAACATCAAAACTGTGCACCACATCACTGGGCAGAATTTTGCCAAAAATGCCATTTCAGTGCCACACCAACAACTCAGGGCGTGTGGTGCGTGTGGTGCGTGTGGTGCGTGTGGTGCGTGTGGTGGCACCTCCCAATAATCGACCACTTGGTTTGGCGATATAGTGCATGGGTTCAAAAGAAACAGAACATCCATCCAAAAAAATTATGTTTGCGCTGTTCGCCATAGTCATATATTTCTCTGAAGGCCTACCGCCTAACCTAAAGCATTTTCATATGCTCTTACACGAAAGATGGAGATTTATTATAACATGTCAGCGAACGTAGCCCAGGGACTTTTTTAAGAAATTTCGAGTGGGTGGGCCATTGGCAAAAAAGGGCTTCCCCACTAGCGGAAAGAAGCAGGAATGTCGATCATGGCCGAAAGCTAGGGGGCACCCGGGAGATTTTTGAAATCAGTATAGTCAAGAAACGCCGTTTCCTGTATATTCTGAGCCTTCAAATTTATTCTAAAAACTGTATTTGTATCTCAGATAAAAATATGGAAAACGCACAAAAAATACAAAGTTAACTTACGTCTTACCAAAAGTAATATCAAAGGTACAACATGTGTGTCAATATCAACAGGGAGTAATGGAGTGTATATTTGACAGTTTAGTGTATTTTCCAGTCTGAAGAATATTTTCTTTAAACTGGATAATCTCTGTACACTCAAATATCCATGTATATTTGTAAAGGTAAAGATGCATTTGAAATATTGTACATTACAACAGAAAAATGATTGATCATTGATGAATCTATTTGTCTATTTAAGCCGTTTTTGTGCTCGACTGTCTCGACAAATAACATTCGTCGAGTTACATTCGACAAAGGTTGGGTTACAGAATACAAGAGTGCTAATAGTAATACACTGTCGCAGAGCTAAATTATTTAATATTCTTCATTTTTTGTTAATATCTTTTAAAAAGGGGATTTTCACTGGGGGGGGGCCAAAATAGTGAACTGGGGGGGCCAACATTGAGGGTGGGGGGGCCTTGGCCCCCCCAGTATATAGGTTAAAAAAGGCCCTGACGTAGCCCTGTCCAAGCTAGGATGCTTGGTTTTGACGTTTTTGAAGTACTACTGACATAGTTTCTAAAAACAACACGACAGTATAATGAAATTCGTTGTAATAAGAAATCATTTCCTACTTTGTATAAAGTTAGACCGCTGAACTCGTGGTTCTATATCTTCTGAGTTCTGACTTGCACTCTAAGCTGTTGTTCAGGCTGTGTACTAGTATCAGCGTTAACTTCATACGCGTAAGGTTTCACATTTAGTTGAATTACACATGACACAGGGTGCAATATTTGGTGCAGAATTATTTATTGAAAAACGTGGCAAAATGTTAAAAATTACTCACTCTACAACAAGTTGAGAGAGATGTTTTAAAATAGTATTATAAGTAAAATTATTGTTGAACACTCCAGTATAGCGAGCTAGCTGTTCATTGACAAAGTACATAAGTATAAAAGTATGGTATATATTTCTGAAAGAAGTTCATATAGTTGGTTAAAATTGTGCAATAAAACGTTTCGAGTTCTTCGAAGTTCACAAATTCGTATCAGGCTAAAAGAAGAAAAAAGTTTAATTAGAATCCTGATTGCTACTTATATTAGCCTTAATCAACTATTGACATTTTCATTTATTTGCATATGTATGCAAAAACAGTTGACTATACAGGGCATGACATTCTCTTTTGAATGGTAAGTTCAAGGATCTTGTCGAAACGTATACTTACGGTTTCACTTACAGGAGGACTGTTAGATGGGGAATCATCACCGTTAGTTGTAGAATGATAAGCACTCTCCGTCTCTGATCTCACAGAACCTTTGGTGGTAGTTACGGAGCTGTAACTCTTCTCAGTTCTTATTGTTCCTCCTTTGGCCTCATCGTAAATCGGGTTGATCTCATAAAAGCCAGATTTGCTGTCCCTTGGAGTCTTGTAAGCAATCACCTCATCACCCATACTGTAATCATTTCCTTTAAAGCTCCTAGGACCTCCAGGGGCGATTTCATCGTCTATGCGTACGTCATGATGGTATCCATGCTGACCACCGTTCAGTTCGTACTGACTGTGCACTAAATATCTGGAAACGGAAATAGTGACTCACATTAAAATTTGCCTAACTTTCCTAATTCAAATGCTTCTGGGGGGGGGGAGGGAGGAGTTGTAATGTAATTGTATTTAAGTGCGTGTTTGTAGCGCAGTGTAATTGTATTTAAGTATAGTACGTTCCGTGTGGAAGAGCTGATCGGTACACTATATTTACCTTTCTTTGTTCGATCCACGTGAACATTCGATACAAAACAAAGCAACTGCGAGAATGAGTATTATAACGAACAATATTCCAAACACAACAGCATATACGACCCACCATTTACCTAAAAAAAACACGCAGAAGAATCATCAGTTATGTGTATATTTCATAAAGCTTAAAGTAAAGCTTAATGATTTTGTTAAATTTTGTTCAGTAGTGAACGGTCTGGAGTAAAATAACCATGCTTTGTAGCGCGGTTCTACTGAATCATACTGAAGATACCTAATCATGACAGCTGCATGTAACGTAATTTTTAGAAAGTAACACTGTGGTGCGATATGGTTTATCGAACTGCTTTTTGTTCATTTCAGAAAATGTGCTTTGACTCACTATCATCTGCTTCTTCTGGTACATCTTGTAAAAGATCTGCTGGACTTTTCGCGGGCGTAGGTTGGACACATTCTCCATCACTGCTAACAACGCCGTTACAGTGACATACATAAGAACCAAGAACATTGACACATTCTCCAAATCCGCAGTTTACACGCGCACCACCCAGGCCAGAACCGTCAAATTTACACTCGTCGTGGTCTATAAAAACAAAAAAACTGACTAAAAACCTATAGCTACTTTAAACAGTGGAATATATATACCTGAGGTTAAAATAATGGAATTTAAAACATACATTTCCCATCAGCTATTTATAATTCGATGGCAAAATCAAGAAATTGAAAAGAGAAAAAGAGTTTAAAGAAAAAACTTTTATTCTCGAGACGTCGAGGGGTTCTTTGGTCTATTTTAAGCAGTTGTTATATTACATTTTTCATGCACTTTAACACTTTTTACCTGAAACGCTGTATGATCGTATCACGTATTGTGGACCCAACATTTGTTGGTTGTTAACCATAGGCAAACTTCTGTTAAGAAAAGCTTGGATATCCTGCATATTTTTCCCGCTGTCTTTCTTCACGTAAAACAACAACCTCACTTTCACACTTCCCTCCCTAGAAGACAGAAACAAAACGGTTATCTAATTTTGGTCACACCTTTCCTGAATATAACCTTTATCAATACATGACAATTGAATACTAACAGGCAGAGAGATCAGAATATAGTGGTGAAGGTACTGATAACAGCTGATAATGAAGGTAAGGTGCACTTTTTTTAAATAATGCACTTATAAAAGAAGTACTTACGAAAAGCCAATTACTTGTACGCCAACAATAGCCTCTGCTGTTGAATCACCTGTCGCTGCTTTGACCAACTTCATAATCTTTGATAGAAACAACAAGTTAGGCATGAAAGGGAAACTTATGCATAATTAAGGAAGATTATAGAGGACAAAATAACTTAACGAAGGTAACATAAATTCTGGAAATAACTCGGGAAATTCGGGACAAATTCGTGAAGTGTCTATTCTTCTTAATAAAGCAAATAAATATATTAGGGTGCTAGTACATCAAGATACGAATTGTTTTATATTCATAATTATCAAATTAGATCTTACGGTAGCGTTATTTAAGTCCCCCGTAACCCCGTTATCGTAAAAAACCATCCATATACATAATGAAATATAAAATGTATTGTTACCTCGTCTACAATATCCTGCGAAACAGCGACATACATAATACTCTCTTCTTTATTGAGATCATCATTGAATGTCAAGCCTGACACGATAGTCATATCTCCTTCATACACATTCGTTTCTAGAAAATCAAATATTTTTCTTACATATTATATTCATTCTTACAGTGTTTTACAGTGTTTTCTTACGTGTTTTTATTATGTGACACCATCTTATATACATTCAATATTAAAAACATGTGCACGAGTTTTTTTCACGACAAAATCTAGACTTCTCGATCGGTTAATGCTAGGAATTGAATTTTCTCATTATTTTTACTTCTTTCAAAAAATCTGCAGCAGATGCATGGTTTATACAAGCTATAAATATTATAAATAAATGGCTTATTCAAACCAAAGATGTTTCTTAAAAGAAGAAATATTAATCAGGAATATATCCTGCAAGTTTGCTTTATTGAAACAAGCCGGCTCGTGTAATATATATTTACAAGTAGAATAAGTATAGAACATACCAACACAGTCACCAGCTATAACAATACTGTTGGCACGTTTACAATAACATTTGTAAGAACCAACTTCGTTTACACAGTTTTGGTTAACTGGACAAACAGAAGGACTTTGGTCACATTCATTCGTATCACCTACAATGAATAAAATTTTAGTCTTCAACCACAGATTAAACTTAGTCTACTCAGTTGTAATAGCAAAGATGGACGAGTAAAAAAAACTGTATTATGGGAGATTATAAAAATTAAGGTAACATAGTTCTACTTTTGTAACATGCCAGGCAGAAAAATATAAATATACATACCCACAGAAAGTATTTTGACTTTAATATCACCAAACGAGTCATCGGCTTCAACACCTTTTTCCACAGGATCCTTGACGTCCTTTATAGGGGCTTGGGCATTCTTCAGGAGTAAGATTGAAACATGAGCTTTCGCCTTGCCATCACCGTCACTGAAATCAATTTTCAAAATTTTAGGGCTTGTCTTTAATCATTTCGCTAGGAGAAATCAGGCTGATTTTATCCCTAAAGGATGTAGGAATTAATGATACGCAAGTTATGATTGGTCATTCACCTCGATATACTGGTAACAACAACGCCTACGGTTTGGTTAGCAAGTGGACTTTCTTTCAAAATACGTTTCAGCTAAAGAAAACAGATAGAAAAAATGCAATTATACAACAAATTTGATTAACTAGTTTTCATAAAATATGCAGGAACTGGAAAATATGCCCACGAGCTTCTGAAGTTTTCAATGTAGCTATACTTCCCACAGCCGGGCACAGTTTGGGGCGATTAAAGTTCCTCACTTTTTTGAAAAAAAGATCTTAGAAAAAAACTTACATTATCTTCGATAGGCATAGCTACGTCACTAAAGTCTTCAGACCCTGCATCCTGATGGTCAGGTTTATAAGTTACATCAGTACCGACCTCCACGGTGTAAGTCACTACATCTGCAAAATAGATCAGATCAGGATCAGAATTTTGATATCGGGTAAACTCTAAAGACTAGCATCACTTCAAGGTAGAATTCCAAACATGAAAAGCAATTTTTAAGAAACTTAACAGACCACTTCCAGAAAAAATTTAGCCTAAGCAGTCGCCTTTACGTAAAAAAAAGTACACCAAAATGGCGACATATTCTTCATCGTGGGAAGGATAAGTCATTAGCGAAATTCAAATTTTGTGTGATCCGGCACTGATCAGAGTGGGCATATGTGAGGAGATTAGGCCAGGGACCTAGTTCCTTAGTCGGAAGGTCAGAAGTCGGTGACGAAATTTAAACAAAAGCACTCAATTCGTCAGTGATCACCGACAGCAATATACGAGAACTAGAGTTTAAGCCTAGTTTTAATTGTGTCACAGAACAAGCCATTTTTATGCATGCATCGAAGTGAAGTAGTCCAAATCCGTCCAAATCCTGATTTCACGTGAGGTTTTTTACACAATTTCACACCACGTCGACAATAAACCACATTATCAATTGTCCTTACCAACACACATGCCATTGTATACTGCTTGTTGCGCTGGGCACACACATCTGTATGATCCGAACATATTACTGCATTGTGAAGTAGCTGGACAGTTGTGGTTGCCGTTACATTCATTCACGTCTAAGCGATAGAAGTCAAGATACCAATGATTAAACCGGATTGAAATAAATAATAGTGAAGAACGACTGAATAACCGCGATTAAACGATTCACTTACCGTCACATGTTCCAACACCTGTGCCAGAGTAACCTCCATGACATGTGCAGGTAAAAGACCCATCAGTATTATTACAGTCTGCATTTTTATTACATTTCGAAGGTGTGCTTAAACATTCATTAACATCTAATATAAAGAAACACAATTATTAACATCACGAACGTATGTCAAGACTGATGAATATGTACTTGGCCTAATATGTTGACTTAGCCAATATACCGAATGTAATAATATACCGACTTATGCTATTCACAACACTTGTCAGTTGTCCCGCGACTGGGGCAGAATCAGTGACAAATCTGCCGTTTTCGTTTTAAATAAACCATATAATGAAGTTGCTAATTCTTTTATGATCTTGGTTTCCAAGATTAATAATAACAATAATCATCATCAACAACACAATCATAATTGATTGATAAATAATTTTAATGTACTTACCAACACAACTTGTTTTTCCATTTCCTGTGTAACCGTTCATGCATATGCAGTTGTGTGAACCAAAAGTATTCTGACATTCAGCACCGGCAATACATGAATGAATGTTCTTAGTACATTCATCAACGTCTGGTGAAAAATAGAAAGTTAATTGTTTGCTATTATGCCAATTGCCAATTGCAATAAATCGCATGCACGTATGTAATTACTCTTACTCTAAGACTATTATTTTATCATTTATTTATACCAATGTATCACACTATGGCTTTATTTCATCCGTGGTTCTCAGGAATTTGAATGTGCAGGGAAGAGAAGGCCTAAACCCCATACTCATGTTTTTTTTTTATCAAATATTGATTGAAATTTCTTTACTATATTTCTTTTCGGAGACAACCTTGTTAGACGTGCTTTCAAGTCAATAGACATGCGTGTAGACTAACGTACTTTTGCTCTGCTGAATATTTCAAAATGAACAGAACAGTTTTGATGTCGTAACCAAATTCAAAATTGATTCACTTGATTCACTCACCAACACAATTTGCAATGCCATCGCCTTCGAAACCTTGACGACATGTGCAATTAAATGAACCAATGCTATTGACACAGTCTGCATTATCGGTGCATTTTGAGAGAGAGCATTCATCAATATCTATAATATAAAAAACCCACCGTTAACATCATCAAAGTATGTTTACAATAAATAAACATTTGTTCTACTGTCAAATCAGTGGGCCAATAAGCAGAATTGACATAGTGATTCTGTGTTATTTGTTTAACAAAATCAAAATTCATGCATGGATATATTTTAAAAACTTTCTTTCACAACTTACCAGTACAATTTGTTTTTCCATCTCCTGTGTAACCGTTCTTGCACATGCAGTTGTATGAACCAAAAATATTCTGACATTTAGCATAAACATGACAAGAATGAAGATTTCGAGTACATTCATCAATGTCTGTTGAAAAGTGAAATGTTTTATATTGGATCGTGTCAATTTTAATTAACTACACACAATTAGCCTTTCTCGCTATGACGATTATGCCGCATTTTTGGGGTACTTTTTTACAAAACCGCATTTTTGGGGTAGTTATTCTTCAAATGGTCTGTTGATTCTAAAAAAATTGCTTTTCATGTTGTTATAACTTTTGAAACCCGTTTGAGAAAATTGAAAGTACCCCATAAACGTGAGAAAGGCTAATGACGACGCTCGATTCAAAAACGATTACTGATTCACTTACCACGACAGTTTACAATGCCATCGCCTTCGTAGCCTGGACGACATGTGCAAATAAACGAACCAATGGTGTTGGCACAGTCTGCATTTCTATCGCATCTTGAGGGTGAGAGTGAGCATTCATCGATATCTATAATAAAACAAACCACCATTAACATCATCAAGGTATGTTTACAATAAATACGTATTTGTTCTAATGTTGACTAGGTCATGCAATATAAGCAGAAGACTGACCCGTGCTAAAAACAACATTACTTTATATGTTTGTTCAGTTTTTTAAAACAATAGTGATGACCATGCATGCAATCCGTTTTGACCAATCAAAATGAATATTTTGGAGTTAACTACGATTTAACCACTAAAAATCTAACAGTGCAGATGTACTTTTAATGACAGAGCTGTCGGCATCCAGCAACAATACAGACAGAATTATGAATTGATGATTCGGGAAGATAAAGATGGATCAGTCTTTATTCCAGAGGTTGATAAAAAAGTGATAAATTACAACTAACAATATATACCTTATGTTCAATTAGACCTGACTCACAATTTCTGCATTTTCATGTATACTTACCAACACAACTTGTATTTCCATCGCCTGTGTAACCTTCTTTGCACGTGCAGTTGTATGAACCAATGGTATTCTCACATTCGGCATTAACATGACAAGAAAAGGTTTTCCGAGCACATTCATCAATGTCTAGTAAAAATGCGAAGGCATGACTGAATTTTCCATTTCGTATACGTGTATATCCATATCCATTGTTCTCATCTATATACACAACTGATACAACATTGATATACTTTACCTTGGCAACGTCGGCTTTGGTAATCATATTCTTTACCACGAGCACAAATACATCGATAACCAGCAGCACCGACTATGTTTTGACAGGTAGCCCCATCCTCACATGGGTTCGAAACGCACTCATTAAGATCTAAAATTTAAAATTATTATAATTTTAAGAAACAATACGTTAATTGCTCCATTCCAATTGCTCGATTTTGTGCAATTAAAGGCAGCTTAGGAAAAGATCACTAAGAATATTTATCCTTCCCAAAACAATTTGGCTTAAAAAGGGCTATTCTAATTTAGATTACCGCCAACTTATCGATGTGGTTTCAAATAGTAATACATGGTGATAGGTGGCAAGCATATATACTGTACGTGTTTGTTATGGGCGAGGAAAAATACATGTACAAATAAAATATATTTTACTTTGTGTTATGCAGTAGTTTAGGGAGGTATTGTAAATGTAAATAAATATTAAGAAACCGCCGGAGTCGCCCATTAATTCCATTAAATCTTTCGTATCAACTACTAACCAATGCATGTTATTCCGTCTCCACTAAATCCTTCCTTACAGGCACATGTGAACGAGGCTTCAGTATCCGTACAAATAGCATTTGCATTGCATGGACTGTATAAATCACATTCATTTGGAGCTATAGAAATGTAAAAAATCAACATTACTTCATTTTTCAATACATTTGATGGTTAACGTTTGAACCCAAGAATAGGAAATGCATGTAAGTCGATCATCCAGCTTATACTGTTGTCGTGAAAAACTGTTCGGATTGTTCTCGACGATTTGGTCTTGTTATAAGAATTGTTTTTATCAATCAATTTTTCAAGAAATTATCTTCAGGATTCAATAGTACGTAGATAGAGAATTGCGACGATTAGTTTGTAACAGTACTTTTTTGCGTAAAAATCAATTCTTATACATTACTAAACGTCCCCTTTATGACGCGACATCGCTCGTGCTACCCACCTCGACATGAACGTTCGATCAAAACGTCCGTCTTATTTTTCAAGAGAGCGAAGTTATCAATTTCGATAACATTACTGGCAACACCTTGTGCTATGTCTCGTAATTGTGAAGCGTCCACAGCGGAACCTATGCCAACGGATATTATAACAACTCCTTTGTTCTTCAGATTCTGAGCAAGCTGCGTAAGATTGGCAGGTGGCTGAGTTTGTGTTTGCTGACCATCTGTTATAACAACAAGTACCTGCATTGGAAGAATTAAAAATCAATATAATTGCATAAGATTAATGTGGCTTTTTTATTACAACGTTGATAAAAACATTGCCTAACCTCATAGATTGCATAGTTTCATTACCTCAGCTGAGTTAATTAGCACTAACCAGTGAAAAAGTATTGGTTCATCGACTGAGATGGAAGCATGGGAATGTATCTAACTAATATTGAAGTTCATATTCACATAGGAGACGTTTTAGTACACTATATAAACATTCTCATTTTCAAGAGGGAGAGCAAGTTTTTTATCAACAGTGTTTATCTCTACTGCATGTTCTTCTATAATACTTTAAACTAAACTAACCTTCGGTAAATTTTGTGCTGGCCTCCAGCCACCGTCGGTTGAAAAGACCTTAGAGTCAGCCATCTTTAATGCCAAATCAATATGAGTTTCGCCTCCTTCGTATGGTAACATACTGATTAAATTATTCACATTCGCTTTCGTCAGATTAGCACCTTGAAGTCTGTTGAAATCGAAGAACACCGAAGCGGTGGTACTGAAGTGAATCACAGCGAAATGAGCAACACCCGGTCCAACGTCGTGTTCACGAACGGCTGCGTATAAAAATTCCTTTATTTGACGGAAATCATCTAGGCCTATAGATCCTGATGTGTCGACTGCGAATGCCATATCAATAGCTCGTTTGCATTCGCCTAAAATTGAAGTGAAAAGTAAACTTTAGTAAAGAGAAACCCCAGCAAAAAAGAAGAAAGGATGTAATTGCAGAAATAATAATAGCTCATCCACAAAATAGACTCAGAGAAAAATCCTACTTGAATACTAGGGTTATTAAAAAAATGCATGCATGATTCGCCGTCTGATATTCAGCAATCTGATAAGATGACGGATGATTCTCTATATATAATTATATACTTATATACATATGGTGATGACTCGTTTTTGACAAATAATTGAATTTAAGCAAGCATGCAGTGTGCTTAAGGTCTGAAAGGTGGACTAGCTTACCTAAGCATTTATATGATCCCATATTGTTAAGGCATTCAAAATCAGACGGACATGGGTTAGATATACACTCATTAATATCTAAACAGGAAAAGAAAAAAAAATTATTACAAAAATGTGAGACTAATTAGACATAACTATGCGAAAAATAGTTCGTATTCATATTTTAATGTGATTATTTCTATGTTAATATTAGTTCAAAGGTGATTATATATTTCACATCCTAATTCGTAATAAGATTGTAAAAGTGGAGAAATTTATTCTAACAAAGATTGTCCGAACATTGTCTTATCTTTTTCTCAAGATCAATAGTTTTTAAAGATCTTGCATTGTGCGTTTGCGCTGGATGTCCGCTTGCAAGAATTCATACCTTGACATGAATGACCATTGTGTAAAAATCCAGGTTCGCACTGACACTCGTACGATCCAACTGTGTTTGTACAGGTCGATCCACTTCCACACGGGTTGTTTACACATTCATCGATATCTTAAAGTTAAAATATATGATTAAGATGAGTTTGCTTCTTGACGGTAAATATTAGTTGACGTTTTGTATTATGGTAGTCTTCGTTTGTGACGTTTAATCTCATGCAGGGTTATGTATGGATGTAAGATATAGCGAAGGCGTCGCCCTGGAAAACACACCTTGGCAGGAAAGAATACCATCTCCGCTGAAACCTTGATGACAGTTGCAACCGAAGGTACCAGGTTGATTAGTACAGGCAGCAAGTTGATGACATGGGTGGCAGGATTGTGAACTACATTCATTGACATCTATTCATAAAAGAAGAGTTATTATTTATTTTATAAGAAAAAAAGAATGTAGACGGAGTTCTTATCAGAAGGAAAAATTGCTGCCGGAAATCTTAAGCAAAGAGCTTCACTCTGCTTGTTACAGAATATAGTACAATAACATTTTTAAGGATATCTTTCATTTACGATGACATTGAAGGAACCAGATTCTGTTCTGAATTATCACATGACATCATAGCTTAGCTGGTTAATATATCAGACAATTATCCCGGGTTTATTTACATCAAAAGTGTCAAAGCCTTTCTCCTTGTAAGAACTGCCACTGATCCTCATATTGCTGTAGAACAACATGAATAACTACGCATGCTTAAAGTTCACTGATAATTCATTTAAGCCACTGCACCTGAAGCTTGTATCTTATTTTTTACGATCAAGAAACTTTTGACTTTGCCAAATTTAAGTTCGTTAGGGTCACCAGTAGTCTCAGATGAATCTTCAATGGCATCAGATAATTTCATAGCTGTCAGTCCAGTTGTGTTCATGTAGTGGAACACAACAAAGCAAGATTTCAACACAATTCTGCTGTCATACGTGTCAGGACTATATAAGAGAAACATGAAAAAATGAAAATGTGCATATTCCATAGCTAGTTTGTCCAAAATTCATCATTATGGTGACACGTTGCAACGAAATTTAGGCATAAGCTAGGTTACACTTCAAAATGAATGAAAAAGCTCTCTTGCAAGGTTGGAACTAGCCCTCTAGCTGTTGCTATACGACGCTGTGAGTTACTGTTCGAAGCCCGATTTGCGCTAACCTGGCTTAAATTTTAAATATTATCTGTTTTTTAGCATTTTTGGATGTCTTTTTTGTTCAGGACTTAGGAAAAGAAAATCTCTTTAGCATCACCTTTGCGGATAAACCTGTTCTGAAGTTTGAATTGTAGATTTGCATTAGCCCAAGTCACCAAGTGGCTTTTGAACAACTAACTGCATAATTTTTTTGTAAACTGCATATTTTCTGCATCTCCTCATGCAATAACTTTCGGCTTTCATAGCACTAAACAAGGTGACATCACATACCTGAAACTATACAACGTTGTTCCAATGAAATAGTTTTTCACGTTAGAATTCCAGAAAAGATAATTCATCTAAAATGTATGTTTTAATGCTTTAACTCTCTTGCAAGAAATATAATTACGCTACACGAGAGGTCCAAATTCGTCCTGTCCCGTGTGAAGGTACCTTATATACGTTGCAGTTGGGTCGCGTTGAATGCAATTCGAACAATAAATAATGACATGATAATCAAATTGAATAGAGTTTATATATCATACATTATCTATTGTTTGAATTCAACGCTATCGAAATGCGACGTATAAAGTAGATAACTTTGGAAACGCAATTACCTCAGCCGTTAGATTTTCTCGGAGTGATTTGTATTCAACAGAACTATTATCATGAAGAGCGGGCGAATACGATGCGCCTTCAGCAAAGACCAAACAAACATGATAACGAAGTGGTTCTAATAAAAATTGAAATTGCTTATTACAATAATGTATCATCTTGTAGAATATGTACATAGGTACACACACGACGAATTGAAATATATTAACTAACAAATAAGTAGAACACATAATTCTCACTTACGAATGCACACAGAGCCAATTCTAATATCGCCACAGGGACACTTTTGAACTGGATCACAGTAGTAACTGCCTAATGTATTAACACAGGTCGTTCCAAGACTGCATGGATTGCCGTTTGAACATTCATTGATATCTGGTAATGAATGATTAAATGACTTAAAATTGTTTTTTTACCAAGAACAAAGTATTTTGACCAACTTTTATAACACTGCAAATTATTGGGGGCGTCTCATCCCCGACACCCCCTTGGCGCCACGCCCTGTCATCCATCAAGTCTAGAAAGTTAGTATGTGATATGCAGGATAGTACAATACTAACATGTCGAGATATTAACATGTTGTGATATCAATTATCTCTATTGCTATTTCAAAAATAGATGTCATGACATGAAGTATATATTCTTCCTCCTCAAATATTAGTTTTGTGACATGCAATTTGGTGGTGATTATAGAATTCAGAAATCGATCTTAGGGCTGGTCATAATTGTTGTGAGCAAGTTATCTTAATGTGAATAGTTATCGGATGTAATTCTTTTTCTATATTTTCTTTTTCAAATCAGTCATTAATGGACTGCACTTTCGTAGCAATCCTCTAATACATCGACCATCTGAGATGTTCACGACAGTTACATGCAACTATAAATAAACAAGTTTTTACGAAATACACACCAAAACATCTCCCCATATCACGTTGGAAGACAAATCCATCCGGGCAGGAACAGGTATACGATCCAACAGTATTGGCACATACACTGCCTGATGGACAAGGATTCGCCGCGCATTCGTTTACATCTAAATGGAAACCGGCAAAATTTCAATATTCAAATTATTCGCCTTTTGTTCTGCAAATAATACAATCTTGCATAACTTATATGGTTGTAAATAACAGAGAACGGAAAAATGAAAAGCATTGGCGATTAACAAATTTCTGCACTAGCTGTAGTTAAAACTTCAATATAGTTCATCAACACAACTGACCGAAGACGTATATGTAATTAAACTGGCCAACAAACCGACATATTACCTGTACACTGATTTCCATTTCCAGTGAAGCCGGCGGGACAATGACACTCATAAGAACCAACGGTATTTGTACATTGAGCCAATTCATGGCATGGTTTTGTTGGACATTCGTCAACATCTGTAAGCACAGAATGGAAAAAGTGTTTATAACAATACGCACAAGCAGTATTTACTGATAAATGAATCGTTAATAAACCATTGTAGTGATGCGGGAGTGTTTTCAAGGAAAGAGATAGTAAAAAGAAGTTACGAACCAGCACAAGTTGTTCCATCTCCAGAGAAACCAGCTTTACAACTGCAGTAAGCTCTGCCATTTGAGAATGCACACACAGCATTGACATCGCAGAGACTAGCGTTAGGACACACACCCAACTCTAGATGGTGCAAAATGTTGTTTGTACAATATTCCAATTGATACGATATGGTTTACAATATGGATAAAACGTATTAATCTTAAAAATACATCAAAACAACTCAACAAGTTCCCAGGGCATTATTGCGATGAGAACGTTTTCCCACCACTGATTAAATCTAGTCCCACCCATGACAGAATGCGCGCGGAGGAAGTTATATAAACACAATGTTCTTACCAACACAAGATTTTCCATCGCCAGTAAAACCTTCTTTACAAACACACTGATGAGATCCAGGGGAGTTTATACAGTTCGCATGCACATGACATGGTTGTTTTGCACATTCATCGATATCTTAAAGAAAATAATAGAAATGCGATGTATAGTGCGAAAATTCGCTTTATTTTAAGGACAATTTTTTTCATCTTAAAGCGAATTTGCTTGATTACAATTAACCCGGTCCCATGGAGAGTCAATCTAGAGATTGCGATTCAAAATTTTTACTTGAAATCATCAATATTTACTTATATATTACAAAATTATTTCTCACCATGACAAACAGTGCCGTTTCCACTATAGCCATCACGGCAACCACACCTGTATGAACCTTCCATATCTGTACAGAGTGACAAGGATGGACAAGGCAATTGTCCATTTACCCGTTCAACACATTCGTCGATATCTGAAACCGATTTTACACAAAAAATGTTTGGCATATTTTGTCACTAATAAGTACCGTAAACAGGAATACGTTTTGTCTTATTTAACAAGACTTTGAGACTATACCGCCATTTTTCTCCTGGTCATCCGTTTTAAAGCGTCTGACCGCCCAGTTCTGTTAAGAAATCAGAATTTCTTACCTCGACAGTAAACACCGGGTCCAGTATAACCAGTTTTACATTTACAATCATAACCACCAACAAAATTGAAACAATTAGCTCGAACGTGGCATGGGAATGTCAAGCAGTCATCAACATCTAAGAAGAATTGAGATTCCTTAACGTTAAGAAAAGTTACAGTTATATGATCTACCTGACTGCCTCTGGATAAGTAGGCCTCAAACATCAATATTAATCATGCAATATTAGACATTCGCACGTGAAATAACTATTATATTTCGACATCAAAACAAACCTCTGCATTGGAAACCATCTCCAGTAAAGAAGGCATTACATCGGCAAACGAATGACCCTGGGAAGTTGGTACAGGTTGCATTCGCATGACAAGGAGATCGCAAACATTCGTTAATATCTACGAAAGCAATTACAATAAAACGAATATTTTATGAGTGCATTTAAATGAGTGATTTTTGTGGGGACCAGCCTGAATGTTTAATTATATTTCGACGCTTCTGTTATAGGAAGTGAGCAGATACCATTTTTTATTGGAAGTGAGCAGATTTCATTTTTTGCTCGTATTTATAAGCCAACACTCACTCACTGTGGTCACTATATGTCGATTTCGAGTTGAAGCTCACTGGAATCTACCTAATGGCTTAAATGGACCATTTTCTTGGTTGTTCACAGTTTACAGGAGTACATACCATCACACGCGATCTGACCATCACCAGTGTAACCTTCCTGACAGGCGCATGAGTATGATCCTACACTGTTGCTGCAAATACCGTTGACATGACACGGCTGCGAGAGACATTCATTAATATCTGAAAAAAAAAAAACATCAATAATAGTGTCCTCTCAGAAACATCTTTCGTGTATAGTCAATTTGCTTTTGTGCGTATAACGAAAGAGTAAAAGGACATACCGGCACAGCTGAAACCATCTCCTGCGTAACCAGGTTTACATTCACAGCGAAAAGATCCTTCAGTATCGAAGCAATTAGCAAGTTGGTGACATGGATTTTGCAAGCATTCATTGATATCTTGAAAAGAAAAACAAGATTCAAAGATTAGATATACATTGGTGGATTAAAGGTATTTTTAAATAAAGTTGAGATACTTGGTAGAGCTCAAGTATACATAGTTTGGTGCGATTATGCTGTTTAGTTATGGTTTAGTGAAGACCATTATCACCATCGGCTATTGTATGTACTCTTCTAGACTTGGCAGCAATTACCCCTCCCCGTCGCCTTGACATTGACTAAATATATCACACTTGTATATGGAAAAGATGTTACCGATCACTTACTGACACAAGTGAGACCATCACCGCTGTAGCCTTGTTTGCAATCACATGAGTACGAGCCAGGGATATTATTGCAATTAGCGTTCACGTGGCAGCTGACAGTCAAACATTCGTCAATATCTGAGAACAATGAATGGCGAAAAGCGTTAAAATACGCGTTTATTGCTAAGACAAATATATTCAGGGGGTGCAAAATAACGATTGTGTAACAATGACATATAGGATGAGATAACAGGGGGGGGAGTAGGGATGAAATGAGTACATATCCAAAGATGCTCCACGGGTGGGCGGCGGTTGGCGGTAACTAATACGGCAGAGGCAAGATGAGTGAAACACAGTAAAACAAAAAAATTCAAATTTGATAGACCTGGGTTATAAGTCGCACTTTGGTAACGTCGATCGAATGCAATTCGCATAATAATGAAGCTTAATGAGGTTTATCATCTCATTATCTGTTGTTTGAATTGCATTCGACGCGACAAAAATGCGACGTTTAACTTAGGCCATTGTGAAATTGAACTTTCTTTGTTTTTTGTCATGGATTCAAATATCAAGGACAGGAAACATGCATAAAAAAGAACAGGACCGGATACTAAAATATATCGTGTCGAGATGCTCACACAAGACAGCAATAAGAAGCCGTGCAAGGACATTGATCGTATTACTAGTTGTCGGAATATCAAATATGTCGTTGCTTGCCTGTACATATTAGACCATCGCCAGAGAAACCAGGCTTGCATTTGCATTCATAACTTCCAACCTTATTAGTACAGTCTGCCTGATCGTGACATGGATTGGATACTACGCATTCGTTAATATCTAAATAAAATGACAAGAATATTACCGAATGCGGTAAAATGGAGAAATTTTTGCTGGTACACGATAAAAACAAGAATATGGATCACACATGATAAAAAAGACTAGTACCATCACAAGTGAAACCATCTCCTGAATATCCTGGTCGGCAACTACAGCTGTACGATCCTGGGAAATTACTGCATTCTCCATTTATATTGCAAGGATTATTTAGGCATTCGTCAATGTCTGTATAAATAAAATACGGGTTTATTATTAGTAACTAAAACAGCCCACAACGATAACAAACAACAACAGACATAATAACTAGTTAACAAGATAACATATTCGAATAGTTCAATTGGAAACATCTCTTCGATAAATTACATACCAACACACTCCTTTCCATTTCTTATGGTATAACCTGTGCCGCACGTACAGAAGTAAGATCCGGGTGTGTTAGTACAGTTTCCTCTCACGTGACATGGTCCACCCAGACATTCATTTATGTCTAAGGAAATTTAAGATGAAAATTTAGGAAGATCCTGGTAGCGTTATTTCACAACAGATGGGACAATATAGAGTATAGAGGTATTAAAATGGCAGTATATACATAGGTAATACATAGGTTTTTCCCCGCACTTACCAATGCAGTTTAGACCATTTCCAATCCATCCAGTTGAACAGGTACAGAAGTATGACCCAGCAGTGTTATTACACACAGCTCGTTCATGACATGGTTTGTTGACAATACATTCGTTAATGTCTGCAAAAGGAATATTTATCAGTCTGATGCAAAATTTAATAGAACACAAAAACAGCAATGAAATACATACGAAATCCTTACAATCTGTTTCACAAAATAGATTCGATGTTTATATATTTCAATGTTCATGCATAGAATAGTATTAATCGTAACTAGTGGAGATTATATTTTGATCAACATGCATGCATCACTTATTTTCTATTATAAAATGAACGAATGATTGGTTTCTTTACCATTGCAAGTGACTCCGTCACCAAAGAATCCCGTTCTACACTGGCATGTGAACGATCCTGGTTGGTTGGTACATATTCCATAATTTGCATCACATGGTTTGCTGTTACATTCGTTAATGTCTGAAATAAAATTTTATTTTAACCTCACAAAGTTCTGCAAGTTTTTTAGTAAATTGTAGTCAATTTATAACATCGACAGCGATTATTTATTTACCTCTACAAAGCTCCCCACTTCCTTCATAACCGGTATTACAGTCACATGTATAAGATCCTTCAGTATTCGTACAAGTAGCCATGGCATGACAAGGATCATCCAAGCATTCATTGATATCTTAACAGACGTAATTCGTTTGAATGTTAAAAATTTATTGACATCCCGGAAAGCTGGCCTATAGATTTGTGCAATGCTCAATAAAATTCGAGTGTGCAAGAAAATGAAATATTTTAATAAATTTCTTTTGTTAAAACGACGAAACCAGCACATTTAGTTCACTTACTGAAACATTTCTAGCTGGATGCTTATCTTATAATTATCATAATTCCTAAAGTACCTCCACAGAAGAAGCCACTTCCGCTGAAACCATCTTTACAGGAACATCTAAATGAACCAGGTGTGTTTGTGCATTTTCCGTCCGTATGACATGGGCTGTTAAGACATTCATTAATGTCTACAAAGAACAATATGTGAAAATCAGCATTTTGGACTTTTATACCAAAACGGAAACAATAAACAATTTCAGTGATATTTCATTTAGGGACAGAATGATGCATACCTGTGCAGACAAGTCCAGTTCCATTATAACCAGTATTGCAGGTACATTTGAATGAGCCTTCTGTATTGGCACACACAGCATTACTATCACATGGATTTGAATCACACTCGTTGATGTCTATAATACAACAAACATGTCTATGGACACGAGCTACGAACAGGAAAGGGCGCATTATGTATGCATGTCAAACGTCACAAACGATCTTGGTAGTTCTGAGGATAACGAGAAAAACAGGAAAATGTTGGTAACCAGCGTTGTAAAAGTCATATATGCAGACCAGATTTAAGAGATTAAAATGAAATTGGTCTCCATATTTTGCGATTGACTTTACTTTACGCAATGCCTCATAAACTAATGATGACACCATGCAACAATCTTATTTGTGTTTCTTACCAATACATCCTGATGGTCTGAGAGCGTAACCTGCAGCACATTGACATGTGAAACCTCCAGGGGTGTTTGTGCAGGCCGATTTGTCTCCACAAGCGTTCGTCAAACATTCGTCAATATCTAAGAAATATGCCACAGAAAGGTTGAAGTAAATTGTGAAAATATTCTCCTTGTTGATATAATTTGGATTCTTACCGACACAGTGGGTTCCATTCCCCTGGTAGCCTTGATTGCAAGTACAGATATATTTGCCAGGAGTATTTCTACATGAAGCCAAAGAGTGGCAGGGACTACGAAGACATTCGTCGATATCTGTATATTACAATAAATATATTATGGTAAAAATGCGCAATATAAAAATGTGTCAAGGCATCCTTTTATAATCTCTAAGAAATGTTAAGTTGAATTTGAATAATTTGATGGCGAATGCATGTTACAGTCAGTAAATATGACTTTTCATCTACTCACCAATACATACAAAACCATTTCCAATATAGCCAGAATAACAGGTGCAAAAGAACGAACCATCAGTGTTGGAACAATGCGCTTTGTCATGACATGGTGCCAACAGACATTCATTAATATCTAGATATGGATTATTGGAATTAACGTCAGATTTAACGTTTTAATGGTAAAAAATGTAATGTTTATGATCTTTGCGAATAAAGCCTTCCCTGCTTGACGGTATGCATGAAAACACGGAGTCGGAGTTCCGGAGTACGGAGTCCCGGAGTACGGAGTCCCGGAGTGAAGTGTCCAAAACTTTAAAACACGGAGTGGTAAAAACACGGAGTCGACGTAAAAACACGGAGTCGACGTAAAAACACGGAGTCGACGTAAAAACACGGAGTCCACGTAAAAACACGGAGTCCACGTAAAAACACGGTTTTTACTCAATATTTTTATTTTATATGTGGTTGCGGGTATTCAGATCCTGTGGAGATGGCTATCCCCTCATTGCAGGGGTGTTGGAAGATGAGATGATTGGCAATGTGGCAATGATGAATATTGATGATTGGTAACATTTGATATGATCCCGTTATAGGAATTGTAGAATGCAGAATATTGTGGATAATTGTGGATTTGAAAATGGTTGAAATGCTACGAATATGTGTTTGTTGTTTGGCAAAACACGGGTGCAATATGGAAACGCATGAGATGCCTTGGCCGGAATGAATGCCGGTTATTGCCATTCTGGTCAAGTCCCTTTCGTTTGTTTTTCGTTGAAAACTGTAGTTACGTTTCATCAGACTCCAAGCATAACTAGGGAAAGCACGTTTCTAACCCGCTAGCAGGTCTTGGAACGACGTGCTCGCATATGTGATTTGTGGTAATGAGCGGAAATTGTGTGACGTGAATTCGTGGTGAGATCGGTGATGATGATGAAGTCCAAATATGTATGAGCATTCTGTTTATCCGTATGTAGTGGGCTGTTCGTTTGCTATTGGGGGCTAATCCCTGAATCGATTGGTTCCTGTTCTCTGAATTGATTGGTTCCATAAAACATCCCCAATGTGTGGTGATTTTGTGAGAAAGGGTGGTATTCAATCCCACGTGTATTCCCGTTAGTGAAATTATAAAGCGCGGCTTGGGAGCGTGCCGGGGAAATGATCATCATCATTGCCACATTGCCAATCATCTCATCTTCCAAAGGCACCCTCCAACACCCCTGCAATGAGGGGATAGCCATCTCCACAGGATCTGAATACCTGCAACCACATATAAAATAAAAATATTGAGTAAAAACCGTGTTTTTACGTGGACTCCGTGTTTTTACGTGGACTCCGTGTTTTTACGTGGACTCCGTGTTTTTACGTCGACTCCGTGTTTTTACGTCGACTCCGTGTTTTTACGTCAACTCCGTGTTTTTACCACTCCGTGTTTTAAAGTTTTGGACACTTCACTCCGGGACTCCGTACTCCGGGACTCCGTACTCCGGAACTTAGACTCCGTGTTTTCATGCATACCCTGCTTGACCAACTAGGCGCATTGGCCAGCTGCATGCATTGACCAATCAGAAACATGCTTAGTCCGCAAATTACGTCATCAGGAAGTCTATAGATCTATCTTACACTGATTATCAAGTTTAAAAAAACCCTTCTTCTGACTTATATTGAAAGATTAATGGCGTGAAATCCACAAAACTTAAAGTATTTGAAGACCTGCTGACCTCTACAAGTCGTTCCATTTCCACTGTAGCCAGTATTGCAAGAACACATGTACGATCCATGTGTGTTTGTACATGTTGCGTTATCGTGACAAATATCCGCTTGTAAACATTCGTCTATGTCTAAAACAGAGCAACACTGTCATTAAATTTTCCAACTACAGGCCATGCATGATTTGAACAAAATTGTGAAAAAACAGTAAACATACCAACACACAAGAAACCATTTCCAGAGAAGCCTGTCTGACATGCGCAGGTGTAGCTACCAGCCGTGTTCCTGCAAATACCGTTCACGTGACACGGATCATCATCGCACTCATTGATGTCTAACAAGATGAAAAAAATTCAAATTATCGCTAACAAATTATATAAGAATAACAATACCTTAGAGTTGGGATCAATTTAGAATATCTCTGATGATTCTCTCAATTTCAATATAAGAAGGAATAGTTTTATTTTCATTTCACGTTCGGCAAAACTTATTATTATTGTTATAAATATTGCAAATTCTATTGAAATTTATTGATCCTGCTACTTCAGGGGATCAGATCCGGACAATCATACAGAAATAATTTCAAAAACTTACCAACACATATCTTTCCATTTCCAGTGTATCCTGTGTTACAAGTACAAATAAAACCTCCATTTGTATTTGTACATGTTCCTGATGGTCCATCTGCGCAGTCGTCCGTGTTGGTCAGACATTCATCAATGTCTAATTAGAGTCAAAGAACAAGTTTAGTTTATTTTTAAAAACCTTGTTTTTCAAGTTTATTTATTTCTGTATCTGACGATATTTGATATGAACGAATTGCATTAATCGACGCAAGGAATAATTATAATCGGCCTTCAGACTGCGTAATTAAACAATAATTAATGGTACGATTGTAAAGGCATGCATTAGTTACTTTAAGAAGAAGAATACTGTACATACCAACACAATTAACTCCATCTCCAGAGAAACCAACATCGCAAGCACATTGGTAGGTCCCGGGACGGTTTGTGCATGTTGCAAATCTGTGACATGGGTTCGCATCACATTCATTGATGTCTACGTTTTTAAAAGAAATATAATAATTATAATGATAACAACTATACAGGAATAAAAACGTCAGCAAACCGTATTTTAAGATGCTGAAAAAATATATTAATTTACCTGTACACTGCAGTCCATTTCCTCTATAACCATCCTTGCAAGTACAGTAATGGCTGCCAATTGTGTTTGTACACGTGGCATCAACGTGACAGGGATTGGTCAAACATTCGTCGATATCTACAAAATAAAAATTGACGATTGCATTCACTCAGTTTTCTGGCATTTCGGTTAATTTGCGTTCTGTTCAGTTCGGTTCACTACAACATTATTTTACCGGCACAAAATTGTCCATCTCCAGTAAAACCAGTTTTACAGTAACAACGGTGGGTACCATCCCTGTTTTCGCACGTAGCATTTGCGTGGCAAGGATTATCTAAACACTCGTCTTTGTCTATGAGAGAGAGAGAGAATAAGGACCATTAATAAAATTCCACAATTATAATTTAACAGTATAGCTATATACAACAAATATATAGTAAATCTGTTATTTTTATATGATTAAGAGAGCTGTTATTAGTAAGTAGTTGTCACTTCATTTTACTTTATACTTTACAACAACAATGGAAAAAACTGAAAAATTATAATATTAGTATGCATACAAACCTGCGCAGTTAATACCATCTCCAACATAACCCGCTCTACAGGCACACTCAAACGATCCGTCCGTATTGGTACAATTTGCATTGATGTGACAAGAGGTTGCAGTAAGACATTCGTTTATGTCTAAAATATAATAAGTAATGAAGGTTTAATTATGACATAATTTTCCGACTTTACGTCATTATTTCTAAGTAGTCAAATTAAATAGATGAGGCGAAGGTCTAAGACTGTAACTATGCAAATGCACGATCTATAAGTTTTTATCATACGCATTATTCATATATACTCATTTACAACTTTGAAGTTTACTCATATACGCCCATTTACTACTTTGAAGTTTTATATACCTACCTACACACTGGATTCCATTTCCAGTGTATCCAACTTTACAGCGACACTGGTGTGACCCAGGGATGTTTAAGCAATCAGCATTTTGATGACATGTATTTAACGCTGGATCAATACACTCGTTTATGTCTGAAAAGATGTAACGTATTGATTAGTTTATATATAGTCGCTACTATATAATTTTTTTTTCACTCTAAAATTACCCATTGTTTGGTAAGACTTTGAATAAACCTTAGGCGTAACATTCCTAAATTGAGGAACCTTTTTAATGATTGTTATCTCTAAAGCTGTTATTTTTTGCTTTCCATGATTTTTGAACGATTGAAAAATCACTATCCGAGAGTATATACTTTTTATCCGTGTTGGGAAACTGTGGAAATTAGAGCAGTATTTCTTCACGTCTGCGTCGTAGATTTTATGCGTCTTAAACTCGCTAGTGCATTCATGAAAGATCGAGTATTCCACGAAATATCCTCGTAGTTTTGCGAGGGCCTTGGCACAAAACTCTCGGCAGACTTCCTCGTATAAAATATTTCACTACGGCTAGTGACATTATGAAGAGTAATAGTAGTTAAACTATACGAACTTACCAGTGCATATGAAACCTGAGCCCTCATAACCAGAATTACAGACACACGAAAATGATCCAGCATTATTAGTACACCTGGCATTAGCATGGCATGGGTCGTTATCACATTCATTGATATCTAATAAAACGAAAACAGTAGAGGTATGATACTAAAAACGTAATACACTAAAGTGTTTTAGTCAGTCTAAGGATATATACTATAGTAAATTAATCCATTCCCAAAATCTAGAAGCTTGAAAGTAGAACTTTTAATGAACTATAATCGCCTCCAAAAAGTTCACTTATCGATCGCAATACTTACCCACACAATTAAAGCCGTCTCCGGAGTACCCAACATTACACGCACATGTATAGCTTCCGGGCATATTTTGACACGCAGCATTAGCGTGACATGGATTTGTTTGGCATTCATCAATATCTGTGAAATACATGTTGTTGATTAGATGTTTACAAATTATATATAGACCTACGTTCAATCTGGATTGGAACATATCTGAACGCTTAAACGGGCTTCTGTGGAGCATGAATCACTAACCAGTACAGATAAAACCATCTCCGGTGTAGCCAGTTTTACACTTGCAAATGAAAGAACCAAATGTGTCCGTGCAATTTGCATTTGAATGGCATGGACTGTCTACTACACATTCATTGATGTCTAAAAAACAGAAATATTGAATATTAAATAAGGTGAATAAGGGAATTTGCCAAGCCTGTTTATAATTGACACTTGACTTGTTATTATTAAAATCTCGTCAGTAATATACGTACTATTACATATTTCGCCATTTCCACTGAATCCTGGTTTACATTTACAAGCAAATGAACCTTTGCTGTTCGTGCAGGTACCGTTAGGAGAACATGGATTTGTCAAACACTCGTTGATATCTGAAAAAAATTGAAATTGAGAAAAAAATATTAACGGTCTGCTAACATGAATGTACGAATATTAACCCCTCCCCTCCCTCCTCACACACCCGCACTTAACGATCTTCCTCGGGTCATGTGAGTAAAACAATTACACAAGAAATTGTCAGCTCCTGTTACACATGCAAGGTGCAAACCAATCAGCTAGGCACTGTGTTGAAATGCGGTCATTTGTTGTATTTCAAATGGATTTAAATGTAAAGCAATGATGAATGGGTCGTCGTGGTTGATAGTAGACAAAACTTGTATCACTTACCAACACAAGATGTTTTACCATCACCAGTGTGACCAGGATTACAAGCACATGTGAAGGAACCCTGCGTATTTGTACATTTGGCATCCACGTGACAGAAATTGAATAAAACACATTCATCAATATCTACAATACAATAAACGTTGTTATAAGATACCATATCAACAGTTTACAAGATGCTTTAAAAATTTGATCGAAATATTTTTATCATTACAATGCATTATGCATGCAACCACTTTACAGATTGTTAAATACATCACCTGTACACGTCCTTCCATCCCCAGTGTACCCTGGATTGCAATTACATTCATAAGATCCAGCAGTATCCCTGCATGTAGCAAACTGACTGCAATTATGAGTCCCAGTGGCACACTCGTCAATGTCTAGGAAATAGATAACAGCACGGTTAAAAAATGAATCGTTTATAGATTCAACAAAAAATAAGAGGTACGCGTTTGCCATGGGGTAGTGATGTTATTTTATAAAATCAATTTTGGTTAAACAACAAAAACCAAATAATTTGAGAACATTAGATCTATTTTGTCATATGAAAAAATTTCGAGTGCGTCGCTCATGAAAAGCTTACCCTTTCAAGAGAATGATTAAATTTTTACTTACTGAGACAAACGAAACCATTTCCAGAGTATCCAGGTTTGCACGTGCATTGGAAAGAACCCGGAGTATTAGCACAAGAACCATCTGTATGACATGGTGATCCAGCACATTCATCAATATCTGAAGATAAACAAACAGCAGGATAAGAAAAATCACATATCAGCATTTCCCGACAACGGTTTTTCACGACTCATCCTATGATTCATAAAAACGCATGTGACAGATTTGTTTTCTCACCGGAACAACTTAATCCGTTTCCAGTGTATCCTGTTTTGCAGGAACAATCAAATGACCCAGGTGAATTCGAACACGCAGCGTTTGAATCACAAGGGGCCTCCACGCACTCGTTGATATCTATACGTAAAATAAAATCAAAAGCGAATGAATAAAGCTTAGAAAGAGTAAAATCATGTGGCTAGCATACTCTATCGTTCTGCGCACATATTCATGTAAGTAGATCGAACTATCTTTACCAAAAATTAACGTGGTGCGCATGTCTTCCCGTATCGCGGACGGCAGAAATTACAACTTCTACTTCTTAATCTCTTATAATTGATTTACGACTCATTATAATCATCATGAAAATTATATAATGATCATACCAGCACACTGTAGACCATTTCCAGAATAACCTGTCTGACAACTACATTTGAAAGAACCAATCGTGTTGACGCAGTTGGCCAGGGTGTTGCAGGGTCTAGTTACATTACATTCGTTGATATCTGCAAGTGGATTAAAACATTACATGTCAAGATTGAAATTCATTTGATTTCATATCAAGGCCTGATTCACACTAGATCTTAAGAAACGGGGATCCATTGTGATTATTTTCCGACAGACAAGGGATTTTGCTCACCAGTGCACTCCCTCAGACAAAGTGTGAACCTTCTTTTATAATCACTATATAATATTCAGTGTATATGTGAAGTTTGATGAGTTAATTTGGAATTGAATTAGCTTTTCTTACCATTACAAATCAATCCATTTCCTTGGAAGCCAGGGTTACAACGACATAAGTAGGATCCAGGGCTGTTTGTACAGTTAGCGTTATCGTTAGGATCACATGGTTTGCCTGGACACTCGTTAATATCTGAGAAACAAGATATCAAAAATATGAGATTCATTAAACTCAAGAGTGTGTACTATAACTAGCTATGTACCTACACTCAGTATATTTAGAATATTCGTTTTGCTTTTAAAAGAAGTAATATAATGATCAAGTGTTTTATAGTTGAACTTACCAACACAGATTTGACCATTTCCCACGTATCCAGTATTACAACTACAAGTGAACGATCCTATATTGTTTTGGCATGTAGCTTGGGAATGACAAGAACTTGATACTTTACATTCGTCGATGTCTAATAACAGAAGTATGAAAAAATAATATTAGTTGATGTCTCCAAAAATGTGTGTGTGTGAGACTTGTGTAAATTTTTAAAAACATTCCTAAATTTAAGATAATCGAGGATTAGCCTGTATATCCTTGTCATAAAAAAGATCGGTTGCTGATTGCGCAACTGTACGTACCCGCACAATTGAATCCATTGCCAAAGAATCCTGTTTTACAAGTACAGAGGAAGGAGCCAATCGTGTCTTCACATCGTGCATTGGTGTCACAAGGACTCGTTAGACATTCGTCGATATCTAAAAAAAGTAAAGTTTTTTATTTACGCCTTCTTTCTGCTTCACGTCACATTTATTTTATATGGATAAAAGGGGATAAGAGGAAGAAGTTATCCTCCTACCTTGACCCAAACTACAAACTACTTACTAGTGCAGACAGCACCATCGCCAGTAAAACCAGTAGTGCAGTTACACATGTATGAACCAATCAGATTTGTACAAGTGGCTCGACCAGCAGCGCAAGGGAATGGATTTTGCTCACATTCATTGATGTCTGAAGACAGAATTTAGAGGACGTATATAGTAAAAAGTTGAGAAATAACTAGAATACTAATATAGGAGTTAAATAATATTATCTGACAAGGGCTGCGTTACCGGGGTGTCAGTGTCACTGGGGCGTGATAAATGGGAAAAACGTGATTACTAAATAAGAAAATGACCTATTGGTCAACCCCCTCTCCCTTCTAAATAACTCCGCTGTCCGTGACAGCCCAGGAGAAAAATTGAAAAAGTAAATAAACATGCTGAGAAAAGCAATTTCAAAATCTCCGACAAACCTGAGCAAAATAGTCCATTTCCGTTAAAGCCAGGCTTACACGTGCATTGAAATGATCCAACTGTATTTGCACAAGTTGCATGGACGCTGCATGGGTTACCGAGACATTCATCGATATCTACAAAAAAAGTTGTTGTAATATGTGAATCCAGATATATTTTACATCTGGTTGAATGCGCGAGGCAGTTTCGAACTCACCATTACAAAGAAGCTTTCCATCTCCCGAGTAACCAATATTGCAAGCACATCTATAAGATCCTTGTGTATTAGTACAGGTAGCCCTAGCGTGGCACGGAGAAGTTGTTGAATTGGTACATTCATTGATATCTAAATAGAGAAAATTTACACTCGGCAACTGCGTAGTTTAATATTGTGATGGTGCTACTTTGAGTGACCACGGTGAGACCTTTGCCGTTTACTAGTCCAATGCTCCTTCAACTGAGCTACTATACCAGCTGACTAGACGTCAAGATTAGCTACGGATATAATTAGCTACGTATATATCTAATGTATATAACAAGTTCATAAAACATACATAAGCATGAAGAAGGATAAGAAAATCAAGAACAAAAATTCGGTTTTATTTCGGGTCCTCTTTTCATGGGCCATGCAGGATAACCCAGGCTGAGTATTTAAAAAAATCTTTACATATTAAAGATGTATTGTTGCAAAGAAACAACTCCATTTGCACACCACCAAGGTTAGCTCGGACAACAACGTTCAGCTTTGAAATTTGTTTACCTTCACAAAGGACACCATTTCCAGTATATCCTTGGTTGCAGGTACAAGTGTAGGAACCAAGCGTGTCTACACAAGTGGCTTGAGCATGGCATGGATCATTTCTGCATTCGTTGATATCTGTGCATGGTATTAAGGCGACAAATAAGATATTATCCTAATCAAGGACTCGATAATCACTTAAAAATATTAGCGCTTCTAGGTTCCTTCATTCATTAAAAATGTTTAAATTTGAACATGTTCCATGCACTCGCCATGCAGGCATGTAAAGCTAAATTTTTTATGGTGGTGATGTATACAAGACAATAATATTAATTTTTTGGGTCATATACACAGTCTGACTCAAGCTCTTTACCGAAGTTATCGTTATATAATAAAGATTTGTAGGAAGAATATTAACTATATAGCACCGGTCCACACCCATGCACTGCCACAATACGAGTCAAAAGTTAAAATTGAACGCCGGCCTCTGTAAAATTGTGTTGGTAGATGTTCACTCACACTGAGAATGATTGAACATGTAAGAGAAGTAAAGCAAATCCATGTTCTCATAATTGATGATACAGTTGAAATACTAACATCGAATAAATAATTATAAGGTTAATCTCGCTAAATTTGTCAGCGTGACTGATGAGCTCTTAAAATGCAGATGTAAGTCTAACACAAAATCAGTAATATTTTATTGATCAAAGCAATTTATAACGTAAAGGTCGATAAACGAAAAAAGAGAATGTTTACTTACTGACACAGGTGACTCCGTCTCCGGCGAATCCAGAGTTACAATTACAAAGATAACTGCCTCGTGTGTTTGTACATGTAGCGTTTGTGTCACATGGGTTATTATCGCATTCATCAATATCTAAATAAAAGGGAAAATGATTTCACATACCATAGAAAAAAGCTTATCAAACGGTCAGTTCCGCCAGAATAACAGCAAAGATTTCTGTAAAACTATAATAAGTATTAGCTTTTCTCATTTGTTCTTTTTCTGTGTTATATATAATTCAGTGAAAAGTCAAACAAAGTACCTTATTTTGAAAGAATTTCGTTTCGTCTGGATCAAGGCCATAAACCAGTCATTGACTGGTATGTATGGAAAAATAAACTATTGCCTCACCTGCACATGTTAATCCATTTCCTATGAAACCTGTTTTACAAGTACACGTGAAAGAACCAGGAGTGTCAGCACAGACCGCATCAACACTACAAGGACTCAATGTCGTACATTCATCGATATCTTAAATAAATAAAAACTTTTATATAAAAACGGGTTCATCCTTCAGAGAAATTGAATTTGAAAGTTGTATCAAAATTTGCAGCACTGATGTATCATAAAAACTAACGGTATTTTAATAGATTTTAATGGCTCAATAATTAGACACTTACTTGTGCAAGTAAATCCATCTCCTTTATAGCCTGTGTTACACGTACACGTGAAAGTACCTGGAAGATCATCGCACTTGGCATTTGGGTCACAAGGATCTGTCAAACACTCGTTGATATCTGTTGATGATAAAAGCAGTTAGTACTGATATTCTTAGAAAATCCCATGAAATTACTATTCAATATGTTAATTTTAAAAACACAAAAACATATATTTAACAGCACGTATTGAAATTTCACTACTCTGCATACTCTCAGTCTATACTTACTAATACAAGCGAAACCATCTCCAGAATAGCCAGCATTACATGTACATGTAAATGATCCTACGGTATTTACGCATTTCGCTGAATTATGACATCTGTTCGGATCCAAGCATTCGTCAACATCTAAAAAAAACATCGTCTTAAACTCGTGTTATGAACTTAAAAACTGGCAAAAGCAAATATGAACCAACAAACCAAGGTAAAAAAACACCTTGTATCAAAAAAGGTATGCTGCAAATATTTCAAATTAAACCGTATTATACCTAGACAGATGAAGCCATTTCCGGCATACCCGGTATCACAGGTGCAGGTAAACGATCCATCAGTGTTTTTACAAGTGGCGAATTGATGACACGGATTGCCGTTACATTCATTGATATCTGAACAAAACAGGTAAATATATTGGTAACAAACAAGAAGCAGCGTGGTCTTTGGACGTCCTAACAAATAAGATGAAACAAAGAACCTCTGCGCTTTGTCACACATGCAAACTGTCCTGAGGAAGGCTTAAAGGTCGGAAAGACCAGAGATTTTCCTATTTAAGCAATTTTTTCCACCATATTTATAGAAAAACTTGATATTTAAGAACGTAGAAGGCTGTGCGTTCTGGTTTCTGAAGAAACAATCGATAACCTAAAGGTCCGTTCAACGGATGTTTAATAGTCTGTTGACTTGCAATGTATGTGGGCAGCAAATCAAACCAACGCAGTATTGCTTTATCAGTAACTGACTTCATTCCATACGTCAAAAGTGAATTGGATCTAACAAAATTGGATCGTGTGAATAGACCTTAAAACAGCAGTGTTTGATTTATATTCATCTATTTCCTCTTTCTGAATAAAAGTCTGATTTTTTGGAAACATTCAGCATGGATCGAACGTTTGCGCACTGCACTCACCATTACATGTTGTTAAACCGTTTCCAGCATAACCAGGTTTACAGCTACAGTTAAAGCCTCCAAATGTATTTGTACAGATTGCATTTACATGACAAGGGTTTCTGTTGCATTCCCCGATATCTGAAAAGCAATTGGAAAATGAAATAGTTTGTGCCCGTGAGGTACGTCAGGTGCGGATTAACTTGATTAGTCCATTTACTGAGAGATCTCTATTAATAAAAACCCATAACATATGTGGTGATACCAGACGTACCGGTACAGTTGACCCCGTCTCCATTAAAGCCTGCTTTACATGTACACTCAAATGATCCAGGTGTGTTCGTGCAGATTGCTAACGTATCGTGACAATTGTCAGTTCCAAGAGTACATTCATCATCGTCTACAGGTGGAAAATTAAGAACAAGAAGTCACGTTAGCAATAAATTTATAATAGATTTCCTCACTGCCCTCAAAACATTTTAATCAATTCTGTTTAACAACTATAACATGGCTTTAGATAATTACTTTCAGTGTGCATTTAAATTTTAGCCTAACAGCAATATTTCGGTGGGAGAATTACGCGACAGGTATTATAACGAACGTACAAAGGAAATATCTTACCAACACACACACGCCCATTTCCAGAGTATCCAGGATTACAAGCACAAGTATAAGAGCCCTCAGTGTTTGTGCACGTGGCAATACCCACAGCACAGTTATCAAGATTATTAAGGCATTCATCAACATCTAAATGATGCATATTAAAAGCATGTCAGGAAAGATACATCACAGGTCTTCTATAGGTTATTTTAACACACGTTCAAATTGGGATCAATGTTAATAGGAAATAAACTGAAATTAATAACTCTGCCCTAAATGGGTTTATTCATCTCAATGGGTTCCCCAAAAAGCAGGGTGTAAACTAAATTTACTGTGCAGGTAAATGACAGGAAAGTCTCGTTTTCGTGTTAAAAACAATTACCTCGACAGTTTACACCATCTCCTTCATACCCTGCATTACATCGACATTCAAATGAACCGATGATGTTGGTGCAGGTGGCAAATTGATGACAGTCATCAGTATTCCGATTGCACTCATCAATATCTGTTGTCAAAGGAATGTGAATAATTAGCAGTTTCAACCGGCTTTATTACAAGTAGTCATTTTTTGTGTGAAGTTGTTTGTCATGAAAACGCATGTCATATTTAGTTCAAGTTCATTTTCAAATGGGTTACCTGTTTACTACAAAAGAGTGCATGATTACGGACGTGACATACCATTACAAGTTCTTCCATCTCCAGTGTAGCCTGTATTACAGATGCACTTAAACGATCCTTGTGTATTTGAACACTGTGCATTGCTGTGACAATTATCTTGGTTTAATAAACACTCGTCAATATCTACAATTTAAGATATATATTGAACAAGTGACATATATTTACTGTGCACTAATTTCTCTACCCCCAAATTTCCGCTTCGAAGGACAAAAATTTCACTTCCTATATACAGGGTGTCTCAAAAAAAACGCAACCACTTAAATATGCAAGAATATTAATATTGTTCGGGTTTGCACCATAGTTGAGCTAAAATGCTTTTAGCATTTTATATAAAGGATTAAAAGCCATTTTCAATTCCCAGAGGTGCTTATCTATTGTGCTTTAGAGCTGTATTAATGTGCTTCCATATTTAAGGTTGGTTGCGTTTTTTTTGAGACACCCTGTATACTATATACACTTTCTAAAAATTGGTGAACAATTTTTATAATTATATAGACTTCAATGAATATAAGTTTTCATAGATGCACACGGTTCATCCACAATAATATATACCTGAACAAATGACTCCATTTCCATTGTATCCTGCTTTGCAGGCACATTGGAATGATCCCACAATGTTGGTACAGTTGGCGTTGGTATGACAATTGTCCATATTTCTTCCACATTCGTCAATATCTAAATAAAGTTGCGCAGATTATATCAGTTAAACGGTTATGGTAATTACTTTGTATTTCCAGGTAATATTGCTCTGTTGCATATCATATCATGAAATCTTTAATCTGAAGACTTCAGCAATCTTATTTTGACTAAAGTTATATACATTCATAACATATTCGCTAACTATGTAAAGCGTTCGTTAGCTGACCATAGAGAATCAGTTCCATATAACTGCTGCATATCATATGCGTCACCTACCATCACAATTGGTACCATTTCCTTCATAACCAACATGACAATTACAGGTAAAAGAACCAATCGTGTTCGTGCAATCAGCTTTCACGTGACAATTGTCAGTATTAGCTGCACATTCGTCGATATCTAAAAAATACATCACATAAGGTATAAAGCTGGTGCAAATAAGAGACAACCTCACAGTCACATCTTATAGTCTTTTTTGCTTTACAAATCTGGCATCGTGTAAACGAGTCCCAGATTAAACAAAATTTGAATAACAGCTTACTAGCTTACCTTCGCAGTATGTACCATTCCCAGCATATCCAGTTTTGCACACGCAGGAAAATGCCCCGAAGCTGTTAAAACAATTGGCATGTATATGACAGTTATGTAAACCAGAATCGCATTCGTTGATATCTGAAAAACAAAACCAGAACGTTTCATTTCGCCAAAAAATAATTTTGTAAATAATAATTTTAGGCAGTTTCTTAAGCTAAATTGTCTCTCGATGTTGCATGAGTTTCTGTATACTTACCAACACAGACACCGTTTAGTAGCCTTAAACCGGATCCACACTGGCATATGAACGATCCCTGGGTATTAACACAAGTTGAGGAGCTTGGGCAGTTGTGAGTTGCACGTGCACACTCATCAATGTCTGTTAAATAAAGCAGAGATTGGCATTTTATTTACAACTAAAGGTCCAGGTATTATTACACTATTGTATAGGACGTAAAAACGTCTGGCGAAAAACCATTGCTTCTTCTCTTCTCTCTCCCTTTTTTTGTTTTTTAATACATTGTCCTACCAGCCAAGACAAGGAAGAACTAGTTCCTACCCCGAAAGTGATAGTCCAATGTTACTTACAGTACAGTGAACTGATAGACGTTGCACAACGATCAGAAAGCGGATAAGAGACTGTTTTTACATAACATCATTTCACATCTCAAATAATTGTATTCATCCCAAATATGGTTTTACTATTTACGTAACCGTTGTACAAAGGACTAGTTGATGGGAATATTTTTTTGGTTAGTCTTGGGAAATGTTGGAAAGCCAGGAGTCGGGCAGTATTACTACCATTCTATGACAATTAAATATAATAAAAACGTCAATGACTATTTTGCTCCAGCGTTAAGTCATCATACCTGTGCAACTGACTCCATTTCCTTCAAAACCAGTCTTACAAGTACAGGTAAAGGATCCTCTTGTGTTTGCGCAATTTGCGTTTGGATCACAATTATGTGTACCCAATATGCACTCGTCGATATCTGCAAATTATTATATACAATATTATTTCTTAAATCACTGATTTCACAAGTCGGATATGACAAGTTTCATTATTCTGTTCGTTTAAGTCATTTCTCAGAGTGTTTTGACCGCGTTCATAAAATTTTTACAATGGCTTGCTGATCCAAAATCCAAACATTGCTTTTGTATTTGTGTGTTTTCTCTACTGATATTTGGAGTATTTTTAGGTTGACTTATTAGTTGGTCTCCGTTTTCATGCCATTTGTTGGTTAATTAGTTTGCTAATTGTTTGCTTCAATTGTTCAAAGATTCGTCAGTCGCTCAAACGACTGGAAACGTTTAAGATAAATCAAAATAAAAAAAACTATACCTGTGCATGTTCTGCCATCTCCACTGAAACCAACTTTACATCTACAAGTATAACTTCCCATTGTATTCTCACAAATGCCATCTGAACTACATGTGTCTATATTCGTCGCACACTCATCAATGTCTTAAAAAAAGAACTGTTGTGTGAAAAAAACGAGTCTTCGTTTGAAAACAATACAATAAAAAGGAAATTTAGGAGAACTTTACTATCTTAATAAAATATATGTTTACCTGTACAAGATACTCCATTGCCTTGGAATCCAGTCTTGCACTGACATGTAAATGAACCAATGGTATCTGTACACGTGGCGTTCACATGACATTTGTGAATTCCAAGAGCACATTCGTTGATGTCTATAAGAAAGTAGTATATTTTTATAATTCCAAAAACGATGACAACAGAGGGTGTCAATCCAGTTAACGGATGATGGTTCCTTTCTGCATCTTAGCGTGTCGATAACAAAATATTGACACTGACTGACAAGCGTATGAGCAAAGTGAGGGAACATAAACGAGATTGTAAAGTTGTAAATGTAAACGATCAAAACTACAGAATAAACGTTCCCAGTATTTATTTCGGCTCGTGTTTCGCGCGCTTTTCTTAACTCTCGCAACATTCCCGTTTGGACGATCAGGCCATCCAAACACGGAAACTATTAAGTAATTGTATAGTCTTGCTTAATAATTGCATGACCTTAAATGTCTAAAATTGGAATTATACGATTTAAGATGGGAACTTCTATACACGTGAAGGAATATCGGTCAGTGATCCATCGACTAAACCATCTCGCTGAGAATATAACTGAAGAAACTTACTGTCACAAACGACTCCATTTCCAGAAAAGCCAGGTTTACAAGCACAGCTAAAATTACCAGGATTGTTTGTACACTGAGCATTAGCGTCACAATTGTCAGTTTGTTCCGCACACTCGTCAATGTCTAAAAAATATCAATCAGGCCATTAATTAATCGAACAAAAGAACCAGGAGTGTCAAATAACTTTTACTATCGATCAATCATCGTTTTCAAAACAATTTGTACTTTTGAACCTGACTTTCATATGTCATCATTCATCGACGATGTTTTACGACCCGTTATCGAATTTTTCGCACCAGTGACCTCAGACAAAGGGAATCCCAGATTCTTGGGACAAGTGTGAACAAGCCCTTAAGCCTGGACTACAGGGTGTATAAAAACCCCTGCAAATTCAGATAGGTTCGCTTCTATTTAATAACAAGAGCTCGTAGGCCCCTGGAAATTATTAGGGTTGCAGTTTTTTCTATGCACCCTGAATACCGGACGGTGCATGAAAATGACTTGTTCACGACAACTACGACTAAATGGAAACCAGGCTCAAGCTCAACATTCACTCTCACCACAATCGAGAAGCGTTCAGCATTCTCCCACATCACGACATCAGGTTATTGACCGTATCTTACTCACCTACACAAGTCCTTCCGTCTCCACGGTAACCGTCATTGCAAGTACAAGTGTACGATCCCTTGACATTGAAACAACGTCCATTTTGTCTGTCACAGAGATCGGTGCCCTGTGCGCACTCGTCAATATCTGCGTGAAATATATACATCACATTTCAATTTTTTTTCACTTTCGTCAAATTGGGACTTCCAGCCACGATGTAGGTTATGTTAATATTTGAGCGCAAAGGCGAAACCAAACCCAAAAAGTCAAGCATGCAATATAATATTTGTAAAACGCCCTTCATATAGGGCTTATTCTTGCCAGTTTTTTTAAATAGTTATCATAATTTGACATTTCTATTTTGCCCGGCTAAAATCATGCATGATTCATACATACCTGTACATACAAGACCGTCTCCTGTAAAACCTGGTCGACAAGCACAAAGGAATGATCCTTCTGTATTGGTACATGTCGCATTCAAATGACAATTGTCTAAATTGAGCTGGCATTCATCGATATCTACGAAAGAGGAAAAATAAAACCAAATTAATGAAACCCGAACACTCCACCCAAGTCACATAGTGTTGGGCAAACATTGAAACAAAAACGTCAGAAAGTTTTAAAGACAAATAAAATGTGCGGCAAAATACAAACCTGTACACGTCACTCCATCCCCTGTGTAACCAATCTTACAGGCGCAGGTAAATGATCCGATCGTATTAGAACAAGTTGCTTGACCGTCACAGTTGTCAGTTCCAAGTGCGCATTCGTCAATATCTTAAAAAAGCCATAAGAATTGTAAGAAAATGTATGGCGTTCATTTCGTGTCTCCTGACTGTTTAATATCAAAGAATTCAAGTACACGGTGAGTCGAACTTATGACTGGTTTGGTTTACCAGAGAATACCCTGATGTCCAACATGACGCACGAATAAAATGCATTTCTCTCCCCAGGAAAACATGTTTATTATATTAATTATTCACTACAACCAATCTCTGTCAAATCACAGCCGCTGCGCATGTGCAACAAATTTGAAAGTTTTTATGTTGAAAAGAGCGACAAAACACGAAGTGTATAATACCTACCAACACAGTTAGTGCCATTTCCACTGTATCCAGCATTACAAGCACATGAAAAGGACCCAGGGTTGTTGTTACATGTCGCTCGGGTGTTATGACAATTATCTGTATTACTAGCACATTCATCGATGTCTATATGAAGATAATATCTTTAGCGGTGTTCTAATAGTTACATAGAAATGAAAATGCGACCATGCACCAGAGGACTGGTCTGCTTGGAACAAATACAAAATATACAAAATATAGATATAGTAAGATATTGCGATGAAGGCTGGCAAATGCTTCATTACATTATTACCTCACAGAAAGACTAGTTCACAATCATCAAGATCGTAACTTACCAATACAAGAAAATCCATTTCCAGTCCAACCAACGTTGCACGCACATGTGTATGATCCATGGTTGTTTGTGCAGCTAGCTTGAGTATGACAGTTGTCAGTATTAAGGACGCATTCGTTGATATCTAAAAAGTAAAAATTTTTAGGATTTGAATTTGAAGCAATGACAAAAAAATGATATTACGCCAAAAAATTATGGGGATAAAATCGCCTTCCCTAAAGTGCACCATACATATTGAATTTTTCATATCGATAAAAATGTTTAAGCCTGGTTAAGCCTAGTCCTCGTAGGCCTCGTAGGTGACAAATAAAAACCAGGCTTCAAAGACTCACGTAGAACATGACACGTATAAAATATAGCTATAATCAGAGTAAAGTTTGAAGCAACGATTATTACCAAATGCTTATCAATTTTTTAGATTTCGTGTATTATAGGTCTCGGACATTATAAACATCTCCACTGGCTGTTAATTAAGTAGCTACCTTCAAAATGTGACCTGTTCCAATCGCAATCCGGTACCGTGTGCCCGGGCCCTAAGACTGCCTAAGGAATTGCAGTCGTGATATGTGATAAAATAGCTCTGCTCGTGTTTTAAATACGCAGTCACAATACCAACCTGTACATGTTTTTCCATCGCCTGTAAAACCAGTTTTACAAGCGCACCTAAATGAACCAATCGTGTTTGTACATGAGGCCTCGTTGGTGTTAGGATGACAGTCGTGAGTACCAGTTGTACACTCGTTAATATCTTGAAAAAAAAGTTTAGCGATTAACTTTGAATAACAAAAAATTACGACACTGACAGGGGAAGGAAAAGACAGAAATCATTTTGTCATACTGATGACACCGAACGGCCCACCACATTGGCATATACTATTGTACAATTCCAAAGTTTAAAGACTGCAACATCGTATTGTGTTTCACAATGACTTGCACAAAGAGCAAAAATAAATACCATCACAAATGACTCCATTTCCAGTAAACCCAGATTTACATTGACAAGTAAACGAACCAAATATGTTAGTACATGTGGCATTAACATGGCAATTATGTAGATTGAGAGTACACTCGTTTATGTCTAAAATAAAAAAAAATGAATCTGAAGATTGCTATATACGGATGAAACCGACTGTAGTGGACGAGCAATGGTAAGCAATGCTTTTATATCTGCTCTATCTATTCGGTACAAAATACGTAGCTAATTTTCTCATGTGGGTAAAAAATGTAATATAGATGGAGTACGTGCGACTTTAGTTATAACTGTAAATAAGCTATATTCAAACAAGCATTTTTCCTTGACAGTACGAAAGATAAACCCAAGTATCTTTGCCGTCGTCCATGTATAATTAATTACTCGACCCACCATTACAAGATAGACCATCTCCACTATAACCAGCCCTGCATGTACAAGTGAAACCTCCTTGTGTGTTTGCACAATTAGCATTTTGACCACAGTTATCAATATTTAACAAGCATTCATCAATATCTTAAAATGAAAAGTATATATTTATTGTTAATTAAAAACAAATGGAAGAGTATTTACTACATTTTATAAAATTAAAACTGTAAAGGTGGAGGAATAAGTAACATCCATCAATAATTAGCAATACCTTCTATACTGTATTTGTTGTCTCCATCAATAAGATAAGTTAATTCCAAAGGGAATATAGTAGCATATATCTTCACATTAAATTCATTAGCGCATTTGTAAAAATGGTTTCGCTGAAAAACCTACCTGTGCAAGTTCTTCCGTCTCCAGAATAACCTGTCTTACACTGACACGTGAATGAGCCAATAGTGTTTGTACAGTTAGCATTCGGGCTACAGTCATCAGTCTTTAATACGCATTCATCGATATCTAAATGGAATAAAAAAATTGCTCTATTAATGAGATATATCTATTATACCGGGCAGGTTTGGGGTATGATAGGGAAGAGATCAGAACACAAATTGAGTTTGAGGGTCTTACCTGTACAAGTTCGTCCATTTCCAGAGAAACCAGTATGACAAGTACAAGTATATGAACCGATTGTGTTGGTACAGTTTGCGTTAGCATCACAAGGGTTCGTGGAACATAATTCTACAATAACAATAAAATTTTATAACAATAAATATGTCTCCCTTATGGAATTACATGCTCTTAAGTATGCGAAATAAAATTATTTGAATATTCCAACTTTTTTAATAAGAAGCAATATCCTACTAACCACAAATAGTTGGCGTGGAATATTTTAGTGCCAAAGCAATCCTATGAAGAGGCCAAGAGACGAAATTGCCACAAAGGCGGAACGAGCTAACATTTTTCCAGCTTATTCCAAACAGGAAAGATGTGAATTCAGATGACCATCCATACATGCAACGCAACTGTTCTGCGGTCAGTCCAACGCGATTCTGGATTGTTTCACCAACAGTTTCACTGTCAATATTTCCAAATGTTGTTCCAAGTCTCGTTAACAAATCTTCAAACTTCTCCGTTTCCAAAACGATCTTTTTATTCATCAGTGGTACGGCTGAGGTTTGATACAGTGTTTGATACCCAGACATGGTTCTTTGGTATATTTCTAATACTGTGGTACCCAAGCATGACGCCAAATGAGTTACTGTGATTACAAAGGTACTGGGTGCGCTGCCAGTTTGAACTCTAATTGAAGATGTTCCATCTGCAAGTGTCACAACTGAAACACCACCTGTTCCTGCTGTAAGATTTGTCGAGAAAGCTATCGATAGTTGATCAAATGATTTCTCAATAGCTGCTTTTACCAGTCGGTACCATTCAAATGAGGGAAGATTAATGGCAACATATTTGTCCACGCCTGCTGGATTAAACTTGCTTAAAAATTCAACAATATCGTATCGCAGGTATAACGCTTCAAATACGAGACTGTGAGCCTCTTGTATCGTTAAATCGTCAATTTGAGCCCCAGTTCGTCCTGTTAAGGAGGCCAGACTGGATTTCGAAAAGCCATACGTTTGCAACAAGAGTGAAAGATATTGCTGATAATTGTTCTTCATAATGTCACTCAATGCACTGGAACTATTTAAAGTTCTGATTGCGTACGCGATTTGTGGAACCGAATAGGTGAGGATTTGAGCATTGGAGAGGCTTTGGGCCAGTTGAACTTGAGAAACAAGAGGAGTCTCCATCCAAATACCTTCCGAAATTGTGAACAGCAACTGATAAAAATCAAACCAGCTACTAATACCACTTGCGTTTCTTACAATGTTTAAAATATTTCTGTCCGTGATCGTAGCAAGATTGAATCTGACCTCATCTTCACCCAAAGATCGAGATAAAACAAAGGCAACATTACATGAAGGAAGTGTAGTTTGATATCCAAATATTGTCTTAGATAGATCAAAGGCAGAGCCAACAGTTGACAAAGGAATGCATTGAGAGAAATAACTGGACAACATTATATTTTCTATGGCGAAAAGCTGTGCCGATTTCCATCTGTATAATATCTCAAGATGACGTACTGAGAACTTGCTTATAGTATTTGCATAGTATGCCATAGTCTTAGATTGCCATTCAGCAACCGTCATTCCTGCTATAGCAATGGAGAACGTTTGATTTTCAAACAGATTCTTACGAGCAACCAAGTCGTCAAACGCCGGGAAAAATATGTCATCGAGTTGATTCATGTTATAGCCGTACAATGTTTCATTATTTGTGTTTAAAAGTTCCGCCAGTTCAGAGACAGTTACACCAAGTTGATCAGCACGGCATTTTATAGCTGCAGAAACGATATGTGGTACAAATAAAGGCCATTGGTCATTGATCACTCTTAAAGACGAAAGATTTAGCATTTGTTCCAAGACTGTCATGTTGAAACAAAATTTCTTCTCCATTGCTTCAACAGCAAATGCATGAATTTCTCCAATTGTCTTGCCCCCCAAATTTGTTAGGTCTATCACGGTAAGAGCAGTGTAATCTCTAAGATCTTGATCTTTCATGGAATAACAAACCGTGCAATTATATAACTTTTGTATCTCGAGCATCTCGATTGTGAGTTGACCCCGGTCAAGCAGTACGTAAGCGTCAAGAATTACTGTATTAAGAGTAGAGTCCACAATAACATTGAATGGACTTATCCCCTCTCCTACGCTCCTTGGTGTCTGCCAAACATCATAGGTTGTCACTTTATCAAAATATTCTTGGTTAAAAGCTTTAAAATTGTTTAAAGTTGGTGCAGGAAAGGTATTTAAGGGTGCACTGAGAATAGGGATACGAAACGTCCCATAGGCATTTCCCAAAATGCTCAACAACAGAAGTGCGGAGAGCAACATCATTTCTGAAACAATAGTAATAAAATTGAACTTAGTAAGAAACATTATTAAGCTTTCAAAAAGTCATGTTTAACATTTAAGGTGTTTAAGCTTTACATTCTTATAAATTATTCAAGCGAAATATTTTTAAACGTCATTTCTTTTCATGTTCCTACTTTCAAATCCCATTAGCGTTAGTAACAGGTGAAAGTCGTGAATGCCGGCCTGGGGGGGTCATGGCGACATACATATGTTTACGAAGTTTCTCTCCAAGACACCTATCTGCTAAATCGAAGTTGGAAAAGAAGCACAGTGACCCTCTATTTAACTATATCGAAGAAGAGAGCATAGTGAAAATGCAAAATTAATATAGTCGCAACATAATTTATATGTTGTACAATATGTACGCTCTTTTCCTCATGAAAAACAACTCATTTCGTGATTGAGGATTAAGTATCAGCGTGGGTTCGATTCCTTTCGGAGGGCTGATAGTTGATAGATATTTTTCAACTGTTCCTAGTTGTTTCTCACAAGTAAAAATTCGCTAAAAATTCTGTGTGAAAGGTTTCCACACAGTTTCCAAGTTTTATTATACGGTTTCCAAGCTAAATTATGAGCAAACACAATTCGAGTATTATTATACTGTCAGAGATTTCAAAACTTCAACACGAGCCCCTGGTGCTCCCTTACAACCCTATGTAATTTATTTTGTTACAATGTATTTTGTATGTAACAGTTTGGTATTTTGCGATGAAGAAAACTGAAAACCGCGCAAAAGGGATTGGTGCGAAATCGATGTTGTGATGTCACAATAGGAACCTGTCTAGGACATTCATGCGAAAAGCATTAGAAAAACATTATAGCATCAGCGTACGTAAGGGGGACATTGTTTCAATTGCATCCGACGCGACCCAAAGTGCAACGTGTAACCTATATAGGCCAGGGGCCGGTTATTCAAAGCTAGGTTAGCGCTAACCCTGGGTTAAATTTTAATCCTCTGTTTTTGTTTACGTGCTTCTGCGCCGCCGTTTATTTCAAAACTTTACAAAATATGATTTCTATTGAGCCATAAAATACTCATGATAAAAATATTCAACTTTTATGAAAAAGCGATGAAAAAATAGATGTAAGAATCTGCGTTAACCCTGGGTTAAGTTAACCGGCTTTTGAACAAACGGCCCCATATAGACACTGAAAATTCATTCAATAAAAGAAGTTGTTTTCTTTTGTTGTTGTTTTTTTTTATCAAATCACAGCTTTTCACATCCGTAAAGAACATCACGCTCTAAACGTTTGGCGGTGTTTGATCATGAAAGAATATCACCCCACAACGGATGTTAGTTAATTAAGAGTCACTTGCATGACTGTACACTAAAAATGTTGACGAACAATTTGTTTGCAGATACTTTTAAAAAATTCAAAATTTAAACCTAAATTTATTGTAAATTCAATTGAATTACAAAAATGTTTCTTGTTCTAACCTTACAAAGTCCTCTCAAAGTAAAATAGAGAAGATTTCGAGAAAGATAGCACTTAATATACAACTAAAACGTAAATCCCCCATAAAATGCCCTATATAATCAACTATAAATTATATAAACATGCATGTTGGTGCTCAGCCTTTTTTCCTATTTTAGAATTTTAGACTGCAAGTACGCAAAGCATCCTGGACACAAACATCGATCCTGGTTTTCTTCTGTGGTTTGTTTAATACAAAATATAACACAAATGATATAAGCAAGTAATAATATATCCTATAGGGAAAGCCCGAGTCTTTATCGTCTGAAAACCCCGGCTATGATAATATTTGCATGTCATTGAAACATGGAAATTCCTACATATTGTTAAAAACAATGAAGGTTTTTCTAGCATTGCCCAATTCTAACGGCAAGTTAAGTCAATTGAAATGCCACAGTAGGTGACCAAACACTTTCATAATAAAAAACATTCCAATTAAATGACTCACGCAAATATTCTCAAGGCCAGAACACCAACGGCATGCAATTATAAACTGAACGTTCCCCAAATGAAAGCTCCAAATTTGATTCAGCAAAAAGCATGACCCACGATATAAAAAAAAACTATTCTCTATACATTCATTATTCAACTCTATTGAAATGTAGGAATAAATTATGTGCAGAAATTAGCATAATCTAAAGATTATTTCGAAAAGCTAAAATTGAATAATATTCGTGCGGTCTAACATGAGATTTGTTTCAGATTTAAAGAAATATGGAAAAATCAAAAATCATAACGTATCTCTTTTTATTGTTGCAAGGTAAAAGCGCATGATAGTTGAAAGTTCCTCGTCATGGATGCTTGATTTGTAACACTGACGACTAGCAATAAATAAATATAAGTTTCAAAAATACCTCAAGAGAAATGTAGCTAACTCCTGGACGAGTAATGAATTTTCGAGACGAATAAGGACTAGAGGAAAAAGAAAAAAAAAGTCATAATTGAACAATTAACTGAAACCAGTGTATTTTAAAATCCTTAGTAATAGATTAACATATATTTACTATGTATACAATAGGGTTCTTTCATAAAAAAAGTTCTTTCATAATCATTTCATTAGAGACCTGGCTAAATAATAGCGGTCACATAAAAAATTCTAAAGTTTAAATTTGGAAACCGGCGCTACCTAACAGATGGTGTACATACATTCGCTGATTCTTTTAACGGCAGGAAAATGGCACAAAAGTAACCTTAACAAAATTTAAGATATATAGGGGAAAAATTTGAACGTTATATAGCTATCTAACTTTGTTCTTGCATGATGTGTGTACAAAAAGATACGTCAATAGCACCAAGTATATATATGCGAAATTTACAAAAACAACATTAGAATAAAATGATATAAAGGTCAATTTATAAGTTAAAGACGTGTGTGGTAGCGTCCATATCTAAAAAGTATTCAAATCGTTTACGTTTAAACTGTGCAATTGTCTTTTGATCTCGTATGTCCTTTGGTAATGAATTCCAATCTCTGGCAGCAAAGGTGTGATAATGAGGCCCCGTTTACACTATACACGTTTATACGCTTATCTCTGTCCCCGAACTTTTATGTTAAAGCAATCATGCTATCATAATTTCGGTGTTCAAACTTGCTATGGCATAGCTATTTTGATGTCATTGACATGCGAATCCGGTTTATTGTAACAGGGCCTATAAATTCTAGACATTAACCACGGTATGCTTCGAAGTGGCGTTTCACACGGTATGTGATGGATAGAAAATTAAGCTTCTCATATTATTGGTGTGCCGCGGCGCAATGATGGACAAGTTGGTCATGTGTCAAATGTACTTATATCAGAGTAACGTTCGTTCGTCACTTAAATCACAGTTAAATCGATCTAAACATAGCTAATCATAACGGTGCCGTATACTCCAATTAATAAAACATGCAGCTAAGACCCTACGTGCTAAACATGACACACCAGAGTTGGCTTTGGGCATGTGTCTAAGTACATAAATTTCAATTAACTTACTTTGAGATCTTTACAAGCGTTTTATAAACACCAAGGGTCTTCAGCAGTGTCTTCACCTCCGTGGGATGCAAGACTAAAAGGGCGTCACATATAATATGAAAATATGTAATGAAATCCAGGACTCCTACTGTGAGTTTGTGGGAGTTGCATAGGAATGCATAGGAATGTATTCGAGAACGATCAATCTACTTCTAACACAATCTAGATTTAAATTCATTTTCGATAATTCTGTTCTTACAATCTTGCTAAAATCAAGCCACGTATTTTAAATTATATATAGCTACGTGTGTTTTTATCTGTTTCGTTCTGCAACGCCAACAGGCAACGGAAGAGTATCGTAAAATTTATATGTTGCTTCATTACTTTGGGAGGACCTTGAAAATTTCTTGGCTTTTACCAAATTAATACAGATGAATAAGCTTCCCACGAAACACGAAACAATTATAAGAAGCGTAATAGGATACTTTGTGGTGTAAATATATATGTGATCAAGAAAAAATCAAGCATTGATAAAATCGAATGCCGTCAAAACTTAATTACATAGAATTTCAATTCTTAAGACTTAACATAATTGCACAAATACTCAAAATTTGTTGTTGCAAGAATTGCATATTGTATAGTGCAGTAATATTTATGACAAATTCCAAATGTTATGAATGCCAGCAAGCATATAAACTGTTTTATGCAACAATGTAAATGTCAATGCTGACAATGCATCGTAGACAATTCATTAGTATAAAGAAGTGTGAACAGACTGGACGAACGTCAGGGAATTTTCAGTTGTAATGAACATGGCTAATTTCGATGTCAAAAACCAAAAAAAGATTCTTTAAAAACTTCATTTCAAAATTTTAAACTTATACTGCATCAAAACTGATGTTCGCTAGCCTAATCTGTTAATTAAAGCCGGTGTCAAACATGCAAAGGCTGGACACGTAACGAAGATAACACGAGAAAATGAAAATACTGAGAGTTGTTCATTAAGGATGGGGAGATGCCTGTATATTGTAGAGTATCGAATATAAAAAACGATGATTGAATCCCACTTGCATGAAATAATTTAAAAACATTGTAAATAGTGAGTGACATTGCATGTATAGGTTATATATAGTAACTATAAAACTGCATGCCACATATTTAAAGAGATAAAATCTATAGAGTGTAGTTAATATCCGGAAATGTATTGTTTGGTGCACAGAAATTAGCATTTGATTAATAAACCAATGTTCAGACAAAATATTTAGACACAACATGCAAACTGAGAAACATAAATCAAATTCCATCACGTTATAGCTGTTAAAACTAATGACTACTCGTGAATAACGACGTTCCTTATGCTATATCGTATATATAATAATATGAGCAGTCTTCCAGTTATTGACAAATATATATTTGTTGTTATCTTTATCGACATCGTATGCCCTAATTTTTGATTCGTCATTTTTTTCACTGTGATCCGTCATGTTTCTTCCCGTCACGGCAGGACAAAAAAAACGTGAAGGTACACCCACTGGTGGTCAGTGGTCACTTGCTCTGCATACCCGCCAACCAAAGGTTTAGTTTGACCCTCAACTAAGGTGAGAACGGGAGTCCCACACAGCTTGCAAATGTCTAGCTCCTACTGCGTTTGCGCTGGTTTTATACTGCAAAATCATCTCAAGTTTCGCAGAAATTTTTCTCTTTATCAGCCTGCATGGTTGTTGTATTAAACGTGTATGTTAACAAAACTTTCTCTTTCATTTGTTTTGACATAGAAACATACAATTGTAGCTATATACCTGAGATGACTTGGGATGCACTAGGAACATTTCCATTTTGCATGTATGAACTGTATGCTTGCGCATCATAAGCCATCATTTAATATTTCAGTTTAGCTATGACAACTGTAATAGTATTGCAACAGCTATATTTGCCTGATGGTCATGCAGATAAGAAAATCTTACCACTTAAAAGTACAAAAGATATAAGCTTCAGTATGCAAATCGTTTTAGGATTAAACGTGATTCGAATTAATCTATAATATATAACAAAATATAACTATAAAAATAAAATATGGAGATAACTTTTTACTGCTTTTTGTGCATATGTTTGTCTGCATGGTGTCAGAACCTAGATGTAAATTTACAAAAACTTATCTAGTTTACTTTCTAAATTAAATCTGGAAAAATCATTTGGGTGTATTATGGCGTGCGCAGAAGTTTATGTTCGCTGAAGAAGTTAATTCTTGAGTAATAAATACTGGTTGTCATATTCCTACAACAAATTTAACAATCGCGTGTGTTTAAATATGTTACCGCCTTATACGATGCGTGCTGAGTCGTAATCTTCAATAGTTTAACGCCTCTGCAAGTTGATACCGCTGAAATACTTAAGCATTGTGTAGTTCACCTCATGCAGCTTCTGCGGAAACCACAGTTTTATTTGCTTTCTTTGTTGAAGACGTCTGACAATTTGAATACGTCGAATACTTTCCAGAAGAGATATGTCAACTAATATTATACTAATACATGATTGCATGCATGAAGCATTTCATGATATTCAAGACGCTGTTTGTAGATGGGCGTTATAAAGGTCTGTTCACACGATCCAATTTTGTTGGATCCAATTCACTTCTGATGGATGCTTTATAGTCTGTTGTCTTGTAATGTATATCAGCAACAAATCCACTGAAGCCAATGCAATACTGCTTCATCGATAACCGACTATATTCCATACGTCAGAAGTGAATTGGATCCAAAAATTGGCAAGTCGCTAAACGTACTGCTCCATGTATTAGCTCTATCATTACGACGTAGAACTTGGCCCTAAACGAGCTCTGGCTAAATTTCCGGGCAAAAATTCACAGTAACGATCTTCCCATGGCAACAGGGCAAATACCCAATGTATATACATCAGAATTTCGTGACTTAAATCCGCTATGCATGAAAATATTAACCGCCCCTTTTGGTTTAGTTTGTCGTCAATAAGCCAACTAACACGAAAAACATTTCGTCTCCGTCGCTTAAACTCCCCACCGAACTTTTTGTCAATCATGTGACGATTTATCAGTTGAATTTTCTATTTTGAACTGATTCCATCTTTCCAAGATATTAACCTCCGAAAAAAATATAGGGATGGATCGCTGTTATTTAGACAGAGAAGACGACTAACAAGTAACAACAGAATGTTTATGCTACAAACGCATTTTTGTGACTCCGATAAGGCATAATAGGTTATAACTGTCATGCCTTTTGTGCTCAGGGTTCGAAGGTTAGAGTTAGAGTTCTCAAAAAAACCTAAATTGAAACCTAAAACTTTTATTAAATCTCCAGCTACATCGGTATCTGTATTAATTACATCTAATATGTTTTGTACTAAAAAGCATTTTAAATATTTGTACACGAAACTACGAAAAGGAATGTCGTTTTAAAGCAATGTGAGAATTTGCATTGACGAACATTAAATGGGGCATGTAGAAGTGCGCCAGACAGATTTTTCCAGATTTGCGTTAACGAGTTGCGTAATTTGTTCTTTTTTCAGGGGTGGCATAACATATTTTGTTTGGGGGGGGGATGAAATTAAAACTGGAAAATTAATCGTATTATATTATTATAGACAGCATGCCTTCCGCAAAGTGTCCACGGTGTTTCGTGAAACCAAAACTGCGAAGGAAACTGTGACAGCAGCGTAATGAGAAAGCAAGGGAAATCGCTCCTTGAACGCAGTTTTGACTCCGAAGAGTATTGAGATGTTCCTCATTAGTTAGATGACTGAATGTTCTTGTTTAACTTAGGATATTTAACAACTTGTTAAGTTTACTCGCACCATCTTGTTCCGTGTACATACCTTATTCGTCCACGGATACCAGCATGGACCCGAGTCATAGGGTTATCCACAACAGGAAGAGATTGCGCAACGCTGTATATATATTGTTTCATATTTCACTTGATCGTTTATTATGATCGTCATCGCCCAAAAATGTTCTGCAGAATCGTTTTAGTTCTTGCTTTCATAATTCATGTTCAAGCAGACTTGCTGCAGATATCGGTTGATCCAGGAACACAACGTCTTGTCGACACACTGGGTCGTGAAATATTAATTCATGGCACGAATATTGTTATCAAGAAGTTCCCTTGGCATCCAGAAACGACGGGTTTTGGCCAAGATACATTCTCAGAAGAAGACATGAAATTTATGCAATCTCTTGGGTTGAATGGTGTCCGTCTTGGCATGATGTGGCCTGGCTTAGTTCCCAACAAAGGACAATTCAACGAAACCTATTTAAAAACAATGGTTGATTTAGTAACGAAAGCGGCAGAATATGGTATTTATATCCTATTGGACATGCATCAGGATGTAATGTCTCGTCGCTTTTGTGTTGAAGGTTTTCCTAGCTGGACTATTGACTCAGAAATAGCGAAGAACTTTCCATTTCCATTACACGAACCCTATAAACTCGATCCTGAGACAGGATTCCCAAGTTCAGAAGACTGTAGTCGTTTTTCATGGGCAACATATTACCTTACACAGGCGGTGGGAAAATCGTTTGAAAATCTTTATACGAATGTCGATGGCCTAAGAGATGACTGGGCAAATTTTTGGGTTAAAACCGCACAAACATTTAAAAAACATACAAATGTGATGGGTTATGAATTGATTAACGAACCTTGGGCAGGCGATGTATACAGTAATCCTGGATTATTGATACCAACTGTAGCTGATAAAAAGAACCTAGAGCCAGCTTACAATGCTTTGGCGAAAGCAATCCGAGCAGTCGACGATGAACACTGTATCTTCTTTGAGCCTGTTACATGGGATGATTTCGGAGTAGGCTTCGAAACTGTACCAGGGGGAAACGCTTATCAAAACAGAAGTGTGTTGAGCTACCATTATTATGTCCCCCCTAATTTCAATGTCAACCTGAACTTCGATGTCCGTTTGTGTGATTTAAGAAAGTTAAAATGTGGAGGGATGTTGACAGAATTTGCAACTTATACATCGTCATCAGCTGCAGAAATGTTCAAAGTTTTGAGAGATGCTGATTTGACATTTCAGTCGTGGTTGGGATGGGAGTATTATGGCTCTAAACAAACCTCTGAAGAAAGTCCAACTGCTCGAATATACAACACCAGCCGTACATATCCCCAGGCAGTCGCTGGTCATGTCCTGGATCTCAATTTTGACCACCATACAAATGATTTCCGCGTACTATACGAAATCACCGAGAAATGCCGTAGTTATAAAACAGTGATCTATTTAAACCAAGAACTTCATTATCCCAACGGTTATAACGTGATAGTTGATTCTACAGGTCATGTGACATGGTATTCGAAAGAAAGTAACTATGTTATAGTTGAGCACAGTGTGGATCTGAACCCTGGTGATAACGTACTCGTACGTATAACACCACTATAAGTGCAGGAACTGAATGCCTGACGTCTTGAAGAAATGAAATATTCACCATTTTTTTTCAACACTATCGATAATAGAACACACGATTAGAACGGGGATTTACTTGACAAAGCATCTATATCTATAAATCAATCTCTATCTATAAATCAATATACATACATGTATGTATGTACACACACATGTATGTATTATTACACTTATAATTATGTTCTCCCTAAATAAATTATTAAATGTTTTGTAAAAGCAAATTTCTTATGACGACTTTGGAATATTATTGAATGTATTTCGTACTTAAAAAAGGACGATTTGAGGAAAATTACTCTGAATATAGGTACGTTACCAAGCAACAATATCACTCTGATCTTGGAACATTGATGCAAAATATCGATGCTGCGAGTGTTTTCTGTATGACCATTGTAGTTTGCATAAAACTTGTCTCGCGACATGCAGAAACAAGCTAGTACTGTTGTGAAAACTGCCTTTCTTTAAAATATCGAGGAACAGACAAAAGCAAATATTTCTTACAGTAGCTATGGAACTGCATGGTTTATTGATTATCACTATAGGTATAGGTATAGCTATTTCCAACAACGATACATTAATCATTGTATTTTAAAATGCTGCACTCGCTGCATATGGTTGTCTAATATCATTCTACTGCTATATAAAAAACAAACTATATTGTGCAGACTGACTCCAGAAAAGAGGATATTCTTATGAAACAACCACCTACTGTTATGCGTTAAATGACCTAGCACTGGGCTGAACGTATAGTCTTATAACTTGCAAAATAACGTGAAATGCGTAAAATATTGACATGCAAGTGAACGGGTCAAAATGCATACAAGTGAAAGATCATTGAGCCTTGATTTTTGAATTGTCAATAATGGTATACAAATTAATTAATATACATGACCATGCGCAGAATTCATCGAATTTCGTAACTATGGATTTCTTACTCCTATAATGCACATATATTTCACTGCTGAACACTGGGGCATTCATACTACAGTACTATATATCAATTATAATGATTGTGTCCTTTCTAAACTATAATCGACATGGTAAATAAAATATCACGTAATGTTCAAGCTCCAAAAATAGCTTACTACGTGACCTAATTCGACAATACCTACAATGAAATACATGCAGTTGTTTCAAATTCACGTATAATAGATCTTTGAAGCCCGCTGATATGGACCAAACCAAATTATCCACCAACATATAACGACGTTTATACATACACGCATCAGTATTGTATGAGTATTCTGGGAAAGCAAAACAAATACAACAAATAAGAAAAAAAGTAAATAAAGAAACCCACAAGGGAACGAAAGAGATTATAAAAGTTGCAAAAGTAAAAAAAAGCATTACCTTAACTTCTTAAAGGTGAAAAAAATCCTCCCTAAGAAATGAGAAGCGAAATGTTAGGTAGACAAGTACACTATAAGTAGAACCAATCGGATAGTCCTGTTTCAACATTCAAGGATGACAACACAAGAGATGACAACATTCGTAGAACTTTTAACAAGACACAAGTTGAGATACAAGTAATCTACTTGCATCACTCATGACAGCCAGACATAAAGAAAGCGTATAGCTTAGATCTCGCAGGAGGAAAGGTGACTATTTCGCACGGAATCAACAACACAACACCACAGCTAATACAGTCTAATAACACCATGCACCATGTAATTACCTGCGACATCTCCCGTTCTTGTTCTTTTTGCATTATTTGCTGATATTGAGATGGTGTAAAACGAACAATAGTAGCAAGAACTTTAGAAAGTTGCTAAAATAAATTAATAAATAAAAATCATTGTACGTCGTGATACTGGACTGCCATAGACCCAGGATAAACGAATCGACAACTTCGTTCTCGGAGCGAGCACCCTGGGAACGAGGTTGTCCACAGCGAGAACCCTGGGAACGAGATGGTCCACAGCGAGTACCCTGGGAACGAGGTTGTCGACGGTACTTGCAGTGAGAGAAAGAATATTATTTTAAACATTTGACGAAAAGCACCAACCTTTCTCTGTTTCCCCATCATGTATTGGAATAAAATATTTCTTAAGTACTGAAAAAATAAATTAAATCAAAAGTGAACAAATAGCAACGATAAGGCATGTTTATTTTTGGATTATCACAATCTGTACTATGTAATCCATACTACGCGATTGACTAAAATAAGATTTCTTAAGATACAACATTTTTGCTAGCCACTTATCTATAGATATCATTGATATCTGTGGGGAGTGTGTCAACTAAGTATTCCGTAAAAAAACTATGGCGAAATGTATTTAACTTCAAACTCGTTATCCGAAAGAGGCAACACTCACCTCGTATTCTGTTTCCCCAGGATTTGACGAGGGGCTTACGGGACCGGTTGGCGAAAACGGATTAGAAGTCACGTGTAACTGAGTTGGTCGTTCTGGTGTCTGAGCTGAGCCGTTCTGAGCAAGATGTTCAACGTCAGTCTGTAATCATAATAAGTATAATACAACAATAATTATGTAATACAACAAATGGGACGTATGCAAGACGCTGAAAATTCAAAATCGGCAGGCATAAATTATCATAAACAATTTACAATTAAGCCGGTACCTTTAATAATTGCTCCCTTTCACGTAACAAATCCATTTCTCTATTAAGACGATCTATTGTTGCCTAAAATAAAGAGGGTTTTCGGGAGTTGTCTAGTGACTTGGTCGATCATATTAAACGATGTACATCATCACTACAGAATGTCAGATGACTTGGAACATGCATGGACTGACGGTTTTACACTAGACGAAATTCGAACGAAATCTCTTGCTCTTTTTAATTGTGGTCGGACAAGTGAGTCCGCTTCAGTTAAATTTTTACAAGGGAAAGGAAATATTCAAGCGGACAATTTAGTTCGTAAATCGTAAAACCCTGCTTTGCAGAAACCTGCCAACACTATCTCATATGGCAAACATTGCAAATACCTAACTGACTTTAAAAACACTGACAAACCTTTAAAACATTAACTTGTTCATTCCCATCCTCGCCTTCTCCCTGCAGATGAAAAAGATTAGTAGCGCATTTTAAAAAAACGAAATGATAGCAACAATTGGGCAATTTCTGCTGAAATCGTACGTCCGCCCCGGCCTCTAAATTCTAAGGCCAGTACTTGAGGCTATGATTTTCTATGACAATTTTAAACAGTTTTTCTATACTTACGTTAGTTTGAGCAGCTGGACTTTTTCTCTTTTCAAACTCCGCTTCTTTTGCATTCAGCAATTTCTTCATATCTGTTTGATTCTTCTTCATTTGATTTTTAAGTTTCTTCTCAAGGGCAAGTAACTCAGATGAATGTCCTTTCTGGGCCTGGGCTAGTTCAGCCTCGTATTTTTTCTCAATTTGAAGAAGTTGAGCACTATTATTAAGCTTCGCCAAATCTTCCGCATGTTTTATATTAAGTTCCGAAATCTTACTTTCATAGTCTTCTTCAACGTTTTTTAAAGCTATCTCGTGTTCACGAACTAATTCCGACATTATTCCTTCTTTTTCATTTAACATTTCTTCGTTTTCTTTTCGTAATTGTAACATTTCATCTTCTCGATATTTCAGTTCTTTTTTCAACTCAATAATTTCTTCCTCAAATTTCACAACAGATTGTTGTTCTTCCTTTTGCCTGTTTGCAATAGTCTGTGCTAGAGTATCTTGGATTTCATGATCCTTGTCAGCAAGCTTTGCTTGAAATTCTTTGATAACTTGTTTCAATTTTGCGTTATATTCAAAATCTTTTTCTTCAACTTTTGCGATTAAACGTTTCTCCAAAACGTCTAAATCCCTTTGATGTTCATTTTTAAGTTTCTCTGTTTCCAGCCTATGGTCTTCTTTAAGAGATAACGTCTGTTCACGCAACGCATTCATCTTTTCGACGCGAAGATTTTCAACAGTTTCAACTAAAGATTTTTCACTGGCTTCAAGTTGTGCGATCTGTTCCGTCAGTAATTTTGAATTATTCTCTATAGCTCCTTTTTGAGATTCGAGTTCTTCGACTTTACTTCTCACTATAACTTCATGTTCAACTGTCATTTGTTGCACCTTTTCAGTGTGAGTGGTATCAACGTTCTCCAATTGTTGTACCAAATCTTGAACATTTTTCTTCGCTAAAGAAAGTTCCTTTCCTTGTTCTTCTAGTTGATTGGATAGATCTTTCCTCACACTGGCTATTTTAGCTTCCGCTTTTTTTCTCATTTCCGCAACTTTCTTCTTGTTTTCAATCGCAAGTGTTTCTTTAAGACTTTCTAATGCTTCTCGTTTTTCTTTTTCATGTCCTGAAATTTTCGCATCAAATTCTTCCTGTTTGCTCAACAAGTCACGCTCGTTTTTCGTTACGGCATCCTGGAGTTTCGCCTCTTTTTCTTGTACTTCATGACGATGGCTTTCTTCAGTCTTTATCAAAAGTGTTTGCAGTTCCTGTTTTTCTGCCAGAACCTTCTTGATTTGATCATCAATTGCCCGGGAATCATTTTGATTAGAAGCGATCTCCATCTTCAGATTCTCTTCCCGCTGCTTAATTTCTAAAATTGTTTTCTCATATTCATCAGTAACCTGATTTAGTGTAAGATCTTTTTTCTTACATTCTTCTGACAAGGCTTTAACTTTTTTCTTGAGGGCGACGGAAGTTTTTTTATGACCTTCCACCTCTTTTTGTTGTTCCTGCACCATTTCATTCATTTTAACTTCCAGGGATGCAATATTTTCTTTTAGATCGTTTATTTCACTTTGAGACTCATTCTGAATACGGTTTAGTAGATCTTCTAGCTCTTGATTCCGATCGTTAAGTTGTGTTTGCATCAAACACTTCGAATTCAATTGCTCTGTGAAACTCTTCCTCTCTTCATCTTGAAGATGAGCCATTTCTTGAGATTTTGTTTCCATTGTCTTTGCCGTTTCTCTGCTATCCAATAATTGTTTCTCCAACTCTCCTTGTCCTTTTCTCAAGGCCTTAACCTCCTCACTCAAATCAGCTACAATCCGCGCATGATTTGTTTGTTCAGCATGAAGCGTATCTTGAAGTTGAACAGAAACTGTGAGCCTTGCATCACGTTCAGATTTAACTAAACTAAGCTCATCATTAAGTTTGTTCAATCCTTCACAACTCTTGTTATACTCAACAGCAATTTCATCAAACTTTGTTTGAAGAGCTTCGTATGCTTCAGTTTGATTTCTCCTCTCCTTCTCTGACTCGACGTGTTCCTTTTCTAAGATTTCTTTCAGTTGCGTGTTCTCATCTTGCAGTTTTTTCAAATCATCATTAAACTTTGCAATATGGCTGTCTTTAACTTCCTGCAGCTGTACCACATGATCTTTCTCTAAACTGTTCAATTTACCAGTTAATTCCTCCTTGGTCTTGGTTATTTCACGTTCACGAACAAGAATAACGTTGGCATGTTTTGAAGACATCTCTTCCATCTTCTGCTCGGATTGTTGCTGAACATCGTTTAACTCTCGACGATGGTTCTCTATTAGTTCCATAATTTTATCATCCATCTTTTGTTGTAAAGAGGTTTTTTCGTCTCGATGCTTCATGACTAAGTCCTCAAGCTCACTTATTTTACTTTTGCTTGATTCTATTTCTTTACCTGACGCAGTAACCGTATCCAATAGTTCTTCGTTCTGCCCTTCAAACTGAGATTTCATTTTATCAAAATTAGTTCGAAGTTCATGATTTTGTCTTAAGAGTTGTTCCTCTCTTTCTTTCGATTCTGCGGCCAATCTTTCGTGGGATTCATTCGCTTCATTTCTTGTGAATGCCAACGAGCGTTCATGCTGATTATTCAATTCATTAATCTCTTCTTGATGCCGCTCCTGTAAAGATCTTAGTTGCTCATCTCTGATAGAATCATAATTTTTGGCAATGTCATCAACATTCAATTCATTTTCTTTGGTTAATTGTTCAATCGTATTGTTTAGAAAATCATCTTTTTCTTTCATTCTTTCATTAAATTTACCTTCCATTACCTTCATCCACTGCACTTTTTCAGCTTCTTTATCTTTGAAAGCTTGTTCGCGATCCTGCGTTAAAGCTGTAATCTGAGACCTCAAATCAGTAACTTTGTCTTCATATTCTTGTAGAGTCAGTGCATTTTGCTGTAAAGCTCCCTCTTTATCATTTAAGGATTTTTCTATATCTTTGCGCCTCGATTTCTCTCCTTCCAGATTTTCCTTAAGACTCGCTTCACGAGCTTCAGTTTCCGACAGATTGTTACGCAATTCATTGACGATCTTTTTCATTTCTTTCATTTTTTGTTCAGCGTCTTTCGACATTCGAATTTGTTGATTATTCTTCTCTTCTTCGAGACTTTTCTGGTGTTCGTTTAACTTTCTCTCAAAATCTGTATTCATTTCATCCAGTTGTTTGCATTGTTTCTCCTTCAATTCAGACAAGTGCTTTTCACTGTCAAAATTCAGCTTTTCAATGCATCCCTCTAGTTCTGCACAATGTCTCATTTTTTCATCTAGTTTTGCCATTAAATCCTTACACATTATATCTTTCTCATTTAAAACTTTATCATTTTCTTCTATCAATTGCTTCTGTTCTTCTATCTTTTGTCCACTCAAAGCGGACAGTTGAGAACTCATACTGTTCATATCACTCTCCTTCTCGCTTAATTTAGCTTTTAAATTTTTAATCAGGTTTTTCATTTTTGTATTCTGCGTTTCTGTTCCTTTTGCTAGTTCTTCAAGCTCTTTATCCTTTTTCGAGACCACATTCTTCATCTCCTCTTGCGCTTTTTGTAGATGATTTTCTTTTTCTGTTAACTTAGTTCGCAACTCCTTCACGATCTTCTTCATTTCGGAAACTTTATTCTCATTTTTCTTCGAGGCGACAGCTAGCTCACTCTGTTTCTTTGCTTCGATATCTTTCACTGCATCTTGATATTCCTTGAGCTTTTTTTCTTCTTCTGATTTCCAAAACGTCTCTCGCTCTACAGACGCTTCTTCGCGCTTCGTAATCTCAGCTTTAATTGTTGACATTTCTTTTTCTAGCTTTTCACATTTCATCGAAATACGTTTGTTTTCCTCGCCATATTCTTCCATCGCACTTTCTTTATCTTGCTAAATTACACAAAAAATTACCTGGTATTATGAGTTATATTCTTATCTGAAAAGAGATTTCAATTTGAAATATCGTGGCCATAAACTAAGGTAGTTTGTTCATAAAATACCTAGTGCTTCGATGCAGCTCTAATGCGGGTCAAATTTACAATTCATTTTTTTATCTTACACCCCAGAAAAACAAGCAAATTACCCGAGGTTCTTGTAGTATTTGCCCTAGCATGCTCTTAGCTACTTTACAGGACCAATTCACATTGCTTAATAGAGGTGTCAGGAGAATTTCCAATAAATTAGAAACAAATTTCTCGCTTTCCTTGAAACACAACAAACATCTTATTAACACAGAGCCCATAAAGCTGTTCAGAATTGTTCCACTGTTCGCAAAAAGCTAAATTAACGTTGTTTTATTGCTGTATTCTGCCTAGGATTTGCATCAGTACCCCCAAGACGTTTTGTCTGTAATTGAAAGTTCTCCTCTACTTGTATACAACGACCACAACAATACCTACTTTATATTCTTCATACTTCTTTTCAACCTCTTTGAATCTCTTTTCTGATTCTTAAAAAATTAACACGAAAAAATTAGCAACGAAAACCAACCCGTGTACGCTGATATTTTGATAGACTTCAATTTCCATTCAGTCATTGTGCATGAATGATACACATACATAGCTATTTGGCACCGTATACTAGTAAATATATCATAGGGTTTAAATGCTAGTACAAAAAGATTATCCGACTTATTTGAGTCATATACATAGCTACTTCAATACAAGTTATTTTAACCATACAGTAGCCACGTAGGAAAATTTGGTGCGAACGAATATTTTTTCATTTATGTACTTCATATACTAGTAAGCTAGCAACTTACCAATCAATTCCGATCTACAGTTCTGCAGATCATGCGACATTGTCTCCCTTTCCAATAGCTGTTCTTCCAATTCCTTAATACGTGCTTCCAGTTTGGATATTTCTTCAAATTTTCGTTTTACAACGGCGTGCTTCTGTAACTCTTGCTCTTCCACAGCTAACTCGACCTCTTTCACCTGTGCATGAGAACAAAGATTTATTATAGATTAAATGACGATGAACGACGCTTCATTCCCGCCCCTCCCTACCCCTGATGAGGATGTTAAGCTACGATCACGAGTTAGCCAAAACAGATCAGCATTGAGTTTCTTGAGAAAGGCTCACCAGTCAACTTTGTGTCGATGGCAAATGCAATTAATATTGCTTCGTTGACTTGCTCCTTCCTCAAAACGGCTGATATGCAAATTACAAGAACTACAATAATAATCACTGCGATATTTCGGTAGTTTTTGATTTATTATAATCATTGAAAATCACGAAACTACAAATTAATCACATTCAATCATTAAAATCAGAATCAATTAACCTCACAGAACAATATTATCAATTGCAAATGATCTAAATCAAAATTGTGATAACAAAAGCGACGATTACAATAGATTCATTAGAATACAGAACATTCACAACACCTACAAGGATTAAAGGTCAGCATATAAGCAAACTACTTGAAAGTATACAGTATGCATGGTCAATCACCTGTTCTGAATAAGAAGCTTTCAACATTTCTTCATTTTGTGCCATTATTTTCAACTTGTTATCTCTTTCCTCAAGAGCTTGTTTGTGTTCGTCATCTTTTGCAGTGAGCAGATCTGACATTCGTTTAGTATGCTGTTTTTTAATAAACTCAACCGCTTCTATTTTACTCTTCTTCAAATCATCCACAATACTCGAGTGATCTTTTACTATTGAATCAACCAGAGTTTTATGTTCATTATTCTTTTCTTCTATCGCCTTTTTCCCCTTCGATTCGCATTCCTCCAACGCTTTGTCCATCTTTTGAATAATATCCTCCTTTTGTACTTTTAGGTCTTCATAAAGCACTTTGGTTGCTTTTAGCTCATCCCCTAAGTTCTTTACTTCCGCGTGACACTGGTTATTCTCTTGCATGATATTTTCCACATTTTTCATCATTTCTTGAATAGCAGTTTGTTTTTCTATTTGTGTACGCTCCAAATTACGAAGAAGTTCTTCACGTTCCACTTCTTTCGTCGTTTCATGTTCCTAATTAACATCAGACTTTGACATTCTAACATCTAAACTAACATGCTTTGTATTACTGTAACTTTTCAAGCAGGTTGAACAGTTAATTGTACGAAAATGAATATTATTTGATGTCAATCAGTTGAGAGTTGGCATTGTGAAGAAAAAGTAATTGACTTTATAATAGTTTGGAAAATGCGAACGCTGAAGTAACAATATTGCTAATGCTACTCTTCACAGAGCAAAATTCGAGTTTGCAGACTCAGTACTATGCCCGTTGGTACGTTTTTATACCAATGACAATTGTATTATGCAACAAAAACAGAAGAAACATTATGGGTATTACAGACAGGGACTGGTTGCAGTTAGCGATAACTATGTTTTTATACAACCGGCCCCAGGAATGTAACAACAAGATCTCAGCATGGTGGACTTGCCAAAAAAGCAAGCAACAGATTATGTCAGAAACGTGCATACATTTTCCAGGTATAGTCTATATATTCAGCAAACAGCATACATTATAAAATCAAGGTTACCTTCAATTTTTCAATTTCCTGAGTCTGAGCATCAACAGTAGTCTCAAGTGTTCTTATCTAACATGTGAAATGATATAATTAAACCTCCCATTGTTGGAAACAGCCCAAACGATTTGCATATTCACTTATGAAAAAACTTTGCCAACCTTATCAAGTAACTTTTGTTTGTTTTCTTCAGATAATGGATCTAAAATAATTTAGGTACAATTATTCAGCACTAAATTTGAGGTCATAAAGAGCAAAGTACTTGTATGCCCGCATTATGTCATTTTTAAGCTTAACAAAAAATACAATTAGTGTATTCTATACATGTGGAAAAAACGTATTGATTATAACCTTCTCCATTGACACTGTCTACTTGATCTGTTTCTTCAGCAGATCCTTTTTCCTTGCCTTTGAGAAAATCAATCTAAAACACAAACAAAAATTACAGATTGGGAAATAGAATGTTTTTTCAACTAAACACTGTGTTGGCTGGTAATGATCAAACACATGCAGCACTTGTATTACCTGTGTTTTTAACACACTGATAAGATCATCCTTCTCCTCCATAGCAACTCGCAATGAATCTGCAATATGCATTTTAGCTTTTTTCTCAAGTTCAATGGTCTACAAAAAGATACAGTAATGTAGTCTCATTAGTTTATAGCATACTTATATTCACCTACACTGGAAGGTTAATAGTAATCTATAGCATATATATGTAAAACTAATATTTGATGAAAAATAACATATTTCACCTCCTTCAATTCTGAAATTTTTCTTATTTGCTTGTCTTGACCCTGAGAAAGATTATGCTACAAAGATATAAAAATAATATATTCAACACAACTTACATTTCAGCATGCAGGCTATTCCAATGGTACACCTAATGGTAAGTACTGTAATATATATTTTATGGATTTTGGAATATGCAATACAAAACCTGTAACTTCTCATTTTCTTTCTGCAAATTTTTGTACGCATCAACAACCTACAGCAAAAAAACAAGTTGTTAGTTATAATGTATATTTCATAGAATAGACTGTGTTATGAATATTCAAGAAAAATAAAACACTGTTCACATTTACCTCAGAAAATTTTGTTTTATAACGTGTCAAAGCTTTTTCTTGTTTCTTTGCAAGCTGCAAAAGTTCTTCTTTCGTTGCCGCATCAAATTTTTTTCCAGCCTCTGAGTCATCAGACCTATAATCTGATTTTTCTGGGCTATGTGACATTGCAGATGTTTTATTTGGTGTAAGATTTGAAGTCTCAACTTCAGATGGCTCAACAGAGTCAGTTTTAGGTGTAGAGACTGCATCATTTTGTGCCCGACCAGCCTGTAAAATAATTCAAGACCTTTTTTGCTTAAAAACTAAACTAATCATCTAGAACTTGATTACATGGGTCTGTAATAAATTGATAATAACATATACAGCCACAGGCTACAATATTCATAAAATATGGAATATACTATATTTTTTTCAAATAACATAACAGAATCCAACTGAAAAACAGGAGTATATAAAGGAATGCAAAATTATGATGTATATGGAAACAACCAATTACAGATTGCTAAATATGTGACACACAGACAAGACTAAATGTTGATGGATACCAAGTCACCAATATAATCTATTTTGAATATAAATTGATTACCAGTTGCAGTCACTCAAGCATTTTTTAAGAAATATGCTGATTCTAACAGATTTAACTTGTTTGAGCATTTGATATAGAGATATTGATCAAAATATAGGAAATCAGAGAAAATCATTTGAATCTGCAAATTATAGTTAATGCCACGTAATGTTAATACCCTAATATGGGAGAGATATTTCAAATGGGAAAAAAAAAGAGAGATAAAGAAGTTAATTTTAATAAGCAATGTTTACCTCAAGAAGTTGGTGAACACGAGCAATCACATGCTGTGATGATGGTGTTTGCTGTTCAACGCCAACAGAAAGATCAGGTGTTCCCCTGAGATCACTTTGCTTTTCAGGAGAAACCAAAGGTGACTGTTCTGACTTCCTCAGAGGCGATGCTCCCTTGATAATGATCAAATGAAAAAATATATAAAAAAGCTCTAGGATAAAGCAATGATCAGTATTCACTGAAAACAATAAATGCGATTGTAACAATTTCAAAATTGTAAACAATTGTAAATAATCGTATTTTTAAGTTGTGGATCGTACTTCATTGAAATTCGCAGGTTTCTTTTGCCTCTCATTCCTTGATACTGGGCTTTGTTCTCCTTCGGATTCACTTTCAATCTTCTGTCTTAATTTTTTAAACATTCTGCGCAATAAATTCCCCCAGGCACCAACGATTTTTCAACTTTTCATGTTACATTATATTTTACACTCCATTTCCCTAAATATGTTTCAAGCCATCTTTGTTTGCCACGGTGCATAATTTTCCCCGGGGTAACATACCGTACCTTAACGGAAGTTAGCCTCCTCCACAGAAAATGTTAAGAAATTGGTGCAATATTTGCCTGCATATTTCTTTGTATACATTGAAGATATTTCTTAGATAATAAATTAGATACTAGATAATATTTCTTAAGTACAAAAAGATGCCTGCGGGGGAGGCTAAACGGAAATACACATAGCCATAGCCGGTAAAATTGACCGTGATGTATGCATGTGAATCTTACTACGACTGGGCGTTGCCCAGGTAACTTGTCTTTTAAGAAAAGATAAATTAATGGTATTTATCGGTTTTCTGGTCTCAGATGACCTCGCCGACAAGCATTTGCAATTAAATCACGTAATTCAACAGTCTTGGTCAACAGTCTCGGTGCTCAGCATGGACGAGTCAATGTGCGATATTCGAGATGTTCCAGCTATTTCAGAACGATAATTCCCTCGTACAGCCAGAGGTTCAAATGTACTACGGCTTCCAGACAATAATAATGGTAAATCCAGCGCCTAGTATTTTGAGATGCTGTCTGTCCCCTCTAGCCCGCGCATACGTTAAAAACAGAGCAAGCTAACCGGGATAATATAGGTCGTGATATTTAACATAACAAAGTTGTGCACCGCCAACTACAAGTTAGTTAACTTAACAACGATGAATCGATGATATATAAGCAAATTTTACTTTCATAAATTTTCATAAAAAAACTATTTGTTTCTCTATAGTTAATGCGTTGAGTGAAAAAAAATGAACACGTGAAAACATTCTCTAAAGCTCATCTTTGTAAATATCATGCAGCCAAGAATGTAATGAATGATCACTGTCGCTTATTTCTTTCATATCCAAATTGCCATCACCATCATTATCAGCTAATTTAAGAATCCTACGTGTCTCTCTCATTGCATTCGCTCGATTCGGTGCTAACCATTTTCTTAATTCTTCTTTATCAAGTCTTCCATCCTTATTTATGTCATATTCATTATTAAAATGTTCCTTTAGTTTTCTCTGGTCGTTAATATCAGGATTCCCCGCAGATTGATAAGCTAAAATTTGAAAACCAAGAAGATAGAAAAGGGATAAAAAAATAGAATACACTAATAAAAGTGATTCATTGAGAGTAATGTTTACTGGCTTACGATTATCTCGCTGTAATGCACTTTGTGACATACGTGCATGGCGAAGCGTTTTATTTAGCATTAAAAGCAAACAAATTAATGACTTATTGGCCTTTACAACAATTTGCCAGACGATGTGGTCTGACATGCAATTTGTGTAACTGCTCGTACCTAGAAATTCATTTGTTGTGACAAAACCATCGCTATTAAGGTCTACTTTTTTTAACCATTCATCCACAACCATTTCAACCATGTCTTCGTTTCCTGCCTGCAAAATCAATGATATGGCAGAATGAGTTTTTTGAAGGTAGACTTAGGACGTTGCTCTTCTCGCTTCCTTCAAAAGCCGGTGAGAAAACTGTTTAACTTAAAAATTAAATATAAAAATCAACACGTACCCCAGGAAAATAGAAACTTGCAAACTCTTTAGAGTTGAGAAGACCATCTCCGTCCGTATCTGCCATGTTGAATTTCCTTTTATCGTAGTCTAAATCTTCAAGATTCCGCAAAGCTTCATCGGGATAGGACGTGGATAGAAATTCTTTCCACGATATCTTTTTGTCCATATCTATACCAGTAGTGTCAGCAGCAAAAAAATTATCGGAAAATATTGGAAATATATCGGAAAAAAGATCCCTAGCTACTTGTGAAACCTTAATGCAATGCTGCTCATAAGCTACACTTAAATTGATGTCATAACCAAGAGGCTACGTATACGGTACACGGTGCAAAATATTCTTCCATCCTGCTTACTTACTTATATCATATTTATGTATCAATTCGCCCACTTCGTTCTGTCTTTGTCGTAAAAAGGTTTTTTCCATCTTTTCGACCATTTCTTGCTGTGTTACCAAACCATCCTGATCAAGGTCTATCTTGTTTTTGATAAATTTCTCAATATTTTGAACTGAATCTTTCAGAAGTACAATAAAAATAACCATTAAGATCAGCTTAGGACAACTTATCAAATTAAACCGCCGGCATATACCAAATTTGTAAAAGGACACGAATCATTGTTACTGAAGAATTTGTGTTGGCATGCATTGCATGTGGTATAACATAGTTATCTACTGTTATTGAAATGTTTTCTCTTTATTGAAGGAGGAGGGACATAAGATTATTAATATCTCATAAAGTCGCGCCTGCATGATGATCACGTCCACTCTTTTCCAGTTATGCTGGTATTAAACGTCAGATACTCAATCAATGACAATGTGTTCTGTGAACTGATTTTGATCCCGTTTTGCCCGTTAAACATCGTAGATTCTAATTGTCAAACGACTAGTTACCTTCCTTAGTTTGGTGTACAGCACTATCCTCTGAGGTTGAACGTCTCAGAGCAAGAGAATAATGAAGAATGAAAATCAAAAACGACCAACATTGTCCACGGGTTGTGCCCAATATTGGAATAATCATAATTTGATTCGTTTCATATATGATTTGGTGTTTAACAGAGCTGCAAAAACAAATTTCGACTTCGGGTTAAGTACCAGTTAAATCCGTTGCTATATCATTGCTGAAGTACCTGAAATATCACAATGATATAACCTGTTATACCATGACACACAATTGCTGAGCACAAATGATGTTGCTGTTAGCAATTTCAAAACAGTTATATTTGAATGTGATAAGCAAGTGGAAGTCATTGCAGGTGCACCGACGTACCATACAAAACACTTTTTAATTTCTATTGGTTAAATGGCATGCAACATATTATAGCGTATATCGATAAGCTGACAGCCTAGTCCCTGATAGCTGCTCCATGATACTAAAAATCCGGGGGTGGGGAGTTCAAAACCGCCAATGTATGCATAGGATTTTTTACATAGTTTTTACCCAATCTCGAGTTTTTCCTGTGTACGAGGTTGAGTTTTTACCAATATTGATAGCCCTCAGGCCTATCATAGACAATCCAGAAGACATGCCTTCTGGATTGTCTATGAGATGGGCCCATGCGAAGTGTATGGTCACCCGTCAACGCACTACGGACCACCTTTTTGGGGGGACAACACGAACAATCTTTCATTGACTTTGCGTAAAGGGGATGTCTAAAATTTTAAACTGTTAAATTCTTCGGATTCGGCTTAATGGGCTGCGCCTGGGAGACCAACCGCTAGCGCTCAGTTCGTTAGCCTGTTCGCCCTTCAGCTCAGTTCATTTCAACCAGGAACAACGATTTTTATTTTTGAGCGTCTCTCCCCGTTCTTCTTGATCTGATTTTTGATAATGTAGTTTTTTGGCTTTATACTATTCGCCTATAAAGCCGGCATCTCTATTGATCACACGTTAGACCAGAGGTTAGACCTTTCAGTCTAACTGGTATGCCCTTATTGCCTTCCATTATACAATTACCATTTACCATGGGCGAAATATATATTATGTATATAGCACATGATATATTATTCTAGCGATAAAATATTACATGAAAGAAGGCGTGAAATTTCTGCTACGCAGATGTTCTGGTTAAGAAATAAAAATATATAAATTAACCGCTTTGTGGCTTAATTATTACAATGGCAAATACTAGTTATCATAATTTTCAGCTGTCTACTACTGGGCATGCGCATCATTTTGAAGGGCGTAATCAATTTTATTCAATGATGGCCGATTGGATTCGATATTTTGAATCTGAAATTCCTCCCACAAATTTGGAAGAAACTAGAAAGACACTGTATGGATTTACAGCCAGTCATATACAAAATGCAAGAAACGTTGTATTTATTACGGTAAGGCGCGCATAATAACGACGATTACTTCGATTCAAAGTGATGTATGCACTGCATTCCATGCATACTCAAAACAAATAGCGTATAATTTTGCATGTATTTTGCTAAAACATTTTAAATTTATTTTATGCAAGTACAAATTATACAATCCTTTGTATTGCTCCTTTGGCGGATATCGAGTAAGAGCGAGAACCAATTTAGAAAACTTAAGAAAAACAAATTTTGTTGTGAAATACAAATACCGAATGTCTTCCATGATGACCTTTTGGTCCAGTGACTGAACAGTATCAAAAATAAATTTAGCATATTTGCAATTACTATTTCATTTTATGAAATTATTTAACAAAGATGACATTGAAAGACAAATAAATATTGTTATATGTAACGTAGTAAGATGAGTGAATCATATAGTCTCTGAAATATCTTTATCTCTACTTCTATGTATATTTATTCACAAGAGTCAACAAACGATTGCACATTTTTTATTTGATATAATAGCATGATATATAGTTTTGCAGAGTAGGGCAGTCCAAAATTTCATCATATAGCTCTGCAGACAGGAGGTTACATAAGGCATAAAAATTTCATGATGGTTATAGATTAGATTCAATTATTTAGTGTTAGTTAAATTGCTTATGTGTAATGGTTAATGGTAAAACATGGGGTAAGTGCAAGTAGATAAGAAATATTAAAATGTTTTGTGTGACTATTATAATAAAAATGAACTACTATAGTCCTTGGTAAAATATGCCATCAAAGCCCCTCCTAGATTCTGCTTTCCATCCACACCTCTAGTAGCCCATATTCTATATAGGTTTCTAATTTTTTTCAGCATACTGTGGTGTGAAATATCTCTTTCATTAAGAACCATAGAATGCTGGGGCCGGTTGTATCAAGCCCGTTTAGCCTAAACGGTGGATAAGTTCAAAATAGAAAGCAGGTCTGCCGTTTTATTCAACAAGCAAACTAAATGTTTTTTACCTTAATACAAAGATACTGTTTACAACTACATATTCAGTGCATAATATTCAAGTTGACTCATTCAAGAGAGATGTAAGAGTGTTATTTATATTTGACTTATCCACCGTTTAAGCTAAACGGGCTTGATACAACCGGCCCCTGCTGACTAATTATAAACCCTGCTTGCTAGTGACAGTGCTCTAGTTTTGAATTTAATATATTCATTTTTTCAGTCTGGAGGTACAACAGTTCCTTTAGAAACCAACACTGTGAGGTTTATTGATAACTTTAGCTCTGGTGCAAGAGGTGCTGCTTCAGCTGAGTATCCTTCAAAGATATTTTAAAAATCATTCCTATTAGCACAGTCACTGACAGACGAAATAACTCCACTTCCCAATTTGTATCTATGCTATGTCATATAAATGTCATATGTGGCAATGCCCATGTCAAATTTATTTCAATTTATCTACCCTTTTGTTTACGTTTGTAAAAACCATAACGGGACATGCTTGTAGGTCAAAAATTCAGAGTACACATTAGTTTGCTTTCCTCAAGCTAACCAGAATGTTATTATATTTGGAAATATTAAGTGTGGGTATAAAAGTTCCTTAACACAATATATTTTAGATATTTTCTTTCTCAAGGGTATGCAGTTGTGTTTGTTTATCGTCAAAAGTCCGCCTTACCATTTCAAAGATATTTTATTGCTCAAAATCCACTAGAATTTCTAAATGTCAATGATAATATTGATAATCCTCTTCCAAAAAGTATTATGGGTAAGTTCTTGTTATCAAATTGTATGTAAAGAAAGCATTGTGACTCACTTTTGGATGCACTGCTATTGAAGATTTCTTTATTACACAGTGGATGAGTCCAAAGCACCTGGTCTTAAAGAAATTCTACTTCAGTACAGAGAGGTACGGTACATAAAGTTCATTAAACTATATTGTAATATTAGCACACTTTATCATCAGAAATACATAGAACTTTTGAAAGCCTAGCAATCGTAATTAACTTTTTCATGCTTTAATTATTTCATGCAGGTGAAACGAAATGGCACTTTGCTTCAAATTGAGTTTACAACACTGAGCAGTTACTTGTTCTTGTTGCGCATGTCTGCTGAAACACTCTCTGCATTTGGACACCGTGTGATGTTTTACCTAGCTGCAGCCGTCTCAGATTTTTATATTCCTCGAGAAAACTTAGTAAGTTGTGTGCTAATCCATTATATTTACGTGTAGCAACTTTGCGTTACCATGTACAACATGAAGGTAATTTTTATTTCAGTCCACGCATAAGATACAGTCCAGTCAAGGACCTTTAGTGCTGAATTTACAACAAACACCAAAGCTTTTGCAACCGTTAGTTAAAGACTGGTCTCCGCAAGCTTTTGTTGTCTCTTTTAAACTGGAAACTGATGTAAATATTATCTCGAAGAAAGCAAGAGAATCTCTAAATAATAACTCACATCAGGTTAGCTTTTTTATACTGATAATTAGAAGAAATACCTTCAAAAGGGAAAAGAAGAAATACCGTCAAATATGTTATGAAGGACAACTTCGAGGATCATGCAGGATAATGATGCCTCATTATGTGTGTTTCCAGGTGGTGATATCAAATATTCTACAAACTCGGCGTAAAACTGTTGTGATTGTGACGGCAAGTGAAGAGAATGCTATATGGATGTCGGATAGTGAACTGGAGCAAGGAAAAGATATCGAAGAAAAGATTGTTGCTGATTTAGCTAAGAAGCATAGCGAGTTTATCAGAAGCAACTCTTTACCTGGTAACTACTTTGAGCATGCGTTGTAATTAGGCAAAATATCGTTTATGTAAAAACAATTGAACAAAACTCACTTATTTTATAGTCCAATTCATATCTAAAATTTGTTTGCAGGTTACAATGCGAGTAACGAGCTTTCATTGGAAAAGAGTTTTCCAATCGCAGTCACCAGTGGTCAGGTAAATAATGAACACGTGTAACATTTACATTTCTTAAAATATTGTTTAATAGCAGCTATATGGAGTACTATGATGATAATCACATCTAAAATTATGTTTTTGATGCAACCAAAACTATGCTAAACAATAATAATAGGATGACAACCACGACTGTTAGCAAAATGAAAAGAAACGAAAAAGTCCCACTGGAGTGTCCAGACGTTTACTTTTCAACTGCACCTATCAACCATTCAAGCTTGCGTAGTTTGCAGTGCCCGATATACTTCAAGCCCTCCAACACCTCGTCATGCATCAGGCATAATCTTACTGCACTGCAATGTACTGTGGAGCATCATTTTTACTCATAATCAATTAAAAACTGTACCAATATCCGTTATTGAGCTATTCTTTAGGCTATAAAGTATTTAAATAAAACCAAAGGCATATTATTATTTAAAAAATTATATTACCCAGAATATATATTTGTTAAATATTTTAAGTATATCTTTTTTTGTTTAACAACGATATATAACCTTTGATAACCCCGCCATATAAGTAAAAAAAGCTTTTACAATCAAGCCTGTTGTTTTTCTTGATTGAACATGTTTGATGGTCTACTTCCTTCTCAAGAAGCATCACGACGACTAACTTTGCACTCATAGCAGCTCTTATAAAAAATATTTCCCCGTAAGAAAGTGAGGCTAAACCGAACTTTCAAACTAACTTTTTTTCAATCAGACTTTTAAAGAGTTGCCTTAATTTTTAGGTTATTTACCTTTCCGAAGGCACTACGTATCAACTCCAGGGCAGGGTAGCAGAAAACCCAACTAGTACAATGTTGTTAAGCCCCAGCCAAACACAACAATTTGCGATGACTAGTTCTTATGGTGTCAGAAAACCTGAGGACAGTTCAGCAAGTCGGCCATTACAAACAGAAGGAGGTGAACTTGATACTTTATCAACCACAGCTACAAACCTTGCATCAAAGTTTAAATATGCCTACGACAATACAGCTTTGTCTGAAGACATGAAAGCATTTATAGAAATGTTCAAGAATAAACGAATGACATTAGGTTACACTCAGGAGGATGTTGGCGTCGAGCTATCTCGAATTAGTGGACCTACATACAGTCAGTCCTTTATATCTCGTTTTGAATCCAAACAACTTGCTGCTAAAGCGTCAGAAAAAATGCGACCGATACTCCAAGCTTGGCTGGATGCTAAAGATGTCGACCAGACGACTGGTCTTCGGCTTTGTAAGAAACGTCGAAGGCGTACTTCTTTCACAAGCGATGCTCTTGCTGTTTTAGTAGAAAATTATCAGAAGAATCCGAAACCAAATACGAATGAGATTGCCGAGATTGCAGCGCAATTAAATATCGAGCCTGTGACTGTGAAAGTTTGGTTCTGTAACAGAAAGCAAGGTGAAAGACGGCGTTCTCAGGGTAAAATGAAAACCAGCGAAACATTGAAATCAGAGTTACAAGCCCGTTCAACAAGCAAAGAACAAGAAAGGCCCAATGGAGAGCAGATTGCATCGTATTCTCTTGAAAGGTTACAACCGTTAATCGCTGAACAGGAGGCTGCTCCACCTGTGACTGTCCTAGACACCGATACAACACATGTTGTTCAGTTTCAGTCAGGCGTTCCTGTCGCGAGAAACGATGACAGCAATTCATCTCTAACCCAGAATTCCTCTCCGCCGTACAGCTCTTCCACGACAGTTATCGACGCAGATCAAGTGCAGTTTCAGCCAGGCACAACACCAGATACTACCGATACTTCCTTAACCCAGGGTACTTCATATAGTACTCCGGTAGCTGTGATGGAGACTGAAGTTCCAACGTCAGTATAATCAACGCCATTTGTACAGTAAATATATAATCCAGGCCTACATCCGCTGACGACCGTGTACACTTTTACATATGGAAACATTTCGCTTAAATTTAGAGTAAACTTTATGAGTGCAATTTATGAAAATTATCTGCATGTACAACAAACAAGTCATCAGCTGGGCGGCTATCAATATTTTTAATAATTGTGAATTTTTCATTTTATAAATAATCGTCATTGCCAAGACACACTCACGTAATCAAAGCCATATTTTATCTGTAAAGACTGTATATATAGAATAGTCAGTTTTGAAAGCCTTGGAACAAAAGCATGGATATGTTATGTAGATAAAAACATTTCATCTTCTGGTAATGAGAGGATACCATTAATTCCAATAATATTGTGATTTGTATCGGATATTTCAGCAGCCCAACATTATTATATAAGAGATAAAAAATTAACAATTGTCAACGTCATTAGTGTCTAAGGGCGCTTTCTTAATTTTATCTGGTAAAATGGCCAGACAGCAGTCCTGTTGAATTGACAGATTACTGGTGTTTTAGAGTGACTCAAGAATTCTGCATTCAAGTATATCATTATTTACATCTGGCCAGCAATGGCGTGCATGGAAAATTTAGTTTCATCGCTACATTCCCAAAGAAATACTTTGTTTTAATTCAAAATATGACTGGTTTGACCATTTTGGCCGCTTAAAGGAAAGCAGAAAGTAAAGAATGTGTATGCAGGCAACCTTATGTTCCTGGTATTTTGTGAATTAGTAACAGAGTTCTCAGCCGACTTTCAACTCCCAAACCTCCGTCTTCGGAATAAATGTTTATTTCAAGAAAACGAGAGAATATGGATAGATTGGCAATGACGATGAATTTTTACTTATAATAGAATTATCACAAGTTATGAAAAAAATCCGGTAGATTACTCTACAGATTACACCGCAAAAGCTTAATTGAAAATCTTATAGTTTACATATAATTGCCACTGCAAATTTTGCATAAATTTTCTTTTTCGTGACGAAGTCATGAAACATGAATTCAACTTTCGAATATGAATATCTTACGGTACATTGGCTGACAAATGTTTATGTCGTAGATATAAGCTCCGGCGGCCTTCTTTCTTAGCTGACTTATATTGCTGCGAATAATTCACACTATACAATATATATTTGGTCATAAAACACATATTGTCATTGGACTCGATTTCGCGAATTCGAACTGGTTAAGCCAAGGGCAAGATCAAATTTCGTTCATTTACATTTTGGGCGATTCGATAGACCGATGTTATTTCATACAGACCCAAAATAGCAGGACTACATCAGCGAGGTTGGCCAAAACGTCTCAAACGCAGTTTTGTTTCTACCAATACGTTACACGTTCATTCCAGCACCTATCATTAAGCTTTCTTTGCTCTCCAATTAAACATATCCTCAATATCATCACTATCAGAATCACTGCCGCTTTCTTTCATTTCTACACTCAGTCTATCGCTTCTCCTCTCTTCCCTACTTACTTTTAAAGCATTTTGTTTATCTCGAAGCACATCTGCCCGTATGTAATACAACCTGGAAATCGACAAAAAGTACAAGAAATTAGTCTTCAGGAAAAAATCCAGTTATTTGGTGTGGTAGGCCTTTTTCAATTGTATTATTGAGTTCATGCATGGGAAGAAAAGATCACTGAAACAGGCCGTGATGATGTTTAGGATGATGTAAGGGTGAGTGACGAAATGATATGGTGGTGAGGAAAAGGAATACCATGGACTCAAAAAACTACATTTATCATGTATATTAGGTAATATAGCCTCATACCTTTGCTCACTCATTTCATCCAATGCTCTGTCAATTCTTGATTCTTCTTCCTCTTCATGAATAATTGCCTCTGAAACCTAATACAGATTATGGCAGTTTAAATCCTAGCCTATGCACAATTCACTTTCTCTTTTTCATCCCGTTTTTTTTTTCAAATTCAGTTAGAGTATATTTGTCTTAAATAGTCAATCAGGATTTCGACTACGACTAAGTTTAGTAATGAGCGGTTTCAAAATTTGCCCGGATCTATATTTACTAAATTTTTAGACAACGTTCAGTCGAAGGGTTATCGAACGTAACGTGGTCTTAATCTGATGGTCTGTCTAATCACATTAGTTACAAATATTTATTGAAATATTTATGTCATTTGTTTATACCTGGTTTTCTGTACTCAGAGCTTTTTGAAATTTCTCCCACTCCTCGTCAGCTGGGTCTTTATATTCGACTTTTCGAGCCTAAATAATGAAAAATATTAAATTGGTTGAACATGTCATATCTTAAGTATAGTTCCGTAAACATGTGTTTTTATTATTGGCTGATCATGCAAACAACTAACTTTGGCGTCAAGTTTTGGGTCGTCAAAAAAGCCTTCAGGTATAACTTCTGATTTGTCAGATTCGTTTCTAAGGAAAGATATAACAAAATATAATCTTCATTACTTCAGACACAAAAATTGCAAAGGATGACTTTTTAAGATCTGATATTAGGCAAAGCAGGCAACCTCGAGGGAACATAAGGAGACACAGCTACAATAAACTAAACCTATACACCACGTATAAGATTCTCTTACTGTTTTGATAAATCATTTTCTGATTCTTTTAGTTCTGTTTGTGAGCTGTCGAAAAAATCTAAAAATTCAATTTCATTGGAATGTTAAGTTGATCGTTTTAGAAATGCATGTAAGATTGTCTTATTTAGATGGATTTGTCATTAGGTAAGGAAGATAGAGAGAGTAATTCTGTCACCTGCAGGTAAAGTCTCCACAGCAGATGGAGTCTCAGATGTCGTGTCTTTATCCACTACCATATTCTGTTCTTCAACTGAACTACTTCCATTATTATCAAAGAAGTCCGCAGGTATACTATATACAAAATATACTATAAGAATGAGTGGAAATAGTTTGATGGAGTCAACTACAATAACTTGTTAGAACTGGATAACATCTTGTCCGAAGACAAACACCTTTCCGATCAAAAAGAAATAATGATTCATAATATAAGATAATCATGAGGATTTTAGCCACACCCAAACGTACCTCGAAGAGTGGTTGGAACTTGATACTAGATGATGAAAAGACGAAAAAAAAGATTTTGAGTGGGTTTGAAAATTACGATATGCAATACTCTCGCCTTTTAACTAATCATTTACCTTTAGGTTTTTTTATCGTTGGTGATTCACTATCAAAATCTGATATCTAAACAGAAATTTAGATCAAATGTTGCCCAAATAATCAAATGCCCATACAAACTGAGAACGCGATTTAGCGCCGCAGTGCAATATGAATACATATCAGGATTTTTTTAACTTAAAAGATTTCGAAAAATCCGGGCAGCGCAATTTTCTTCTTTTGAAGGATGTAAACGAGCGGACAGTTACGAATGCTCTGATGTATACAATTGTCCGTATTTGCTCATCCACCTGGTCACATCCATTTGAAATACGAACGCTTGACAACGTGAAACGAAAACGTTCTAGAAATTAATATATAACACAATACTTACATCATCATTATTCTCTTGATTTCTTCGTTTGTTTGACTGTAAGGAACCTGAGGTTACCCCGTTTCCCTTTAAAAAATTTCAACTTGATAAATAAACAATTTAAAAGTAACACCAAATAGCATGCATGTAGACAATACTACGAAAGAGCTAAGCCTAAGCATGTTTTGCTCAATATTTTGCCAAATAAAAATGGTCTAAATAAACCATACCTTAGAACTGCTGTTGAAGACGTTCCTGTCTTGCTGTACATAACAAGATTTTGATAAATCTGTTTGTGATTTCTGTTTACCAGATTTTAATGACACAAGATTCTATACAAGTGAAGAAAGTCGAATGAATTATTTGGTTTGCCAAATTATTTGGTTTGCCCTATTAAAGCTTTTTAACTGCTTGAGGATTTACTAAAGAAGACTGATGAGAAGCTTAGAAGTTGTAAATTACTCTAAGTTTAACTAAGTTTTGAACTCATTGTTGCGTGACAACTACAGATGTTAACTAGCATTGGTTTTTTGCATGATAAAGAGATCGTCATGTGTTGGGGCGCTTCGTCGTTACAGCAATTCACATTTTGACAAGATTAGCCGACTGGCTTCAACTCAGGAAATGCTATTGTTTGCTATCAAACAGCATTTGTAAACAAAGTATGTGTGTGGATATGGTGTATACTTAAGTCCCTGGGGATGCTTTGAGAATAAGAAAATATTACCACCGGAATAGCGCGTTCGTGTTTTATATAAAGAATTGTCCTTATCTAAGTCGTATTACCCAGCGTGTGTAGGTTTAAACTTTGTTTACACACCCTGATTCGTCAAGATAACAATGAGGTTAGGATATAATCAAGACCACGGAATTAATATCAAGCTTTGAGCTCCCGCTATTTTATTCTCGCTTTTTGTGCAATAAATAATGAGATAAACTTATTTTATCTGAACTTAAAACGAGAACCACTCAGAATGCACGATCTTCCCCCCAGTTGTTCCGTAGAACAAAAGGGAACGGTCATCAATGATTACTAACATGTTACTATAAAGCAACGTTAGTAATCTGCTTCCCGCTCAGAAGAAAGCGCTACAACTCATCATCGTGGTTGCGAATGTTGTCTATGTTAGAGAACAAAGACGGGACACGTACTATAGAAATGATCCTAAAAAGTACGGTCTTATCGAGTCTCATTCATGATGCAGAATATATATGAAAATCCAACCTTGATTATTGTGGGACAGATTCCTCGTACTGCGCATGCGTACTTAGAATCTTAGCTAATTAGCTTGCAACAAGACTCCCATTGACCACAAAGTTTAATTCTCATATAGGAGCCATGTAGGTAAATTTCGACTTTGTTGACAATAAACGCCTTGAGCAGAGATTGTTGAACAACTCATCTAACTAGTTCCTATGTGCGAAACTTTAAAAATACACTAAAAAATAATCCCAAGTTCCAACCCTCCTATACACTCTGAAACGTACATGAAATCAGAGAAAAATATGGGTGGATAAAAATGAAATCCAAGCAAGGATTCGAACCAGGTCATGTCAAAACACAAATTAAAAACTGGAACCAATTGGTTAACAGCTCATCCCAGACTCCCAGACGTCCAATGACAGACTGTCTCAAATGTCTGTATAACCATAAATACTAAATTATGGTGAATAAAGTTTTTTGAGGTGGCAGACTCTCTGGAAGGTGTTCAGACCATCTACAGCTTGAAATTAGTACCTATTGCATTAAACCAGCCTGCTGCCTAGCTATAGGTAAATTAAGTTTTAAAGTCAAAGTTTTATTGGTTGTTCGCCCCACAATAATAAAAAAATTATTCCAATTCTGATTATCTGATATATAAATTATTTTGTGACATTGCTGGTAGCAGTCATGTGACAGGCTTATCATTAAGCCTGCCATCCAATCATCACTACAAAAGTCTGCAATTTTAGAGCATGCTGTTGATATGACTGGGCCAAGAAGCTGCACTCCTATAATTTGTCAGCCATGAATGACCATCTGTCTTCCACTATTGAGAGTTAGGGGGAAATGTATGTAATTAATGAAAGGGTGTATTGGCATTTGACAGAGATTGTTTTGTGCCTCTGTTGGTGAAATAAATATCAGTACCCCAATAGGGTTTAGAAACTCAACAATAATTTTGAATTTGGTTGTTGATGATTCTATTAAAAGACCTTAATATACATATAAAAAAATTTAAACAAAACAAAGCAATTGCCATAGATTTCATTTCTTACACGTGTTTTCATTTGGGACTTATCTATCCACTATAGTCTATAGAGCACCCTACTACACACACTTTTCTAGTGTGTCTAGGGCTGGAAGAGGTGATGAGGTGTATGCAACAAAAATCTAATTATACCTCTTTATGTTTGACTCCACGTATATGTGCATCCCACAGAAGATCACTTTTAATAACTGTGTTGCACAAAACACAGAATAATTGACCTGCGTTGTTATACCTGAAGTATTTACATAAAAATATTAAGACCTGTTTTTAAAATAGTGCCCTAATAGAGAGAACATTAACCAAAGACTATATTAAATACCTTGCAAGTGGCGAGTCGATTTTCTTTTTGGATTTACTGCGTTGTTCCTTCATCAAAGTACGAACATCTTTTAACTTCGTTTTTCCGGCCATTTTGAAAAAAAATATTTTTATTTTTTTTAACCACTGGACGATTATCTGCAGGCTCATATTATCCTGGTACTTACCTGGCACAGGCACAGGCACAGCCAGCACCATCACGATGTAACAGTGGTGTTTATATATGACTTGTACTGGTTACTTTATAACACATTATGGCTGAAGATTTTTTTTCAAAATATGCCAGTGACTATGGATATGGAGGTTGCATTACAGCCATCAGAGAGAAAGAATTCCCAAATTTAAATGGTATAGCTATACTGACAGGCTACACTTTCACTGTTTGCCGAGATTACCATGTTACCTTTTTCTTACATTGATACTTTACATGTGTATATCCCACTATAAAATCCCATGTTTGCTTTAATGTCTGTATGCTTTACAAAGTGATCACACAACAATTAAATCTTATGCCATTGAAATATACCAGCACCTGGTCTTCACATATACTGCAACAGCTAGCTGATGCTCATTTGACCACAGTCAGGGAGTTTGTGTAGCTAGCTTGCATGAATTGATAGGAGTGTTATATTTTCCTGCCATACATGCATGCCAGTACGTGTATTTCTATGGTAAAAAAAATAATATATGAAATGTAATTTCTAAAAAAACACTTCAAAGTATATTATTATTATCATTTTAGATTCTGTGTACCTGGACCACACAGGAGCCACGTTGTATGCAAAGTCTCAGATGCAAAGCTACCATGAAGATCTAATGAAGAATATCTATGGGAACCCACATAGCAGTTGTTTGAGCAGTGAAGAAACTTCATACATGATTGATGATGTTAGACAAGAAATCCTCTCATTTTTTAATACAACTAGTGATGAATACTATGTGTTGTTCACCAGTAATTCAACTCATGGGATAAAACTAGTAGCAGAGAATTTTCAATTTCACAGTGAACCTAGAAGCTGCTTTGTCTACCTTCAAGATAATCACACATCTGTTGTTGGTATACGTGCTGTTGCACTAGAGAAGGGCGTCAATGTTAAAGTTCTTAATTACCAAGAGTCATCAAAAGAAACTTTATCTGCGCCATGTAAAAAAATAAGTAATTTAGGCAAAGTTTATAATCACACTGCTAATAAGGTTTCCATAAATTGTGATGTTAAGGAAGATTTGCCTTCTAATAATTTGTTTGCCTTTCCTGCCATGAGTAATTTTTCTGGACACAAATACCCATTGGAATGGATTTCCTCTGTGCAAAACAATGGCCTATTTTCAGATGAATTTTCTGGGAAATGGTTTGTGCTTTTAGATGCTGCATCTTTTGTTAGTACCTCAGAACTGGATCTTAATGCATACAACCCTGACTTTGTACCAATTTCATTTTACAAGATGTTTGGATTTCCGACTGGGTTAGGGGTTTTATTGGTGAGTGCTAGAGGCGCAAAGGCTTTAAGCAAATCTTACTTTGGCGGTGGAAGTGTTTCTGCGTATTCCAGCGATACAGACTTTCATGTGTTTCGACCATCCCTGCATGACAGGTATGTCCAGACTTAATTTGCAATTTATTGGGATACTATTGAGAAACCTTTGAACTAACACTTCTCTTTTCATCATAAAATAATATTTCTTTAAACTAGTTAATACATATATACATCTTACCATTAATGTATCATCTCGCTGTAATTATATTTTCTTAGGCACAAAGACGGAACCCCACCATTCTTGGAAATTTTAGCTGTACGACATGGTTTCCAATCTTTACGCCAACTTACAACATCAACGAGTGTCATAACGAAACATACATTTTGTCTTGCCCAATATGTTTATAATAACTTGAAGGAATTGAAGCATTATAACGAAAATCGTGTCTGTGAATGTTATTGTGATACTGAGTTTAAGTCAAGTTCACTCCAAGGCCCAATTGTCAATTTTAATATTTTGAGATCAGATGGAAGTTACGTTGGTTATGCAGAGGTAAAGTGCCTAGTATACCGACCCGAACTGTTTAGTTTAAGATTAAGCTACATCCAACAATTCTTATTTTTCTTTCAGGTATCCAAACTTGCAGCTATCTATCTTATTCATTTACGAACAGGTTGTTTCTGTAATGTTGGTGCTTGTCAGTATTTTCTCAAATTAACTACAGAACAACTTCACAAAAACTTTGATGCTGGTCATGTGTGTGGCGACAGCGTTGATATCGTAGATGGTTATCCCACAGGCTCAATCAGGATCTCATTTGGCTACATGTCTGCCTTTTCAGATGCTGAAAAATTTCTTAGTTTCATCAAAAGTTGTTTTGTTGACCAAGTTAGTAGGTGTTGTAACGAGAAGACACCAAAGGAAACAACCGCGAAAGATAGTGGCTTGGTGAAGAAAATGTATATTTATCCCGTCAAGTCCTGTGCAGCTTTTGAGGTATGTGAAAGGTGACATACGGTAAAACTGAGTGTTTTGACGATTGCCCTGTATAAATTAGCAAGTTCTTATGAATATCTGATACCCACGTTGTCTGATTCAGGTTGAACAGTGGAACTTAAATGAAAAGGGACTTTGTTATGACAGGGAGTGGTTAATTGTTAATGAGTCTGGATCTTTCATTAGCCAAAAGCGAGAACCACGTTTGTGTTTAATCGAACCATACATTGATTTAAAGGAGAATATTTTGCAGCTTCAAGCTCCAGGTACCCAGAGTAACTCTTTCTATAGCGCATTTTCAATGCATGCTATAAAGCAGTTTCTTGAATCAGCCCTGCCTGATAATATACCTCATTGAAACGCGGGATTCCCGGTTCTCCCATAAAGAACTATGTATTTCCCACCATTTTATCGCAAAATTCGTTATTCCTTTGTATTTTTCTGTATAGGAATATCCGAGTTTAAACTGCCAATCAACATATCAAATGAGACTTTAAACAACCAGAGTAAAAATCTATTTCAACCACGCATATGTGGAGCAAAGTAAATATATTTTATATTAATTTACTACTTATTTTTTTTAAACATATCTCGCTTTTATATAACGTAAACAATTCCTATGCAGTTTTAAAATTAATTGAAGTTTTTATTTTTTATGCAGAGTGTCTGGTATTGATTGTGGTGACGATGTATCCAGTTGGCTTACGTCGTTTTTAAAACAAAAGTGTCGTTTAATAAGACAAAATCCGAAGGTTGTAAGAAGAGACGGTTTTAACAGAGGTATATAGCTTTCGTACCTATAAAGTACCTTCCTTTCTTTCTCATCTATTCAGTTTATTCTCTTTCTGAGCTTTGAAAACGTTTACGAAACAATAGGAAAATTCTTTGATATCGTTTTGCTATCTCACTTCCATATCTTCAATATCTTAACCCCAACAATTTATATTGTTCTATTCGATTTTATTCGACTAAGACCTACTGAGATCAGTGACCTCTATCATACCTTTTAGATCTATAAAAATCTATTATACCTTTTATTTTATATATTGCAGATGATTACAGTGAAGGTCGTGCTCTTTCTCTTGTGAATAACTCTCAATTGGTCGCCATCACTGAAACAAGCTGCTTGGATCTACTGCAAAACATTAATTCACTAGCATCTGACGGAGAGGTAGTAAATGAAAAATACTTACTTCTAAATGTTACGTTCATGACGTTTTTGTAGCAGTTTTTCTATAACTTAACTATGATTTGTATATCAAGGCGTGTAAATTGACATTAGAATCGGTGATAAAACGATTTCGGCCAAATTTGGTCATTTCTGGGGATCAACCTTTTGAAGAGGAAAGCTGGGGCTATGTAGCTATCGGTGGCTGTGACTTTCAAGTACGTTGTACAACTAATTTATACCAGTCGAATTGATTATCCATACACACCATGTATTTGGAAATTGCCCTGTTTATTTAAGGTTAGTTGAACCGCGTGACGGTTTGTTATGTATTATAAACGAATTGGACCAGATTGATATTTTCATTCAGTGTTGTGGTGTCTGTTTTCGCTGCCAAACAATTTCTGTTGATCCAAAGAGCGGACAACGATCCAAAGAACCGATGCGAACATTAGCAAGACTTAGAGGAAGCAAGGTTCAGTTTTTTTTAACTTATGTCTTTAGTAGTTCCAATATAATATACATCATCTAGCCTTCTTTAAAAACTACGCAAAAGTAATTTTGAAATTCGGACCAAATGACAGTAGTGAAGGACAGCAATTGAAAATAGTCTGAAGCCGAAAACTGAGTCTCGTGAGCTATAGGAATGTCATCATGCTATCGAAATAATTATAATGAATTGAGTCGGTATTTAATTTGTATAATTATTCTTCTTACTACCATACTCCTTTTCATTTCAGATACCATTTGGTGTTCATTTGCAGAGAAAAATGAACGACGAAATATCACAAATTTGCGTTGGAGATACTGTAATTGTTACCGAATTTTAAAAAGAACTGAAACGGAACTAAATTTGACGTAATATGAACAGGACAGAAACTAAGAAAAGATAAAAAAGATATTAACCTGGTATTGATAATATATAATATTGATAGTATTGATCAAATTTTAAGATTGTAGGCGCAAACAAACGGTTAATAATATTATTTGTGGAGATCCAGGGGTATACAGAGTGTATGAAAAACTGTCACTTTGAATTTACATAGCAGCCACTAGCAATAGGCAATAGCTGTACCATTTCCTTTGCAACTATTACCATTTCCTTGGCAATCTCGTTCCGCGGGCCCACGATTTTCTCTGGCGAGGAAACAAAGGCTCTGGGATAATTGAAATCAGAAATGATTTTGATTCACGCCGTTGGAAAATAATACAAAGTTACAAACCATAAGCCAGGATTCTGGCTTCCAAGGTTGTATTATCCCAAAGCCCTGTTTTCAGTTTTCGCCAGAGGAATTCGCGGGCTCAGGAAACGAGATTGTGCGTTTGGTAGACTGGGACGGGAGCAACTTCACAGTTTACAAATAACAAGTTGAAAAGCAAACTTCGGACGTTATTTATACAAAGAAAAAATAATTGTTGTTTGATATTTACTTAACTTTGTAATTTAATATTAAATGTATATCGCGATTAAAAAGAAATATAAACGAGAGGCCCAGACGGGGTTCGAACCCGCGATCTTCGGTTTACGAGACCGACGCCTTACCACTTGGCCACTGAGCCTTAACATCCAACGTGGCTCAAAATAGTCATTATTTTCAATGTCAACTCGCCATTTCAATTTGCAATGCTTTTCTGACTCCCCTGCGAGTCAGAATTTATATTTCAGTGACTCAGAGTCAATGATTCTTATAATTAGTTAATTTCTACTCAGTTGATTCATATTTTGCGCTTACAAATGTAGATTTACAAAAAACTTTATAGTCAAAAAATACAAACGAACTGGTTTGACAATATAAACAATGCCATTCTCGTTCCCAGGTGGTGCCAAAATAAAAATACAGTTTTTCTTTGGTCCAAAACTCCCTAACATTTCCTTGAAAAAAAAACTCGTGCAGAAACTAGTGAGAAGGTTGATTCGGGAATCAGGAGCTAGATTTTCCAGAATTAAAACTGTGATCACAGTTTAAGGATATACCCAAGGTTTTTAAAGATGTCTTCAGAGTCGGGTACTCAATATTGTACCAATTAGCCTTTTTAATTCAAAGTAAACTACGCCCGTTGGAGGTTCGCTCGGTTAAAATTACAGTTGTGGCTCGCGCATTACATACTCTAGTATTAAATAATGAAAGGATCATATTTTTTAGGACAACATTGAACTGGATTTAATATGTGTAAAATATTGTAAAATACAGTATAGACATTAAAATAACTCCAGTCAAAAATAGTTTCACGTTACAGTTGTCAGTATGTCAGTCACTTGTCAGTATGTATAAATTTAATATGTATGCTGTAATGCCTGAATGTGAAATAAATATTTTTAATATTCGGTTGTGTTGGACATTTTAATCTTTGCTAGTATCCCTTTTCTCCTCATACTTGACCCTGCAAAATACAAGACGGATCATTATCTCATGTATTAATATACGACTCGAAAAGGAGGGGCATCGACAGAAAGCATCGACATGTAATTTTACCACAATAACTAGGCCTAAGCCCTAGCCTAGGCCCAAATCAGTGAAATCAGACCTCAGTTATTACAAAATAACTGGTTTTAGACGTAGAAGCGAATCCGTCGTAAAATAGTCAATATTCAGTAGACCAATGGCTAGAACCAATTGTGAATTGTTCTACATATTCTTTAAGAATAAAAATAATAAAAACCTTGTTTTGATTAAGAATTGCGCCATTCCAACAGCTTCAGGGTTGCCGCTTATTGTAACAATTCTTTCTCCAGAACCGTCTGTTTCATCAGCGATCTTGATTGCTGCTCCTGATTTACTCCTAAAGTAATTGAAACGAAATTCTCATATTACTCTACAAAGCATGTTATACTCGGGATTCACGTCCCAAATTCACAAGCAAAATACAAAGTCACTGACTGCAAATATAAAACTTGTGGGTATAAATATAAATTGTTTTAAAAAAAGTTTACGAACATTTACGAACTTTTCATCGAATTAGGCTTATTACAGAGCCGAAACTGTGAGAACGACCATGCACTGATGCAGGGCAATGCAAACTGGACCTTGGTTGTCAGAAATGCATCACTGGGTATTATTACCTAATTTCGCTGATTTTCGTTCCACGTTTGCCAATTACACCACCTGCATACTAAAATAGACAGAAATAATATACAATAAGTTAAATCTACAAAAACAAATATGTCGCATAAACGCCAAAATATGTACGACGGACAGTTAGAAGATAAAAGGTTAGAATATGAAGGTGTATCACGATAACCGGGTCCTGATGGTTACCAGACCAGGCAATCCCTGCTAGGGTCATAAGTACAGTACAACCCACTGGTACAACAACAGATTATATAACTGTGGTACAACTGGATACAGTCCCATGCTGCTTGTACTTACTCGACTTGGTATTGCCATTGTTTCTGTCATGTATTCATCATAGTCCTCGCTTCTTTTGCGTCTTCCTAATAACAGAAATAAGTTAAATGATGCGCAATACGATTTCATCAAAACGCGAGGGTATAATAATGAAGTCATGCTGCAAACCGCCAGCTTCTTACAACTAAACAGCTCGGTATCTTTGTGAAAATTGATGCACCCAAATATTTCGTTTCTTCACATAATGTAAATATTGTAGAACGGAATATCTTACTTGAACTCGAGTTTCTTGACGAGTAACGTGATGGCTCCCTGCCTCGCTACAAATTTTATAAACAAAAAAAAGCAATGTGATGCCTGATGGATATGGATAACATTACCCAGGAAATTACTTTTTCCAAATTTCCTTCCTATGTTATACATCACGTCAAGATGAAAAGAAGTGATGTGTATGGTAAACTGTATCTATATACCTTATTATTAGAAGAAGATTAATCAAAAAGAATAACTAGTAATGGTCCATGAACTGGTTCAGAAATATATACCTCATAATGATCTCTTGTTTCAGAATAATCTCTCTCAGATCTACTTGGCCTGTTGCTGTGGTAATTTTGCGGATAATACGGATCAACATGACCACGAACTGGATACTAAGAAATAATACAAAACACTTATGAGTAATAAAATATTTTGTAATAAAACAATAAGTCAAAGAAATAAAGAAGAGTTTACAAAATGGTGGTCACTATCATACTACCCTTCATATGCATGATTACAATTAACATGTACTACACTGCATATAGACTGAAACCACATTCTTTTGTGCACTGCTGGGATATTAAATAGGCAATAATAAATACAGCTTACCTCAACCATTATTTCACAAAGAGATTTCATACATAAATTTATGTTTTCTGGTTTTCCTAAAACGTTTTCCAAATTTGTTGAATAGGTCTATCCATGGTCATATGGTAGGAAGAGGTAATGTATAGTCTAGTTTAGTTTTGTATACCTGATAAAGTTATCATTCTCTCAGTTGACATTGGTAAAGGATCAGTAGCTATCTATAAACAATGTTGAACACTTGAACATATAACAGCATTGAAACATCACCACAGTACCGTAACGTACAATTTAATAAAAAAGCTGGCGATGATTGCATATTTGCATAAAACGTTACGGTGTAACATTTTGGCTAGATGGCACTAATCCTAGACCTAGCTGCTTTGGAAATTATACTTATAAAAATGTTACCTGAATATGTGCTCCAGATTTCTAAAATATAAAAATGTGAAGTAAATAGAGTGGTACATATAATATATAATAATAAAAATGCATATAACTCAAGTAAAAATTTGCAAAACATTAGACTACTGCAGAGCTTGTTATCACACATTGCATACATAATTCATGGTACAAATGTTGTAAGAATATTTTTATTATTATATCAATATATACTGATAAAAATAATATCTAAATTAAAATACAGTCAATTACATAATATACCTCACGAATTAGCTTAATCTTTGATCCACCGGAACCAATGAGTGAACCACACTGACCAGATGGAACCATGAGTTGAAAGGTTAGAGGAGTGTATGATGATCTGTCATTGTTTAACAAGTTCTAAATAAAAAAAAACATATCAACAAGACATATTACCAAAACCAAATATCCACATTTAGTGTCAGTCCATTTATTACAAATTTTTATTATAACTTTAATTTAATTAAAATTTCTGTTGTTTTTCATGTTTATTATTTAACACACAAATATATTTTTAAACAGTAAACCCAAATAATATAATGTGGACATATCATATTGTACATGGTGCCAATACAGTAAAACATTATGGAAAATATCAGGGAATCATTAACACACTGAGCAATGAAACACTTACTTACACAACAATTTAAATGATGATTCTTACTTATTTATTTTATACGTACATGTGCCAGTGGTTAAGGGGAAAATGATAGGGGTGGAATAGGTTTGTAGCTTGCCAACAGTTTACACAATCAAGATGTGGTGTAAATTGTATTTTCCATGGATTGGAAGGTATTATACTGTACATGCATAAGTAAAGGTGGAATACAAAATTGTAAGGCCACATGTATTGGATGAGGAGCCAAGGTTGAAGCACACGAAGAGGTTTTGTTACCGGTAATGTCCAATAAAATGCAGAGGTGGATTTAACAACAGTAAAAGTAGGTTAAATGGAATGGGAATGCACAATATTGGCTTTCAAAACTCACTGGGTTTCAATAAATTGGCTATCAAATTGGGTTTCAGTGGTCACCAAAATGGGTTCACATAGCTTGCTGCAAGGTTAGGGTTTGGCTTAGGGGGGATAAACAAAACTACAATTGACCATGTAAGGAGACATGGATAATTTGGAGGTACATCAAGGAATAGTATACCATCTGACTGTTGCAGTGCACAAGGTATTAGAAAGGGATGGTCTGGTAATGTAGGTAGGAAAGTATTTGTAAAGGGTCCACACTCTCAGAATGGGGGTTGCTGTGAATGGAAAGAGTGGAAAGGGAGAATATCCATGGTGGTTAGATATTATGTAAGGTGTTGCATGTTATGTAAATGTTGGGTGCATTAATGGAGGTGATTGTAGGTGGAGGGATTGTGGTGATAAGTATAAATAGGAGTGGACTGAATATTTAGTGCCACTTTTCTAAAAAGAAAATATTTTGTTTCATTAATTTTCAATTTGATAGTAAAAGTCTGAGTCCTATTCAGTAGCATTAAGTTACCTCTTCAATGGTTGTTACAATCAATTTAAAAGCAGACATTATATTGTTGACAGCACCAGTTACAGAAACAACTCTAAGAAAATTAATGACAATAAAAAATTACTCACAAAATTAGTAACTTAGCACAACACACTTATCAACAAAATCAACAAAATACCTCAAATTACACCATTAAATTTCAATCAGATTATTGTTCAAGTGTTTAAAGATGTATTATACCTTTCTTTTGATGCATTGTCACTTATATTAATGATAGCATCACTCTAAAGATAGGACAAACATGTGTTTACATTTCATTGAAATCATGAATGCCTCGCTACCACACTTTAAATTTGTCTCATTTTTTAAATCTATTAGTAGATAAGGTGCATTTAGGTGAAATGCTGTTTAAAGAAAAAGTCTTTTTAGTAGATTAATCAAATGAAAGTAATATTTTTTAAATGTTAGTTAGTCCTACCATTGCATATAATATAGCTACAGTTACATAGCACCAAACAACTTACAGATTTCCTTAAGTTTTGTATTGTTTGTCCACCCTGAAAATTGGCAATTAAGTTAAGCATAAAGCCTTTCTGTACTCATTAAAAGTTAAAATCGTAAAAAACGTTTACCTTTCCAATTAATGTACCAGCCTCCTGAAACAGGATATTTAAAAAGCATTTAGACTTTAAGTTTATCAGAGGCTAAGGGGCTTGTGTCACCATTGGCATTAAATTAAAGAGCTCCTTGTGTATCATTGATATAATGCTATGTTTATACACATAGATAGATCTCCCTTGTGAAGTATGCATGTAAGTTTGTTTAAGTAGACAAAATATACAGATAAGTTGTCTTGACAGATGATCTGTCTGTTTCCTGTGTTTGCACAAATGTATGATAACCTGACACCAGCAGAGGAATAGTCTCTTGAGACATTCTAATAAAATACATCTTTTTAAATATGTATGCTTAGCATGCACATAAACTGTGTCTGCACATTCATTTGGTGGCTACTTTTTTTAAAATGTCCTTGAATTTAAACATTCTAAATGCCACACAGATAATCTTTATTAAAAACAGTACTGTATGTGATTGCCAAGTGTTTGACATTCCTCTCACAGTGTATAGTACCACCAACATTCTGTTAAGTAATGCGATGAAACAAACACACAGAAAAACATATTGTGCCATTGAAACTCTTCAAAAGTCTAAAAAGTTAAGCTAGTGATGTCTAACCTTGCCATTCATTAAGAATCTTAGCGTCAGTATTTCATCATCTCGGTCTGATTCAGACATCATTCGCGCTTTCTTTCTTCTATCACTCATTCTATGGTGAGAAATTCCTTTTTAAAAGCTTTAAAAGGTCTTGGTATTTTCGCGATAACGTACGCGCTATCTTTTTTTATTATATTAAATATTAGTGCAATAGTATTTCCTTTATAGCAATTTAGAGATAGCGCAAAATATTTCAATAAAACCACAGATAAAATCATTTTTTAAATACCATACTATTTTATAAAATTCGTGGCGTCTTTACGTTCACGCCTGCGACCACATTTTAAAAATATTAATATACAGAATACCAGAAATAAAATCACATCCCACAAAATAATGACGTTAAAAATTTTGTCAAAATCGTAAAAATCGTAAACTAAATTTCTAGTATATATTCAATAATATTTTTACATCGGGGATATATATTCCTACCTCGGATATTTGAAGGTTCTTCAGACGTTCGAGGCGAAACGATTTTAAGAAGAAAAAGATTCAGAAAGAATAAGGAAACGAAACAAGAAAAATCTACACTTCAATTGAATTTTTTTTAGGCTCAACAAATCACATATTCTCCATTTGTCCACGTTGATCGATTTATTTTATATTTATTTTTTAATATTTTATTTCTTTGTGGTGGAGTAATCAATTCTCGAACCTTGTGCGACAAAATTATCCATAGTGTACCCCTAATGTATGTAAAAATTATCCATAAAATTTGCTAGAATACTCCCAGATGTACATTAAAATACCTCATTATTCAAAATCTCCGAAAATTCGAAAATATCTCAAAGTATCAACTAGCCACGTGGCCAACCAATGGCAACCAACGGATAGACTGTATTTATGGCAACTTCCATAAGCTGTGAGAGTGTTCCAGTGACATTTATTGACGAGGAAGATGTCACGAAAAACTTCAGTCCTGCGAGAAAAGGTACCGATAGAAAAGATCTCACCTAAATGTCAAGAGGGCTGAGGGGTATAGGGATTCCTCTCTTCCAAATTGGTGCTTGGGGGGGGGGCACATGTCTCCTGTCCCTACATGGTTGTTGAATTTTTCAAGTGTTTTGGTAATCAGCCCGCAATAAAAGTGGGTTGCCCTTTGATTTCAATATTATGTAGGACTAAGATCCACAGGCAAAGGCTGTAAAAGAAGGATCCCAGATGATGACCGCAGATCTAGATATTTTGACAGTGTGACACTGGATGACAGCTCTGATGATGATGAAATTATTCATCCATCTGGTGAAGGTAATCTCATTATTGTATTCAGAGAATGATAACAAATGTGTCTTCAGAGTATGATAATTATTAATCCAACCTATGTAATTAGTTATTATGTCTACATATTTAATGCATAATGCAGCCCTTGTAATTTGCCTCAACACTCCACAATTGCAGAGGTAAATATGCCTCATCTGCTCCAACCTCCTTGCCCTCAGCAAAAGTCACCAATTTTGGCACCAAATTCAAGTCATATACATCTAAGTCAGAATATACATCCTATATTCACACCCTATATCTATTTTATATTTATCAAGCGGTACTGACCCAGACCCCTATATCAAGCCATGATGTCTTCAGCTTTCAAAACACTAAACGGAAGACAGCCTTAGCAAATGCTGGTTTGTATATAAGCTATACTATAGAGTAAACACAATAATGATATTGAAAGTGCTGTAATATTTTTATTGATGAAGTGTATTAATTCATTTTAATTCTAATTAATTTTCTAAAGTGTATGCATGTTGACTTTTTTAATCCTAGTTTAAGTTTTATCCCTGCCTTCAAGTTTGGTTTCTCTGAGTCAATACTATTATTTGATAATAATTAGTGGAGATGGTCTCAGACCAGTAATTTTTGTATCATTGATAGCATCTGAAGCTCGCCATATCAAGGAACCACAGCCTGTCAGGAAAGGAAACAAGCACAAATTAGGTACTGTATTTCTATTACACTCATTGATTAGTGTAGTTTCTACAAACAGATTTTTTTTATGTTTAAATTCCGTAGTATACTTATTAGGTTGTTCACAATTTATTACATATGCTAATTGCTGTAATAATTGTTCATTGCATTCAGCAAGTGAAGGTTCCAGTGAAGAAAGCTCTGAATATTCAAGCTCAGATGATCTTGATGATGAGGATAAAAGCATGTCAAAAGACATTGCTAGGTTAGGAAGAGCTTACAAAGAAATTTACAATGTTATACACACTGTATGCAATATTTAATTGCATGTTAAAGATTCAAGCTACATTCTACAGCTAATTCATATTGACTAAAGGTGAATTGGATATATGAACAGAAAATTTTAGAATTCATTGAAAAATTGAACTCTATTAGAATAATTAAATTTCGGTAATTTTCTAGTATAATCAGCATTAAATTTTGTTGTTTATTTTTTTTGCTTTTTGGACTATATCTTCTTTCCACTCTTCACTAATTAAGTAGCAGCTGACAACATAGTGGCATCTTACTGAGATCCATCTGCATGCAACCAATAGATTTCCACACCCTGCAGCCTTGGCTTTTATATATATATGCTCTTCTATCTATCTAGGGCCATCAATATGAAGGAACTGAATAATAATAACATGGTAAAATTAGTACTAAATTTATATTTTCCTACAGTATGTAAAACCTTATTGATTCCATTGTGTGTGAAAAATATATGTTGTTTTTATTGTGTACAGGAAGACATGCTTGATAACTATTTTCTTGCACATGATGAAAAGGACTGTCTTACCTCAGATAGAACACTATCAAGTCTTTCTATCCCACGAATGGATCAAGAGGTAACCAGTGCGTTTCTATTTTTTTCTCTTGTTTCATGCCCCTTCTTCTTTGTCAATGATTCCGCTCTCTATAGGTGAAGTAAAACCAAATGTAAAACCATGGCTAAAGTGTTTTGAATATATGTATTATTACAGACATTATCCGCTGTTCTTAAATCAAGAATTGGAGATCATCAAGATGAACGTCGTAAACTTTACGAGGAGTACAGAACGTATTTTCCCAAGTGGGCTTTTCAGTTAAGGTTCGTAGGAGTTTTGATAAGTTGGGAAGATTTGAAGGGTTAGTGTAACTTGAGATTACACCTGCAATTTTATAAAATATTCATATTTAGAAATGGATTTAACTTACTTCTTCATGGACTTGGATCTAAACGTTCCGTTATTGACTCCTTCCGGTCAACGATGCTCTCAAAGTCCGTTCAACTGGTAGTCAATGGATTTTTTCCAAGCATCACCGTTAAAAATGTGAGTTTTTTATCAGTTTATCCAGCGCATTTATTTGTAGTTAATGGATCCTATTATTTTAAAAGAATGCATATTCACAAAAAGTTGCATGTTTGGAAGTTGTAGAACTTAGAAAGAGGAATTAATAAATTTTTACTGTAAAATATACTTTTTGATTTTTTATAGATTCTTAATACAATAACAAACGATATTATTAACCATGATGGAACATTTAAAAGCATTATAGAACAGTGTAACTTTATTAAAGATTACTACAATGAAAACGACAGTGAGAAAATTTATTTAATCATCCATAATATAGACGGAACAATGTTGAGATCTAACAGTGTGAGTATATAGCATTTTCGACTTGAAGTTTATGTTTTTTATCATCATCACCTCCGCGGATTAAAGATAATTTCCTAAGTTTAGTTATTTAAGATAACAGGGACTCGACAAACTCCCCCCCCCCCACCACCATTATAATTTCCTCCCTGGTGCTACTGTTGGGAAACCCGAAGTTAATAAGTTTTTTGCTTTTCTTTTTTTTACAATGTAGACCCAAACCATACTTAGTTCACTGGCACAGTGTTCCTCAATTCACCTCATCGCGTCGATTGATCATATTCATGCACCTCTGAGTAGGTATACAGCGACATATTTAGGACGATAGAATGGGCTTTTATCTATGAGCGCTTTCCTTCAAGCGGGCAAAATTATAAAACTGCTGAAACAGAGAATTTCGTTGAGAATATAGCAGTGAAATTGCATTCCAAAGGAATCACTCTTACTGCATTTGTTGCAACTTTGAATTGGACATAACAAAATTATTTTCAACCCATATATAAATGCGTGTTGTATACGCACGTAGGTAAGACGTAAAGCTCACGTTTGAATAATCATTGGCATTGCAATCTTTTATTTCTATATAGTATGGGATCAAACTCAAATGGGTCGTTTTAGTTGGCTATGGTACGATGTCACAACATTTGAACCCTATACCGAAGAAACATCTTACGAAAATTCTCTACTAGTGCAGCAGTCAGGATCGCTGGCTCTCAGTTCATTGATTCATGTATTTAGAAGTTTAACGCCAAATGCGAAGGAGGTCTTCATTCTAATTGCCAATTATCAATTAGAATATTCAAAGGAGAGCAATTATGCTGGTATGTCGGGTTGCAAGTTAAAAATTGTTGCAAGTAAAGCACAAGTCAGTATTGACATAGATCACTTGAATCAGTTCTTTATTAAGCCTTACCGAATACGGTTGGTGGACCAGTTTATTAATTATTGGAAAAAAACAACATAATAGTTGATTTTTTTCTAGGAATGTCTTTCCATGATTGCTACACGAAATGTAGAGGAGCTTTTTTGGTAAACAGCGATGCAACATTAAGTGCACAATTGACAGAATTCCGGGATCATAAATTGATACGATCAAAAAAGGTTAGTTAAAATTCTAGCTGTTTGTCCCATTCATAGAAACTTACGTACAGCTTCTCCTACATTTGACAATCTGACGTTTCGGCCACAAATCCATGAATTTCGAGTATTAGGATATACATGCAGTTCTGCAGGTATCCCAGTGGTAAACAGTGAGTATTGATGTGACATCTCGGTATTACCTCTGACATTGCATCGACGCAGTTTTGATACACGTATTTTTTTACTTCTAGGGAACCGATGGTGTTGAATATTTACTTATTCCTTTGGACGACAATATCTTAAAACAATTCGTTGAAGATCAAGAAAATAACACATAATATTTTATATTTGTTATATTTAGTTTATATTTTTTAGTATTTATTTTTGCATGTACATATTATTATTACAGTATTACCTTTATACAGTAATTCGTCTTATTGAAAGTGTTTTGAATTTTGATCGATTAGAATGTTTTATGATTTCACCAGGATGGAAGGAACAAAGTTTTGGAAAGGTTCTGTTAGCTATTACGGTTGTTGCAAACTTCTGCACCATGAATGTGAAGTTGCATGACTTGCATCTAGTAGCTCAATTCTCACGATGACGAATATCTCGCATCATAGACAATCCAGAAGACATTTTGTCTTCTGGATTGTCTATGCTCGCATTTGGGAACGTTTTTTAGCCCAAGGAACTGAAGGCAATTTTTTAAGTCGGCTTTTCTACCGATGCCTGTCGGGCACGCATAACCAGATTTTAAAGACTGCTTCAACCGCAAGCAAAGCGAAACCTCGTAATGGAAAAAATAAATTTTGTAAAGTATATCCTAAACATATTTAGAATCCTATGGTTCCAATAGGCAATAACCTCTCTAATGTAACCTAACATGACGTATAAAACATTATGAATCGGGTGGTTGACTTGCTGTCACTATGGCGGCGAAAACAGCAAAGTAAAACTAAAACGAAATTGAGTTATATTTATGATAAATATCTCCATATAAACGTTTTCATCAGAGTCGCCTAAAACATGAGATATTCTCTGAAATAATGCCATCAGGAAAGGTAATGTATCATGTAAACAGCGTATATAAACCCTTTGAAATTTGGACAGACCTTACCGACTATTTTAATATATTAAAGTTTATATACAATCCACTATTAAATGCAGTATTAGAATAGTAAGTCAGTTGTATATAGTTTGTGTGACCGGGACAGTTGTGTGAAATGTGACAGTTTATAAAACTGAACTTTTCAGAACTGGTTGGTTTATATAAAAGTGCTGAGGTCCATTATTTACATATGTAAATTATTTAAATACAAGTACAAGAAATGTACTTCAAAAACTGTATTTAACCACTAATGCTAACAAATTGATTTGAGGTTCAAATTGAATATCTTTTCTCAAGAACTTGTGTGTCATCACTCTTGCTGTGCCATATATGGGTGCACAAGAGGGTGAGCAGGTCCTTACAAATTGCCTTGAAATCTGTGAGTGGGATTCTTGGCAAAAATAGAAAATAATGGATATATAATATATAAATATATATATATATATATACTACTTTATAAACAGTGATGCATATTACTTTTTAGAGAAAAAGTAAAGAAGACACATGGACCGAAAAAGACTTGACTAATGCAATACAGGTTTGTTTGAAGCATTTTGATGTTTAGATAATTGTTCATCAGTTGTTAACTAATTTATAAAATATATTTATAAGTAAAATTTTTCACTAGTATGTACACTTTTGAACAATCATATGAATACAATTTTTAGCTACATGAAAATGTTTCTACTGAGAGGTCATTTAATGAACATTGTCATATATACCATTCATATTATTTAAACTGTAATTTGTTGGGTGTAGCATTGGAGGTAAGTCACCTCATGACAACATGCTTTACTAATATTTTAGGGTGAAAAACCAAGAAGATCGAAGGATGGAAGAAAACAAAGGGAATCAAGAGATCAACAAGAGAACCATCATTCAACAGAGAGGAATGAAGAAGATAGAGAAAGGGTTTGCTAATTTATTTTATTTTGGGACCATTGATTATGTTATTAATATTAGTGTAAACCAGCTCAAAAACAGATCTCTCTTTTATGAAATAACCCCCTATTTTAGCCTTCTGTCTCTTATAATGGTATTAAGACACTTTAACATGTGTTTTGTTACAGGACCGAAGGCGACGCAGGTCAGAGAGGCATCGAGAAGATGAAACATTAGATGTGGATGAACGTCAAAGAAGTCATGATAGAGAAACAAAACAGAGACACAAGGAGAGAGAAAGTGGCAGTAGTGAGAAAAAGGATAGGAGGCAGAAGGAAAGAAACGGAGAGGAAGAGCATGATGATGACAGAAGAAAACATAGAGATAAAGAAAAGAGCAGAAGACGTAGAGAAGATGAAAGAAACAGGGAAGAAGAAGATGAAGGTGATGATAGGAGAAAGCAACGAGAAAAAGAAGATAGAAGTAAAGAGAAGAGTAGACGACATAGAGGTGATCCTGATGAGTCAAATCATGAAAAAAAGAGAAGAGAAAGAAACAGGGAAGACGAGAACAAAGATGATGACAGAAGAAGGCATCAAGAAAAGGAGGAAAGAGGTAAAGAGGGCAGGAGACACAGAGAAGATCCTGATGAGTCGAACCGTGACAGGAAACATCGTGATGATAGAAAATACGAGAGACGAAAAGACACGGAAGAAGACCATGAAGCAGAAAGACAAAGAAATAAAGATGAACGAAGACGCGAAAAACATCGAGAGGAAGGAAGCAACGATAAAGAGAAGAGACGAAGAGATAGAGAAACAGACGAACAACATCGAAGAAGGGACAAAGATGAACGTCGCAAGGAGAGACACAAATCACCAGATGATCATGCCAGGAGTGAAAAAAAGAATGAAAGAAATAGACGTGTGGATGAAGATGATGACGATGAGCGAGAAAGAAGGAGAAGGAAACAAGAGAGAAGAGAAGCAAGAGAGAAGAATAAAAATGGTAATGATGATGATGATGACAGAAAAGATAAAAGATCTGAAGATGAAAATAAACGAAAACGACGTGAAGATGGAAAGAAAATGAAAGAACGCGACCTGGTATGGTAGATAATATTTTGCGTTGATTTTCATTGATTTCTCGCCATCGTTTTTCTACTGTCATCACTTGAATTTTCTGTACCAATTATGTAACGCCTTATTTCAGGGACTGTTCATAGTTTCATAGGGTTTGTAGTACAGGGAGTAACATTTATAGGTTCGCCATGTTACTGATGTGTGTTCACTTTTGTTGTAATTTTAGGATGATCAGAACGAAAGGTATGTTGGGCGTTTTTTTATTTAAACTAATGTTCAATACTCATTTGTGGAAATAAACACAGAACTATACATATGTAAATAAACATTCATTGCCCACAGCCCAAAATTGAGCTTCCACCATTTACTAAAAGAGTGAAGGTGTTGAGACTCCTTTACCCTTTTAGCTAAACAACGCTCAGACAGCATAGCCCTCGATACAAAAATATCAATGTAAAACTATTGCTAAATAATAATCTCAATAATTAAGTTATATTCTACCATTCTTTATAGAGGAATCCATGCACTTCTCCAACGTAATGAGGTGTATTTAACTAGTCATGTTATGTCTTATTATTTTTACTATTTTTAAAGGTTAAATGAAGATAAAAAGGGTTCAGAATTAAGGAAAAAAGAATCTGCAGGAAAGTTAGAGGTGCGATTTTAACTTATTTTGCGCATCGGTCCAAAAATATACAAAATGATTCAACGTTCACACCCAATCCAGCTCTCCATTTTTTTGTAATTTAGTAAATATAAGTGCTAGGCATTCTTTGATGTTAACACTTGCCTGGATATTCTCTCTTGTTTGCTAACTAAACACATCTGAACACCTCATAAGCCTTTTGCTATATATTTAGAGCAACGGCAAATCACTCACCAATACGGTTGAAGTCGACGATGAAATCCCAAATGAAGATGTTTATGATGAATACGAGGACGATTTCGAGGTCTGTCGTAGAAGATATTAGAGTCGTTCAAAGCCAGATGCATTTGACGTTAAATTTGTGCACACTCCATATTAGGATTATGAGGACGACTTCGAAGACGAAGAAGAAATGGAGGAACAAGAGAATGGATATGAACAGGTTAGTAGCTATATATATACTGTATGTCTAGGAATCCACTACTCCCTAATAATTAGTACTCCTAGTAGTAAATTATCCCTTGAGATATCGGATAGTAGGCAGCATGATAGCTTCATTGTTTTTCTTCTTTTTTTTAGGATAGAGGGAAATTGTTAGAGGTTGGTCAACTCATATGAAAATTTTGCGAAAAAAACTTGCAAAAAACTTGCAAAAAAATTTCTTCTTTATCGTGTTATGTATTATTTTAGATCTTCGAAGCAATTAATGCTGAAAATGACGACGTTAGAAGGTCGCCTTTTCAACAAAAAACTGTTGAAGAATCAAGAGAAGAAGAGGTAATACGTAAATAAATATAACATTGAATTAAAGAAAATGCAGAGACTTTATGTTTCCTACAAGCTATATTAACTGAGGATGTAATAGTTAAGAATTCACCTCTCACAATTTAACAACAGAAAGAGAATCACCATTCATATAGCTTCTTCTCAAAGTCAATGTTCTCAATGTGTATAAATTTATTTTATAGACAAGCAAACCTGTAACTAAGTCATTAAAATCTGAGCCACACGGAAGGATAAATTTCTTTGCTGCTAAACAAAAACACGTTACCGAGTTTGTCGCGTCAAAAACAAAAAAACGAGCTCAGGTGAGACTGGAACGCGATGAATTTTGGGATTTAAATAACATTAAGAATTGTTGCTGTGTGGGTTAAGAGATATTCGATCCGTTTTTTCGTTTAAATTGTTAGTCGTCAAAACGTAATCAGTTTAAATTTACGATACACCTGGCTAGTCATCACCATCAAGTATCGTGTTGAAATTTATTTCAATTATTTTACTGCAATCTTTATGAGTGTTTTTAATGCAGGAATTGCAAAATCTTATCGAACTTGATGTGGCATCCTATGATATTTTCGATCTACCTCCACTCAATGAATACGAACTGTATATAAAAAGTTATGGTCAGTCTGATTCTAAGCAGGTGAGAGAATTTCATTACTATTTAACTAATATTGCTATTATGTGAAATGCAGAATATATGCTGGATTTCCACTTGCAGAGAAATGGTTTGCTGGCGAAATATTTCTCAAGTGGTAATCCACTCAAAAAGTTTTGCAAAGTTAAGAACATTAAAAAAAATATTTTGACAATACAATTTCAGTGTAATGCAAGGTGATAATTCCTACGAAAAATAGGCTGACATCATCTTGTTTTTAGTGCAAATCTGAAAAAGATTGCTGGAACATAACTCGCAAAACTTGTTGCATTGACACCTCTTTCTTTCTCGCGCAGGGAAACTTTATTGCGAATGCAACTCATTTATTTAAGTTTATTATTTTGTAACGTTCCAGGCTTACGTTCAGTGTCATGACGATATTGTTGAGAAAGAGATGCAGACTGAAGTAATTGAAATGTCCACAAAATGGACTCAATATCCTCCGGATGATTTTAAGGGTTGTGGAGGTAAATGTTGTCATATAGATCATCGCTATGAATTTTCCTGCATCTTTTAACGTTGTTTCTACCCCTGTTTGTCTCTTTTTATTTTGGTGCAGACGATACTGAGAGTCGTGAAGGAGATGACTTGCCAGAAAGCGTCTTCACGCCTCATTCTGTTGACAGTGTCAGACTAACAAACTTCCTCCAACAAGCTGGACAGGTAGTGCATGTACAGTACTTGTTAACCTCAAGTGTTTTTACACTTTACCAAACTATTAACACACATTAAAGTGCCTTCTCCCTACCCAAATTTAAAAGGTATTAGAAAATGGAAAGGTGGATAAGCTGAAAAAAACCCACTCAATAACTGATCTCATTCTCTTTCACTTGATGTATACCACGATAGTTGAAATATTGTAGCATGTATTCCTTACGTAGCTGCCTGAGTCATACAAAGTTCTTTTTATACAGTACATTTAACTAACGTGCAAGAGGTATTATATATACTATTCATAGTCTGCACAGTAGGTGCAATAGTCATGCGAAAACAGAAGAATGTTTGGACTAAATTTTCTTCCCTAGGTGTGCTTGATTTTGTTGGAAGAAAAGAACTCAGCAACAAAGGAGTTAATGTTTAAAGAACGAAACGATCTTGATATCAGCGATGGTTGTATTCAACTCTCCAACAAACTTCCTTTTCTTGAAGGTAAGTAGTGGAAATGACTAGCTGTGTTGACTAGTTTGTTTACTACCTAAGTGAGTGAGTGGGTCTGTTTCTCTGTATGGACATGTGACGATGATTCTCCATGTCACTCCCTTCGCTGATTGTTGTTGTTGTTGTTTTTCATTTCTGCTAGGTCGACGTGTTCTGGATACGAAATTCAACTTGGTTCAAACACATTTACTGCTAACAGCTCATGATTGTGGTGAAGTTGAAACGAGTGAGGATAAAGATAGTAGTTTACAAGGAAGAGGAGTTGTTTGTTATTGGAATGTGAACGAGCCAAGTCAACCACAGAAGTAAGTTTAGTGCCAAGAAGAGCGAGGTTTCAAGTTGTCTTGCAAATGCTTGAATTATATGTTCATTTAATATTATTTAGAATATTGTATTGCGAGTCTTCACCCAAGTCGTGTTGTTTCAGTCCTGTCAAATCATCGCTTGTGTTTGCTGGTTTGGTAAGAACTAACTACATATAGTTATCAACGATTAAACTTAGTTTAGTAATTTCAACCTGTGAACGCCTCTATCCAGGTATGTACTTGATTATTTATTATCTTGCTCGCAGGAAGATGGTTCTGTAGTAGTTTGGGATTTACGTGAATCCTCGTCTATTCATTCGACTATAAACAATAAAGACCGTCAATGGGTTATCCGAAGACCAACATTCTCTACAGGTTTGTCTTTCTATCGTTTCTGTTCCGAAATTTCCATTCCGTAGAGAATCAGTCACATCACTAATAGTCAGTCCCATCCATTATCCCATGCATCATCGTCCAGTTCCTTGCGCGTGTGATGTCGTATTAGAGCATCATTGCTGAATATTCTTTATCTATTTGTTAGCTGGTGTTTTGTCCAATGAAAATCACCTGACTCAAGTCCAGAAAATTCTCCCAATTGCTCATCCTGTGGACAGGTTGACGAATAATAAAAAAATTGAACTTGTTGATATACGTAAAGAATAATAACTTTAAACACACGTTTATATTTCCGTTTATTTTGTAGTGCTCAAGCTTTGTCGCGTTCTGCAGCTCTCCAAGGTATGTATAGCTATAAATACACTTTTCTTGTTGCCCAGATTACGTATTTTAATGGCAAATGATTGGACCAAACTCTGATTCATATCTTATACAAAATGACAAGCTGGGTTTTTTTCAGACGAACCTGGGGGTATGGCATTTCAGCTTGCGTCACTGGACGAAAATGGTGTTGTCAATATCTGGGTAGGACATTTTCTTCATAAAACTTTACACGGCACTTTATTAACTTTAGGCTGTTTGAAACTCCCAGCACTACAGCAGCAATTAGTGATGATCACACAATTTACTAAAACCACTTTAATTAAATGCGTTTCTCATGTATAGTTGGATAAAATATTTATACATTGCAGGTTGTGATTGAACTTGATAAACCTGATGAAGCTGGTTCTGAAAACGATCTAGGTTAGGAAGAGAGCAGTGGTCATGCAAGTGTGATTCTTTTGTAGCTATATCCTGTTTCCCAAGTATAACATTTAGTGCTTTATATAGGACTGGCTCCTGGTGGGAGAGTGAAACTTATCAAAAGTACATCAATTCAAGTTGAATCACCACACAGGTAAAAGCTGTTGCACTTTTTAAATAATTATATAATATATGTAGGTTTTACAATAATTATATATATCGGATGCAATAATTAAAAAATAGTATCTCTATTGAGTTTGTTGGTGCATGCATGGTACAGCTAGCGTGTAAGCTAAGTCTGGAGTTTTGGATACTCTTATTTACGAACTTATTGAACATTAGAATGCCTAAATACACGTATTGTGTTGTTATTCGCCTATTACCATCCATCATTCTATTTTAGGGAAATATTCTTTGGCTCTTCTGTCCAAACATCCGTTATGCAGTTTTCAACAATTGACCCAAATCATTTTTATGTTGGCACAGATAGAGTAAGTAATTCATACTATGATATATATTTTGAATATTACCTAACAGTGCCTTACATTTAAAAAAAAATTCAATCTAACTTTATCAACAGGGATGGGTCGTTCATTGCACCCGTTATGGGGGAAAAACGCATCCAAAAGTTTACCGACCTTTAACTGGTAAATACAATATAGTTATCGTATTCTAATGATATATTTTGTGTACATCAAATGCGAATTGAACTGCACTTTTTTTGTAGAGTCTTTTGTCACCATTTCCGCATTAGATGTTTCCCCTTGGAACATTCCATTAATGTTGGTGAGCTATTGATATATTATGGAAATTCTTTGATTCTTACTTTTTTTTCTCAGATACGAGCAATCAAACTACTTCGTTTTATATATCTCTCTCTTTTAATGCAACAGAAGAACGATAAACTGGGTAGCAATCCCAATTTTAGCTTTAAGACTGTCTCGATCACGCCTTTGCAAACAAACAACTCTTTACCACTCGTCTTCCGGTTCCTATATCATGCAACTTCACTTCTATAACGAAAAACAAGAGTTAAAGATTCTTTACCTATTTCTTTTAACTGTTTATAACGCATTCCAGGTTGGCTGCACAGATGGAACATTGCGTTTACATGACCTTCGAAAAGGTTCGTTTTCAGTTCTTGTAATCTGGATTAGTCGATTTGTCATAATTAGTAGATTCAGGTTTAGGTACAGATACAGCAGAAATACTCTGAACCTGGTGAATTCGTAAAATCCCTAATTTCTCTCGAAAGTTTCTCTTGTCCGCACAATGAGTAAATTCCCGTTGTATAGAGCATGCCATCCGGAGTTGGTCTGAGACAACACAAGGCCAAGCAATCGTGCAGATCATGTGGTCGAGAAGTCGCCCATCTCTATTCTTTGTTCTTGATGCCAAGTCGAACTTGTACATTTGGTAAGCCGGCATTGTACATTATATTAGGTACAATAAATCTTTATAATGCTACTCAGAACCGTTAAAAACACGACTTTGTTTTGCAGGAATTTGTTACAGAAAGATGGACATCCCGTAGAATTTGAATCGTTTAAGCGTGGGAAGTAAGTCTTGTCGTATCAGCTGTGACATTAAACTTTTCTTACACTAAAATTTTATTTTTCGATCCGCTGTTTCAGTTTCGAAATCTCCATCCAGTTGTAAAGACACCATACAATGTGACCATAAACCTTATGCCTTTCTTAGACTTTTTGAATTATGCAAAGTGAAAACAGTCGAACTAATCCTTTCTTTTACCTGCTTTTGTAAGGTTGCTTTTCTTCTCGTTGTCAAATGACTATGAATCTCTTGGTATTGGTCTTCCTGGGAGGAAATCTGAACTGGTTAGTAATTGCATGGGCAAATAAACCTACTTCCTTGTCAAACGAGACTAGGAGTTTAACTGCCCACAAAACGGAAAATAAAGTCAGAATGATTTTTAATGAGAATGAAAATGTATTGATGTTTAATATATGTATAGAGTTTCTAAGAACCTGTTGTCCTTCCTTTGATGCTAAAATTAGGCAATTGGTCAATTTTACAAAGTAATATTCGAGCATGGAGACGTATACCAGGAACTAAGGTGTTTTCGAAACTTGGAGGGTGTTGGTTAGATCTGTATAAAAACGGTCAACGAATGAATTTGTGTTGGCTTTGTTTTCCAAACGGTTACTCGAATGAACGTGTTATTGCATCCACAAAGCTTTGATTTATCAAAATCTCCTCTTGTAGGTCTTGAGTTATGAAGATGGTATGATTGAACTGCATCGTCTGAAAGATGAACTAACGAACGTTGAAGCCGATGAACTTGACCGATTCGCCTCATTTGTGGATTTGATGATTTGACTCATTGAGTGAAGATATACAGTATTTATTACTTAATTCTCTATTTATATATAATGTAAGTTATTAATCTATGTAAAATATGCTGTCCATACAGTATTTTTTTACTGTGTATATACTAATAATGTAACAAGTTTGTATATAATGTCGAAATTGATAAACAATCAATTTTAAAGCAAAAAATGGAATTACCGAGATAGAATAGTAAGCTGCCTCACATGCGACATGTGCACGTGCAGAAACGAGTGTTGCATGTGATTAAAAATAGTCAGATTTGCATCATTTTGATTTTTGAAATCATTTGGTTGGTTTTGTACTTTTGATTGAGAACTCAGAATAACGAAAAGGCAGAACTCAGCAAGATTAGTTGTAAGTTTTCTTAAGATGTCAAATTCTAGCCAAGAAGAGAAAATAAAAACTGCAAAAGAACAATTAAAGAACTGTCTCCATGCCTTACAACATGCGTCTACAGACAACGAAAAGATGGCTGCTTTATTGCTCTTTACTCATCTGATGAAGACAAATCAAGCTCTCGCTGTGGACGCAAATGAACTATTTCAGGCAGTCGATGTCCAATTTCTTGTTCGTCTGTTGAAAAGCACAAATGTGCCAGACGGTTGCCCTGAATTTATGTATAAATCGTTGGCCTTGAATATTCTCAGCAGTTTCACAGATTACGATATACTGTCACATCCCTTGCTGGTCGCTAATTTAAACATAGTTGCTGAAGTACTTGCTATGGATCGAGCCGTCCATGAAACGACTCAAATGTTAGACGATAGCATTGCAATACTTCTGGTGTTTTCTCGGAAGGCTGAGGGCTGTAATTACCTTTTGAAATCTAACTGCATTCCTCTCATTTGCAAGGCAATTATTCAAAACCCAGAGGTGCATAACTTGTTTGAAATTTCACGGGGGATTCTCGTGCACTTGCCAAAATGTTCCTGGCAAGCAAGTCATCCAGATCTTTTAGCAATATTGACATTAACATCCAGCCAGTTTGCAACAAACCAAGATCTTGTTAAGTTTTCAGCCTGCGACAAACTGTTGGCCCTACTGACAAGCTTATGTGAAGCTCGACTTGATGCAAAAAACAGTGAAATATTTACATCCAAATTAACGGACGAAATACAACATGGTCTCAATGATATTCTCCAATCAAGATGTATTGCTACACACAAGTACATTGCAATACAGATCACAAAAGCAATGATTGAATTACTTGGATTAGAGTGGACAGTCATTAGCACTAACGAGAATATGGTGCTTGACATGAAGAATACAAAATTCTTGCTGCTAATATTAAGCATTATTGAAGTTGAATTATGGCTTATTCTTGATAATGGTGAAATTGATTTAAGATCTGATTTCATTGTTTCTTGCTATGTCATTTTGGAAAAAACCATTGAATTCTTGATTTGCGACGAGGAACATGATTGGTCATTTAGCAATGAAGTCATCATGAAAATACACTTGTTGCTCACTGAGACATTTGACCGCGTTATTCATTTTCTTACTCAGATTGCATCTCAAGATGAACCAACTCAGTGTTATAAAAAACCTATTATCATAGCAACGGTCCGCGTGCTGTGTGTCTGGTTGTCTGAGGAGACAAATGCATTGGCAGATAAAATATCAAAAGTATTACCAATCCTAATAGAATGGGCAAGATTAGGTCAAGATAATACAGGTAAGGATCAGGTTACCTTCCTCACCTCATTGTCAGATGGCCTGAATTATTTTGGTAAAGTAAAACTAAAATTTCTCTATTTTTTATTCAACTAAAATATGTAAAACATGGTCTTTTTATATGCTTTGCAGTCACTCTAGTGAATAATATCCAACCAACTCCTTTAACACCCTATAAAATGATTAATAACTAACATTTATGCTATTTTTCTGATTGTCTTAACCAGGTGAGGATGACATTCCCACAAAAGGAAGGATGCAAAATGAAATCCTCTTACACCTGCTCCCACCATTATGTCACCTCTCAGCAGATGAAACATTTTGTGGGATCCTCATTACAGAAGGTTGCCATGTCCTACTGGCAGACCTATTTCAACAACTTTGGCAAACACAGCAAGCTGAGAACAGTGACCATGATCCTTCCAATCTGATTACCCTGTGCAATGTCCTTTTAAATATCTCAGTATTAGAGGTTGACCTGATAAAAACAAACAGCATGTTTGGACAAACTCTAGAGTGTATTATGATTGCAGTCCCAAAAATAGTCAACTTGAACTGTTTCACCTTAACTGCCCATTTCATCCTTCTTGGCCTAATACTTTTCAGGCACAGAGTCATGCAGAATAATTCACAGTTAACCGTTATTCAGAAGAATTTTATTTCAAATTGCATCAAGTTTCTTAAGCAAGTCCATGTATCTGTAACAGGAGAAGAGAATGGTCAAATATCGTGGCATGATATCTCAGAACTCTGGTTTCTATCAGTGCAAAACCTTGTTGCATGTGCAAAAACGTTTGAGCCAGTTAAAACAATTCTTTTAAGTAGTGGTTGGCCAGAGGAAATTGAACTGTGGATCAAAACTAACAAAAGTCTGAAGCAAGACAATAATCATATACCCACTGACATGGAATCAACACTCCTGCCTTTAATCAACTTAAAGTAAATATTTTATACCGATTTCGACAAAGAATTCAAAATACGAAGTAAGAAATATGTATTCAGTCGTATGGTAAAGGACCGCGGACGATCTTCTCAAATCCGGCGGGACTCTTAGATTAATATCGACGCCCTTTGCCTTGTTTAAACGAATTTTCGTATTATTTGTCTATCATAATTTAAAGATCCCTTAGTAGGGTTAGGGTTAAAAGACTGTCACGACAAAAGAATCTAGACAGAAAATCGAATACTGGGGTTGCTACTTTACCTTACTTCAACATAAAGAGCAACATGTGAATGAAATATAAACGGGCTGACCTGTGTTTTTGCTCTCGAGACCAATTTAAACCCTTATCTTTATATAAATATAAACCCGACTAAGTTAAATTAGGACAGGTGTGTATACTTTTCTCTTTAAAATTTTTAATGAAGATACATATCCAATACATTTTCATCAAGAACGGCATAATACAGTGTGGGCTAAAAAATATCTATATTAAACTGCAAACACATGTTTTTTCTATACGCACTGATGGATCAGTATATCTTAACCAACGTGGTTTTCCTGTGTATTTTCAACGCCATATTCACGTTGAGTGGAATATTTCTCAATTCTATGGTTATAATCAGCTTTTTGTCGTCGTCACTACTTCGAAAGAAAACGTGTTACTTTTTGGTTTTTGTTCTATCCTTATGATCTCGCCGTGTCTGGTTTTAATCATCCAATACTCATATTTCATTCACTAGGATGGTTGAGGAAAGTTTTTAACCAGCACAATGATCAATTCATGCGTTACGTTGCCTTATTTTTATATTCAAATTCATTCATTGCATTATTGGGGATGAATGTTGAACGTTACCTCGCTTTAACATTTCCATTTTTTCACGCGAGAGCAGTGACGAAGCAAAGACTATTAACTGCTCTTTTATCAACTCAGTTCGGTTTTGTTATTCTAATAATTTTGGGATATTACGAACAGAGTGAGACGTACGACTCTGTTTTAACAATTGCTTCATTATTATTTGTTACGGTGCTAATGTTGGTTTTGAACTACAAGTTGTTGAAAATCGCGAAAACAAAACAACGAAATGTAGTAGTTCCAGCTGGCGGGTCTAAAAATGCAAAAAGGTTCTTAACGCAAGTAAAAAATACATCAGCGTGCATCCTCGCAGTTGGTTCTCTTCTCTTATGTTCTTTTCTAACGATTATCGTGACTGGAATATCTTTAATATCGTTCTCAAGATTCAGCCAGGAGGTAAAAATGGCTCTTTATTTCTGGGAAACAAGTCTGGTCACCAGTAATGCAACATTTAATTGCCTGGTTTTCTTTTGGAAAAACAAACAATTACGCTGTGAGGGAAGAAAAGTTTTAAAACGTTTGTGTTTTTGATCGTAACGGATGTTTGAATCTTATCAAGGGGTTCAGTGAAAAATGGCGGATGATAGAAACCGATCTGCAAATAATTTTTGTTCAGGGGAACCAGGGACGGACCTAGATGCCGATAGGTCTCGTGAATTTTCTTTGGTGGAATATTGTGTTTATCTTGTTTGTTTGGTTCTTATCAAATATGGAAAATAGAATGTAGAAATTGGTGAGCAATCAATTTAAGCCACAAATATCGTTAAAGGTGCTCAAAGACTGTTATTAATCCGTGAACTACAAAATTTTTTTAAAGCAACCGTCGATTAAAAGCGGTGTCTGCACCTCTCGCCGAATCTTCGTGCGTACCGTATATTAATGCATTAAGTAGAATAAATGATTTAGACATAGAATATTTGAGATTGTTGACATCAGAACAATATATTACGCACAAGAAGCAATTACAATTGATATATATTTATAGAATATTGGTTGATTTTCTCCACACGCTATTTGGACGTATCAGGGGCAGGGTGTAGCAGCCTCTCCTCGGCGCAATACTGATCTCTCACGCACGTACAGAATTGAGCAAACATCTCGACAAGGTCCGATAAAGTCGTAAAGAAGATTAGCAACTAATCTGAGTTAACAGGCAACAATATGCTTTATACTATGATTCTGCAATTCGAGCTCCCCTGATGAGGAAAGCAATTTTACATAATTACTTTAGAGCGAATACTGCTAAATATTGATGTCTTTCTTGTAATATGCCAAAAAGAACATCCCAACAAAGCCAACGATAACACCGATGTTTTGTAAAAGGAATAACGTGATCTTGGATTGGTCACTTTGCTCGGTGACGTGCATCAGTTCTGGCAACTAAAACCATAATACATTTCCAAGCTATACTTTTTGTATTCATATAGATAGTAGTTCATTAGAAAATTAAACAATAATATATATTATGCTACACCTCGCTACGATACAGGCGGCTGTAGTGGCAAACCGGCTTTGGATCACACTAATTTGCAAAAGTCAGCTCAAACTACGCGGGGAGTGGGATATAAAGATTGAATCTTTGAAAGAAATTTCAATATTTGCGAAAGCACTCTATTGTCTATAGCACTCCAACATAGTTATTCATTCAGTACACTGATACAAAATTACCATGAAAAATGATACTGTATATATATGCATACCAAATTCCACAAATAGTTACTTTTACTGACCTTGTTTGTTAGTGCAATATAAAGGAAGAATCCTCCAGTGACACCAAGAATCCACAAATTGACATCTTCAATTTGTCCAATCAACTTACCAAATACCAGTCCCATAAAACAGAAACATGAAGAGACAAAGTTTGCAATAACAGCCTGACGTACACTCATTCCAGCAGACAGCAACACAACAAAATCACCTGAAATAGAAATAGAAGATTTGCGTAATTAATATTTTAAAAAAGGAACTTCGTATTTCAAAAGGTATTTGAATAAGTTATATCATATGCAAAAAAAAAGCCCGGATGGGTTCGAGGTTGCATCATATAGTATGTGATAACATTTTACTGACAGATCGATAGAAGCGCTAAAGAATTTTTACAGGCGGGTTGAATAATTTCTTAACTAATTCTATAGCTACGACCCCAGAATGGCGATATCAACTCTTCCTCGCGATCACCTTGAATACAGGCAAATATACCGTGAACGCACTAACCCAGTTCATGAGGAACTTCATGGCATAAAACAGCAATTGAAGTGCCAACTCCAGTAACAATACTATCACTGAATGCAACACCAATAGCAATGCCATCTGCAATATTATGCAATGTATCTCCGATGATAACTGTCCAAGCCATGGGTGCAATATGCTTCTCGTCATCGAAGTTTTCCTCCATGTCAAATTGATTGCCATTTGAGAATTTCGGTTCTGCTTCTTTCTCAGTCATCTAATTCATAAATCATAACGTTTATAAAGCCTTATGAATGGTATTATTAATGATATAAATGAATTATGATTATGAATGATATAATTAATGATTCAAATGTATTGTGATTATGAATGATATAATAATATAATAATCATTTCTAATTTCTATAATTTTTGAGAGTTTCTAATGGCGTAGACGCGCCAGGATGGAAATGCAAACCGGATCGTGTTTATTGAATAAATAAAGTGAATTACCAAGGAAGGAATAAATAAAATTGAATAAAGGCAGTGGCGTCTTGTCACCCCTTGTTTTGACACTTACGCCTGTATTCAAAAAGCTCACTCACACTCATACTCATTGAGTGTGACATATAAATTTCGTTAATGCTGATGAATGAGAAAGTTTTTTCTGAATAGATGAAAGATACAACGTAAATCACTGAAAATCAAGCCCTTACTCGGCAGGAAATACCGCTATTGAAACTTTATGAGAAGATTAAGATCTCCTACTCAATAAGTTTGAGTGTGAGTGAGCTTTTAGAATACAGGCGTTAGACTCTCCAAATTGAAAATTAACATAAAATATCTAATAACGGGTAAACCCGTATTCTTGCTCACCGCACCAATTGAAGCCCTTTTTCATATAAATTAATGCTTAGCTTAAGTTGATTTATGGCAGGTGTGTGTACTTTTGTTTCAGATATTTGCTGTAAAATATATACACAAATATATTTTCACAAGGAACGGCGGAGTACAGCATGTTGTGTGCATGTTTTGATAATATGTCGCACAATTCAATATTTTTTTAACATTCAGTTTATCTTTTATATGCAGGATGGATCAGTATATCTTAACCAACGTGATTTTCCTATGTATTTTCAACGCCATATTCACGTTAAGTGGAATATTTCTCAATTCTATGGTTATAATCAGCTTTTTGTCGTCGGCATTACTTCGAAAGAAAACGTGTTACTTTTTGGTTTTTGTTCTATCCTGTTATGATCTCGCTGTGTCTGGTTTTAATCATCCAATACTCATACTTCATTCTCTAGGATGGTTGAGGAAAGATTTTAACCAGTATCTTATTAAGCAACTCACGCCTTATATTCGATTATTTCTATATTCAAATTCATTCATTGCATTATTGGGGATGAATGTTGAACGTTACCTCGCTTTAACGTTTCCATTTTTTCACGCGAGAGCAGTGACGAAGCAAAGAATATTAACTGCTCTTTTATTAACTCAGTTCGGTTTTGTCATTCTAATAATTTTGGGATATTACGAACAGAGTGAGACATACGACTCTGTTTTAACAATTGTCTCATTATTATTTGTTACGGTGCTAATGTTGGTTTTGAACTACAAGTTGTTAAAAATCGCGAAAACAAAACAACGAAATGTAGTAGTTCCAGCTGGCGGGTCTAAAAATGCAAAAAGGTTCTTAACACAGGTAAAAAATACATCAGCGTGCATCCTCGCAGTTGGTTCGTTTTTGGTATGTTCTTTTCTGACGATTATCATGACTGGAATATCTTTAACATCGTTCTCAAGTTGCAGTCAGGAGGTAAAAATGGCTCTTTATTTCTGGGAAACAAGTCTGGTCACAAGTAACGCAACATTTAATTGCCTGATCTTCTTTTGGAAAAACAAGACATTACGGTGTGAGGGAAGAAAAGTTTTAAAACGTTTGTGTTTTTGATCCAGACTGACACACACAGAAGATACTCGAATGCAGATGCATATACGCTGGTGATTTACTGTAGCTACTATTGTGACACGCACTTTTTGTCAACAACAAAAGAGAGAGGTGATGATGAACAACATGATGATGACAACATGGTGTGATATAGCAAAGTAAACTTGTTATTTCTTTATTTTTAACATAGTCGAACATTTAACATGGTCGGGATTCTCACCTTATTAGCCACAACTATTGATGATAGATCCACCTTGTTTTGGTTCTTGTCGTCTGTTTTAGGAATCACGGTATTTTTCTCAATGTACTTCTTGTTCTTTGGTGTAATCTTTACGAAATAGATTTTTCAGAAGTAGTTTCAGTTTTTTGCTGCTTAAAATGGGTATAGGACGAAGAGGGGGTGAGGGGGTGTTTGGGGGGGTTAAACAAGACGATTTTATGGTTTGTGTAAAACCATTACCTCGACGGTATGCGTTTGTCTAAGAAGAAGATGAGCGGTAGTCTCAAATAAAAAGAATCCATAAATTCCACCAAGCATGGAAAAAAACCTCCAGTAATAATCCTTATCCTTTTCTGCATAGCTGAAACCAGTTGCCTAAAACAAAGATGATAATATTGTGACATTATTAAGCTATATTACAATTCAATTTTCAGTGAAAAAGCGACTTGTTCACTTATTCTCATCTCATTATGTTTTGTTTAAATTGCATTCGGCGCGAAAATGCGACGTTTAACCTGGCCTAGTGTTCTAGAGTGTTAAAATTTTAACAACAGGTGATTTCAATAATTTTCGTTTTCCATGCGGACTTTCTATATTGGGTATAGTATGGGTACAACATGCCGACATGAGAAAATTTCTTGGGCCTAGGTTATACGTCGCGTTTTGGTCGCGTCGAATGCAATTAAAACATAATAAAATGAGATGATAAAGCTCATTAAGCTCATTACCATCTCATTATCTATTGTTTGAATTGCATTCGACGCGACTAAAATGCAACGCTTAACCTGGGCCTAATTCGTTGGTTGGTAAAAACAATGAATTACAATAATCTATTGAAAACTGGAAGCGTTGTTTATTAAGCCCCTAAACAACTTCATTAATAAACAATTAGGATATTTGTTGTGAACACGACATCGAGTTAAGTTTATTTAAGCTTTATCTTTTTGGCGTGAGAGATTTGGCTTGTTTAAGAGAAAGAAAACTCACTGCGCGGGATAAGGTCGACAACAGAAACATTAAAGAAAACCTTAAAGAACATGTCTTCATATTGGGTACGTACTAATTGAATATAAATTGGACATATAATCAAATTTGCACTACTTGACGACATATTTTTACGAACAAACGTACCCGAGGCAAGAGATGAAACATTGAATCCCCAACCAAGGTCCCAATAGCCAGAGCAATCAAAAACACCAGAGACTTTCTGTAGAATGTTGTTCTCAACAATGGAATAATCATGAAAAGTGATATAAGACTGACTGCAGAGACGGCTGTTAGACCAAAACCCCACACTAAAATTAATATTCACAAAATTTGAATTAAAATCCATGCATGTTAGCTTTAACTATAGTTCATATATATTATGATGTTTAGCGATTTCATCTGTCAGTGTAACTTGCAACTGATATTGCGCTTTTAAAAATATCAAGAATAAACTTCTATCTCGTCTTTGGAACGAAACGGAAGCTTCTATTTTAACTGCTTCAATATGGGTGCAAATATGGCAATATAACCAGAGACTGAGCGGCGTGGCAACGTCTTCAAACGACTTCGAATCAAATGTGGTAAAACAACTTCCTAAAATAGACAAAAATACTTCTCGACGTTTCGGCCTAAGGGCCTCCGACGTGCTATCTCTCCAGACTCTCCTGATGAAAACCCTTATGTCGAAATTTCAGAAAGTGCATGTTTTTGTCTATTTTAGGTAGTTGTATATATTTACTACATTTGATGCGAACGTTGCGGGAATTTTTATCGAATTTTACCAAAATTTGGGCAATTTTTGCTTAAATAGATTTTGTGATAAATTGAATATTTGCAATTGTACTCGTAAGTCACGTCTCGTACTTTTTTCTCAAATCATTCGCCTGCCTCCCTCCCAAACAGTTCAAGGCTAGTACGTACGTCTATATGGTTAGCACCACTGTGATGTAATTATCATGCAGTAGAACCACTTATGTCAGTCAGTTTCAGCTCAGCAAACGTTGGCTGTAATTTTAATGCCATGGGTTTTTTGGATGTTGATTAAGACAACGGGGATAGAAGAATTAAATAAAACATGCAGTTAACGGTCATTCAAAGAGATATGTGGTGCTAATGGGGATGGTGTATGTACCATGAACTATTTACGACTCTGTGAGTGCGCAATTAAACTACGGCTGTGATTGATCAACATCTTCTGGAAAAGCAATTCGATCGAAACAATATTTTATACCTAACATATCATCTGGTTTCTTCCTGCTATCCTCCTTTTCATCAAGATCTTCATCATCAGTATCAGAATCACAAACGCCGCTTTCTATTTGATCAAGAAGAGCTACAGATAAACTCTCAAAACCTTCCCTCTTAAATCCATCATTTTCTTCTACATGATAGATCGAAAACAACTCCTCTGCAGAATAGCACTGAAATAGTTAAAGCAAAACATACTTAGTGGGGCACGAAGCTGGTTTACATGGATCTGTTATAATGTCAGGTTAGGTATGCAGGCCTGTATAGTGAAATAGCGTGTGGTGATTGGCCCATGTCTTTCAATCTCACACTCGGTATTTAAGTGGTTACTCAACTACTTTTTCCCACTCCTAATATCATCCAAATACCAAATTTTGTTGATCATTGTGGTTTCAGAATTGCAAGGATCATGAAAATGGTAAAAAGAAACTCTTATAGTTTTCACATCCATTAGATAATATACATATATACTGCATACCTTCTCATAAATATTTGTATCCATTGCAGTATCTGTGCTGCCCGCATCAGGTAGAGATGCCAACCTTGGTAGACGAGACCGATGAGGAGAACTTTCAACAATCTGCCTTTTTCTACGAGCTAATTTATCCTCTGGTGCTTTCATTGTTGTGCTAACTTTGTCGCTATTTTCCTCGTGTTTTCCAATTTTAAGATTTTTCATCAATTTTTGCACGTTTTCCTTGTTAATAATGTCATTTTTTGCGTACTCTTCAAATAAGTGGTTTACAAAGTATGAAGAGCAAGGGAGGGGATTTTGATATCGCACTTCAATACATTGTCGTTGGAGAAGTTTTGAGATGATAATCATGCTCAACTCAGGAATCATTGCTTTACCAATGTCTGCTTCGCCGGAGATGTTGAGTTCTTGTAAGAGATCGTTTGCAGAGAAACACTAAAAAAATTGCAAAAGGAAAAGGTCCTGTTGATGACACCTCACAACTAAAACCTTTTTAAGGCATAAGATTCATTTCAGATATAAATAACCGGATTTCGAATACTGCATGTCGCATGAAGTATATTTCTTTTGTTTAAAGGTACGCTTACAATTTTTCGTATGAATTCAGGTTCTATTTCTTTTTATACAATGTGAGCAATTTGATATGTTGTATATATTTGGTAGTTGCTTTATGATAGGCGAACGTAGCGGGAGTACAGCGGGAGTCATGTGCGAAAAATTCGGCCGGACCAATTAAACCTGTTATTGAGGAAAGCCAGGCATCTGAATACCAGGCATATCGGGCAAGGCTGAGAATATGTGCACACGGTAACGTTTTCGAGCGTTTTCATTTTCGTTTTCATGCCAAAACGGTTTGAAACACCGTCAATTTACAATAGAAGTTGAAGCTAACTTATAAGATAAAGCATATTTTTCCTTGGAACGTGTGGACAGAGCGTCAAAACAATAAAATGGACAAAAACGATTTTGAAAACGCTTGAAAACGACGCTCGTGTGCACATAGCCTGAGAATATTTAGATTTTTACTAGTTTTTGGTCGTATCTTTCGCAAAGAGGTAATCGCAAATTTCAGCAATAATTTTAGCCTAAAATAGTATAATAATATGACAGCGACGTTTACCATCCTACCTGTTGTTTATCCAGTTCATTTCCAACTGACTGATTCAGATCTTTTAAAATCTGATCCAAAATTTGTTCACATATTCCATTCTTGGAATAAATATTCTGCAATTCTTCATACAGATCAACTTTCTTCGTCAGTATTCTTGGAATGTCAGTTCTTGTCGAGAGTATGGAGTAGAGTAACATTGTCGACATCTCGGCGAATTCATGTTCGTTGATTGTAGTGTTTCGTTTTATATTGTAAATTTCGCGTAAGGATTCGACTGTGATACACTAAAAACAAAATATAGATAGATAAATAAATCTTTCTAAAGCGGTTTAAATCTTTCTAAATTTTGTATTGCTGCTATATAATGGACAAGTACATCATTTAAAAAGTGCACTGAAAAGTCAATTCTATATCATTTTATTCTATGGACTGTTTTGCATCAGGAGAACAATTTAAAATGTTTGCCGTTTCAAATTTTTAAAAGAGTTAATTAAATGCATGCGCGATGAAGACTCAACGCAACAAAAATCAGCGAATTAAAAAATTGCAATATGGCATTAAGCATTAGAACAGAACGGTGGGAAAACGTTTGAACCAGAGTTTGCACTCATAGAATGAAAGTTGGAGTTTGAACACATGCAAGTTTAAAACGACTTGAGATCGATTACGGTTGTACCATCATGAGCTGATATCATGACATGCAGACTGAGTGTAATTGCTAGTTTAGTCTTCTTTTTACCATGGTCACCTGACTCATAACAATCCACGGCGTCCTGAAGGATTCCTATTATCACATACCTAGTACCCGAGTTGCTAAACAACCTCCATCATACGATTAGCGAATATTGCTCCGACATGTGGGATTGCACAATACCTCCAATAAGGAATTTATATTATGGATATTGCACAAGTGGATAGCATTTTGCGAACTATATATTCAATAATTGAGGGTGAGCATGTCTATTGTAGGTTAAGAACACAAGCAGTACTTGGAATGTTTTTTGTTTGAACTTCAACTGTTTGGCATGCACGAGACATTGACATTGTAGTTAATCTACACTTTTTAGATTCGTAACATAACTTCTAGAAAACAGTTCTGGAACCGATTGTATAAAAAGGTGCAGTTAATCTTTCACTATAGTCAGTGACAAGATTGACAAATCAGAATCGTGAGATTTGACTCAAAATCAGAGTTTTATCACGGAGTTTTACAATGGAGATAGTTTAATTTATACAGCCACTGCCCCTGCATGCAGACTATTTGAATGGATAAGCTAAACATTCTAACACTGCCTTACTGCATGGGTCCCGCAAATAATCATGCACTTTGATTTTGATTTCGATGATTTATCGAACCTTTTCTAAACGACGTAAGAAAGGCGAAGGTGACTAGGAGACTCGAAGGGCCATACGAGGCATTCATCCCGCCATTCAATATACTATAACAAATGTGACACAGTCACAAAAAAACATAGCTACATATAACCGTGGATAGTTAAAAGACGTGATTTTATTATCCATGCATGATATAACTACATGCAATGGTGAATGAACGTATGCCACAAGGTTTCCATTAAATTCTTCTTGCTAAGACGGCTATTTCAAACAACATTGAAAGCAGTCAATGCAACTGCCGGCAATCGCTTGTTTGTAAGCATGAATCAAGCGTATAGACATGAATTCATTTTAACAATATAGACTGATAATTATAAAGGTTAAGATAAAGTGATTCACGTGCAAGTGAATGACAAGAAATAAAACTAGCCATTTGTAGGTACTTTCCGCGCATGGTCTGAATGAAAAAATGATTTGAAACCAATTAGTTTAAACATCACAACAAGAAGTATTATATATGAACGGAGCACAAAAATGAATGCCGACCAAATTGTAACTGATTTATATTTCGTTATTGGCTATAGCAGAATATAGGCTTAGACCGCTCGGTCTTGTCCATTATTATACAGGAGTGCTTTCAGTAATAGAGCTAGTGTGTCATGCAGTGCGTGGGTTAGGTCAAATTCATGAAATCCTATTCGCTTCTTTTCTGTACAATCCTACAGATTGTCTAAACTCTGAATTCATTCTATACCACAAATCATTGGGAAAAAAACAAAAGAATAACGCCCAGAATAACGACCGCGCTAGTATATAACAAGATTTTTTGGAAGTAAAGCGAAAATTTCCTATAACATACATTTTAAAAACCCAGCGTGATCAAACGAAAAATGGCATAACTGCAGCATTAATAGTGGTACTGTACAAAAAAGATGAACGCAAGAAAGCAATTATTTAGCGACTTGAAATTCTGTTTTGTTTTTGATATTGCGTTTACCTTATGATCGTGCCGAGAATGCCTTGAACAATCTTTCACTCCCAATTTCTGCAATACAGCATCCAGATTTTCCAACTTCATTCCATGTTCCAGTGCTAACGTTTTCAAAATTGTATTGTAAGTTGCGCCGTAGTCACTTTTCCTTCTGTCGAGTTTATGTTGATTACGAGATGTGGTATTGGGGTCAGTATGAGCTTTCGTTGTAGTAATTATAACCGTTGTAGGAGAGATTGTATAGTTGTTACTTTCCTGGTTATCGTTCCTGGATAGATGCGTTATATTACCATCAGTTGTCACATTTTCTCCATTGGAAGGAACTGCCTGAGTCTGAATTACAAAAAATAGGGAAAACACTACCAACAGAGACACAACATTGAGAAAGGCCATTGTCAAATAGGAATGTTCACAAGAAATCATTGCTTTAAATAATGATATTAACACCATAACATTCTACGTCCATAAAAGGAGAAGAAGCACATCTGGAGCAAAAACCAACAGAGTATATACTAAAATGCGATTGTTTACGTCACAATTATCATATGGTCCTATAATATGCGAATATCGATTGTTTGCGGTCATAAAACCAGATATTTTTCAGCCCACCACTCATCTAGGACATGTTGACTTTTTTATTCTTTCGTGAGTGAGTGAATCGTTGCGATTATAAAAGGATCATAAGCAGTATTTGAAAGAATGTAGGCCTTTTTTGAGCACCTAGTATGGCATTATCCATTGCAAACAGTCAGACTTTTACAATAACAGAAAATTGAAGAGAGAATCTAACGTTTGTGCAACTATAAACTCTATTGACATATCAACATCCTTGTATTTGCAGCGAAGTCGTTGGAAGAGGTCATGATCACGCGCACCGACGAAAGTGAATTTTCATGTCAGTTTCATCCTCGTGCTCGGTTTTCTCACAAACGATCTTCACCCATGCATATATTTCACACTATGTATCGTATAACTATTTTATTTCTCTATACTATAATAGATATTCTATTTACAAGAAAACCTCACTTCAATCTTCTTCAAGTGAGTGTGAGCAAACTTATGCCTCGCCCTCGACCATAACGAATATTTATCCGTCATTTTTTTTACAAAGGCACATATTTCATTGTGAACTGAATTGACACGGGGAAGTCCCTGGCAAGAACGTCCATATAATCTCAAATGAATTCTGCATGCCATATTCAGTCTTACATGTTGTTAACAGTTTCCAAAAAATGTCGAGACATGCACCTTGATATGGGATTTTGTAAATGACGGTGAATTTCCTGTATCATACTAGTCAGTTTAATTTCATGCAAAATTATTTTATCCATAAAAGGTCATGATCCAGAACATAAAAAATAATGTTGTAAAAATGTTTGCCAGCGGGTCCATGCATGCAAGCTGCACGTTTTTAAATTAAATGTAAAGTTAGAAATGAAGTGGCATGACGAAGGATATTGGTAGCCATAGTAATGAGACTTTGTTTGAAGTACATTTCAAGTGTATATCAAGGTCTAACTTAAAAAGTTGATTTTATATTCCTCTATATATAATATACTATTATTGTCATCGTCAAATACATGTTTCTTCTTAACAATTTTCAGCAGCGGAGTTTTGCTATGCATGATTTGTAACTTTTTTTGCCCAAAGCTAAACTCCCAGAGCAGCTATGGTGTTATAATATAGACTATATTGAAAAGTTACCACCAGAAATATACAAAGCGATTTACATATATTTTAGGTGTTCAACTAACATATACGAATATTGCGAACACTCTTATCGCAGGACCCCCCATAGCATGCACACTCGAAATATGAAATAAGTTTTATTTTTAAACAAAAAGCTGGAAACCATATCGGAAAGCATTGTTACGTCAATCATTCAACAACGCATGATATTTAAATACTGGTTGAAATAGAAACACCATGCGAAGGATGATGGCTCTCGGGCGCGGAGGGTGGGATTTTCTACTTCGGCAGGAGAACTCGCAGGAAAATCCGCTCCGCTTGCAAACTTTAGGGAAAGGGTCTTTTTCGACATGAAATATATGAATGATTAAATAAGGGAAGAGACTGAAAGTGTTAAATCTGTTGGGTTAAGAATGGTCTTCATATTAAAATAATTCATTATTTAAGATAAACATTTTAATTCTTAAACAGAATTGATGAACGTGATATAACACAAGGTATAGGTATTAGTTCATCTGCCAACCGATTTTTTGGCAGAACCATTGACAAGCTCAAATTACTCATATTTTTCCTGATCTCGTACAAGGTAATACAGTAAAAATCAAGCACTAGTACATGAATAAACAAAAAATATGTTACATTTTTCCGATATCATTTAATACATCAGTAAAAGAACTATAATTTTGACTTCATGTGACTCATTAAACTTTCCAGTTTCATAGCTTTCATCATATCTCCTTTTATTTTGAGTTTTCCTTGCATGAACGCCGCCGTAGGTTTCAGTTTTCCAGTAAACATTCCCACAAAATTTTCTTTGTCGAGAGAAAAGGTCACGTCAGCAGTTGAAGCTGGATCACCTTGACCAGCATCTCCTACAACACAATATAAAGAAAATTATCTTAACAGTCCAGAACATTATGAACATACAAGCTGAAGTCCGTCCGTTCGTCCATCCGTCCATCTTTAGCTTGGGTCCGACACTTGCATTTGCCTTATTTCACAAAAGCCTTATTTATTAATTTCCTTAGCTTCCTTGACACTAATATAAACTAATGTTACGGAATTTATTGTAATTATCTTCTCTGCTTTAACTCTGGTAAAAGTAGTAAATTAATTGGATTGGATTGAACGGAAGAGAAAATTATCGATGTATCCAGATAGAACGTATTTCGAAAAACAGTATCTCGTTGACCCAATGAAACGACTGTTAGAATAACTGCATGGTGCTAGCAAAATAATCTCGAGTTGACCACGCAGTGATCATGCAGATGTAATTTTACCCATTTAAATTTGTCATCAAGTGCGCTCAAAATAATTTTTTGAACCATTTAAGATTAATTATTACCTGAACCAGTCTTGAGATCCAGGTACCAAACCCCGTGATCATTGATATTGAACTGATACATAGCTTGGGTACTAGAAACAGCATCTTCACTGCAAAATCCTTTAATTTTTACAAACAGCGAATGTAATTCATCATTTCCTCCTTGCTGAACGATCTTTTTCTGTTTAAATCTATCAATATCTTCCGCAGTCACGTCTTCCGCATCCAGGAAAAAGTCTGGAAGCAAATCAGCCCCTGAAAGAAGAGCATGCTGAAACTCAACACAACTTCAAGGAAAATATAGAAAGCAATACGATCTTCCTTTGGAACTTTCGGAATTCAATCATTTTGATCCCAACTAATTGAAAAATATACTCCAATACTGTGTATATTGGAACCTTACGTAATTTTGTGATATATAGTCACATTCTTATAATTTCTCATGCTAATTTGATTAACTTAGTGTCCTTATAATTCTTAAAATTACTGAGAAAACGACATCACAGTCAATACCGATCAGAAAATTATTTTCTAAGATGATTTGGAAGAGAAAACGATTACGTAATATTTGTACCTGGGACACATGCATACTGTTCAAACTCTTTTACTCCAACTTCGCGTAAAACATCTTCATCAATCAAGAACTCTCCTGTCCTTGATTTACTATCTCTTGTTAATATGACATAAGCAGCATCACTCATTATTTCTACCTTACGACAATGTTTTAATGTCTCACCACCACCAAGCATCTCCATTGCAGCTGTCTCGATTGCTAAAATTTAGTTTAGAATTAAAGGTATTATGCTGATGAAAGATGAAAATCTAGTTCTTGCTTGACAACCCATTCACCTGTTTTAGGCCATAATGCATTTACAGCAATACCATCATCTTTAAATTCTTCTGCCATGCCCAAGACACACATGGACATACCATATTTAGCCATTGTATATGCTAAATTTGAAGAAAATGACTATGGAATTGACAATTATTTTACCTAGCATCTTTAACAAATTGAAATTTATTTCCTTACCAACATGGCCTTTGAACCACATAGGATTCATGTTGAGTGGTGGACTTATGTTGAGAATATGTGGATTTTTTGCCTGCTTTAAATATGGGATACATGCTTGGGAACTATATAATCAGAGCAAAAATATAGTTTTTAACATAAACTTCAATTGGATTGCAGTGCAGCTGATATGGTGGTAGTAAAATTACTATACTGGTAGCTAGAGGGCTCTAGCTACCCTAAGCAGATTACAAGCACCTACAGATTAATAAAGTATTCAATCCACACCCTTAAAAAACTTAACTTTATTAATGTTTAAATTCAAAATATTTACCATAAGAATGTTCCTCTAGCATTGACATTATTCATTAAATCATATCTAGAATATTTCAAAGAGCTGAAATGAGTTCACTGGTTGATAAATAAAGTTTATGATAGCATGCCTGCAGCATGACAAGTTTTCAGTCATAATCAAACAGCTATATAATTAGTGTAATGGGAAATTAACCGTGATTAACCTTTTCATTGGTGTAACTAAAGTACCAGTTAGACTGATGGCACTAGCATTGTTTACAAGAACATCAATTCCACCAAATTTTTCCACAGCACTTTCTACAGCAGTCTTCACAGCTGACTCATCTCGGATATCAACCACACATGGCAAGCACTGTCCACCAGCTTCCTCAACTGCACAAAGAAATGAAAACACAGAGTTATAGTTTGCAGTTTAAATTGTCAACTAACTTGAACATTTGTAGAAAAGGAAAAGTATACACAATGATGTGTAGCTGCCATTCCTCATATATTATTACACCTATATAACCAAGCTGCAGACAAACTAGGGATAAGAATTATGATTACCTTCCTTTGCCGCAGTGTAAATAGTTCCAGGAAGTTTAGGATGTGCTTGTGCAGTTTTTGCTGCTATTACAATATTCGCTCCATCTTTCGCCGCTTTCAAAGCAATTGCTTTACCAATGCCACGACTTGCTCCACTGATGAAGATTGTTTTTCCAGCAAGTTTACTAATACATGCAAGTGGATAATGTTCTAGTGGTAAGCTGTATAGAAATTTATTTTTCATGCCACCTTATGTGGACCAGCAAGGGCAGGAAATAAGTTTAAAAATAAACGTTATTCGTCTTTATCTCCATTTTTTGACTCACCGATGAGAGGGGTGTTTCACCTCCTACACCGCATTATTACCCCCTCGGCCCTCCCTTCTCTATTAAACACTGGTGTGTTTTATAATAACACGTCAATAACAATAACGTTATGAATTTATATAATTTCCTGTATGTATGAAACATTTTTAGAATATAAAACGCAAGTAATGCTTAACTTACCCGGTATTGAGCATGGTTGTAAAATTATCAGAGAAATGAGCTTACAGCGAGAAAAACGATGGTTATATAATATGGAAGCAAAGGTCAATGAAGTCTTGTTCCCGGCGAAAATAACATAGAGAAAAGTTCCGGGTTTTTCGATCCCTGGGGGTGGTAACTTCATCGTAGATTGCGTGGATAATTCAGTGTGAAAAGGGATGGTAGTATCCAGAGGTGGGTAAATGTGGATATATTTTTTTGGCGGGAAGAAATCGAAGAATATGATTCATTTCGATTTGTTTGTTGTGGTGTAGTTGAGATGGAAAATGGAAGGAAATGTTGTATCTTCGAGTACGCCTGCAACATTTAGCACGAGTGATAAACATAAATTATACTGTGATCGATGGAGCGATGATCTTTGCTCGAACATAACCTACACTAAACCTTGGTATCGAGCGGAGATAAAGAAACTAAGGGCTGAAGTATCCAAGTTGGATGAAGCTTTGAAGGAGGACAAACAGTCATTTTCAACCCTTCATCTTAATGACATTCTTGCTAAATTGGTAAGGAAAGTTTCAAAGGAAAAACGAGCTTCATTCGAAGAACTTGATATCAAAGGAAAATTGAACGGAGATGGGGAAATAGACATTAAACGTTTAGAAAAGTTCACAGGATTGTATGTTCATGACATTTCTTTGGAAGTTGAAGAGGAAAAAGGAGACGTTTGTGTGAGAAGACATAGTGTTCATGGAAGCTGTCGTGGCATTGAGTTTGAAACTACATTTTTGGTGAAAGAAAACATCGTGCAAGATGATAGACGTGATGCTTCATCAGGTATTTTATTATGATTTTATGTTTTATACAACAATGATTATTGACTTGGATGGGCGAGTTAATGCCAAGTTTATATTATCTTACCTAGCTAGGTCAAAAACATATTAGCAATCAAATGTTTTTTTTTTATTGCATAAAGATTGGGAGCAAAAAAACTAAGTGAATGCTTTTTGAAATATATTTTTCTAGATAATCTGAATTGCTGTTTGAATCTGCCTCAAGTAGTTACCCTGGATGTTGAGATTAAAAATGAGACTTCCAATTTGAATATGAAAGATTTCTTAAAATATGTCCAGGAAGAGAAACAGCTTCAACAATTTTTTGTCACTCTGCAGAACTATGCAAAATGGAAACGGGATCGTTTAAAGACATTCAGTCATTTTCAAAATAGATACCCTGAAATAGCTACCTACAATCCCTTACGAGATGATTCTGTCATGACTGTTTGTAATCAAGAACATCCAGGGCTTCGAATGAATGTTGTTTGGAAAATTCTAGTATCACAGAGAGGAGATGTTAAACCCTATTTTGACCTGCAGTCTTGCATCCTTTCTGAACAACTCGACAACAAAGATATTTTTAAAAGGATGCGTTCAAAATTTCTGCATTTGTTGAAAAATCTTGGAATTGAAAAATCAATAGAAGCAGTTCTACTTATTGTAGCAAAATAAGTCCATAAAATCTATAAAAGTTATGGATGTAAAACTGATAATATATTTAGCACTGTATATTTAGTTTTAAACTTTGTAATTGTATAGTATAGCATATGTTTTTATTCAACTTATAATCATAGTATTTTGAGAACATATGGGGGATTTATGTAAAGATCTACTGCCCTTAACATAAAAATTTTAAAATCTGCCAAAACAACTGTATATCAAATATAATTGTCAAGGAAGTAAGACATTATCTTTAAAATAGTGATTACAAATTTTACTTCCCTGACAAATATAACTGATATACAGTGTTTATTAGGTTTTTTAAATTCTTATGTTGTCAAGGGCAGTATTATTTAAACCAGTTCAATTACAGCACATTAGGACAGTGACCTTAGAAAGGAAGATGTGGCAACCAGTGGGGGTGATGCCACAAACCCCTCGACTGTTTGCCCTCAAATATCTCCATACAATTCTTTTCCTGAAAAAAGTTTGTCACAAATTGCAATCATGTAGTAAAAAGTTCAATGAAAGACTTATTAAGTGGTGTAGTATATGTGACACTATAATCGAGTTTACATAAAGTTCCACGTTGTGCTTTTAATTTATTCTGAAATTTAACTTCAAAATTAACATTATAGCAAAGTCACAGAGAAGAGATGGAGTACATCTCTCCTCTGTGGCAAAGTAGACAGTTATAACGTAGTAATTGTCGTTTTTCATAAAAAGTCCTTTTCTACCCTAAGCCATACGTAAGAAAGGTGGCAATAAAAAGTTTTGTGATTTTGCCATCTCCATTACTTATTATTTCACGGGAGGCCATATCTTCTTGACATCATCATGTTTAGATTCCGGTATCCATCCTAAATATGCCTTCAACAAATAATCTTTCTCTTTCTTCCACATTGCTAGTAAACTAGCCCTACAATCAACATCGTTGTTCACAAGTTCTCTCAATAGAGCTTCGGTTCGAGGTTGTAACTTTGACCAAGTCTTGACCATAGTCGAGGGCAATGCTAAGAGATTTTGACTGAAAGTAGCTAACTTTGAAACGACATGACCTTCCAGGAGAAAACGAGCGAACCATTTATACCTCTCCGAACATTTTTGATACTCTAACTCCTGTGCAGGCAAACACCAAACTCTAGCTCCAAATGAGACATTCATGTGACATTTCACAATTCCTTCATCCTGGTCATATCTCGGACTAGGGTCTTTCAAAGGTTTGGAAAAGGTGCAATGTTGGGGAATTAACAAAGCGAACCATTCTGGTTCAACGACAGCTACACCTGCATGAAACGTATAAAGTCTTTTTTAGAAAATATTATATATTTCCTATATAAGAACACTTTAAAAATTCTGAATCCACGCGAGTCTGAAACAAATGCGGACAACAACTCGTTGCCCTCAGAATTAAAGGTGTTGTCACGTTTGGAGAAATTATGAAATTTATCAAATGCGGCTTTATTATTTAGTCGTTTTTAACAGAAGATATAGCTACTACGGCACTAGCATTTTGGTGTTGCTGACTGAAAACACTAATTTAAAGAAAAAGATTAAATGGTCAGACGGCCACGGCACAGAAAGAAGAGAAACGAGAACATTTTGTATTCCCTTATATCAACTCTGTAAATTTATAGGTCGTGACAAAATTGGTGGATAAAGCATGTTTTTGATTAGTAAATTGAAATATTGGACTTAATAAGGGTAAATAAAGTATACACTTAAAAAGGCAGACTTTACATACTTATGAAGGTCTATAAAAGAGAAATCTGTAAATTTCTTACCTTTTACATAAAGCTTAGTTGTTTCTATTATTTCTTGAAACAAAATAAATTCTGGTAAAATAGTGAATAAGGCAGAGGTTGGGTGGATGAATACAGGTTCTTCAGTCAAATGACACTCGTAGCCATTCTTTATTCCTTGTTCAGCACATCGTTCAGATGACATACGGCGGGCAACATTCTCGCCAAAACAGGACAAAATGATCTGTCTTAATATCTTCGTCTGGGATGGTGATGGTGGTTTCATCTTGGGATCAACACACAGCTTGGCATCTGGATTCACTCCATTGACCGCATTCGTTAACTGGACTCTTAGTTTGCGTACTTCGAGCATGGCTTTGTGTCGTAGACCACTGGACTGACAAAACTTTGCAGAACAACCAGAAAACTCTGCAGCGCCAACTGCACGTAACATAACCATGAAATCACCAAGTAACTGTGATACTCCGTCACCTGCCCATCTTCGTCTAAGCTTTGTAATGTTACTTAGTCTCTCATTTCTGTCTTCACCTTCGTAGGGACCAGATGAAAATATCTCATGCACAGTGAGCGCAGCCACGATGACAATGACGAACTCCAGACATTGATTCTGGTGTCCCAAGCAAAGCATCTTCGCATAACGTGGGGATACAGGAAATTTCGTCATGGTTCGACCAAGAGATGTGATGACTGAAGTAAGAACACCTTTCCTCGTCTTCTTTGGTGTTAATGCTCCAAGGTTGATAAGCAACTTCTCAGCTGTTTGAAGAACGTTGCTCTCTGGTGGTGTAGGAAAGGGAAAGTTGGCAACTTTATCAATGTTGATCGCTTTCATTTGCAAAACAAGATCATCAACGGGTCTTCTTAGGATATCAGGTTGTGTGAACTCTTCAAAATCGTTATTGAATACAGCAGACGAATACAGGCGATAACAATGTCCAGGGCCAATCCGGCCTGCTCTCCCAGCTCTTTGATTGGCAGATGCTTTAGATGTCCAAGTTATCCTGAAAGATGATACTCCTGTTGTTTTGTCATAGTATCTTCTCTTCACCATTCCTGCATCAACAACATATTTCATGTTTGGAATAGTAAGTGAGGTTTCAGCAACATTTGTGGCAACAACACAATACCTCACACCTTCAGGAGGAGATTCAAACACTTTTCTTTGCTTTTCATTGGATAGTAATGAATACAAAGGTAAAACATACATTGGTGATAACTCTTTATCATCAAAACTTGGAGAACCAAGTTCTTCCTCAGACTCACTTAGTGAACTATTATCAACTAGTGATTCTTCAGCATCTTCATCTTCCATCTCTCTGTCAATCACTATGGTCTTGTTAGACATGGAGTAATTGTCCAGGTTGATTCCAACTTTCTTATCATTTGTTTTCACCTGCGCTGAAGATACTGCCAAGTTCTTCTTGAAAGGAAAGCGGTTCTGTAATTTCCTACACAAGGAATGGATTTCATTTTGTCCTGTGAGAAATACAAGGATACCACCATTGGGAAGTGTCTTATGAATTTTAACAACCTTACGGAAAGCCTCATTCACATAATCAGTTGGTGTTCGCTTACTGAAATGAATGGTCACAGGAAACTGCCGAGCTTCAACTTTGACTACAGGTGGGGTAGGACTAAACAAGTTCATGTTGTTGGTGAAGTCATCTACTCTAAGTGTTGCGGACATTATGATGAGTTTTAAAATGTTCCCATGTTTCTTTCTTAGGAGAACAATCCTTGACAATAAACCAATAAGAATATCAGTGTAGACACTTCTTTCATGAGCTTCATCGATGACAATGACAGAATAATTTGAGAGTAGAAAGTCTTTCTCCACTTCTCTCAAGAGCACACCATCAGTCATGAACTTCACACATGTTTCTGATGTTGTGTTACCTTCATATCGAATTTGGTATGAAACTTTACTTTTTGGTAATGACATTTCAAATGCTACTCTCTCCGACATATTAACAGCAGCAACTCTTCTTGGTTCAGTGATGCCAATTGTTCCCTTGTGAGTGTAACCAGCCTCATACAGGAATTGAGGGACCTGTGTTGTTTTTCCACTACCTGTCTCACCAACCAAAAGAATAATTTCATTTTCTTTAATAGCTTCCATAACTGCCTGTTCTTCCCCCAGAATAGGTAGTTGTAGCCGAGCTGTTTGTATGTCTGGATCACGGTTAACTTCAACAAAGACTGTTGGTGTTGCTTTTATTGCATCTTCCTTCAAAATATTTGCTATTGTAGATTTTTGCAATGTGCTCTCTGTACTTTCTGCAGACATTTCTCTTTTTAATGATGCTGATTGTTCATTGGCTTCTTTCACTTTGCATGAAGTGTTGCTTGAAGAGTTCTTCTTATTACTTTCATTTTCAACAACTTTCACCTTTTCGTCTTTCTTTTCTTCCATTTCATCTTTCTGTCCACGTTCTTTATCTGGTATTCTACCATCATTATCATCTTGATCATCATCATCATCATCATCGTCATCACTTTCTTCAGAGCAATCTTCCACTTCAACACCCTTTATTACTTCTATTTTTTTCATTTTCATTCTCAGTCTTTCTTTCTTTCCTTTCTTTCTTCCTCTTTTTACTAAAGACTGTATTTCATGATCTTGATCTTCACCTGATAATCCTCTTTTCAACTCACTTTTATTTACTTGCCCCATTCTACTTACTGAGTTATATTGGGAGATCTCAAGCTCACTAACCGAGGACTGTGCCAAAAGATTCAAAACATCAGCCCGCTTTGATTTTTTCTTTTTTGATTCAACAATTTTTTCCAGGCGTTTTCTTGCCTTTTTACTCAGACGTTTTCTCTCTGTTGGTGGATGCAGATCCCTTCTTCCCTTATTTGATTTCTTGGATGGCAAAGCCAAAGTATTACTGCCGGTTAGCGCTGTTCCATAAACACGATCATCTTCATTGCCTGCGGAAGCAGCGGAACCCTGTACATAATCCAAATTGTTTGCCTGGTTTTTAAGTCCTCTTTCACTACTATTATCTTCACCTATGCGTGCCTTCCAGTTGTGGCGTTTACGCAGTCGTCCCATGTTTCAAACCTGCACTTTACAAGCCATAAAAACACATGTTGCGTCGGTCAGCCATGTTGCAATGTTGGTATGTACAAAAAAATCGCGGGCTGTTGAGGCTTCCACATGCAAAAACAACAGAATTTCTACCATTTATATTTATATTTTACCGTCCATAGTTTTACAGCATACAAAAAATTAACTTGTGTTAGTAAAACATGTGAAATAAAAGTACAGAATTAAAAGTATTTAAATAAAGTGGTGGTCGTATGAATTTGTTAACTTCGAACCTTTACAAAAGAGATATTTTCCGCCTTTCCGGCTTATTTCAGTGCTTATTTCACAATTTTTCATTATGTGACCAGTGACCAGCCATGTGGAAGCACACTTCTTGTTCGCACGTTTTCCAAGATGGACGCTGATTTGTATGATGAATTCGGTAACTACATTGGACCAGATCTGGCCAGTGATGAGGAAGAAAGTGAGGAAGAATGGGAGAAAGAGGAACAACTAGATGGAGTTGAGGTATTCAGCTCATTCTCTTGTTTGGCATGCTTGAAAAGTGAAAACACTGCATCTCTCTCTAGTCTCTACTCAGAGGAGAAGACGACGTCAGGACAACGTCTGAAAGACTTCAAAATTGGCATAAGCGGTCGTTTGCTCAATTGATCCAATTATCATACTGTGTTCATAATGTTTTATCCCATCCAATTATGCAAAAATGTTTTTCTCAATTGTTAAATCTTTTTCTGATTTGATAGTAGACACGATTCGGATTCTATGGTCACACATGTGCCATTATTTTTCATATTTCTTAGTTTATACCCGCAATTTATAGCTTGACCTGGGGAAATAGTAATGTAGGAGATGATTGATGGTTTATTTTCTAGGAGGATGATGCAGGGGAGGATCAGATGGAGCAAGATGATGATGCTCAAATGCAAGTTGTTTTACATGAGGTACATTTTTATAGTGCACAAGTTGCACCAGTGCCTGTCTTTATTGCATTGAAGCAGTGAGTTAAGAGTTTCCACCATATTAAATGATTAGAAGTGATGTTTTAGTCCATACTTTTGCCTTGCACCATTATATAGGATAAGAAATATTATCCCACAGCCCAAGAAGTTTTTGGACCTGATGTAGAGGTAGCTATTTATGGATTTGCAATATTTGCAAATTTAGTCAGTAATCATTCATAACTTATTTACCTTGCAAAATGACATATTATGCATAATGCACAAATGATTAAAATATTTTAGACCATTGTTCAAGAAGAGGATACTCAACCATTAACTGGTACTTAAAATATTGCATATACTGTAGAAACCATTATTCAATTGTTTTTTTCTGTATAAAATACCATATATTTAACACCAAGAAAATACTAAAGTCATGTAGAGTGCTAATGCAACTCTGAAATGTCATAGACAGCACAATTTTGTATTTTACATAAATTTATGAAGAGGTAACTAAAATGATAATTTGTCTTTTGCATTCAAGAACCTATAATAGCTCCAGTAAAGAACAAGAAATTTTTGCTTGCTGAGCAAGATTTGCCTGCAACAACTTATGAAATTGAGTAAGCTCATAAGTACTTTCTACTAGCTTAATATGCTACAAACTTACCCAGTTTCACTCACTCTTTCATAATAGATATCTAGCAGACTTGATGGATAACACTGAGCTAATAAGAAATGTGGCTTTAGCAGGACATTTGCACCATGGCAAGGTATATATTTTCATGCATTGCTGCATATTGAACATATAACTTGGATGTAAAAAATGGCACGTATGTAATTCTTGTAACTCTTTTATTAGACAACTTTTGTTGACTGCCTTCTTGAACAAACCCATCCTGATTTGAAGTCTAAAGAAGAAAGTGAGGTAAGTGATCAGTTTAGTCTCATAATTTTTTGTTTTTTGATTAAAAAATTAAAGTGTTCCTTACTGCTTTGTTAGATTCGATACACAGATACCCTGTTTACTGAACAAGAGGTACATATTTTTGTGGCTTTGCAATAATTTCATTTTGATTATATACGGGTACACACACAAACTTTGTCATGATTAAGTAAGAACATTTCTCACCGGTTACATCTATGATTTGTGTATTTCAGCGGGGTGTAAGCATCAAAAGTGTTCCTGTATCATTAGTTTTGCCAGATTCAAGAGACAAATCCTACCTTTTAAATGTTTTTGATACACCTGGTAAGATATTTGTTTTGTAAGAAATCATCTGTGAAGATTAATGGTGAAACATTTCATTGCAAGCGAGCTTACATTAGGTAATGATTTTGCTGTGTACATGATTAAAATATGCCTTATTCCCTTGTAGGTCATGTGAATTTCTCAGACGAAGTGACTGCAGCATTTCGTCTTTGTGATGGTGTTGTAATCTTTGTTGATGCATCAGAAGGGGTACTTTGAAATATTTTTTAGTTTTCATGAAAGCCTCATCAGTTTATTAGAGATATGATGTTGTGCAACATTCATTGAAAAAATAGCCAGTAGACGCATTGTCAAAGATAGGATGGGATGCCAACTCACCAAGCAAAACTCAATACTAGGTTTTCAGTGCATTTTATTTTTTCTCTGATATCAGGTTCAGAGAGTTTTCAGGTTAATTGTGAATTCATATTTGTCTTGAAAATGTAGATTATGTTGAATACTGAAAGATTATTGAAACATGCCGTTCAAGAGCGTCTTGCTGTCACAATATGTATAAACAAAGTACGTATTTCCTGCATTGGGGGCACTTTTTCTACGAGGAGCGTTAATCTAAATTTAATTTTCTTTTCAAGATTGACAGACTTATCCTTGAACTAAAATTACCCCCAGCTGACGCATATTTCAAACTGAAGCACATTGTGGATGAAGTCAACGGTTTATTGAGGTACACACGTCATGGTTTTTTTAGGAATAGTTATATTAGGATTTAGGAGTTCGTAAAGGCATACAGAATATTATTTTTCGCAAGTATCAAGTCGAGTGTATAATTTGACAATAAACCTCGACCGTATGCAGGAATAGGAACAAATGCTGGCTTACCAACTTGCACCAGCTGCAGATTCCATGTAATAGACTTGCTGGAGTTTTTACGTATGGAAGTGTTTTTTATCAAACTTTTACATGCATTGTTTCAATATTTAGCGTATACTCTGAAGGTTCAGATGATGTTTTGGTATCTCCATTGCTTGGCAATGTGTGTTTTGCCAGTTCAACATATCGTTTCTGTTTTACTCTCTTGTCGTTTGCCAAGTTATATACAGATACGTACGGTAAGTCTAGAGGGTGGCCACCTTTTGCCGTATTACCCAAATTCTGATATTTTATCAAAAACTTTTTGTTGTCTAGGGTATGGGGTCAATCATCGTGATTTTGCTAAGAGGCTTTGGGGCGACATGTATTTCAATTCGAAAACGTTAGTAGCTACATATGGACTTTGAGGTCTATTTTGAAAAGGTGCTTCTCATTCGCCGAACGTATTAGAAACAATAGATGAATACATCTTAAATGATGATCTATTGTTTTGAATGCGTCCAGCAGATGAGAACGAAGAAGTTTCTCAAAATAAAGTTCACTATCAATAATGTCAATTTCTTAGACGAAAATTCACCAAGAAAGCTCCTCTCACTACATCACCACGAACGTTTGTTGAATTTATTTTGGAACCGCTTTACAAGTTATTTGCTCAGGTACGTGAATATGTCTCAAAAAGTACTGTAATAATTTGATTCAGTATGAAATAACGTCATATAAAGTGATTTTAGTGACGTCATATTAAATGACGTCATTTTATTGACACTTATATTATACCAAAGATGAACTGTTTTAAAACATTTAGATTGTTGGCGATGTAGACTCGACGTTACCCAAAGTTTTAGATGAGTTGGGTATTCGTTTGACTAAAACAGAACAGGCAATGAATATTCGTCCGTTAATGAAGATCATTTTTAAAAGATTTTTTGGATCATTTACAGGTAAACCCGTGTTAAATGTTACATTTATTGCTAGATCAATTGTATATTCAATCTGATCATAAAGACTTTGATTTTTTTGTTAATAACGAACGAGCATGAATTTTTTTCAGGTTTTGTTGACATGTGTGTTCAACACATTAAATCGCCAAAGGATTTCGCAAAATTAAAAGTAAGAATCCCCTTCCTTTAAGTTTATATTCTTTTAAATTTTAAGATTTTATTTATTTAGTTATGAAGTGTGAGAATGGTTTTCAAAACATCCTGTACGTTTACTTTAGGTTGAACATACATACAATGGAGCGTTAGATACGGAACTCTCACAAGCGATGTTTGAATGCGATGCTGATGTAAGTTTTCTTAGTGTAAGAAAAATTGTGCATGACAGATTAACGCGTTCATTGGAAAATCAAAACTTATCAAAGTAAAATATGTCAGAAGTAAAATTTGTGAAGAAGCATTTATTTACTTTGCGCACGCCATCATTGAACAAGTCGAAAAATTAGAAAACTCGTCAACAAAAACTTGCGCGACTGTACAGCTTCAGCTTTTCTTCTTTTAGGGTCCTCTGATGATTCATACGACGAAGCAATATCCATCCCGTGATGCAACGGCATTCCATGTTCTGGGGAGAGTATTAAGTGGAACGGGTAAGCTACATGCATATTCATATGCTGTACTGTTATATGAAGAAACTAATCGTGGCTCTATTATTGCATGCTCTATTCATCCCACATGAATTGTGCATGCATGCGTGTTGATTTAAAGCCGTAACGTTTTATACACCTGAGATGTCGATTATCGTTGCAACAGTAATCTAACGCATAATGCATGTGTTGACCAATAAAGTGAACGAACTGGCCTGCACGATAAAACGTATATGTTAACGGTTCATACAGTCTCATACAGTCTCACTCGACTGTCTCGACAGTTCAAAATTGCTTACTGAAATCATGTAACAGAAGAAATCACGGGGTTCAAAGTTTATACTCAATAGAACTGTTGCACGTATTGCTATTCAATTTAATGTATTATGTTAGTTCATGCTGGTCAACAAGTAAAGATTCTTGGAGAAAATTACACACTTGAAGACGAAGAAGATTCGAGAATAGGGAATGTGAGTAGAATTCTTGAAATATCGTTAATACAACTTGCATTAGTCTCGCTAAAACCTTATATAATTTTGCATGATGTATTTGCACAATATATTACCTGCGTGTTCAATATTCCATGTTTGGTTAAAATAAGCATATATTTTGTATTGACAGATTGGCAGGCTTTGGATACCAGAAGCTAGGTTTGTTCAAGTTTAATTTTTTTATTATGTGGTGGTGCATCTTAATTTTTATCATACAAACGAAGGGTTCAGGAAAGTGCTTGAAGAAGCTTAAGCAAACTGTATGATTTCCATTTCACCATCTTCAGATACAACATTGAAGTGAACAGAGTGCCTGCTGGGAACTGGGTGTTAATCGAAGGAATTGATGAGCCAATTGTCAAAACATCAACTGTAACCCAAATTGAAGATAGTGAAGAAGTATGAATATCTTGCGCTATTGTGACCACATCTACTCTCGATTTTTGAATGTGGTGTCTGCCGAGATGGACATCTTATCTTTCATTCAACACACGCATGTTCCAGTCTTTCCTTGCTGATCACAAATCTTTCGTTTTTAAGTTATTTATTTATTTTTTTGTATGATTTTTTGTCATTTATCAAGGCTCAAATATTTCGGCCACTCAAGTTTAATACATGTTCTGTGGTGAAAATAGCTGTTGAGCCTCACAACCCCTCGGAGCTGCCCAAAATGTTGGATGGATTGAGAAAGGTCAACAAAAGCTACCCATTACTTACAACAAAGGTATTTGAATTTCTTTTTATTATCTATTGTTGCATGACAACTAATGCTAGCTAATTTAGATTGTACAGACCATGCATTACTAAACTAAATTAATTTAGCGACGGCTTGGTTCTATGAACTGTACCATAACCCCCTTTAACGTTTGTTTTTCGTTTGTTATCTATCGTGGTGTATTGTAGGTCGAAGAGTCTGGTGAACATGTTATACTTGGAACTGGGGAATTATTCCTGGATTGTGTCATGCATGACTTGAGAAAAATGTATTCAGAAATAGGTTAGTAATCATGTCTAGCGCGCCGTATTTTATTCTTACTACAAGTTATGTATTGTCTGCATGTATAAGATAATTTATGTCTTCAACATGTCTTCGTTTTCAGAAAATTGCACTAGATTGCATTGTTTTGTACTTACTTATAATGTACCTCGCACGAAAATACTTAAATATGAGAAACGACCACTAACTTTCTCTAGCACTATTATTTCATAGTGGTGTTAGTTAGGTTGCAAATCAAATTAATCTATTTGTTGAATGTCTATTGTTTCTAGATATAAAAGTGTCTGATCCCGTGGTGGCGTTTTGTGAAACTGTTGTGGAGACTTCGTCTTTGAAATGCTTCGCTGAAACACCGAACAAAAAGTAAGTGTTGTGAACACCATTTAATAATTTACAAGTGAGCCATAATTTATATGTCAAACAAATATGTCAGCCCAAAAGTCAGCCCAACAAATATGTCAATACGTTATTTATCGTTTCATTTTGCAACGTTGCCCAAATTATTTCGACTAACCTTATCGATCTTTTGTGGACAGGAACAAGGTGACAATGATAGCAGAACCTTTAGAGAATGGTTTGGCTGAAGATATAGAAAATGAAAAGGTCTCCATCACTTGGAATAAGTAAGTCGGGAAAAACCATTTCATATATTCCTTACAAAATCATTCGTTGTAGTCAAGCTATACGAAATCTCATAAAATAATATCCTAAGCTTTATACACATTTTTTCTCGTATAATATGTCATACTGTACATATATAATTTAGAAAACGGCTTGGCGAGTTCTTTCAGACAAAATACGATTGGGATTTATTGGCAGCCAGATCTATCTGGGCGTTCGGACCGGACAATACGGGACCAAATATTTTAGTGGATGATACATTGCCTTCTGAAGTAAGTTAAGAGGCGTGAGATATAAGATGCAGAGTGAGCGCATGCGCGTTTATCATGGAAACTTAGATCAACTACGAGGATGAACTGGTTTATTTTTTCTCTTTAAAAATAAATAAAAATAATATATGGGAGTGTGGCGGAATAGTTATAATGTTTCAAAATCCAAACGTAGGCTCATTAGATCGAACGTTTAGAGGCTTGAACATAGGAAAATTGTTGAAACTCTAAAACTTTTTTTATGATTGCGATGTTTCATGAAGCTAATTGCTTTACTGAATAGGTCGATAAAAGTTTACTAAATACGGCAAGAGACTCTATTGTTCAAGGATTTCAGTGGGCGACAAGAGAAGGTCCTTTGTGCGACGAACGTAAGTTAGAAGCAATTAGTTTGTAACAGTTTTTGTTTAATATTAATTATTATTATATGGCAAGCGCTTGTTTTGGTTAATTCTGCAATTTGATTGGCTGCTGACAGGTCCGGATTTCCCCGTATTGCCCACGGGCAATACGCAATTCTTATTGCCCTGTGAAAACAAGGCAAAACTCACGGCAAAAACTAACTAAATTTAAAATGAAAAACAGATTAAATTCTTAAACGGAAAATAATGAATTTGAAATAAAAATAATGAATTTATATTTTACAAAATAGAGCGGTTTTTTTCACTTTAGGCCGATGTTTTGGTGTCGTGTGCCCGGATGAGATTGATCATTAAAATTACTCATAAAGAATTAATCATTACAATGTCTGCATGAAATATGCCGTATGATAAAAAACTTACTAACTTCGACTGTTCGGTCTGTACGGTAAAATATCAAACCTTGGTCTTGGTGTATTGACCTCGCTATCGCTCGGTCAATACGGCACGACCTCGGTTTGATATTTTACCGTACAGACCTCACTCTCAGTCAGTAAGTTCTTAGTATTTATCAATTGCATAGTAGCGATTTACTCATATGAACATGCTCAATTTTTATCTTTGCGTGTATAATTTTAGCAATCCGTAATGTGAAATTTAAGATCCTGGACGCTGTGATAGCTGGCGAACCAATCCATCGTGGAGGAGGACAGATCATTCCGACGTCAAGACGTGTGGCTTATTCCGCTTTTCTTATGGTGAGAAACTGTTTTTTTCACTTACAGAGGATAACCTTCGGTAGTCGGTCTTTTATTGGGATTCAATTTTCTTTGAAACAACAACATGAATTACAAGTGCAGTGCATTTCTTAAGGTCCTACCAGCGTATACGTATACAGCTAATGCTAGTAAGATTGTTTTTTTCAAGGCATTATGACATGGTCGACTCACCAAAACATGGCGACTCTCACTCACCAAAACAATCTTACTAGTTTTAAAAGCAGTTTCTGACTTTAGAGGCTATTAAAGGTGTTCAATCAACTTCGTTAAACACACATAATAAAAGGTAAATGCAAATTTAAACTTTCAATATTTCTTCTTGCAGGCAACTCCCCGTTTGATGGAACCGTATCATTTCGTGGAGGTTCAGGCTCCTGCAGATTGTGTTTCTTCTGTATACACCGTATTAGCACGACGAAGGTGAATTTCAATCTTAAACCTTGCTCTTTCTTCTTTTGTGGATATTGTTTGTTTATTTTGAACCCATTCTTTTCATCATAGGGGTCACGTGACTCAAGACGCGCCAGTTCCAGGCTCTCCATTGTATACCATCAAAGCATTCATACCAGCTATTGATTCATTCGGTTTTGAAACTGATCTTAGGACCCATACTCAAGGCCAAGCGTTCTGTCTGTCTGTATTCCATCACTGGCAAGTATGTACATTATATGTACATAAAACAGACCTATTTAACTCATTACTTTCCGTGCCAGGGATTGTTTCATTACAAATATCAGAATTCAAACATCACAGCTTATTTTGCACACAAATATGGACTATTTATTTTCTTCAGATTGTTCCAGGCGACCCACTTGATAAAAGCATTGTGATAAGACCACTTGAACCTCAACCTGCGACTCATCTGGCGAGAGAGTTTATGATTAAAACTCGGAGACGGAAGGTATAAGATTTTTCCTGCGTGCACTTTGGGATACTCAAATTTGTGCATTGGAGGGACAGAGAGGGTGGGGGATTAGTGTAATAGTAAATGAGTAAGGGTAATATGGCACGGTTTCATTGTTTTTTCATTTCAAATAATGTGCTTTAGGGGCTAAGTGAAGATGTGAGTATCAATAAATTCTTTGATGATCCTATGTTGTTGGAACTGGCGAGACAAGATGTGATGTTCAATTATCCAATGTAAATATGAAGAAAAGATAAAGCCATATTAAATAGCTCATGCAAGTGGCGTAACGATACTGTGTATCTGTACATAGCTTCCAGGATTTCTTTCTCGACAATGTCATAATATCGAGAGTGATACCACACATAATACAAACTGCGTCTCGTGTTGCTGATCTTTAAATAACGAAACACGTGGTTCACATAAACTGAACCTAGTAATGTATGCAAAATTAAATTGCATACAAATTAAACTTTCGACGATATTTTTAATAAAGTTTTCCCTTGTTTATTTCATTGCTGTATTAAAATGTCAAAAATTGCATGGTGTGTGCATATAGCTTACAGGTATAGCTACAAGCCCACGCAATTGCATTTCCAGATCTGCATGTATTTATTAAGAAGCTGGATAGCAGCATCAGTTCGTATGAGGTGTTTTCTTACGTAAGAATAATGACCTTTTAACCCTCATGCAGATGATACTCGATACTGACAACAATGCAGAAATACGTGTCTTCGCACATTTTTTGTCTGTGGTCCTGTGGCTTGACCAAGGACTTAACCATAACCTATAATCGCTATATATTCCTGCCCATACACGCATGCTGCATTAGGCTGCGACTGATTGAAGATCGGACGGAAGATGTGTTTTTTCATTTTATATAGCATCTCTGTTTTTGTTATAACTTTAGCAGGTAAGTTATTGCATTGATTTAATATGCCGCTTCATGCATTTGAATATGTGCCTTTTATACCTGTTATTACTGTACAATTTACAATCGGGTCGGTCAAGGCACCAATAATGATAAGTATATAAAGTAATACCACTAACTATGCAATGTCATCTTGTATGTACACGGAAGAATTAAATGCTGCCATGCAATACGTCTGTAAATTTAGGTAATCCCTAGTACCAGTATTTGGGTAACACGCTTGTTTGCTACTGAAAATTTCTATTCAAGTCAGGGTCTTGAGGATTTCTAACAAAAAAAGAAAGTGTGGCTTCAATTTCCCTCTTGTTTATCATCCCTGTCTTTTGTAGTAATGTGGCAATTTGCAAATGAATGCATAATAAATACCATGCCAGATAGTTGAATTTGATACTCAGCATATTGATCTAACTCGTACTAGCATAGCTAGACTATGAACATACCCATATCGTAGCAATTTTGGCTACAAGATTTGTGCTATTGACTATTGTTAAAGTCATATATTCCAATCTCTTCCAGACCTCCAAGGTAAGCCAAAGATATCGTCAAAAGGTGCAGATCTTCACTTCAGATCCGGAACTGGAGGGAACATTGTGTTTGAACATTCTCAAGGGGGAAAGATTTACTTTGGAACCCATCAACTGGTAACACAAACGACTTAGTTCGAACAACTGTATATACTCTTAAACATGTCTATTTGGCAGCCGAGGTTCGATTCGAACGTCGAAATATTTAATATATCGCTTCTTGAAAATCTATTCACACCGCACTAGCTACCACGTTCGGGATAAAATCAGTTCATGAACCGTAGGTTCTCTCAATTTCCCTTTTACTGGGCGGTCATTCCTATTCATCATTATCTCACCTCAATGCACAAAGTGTCTCGCCTATGTTCAGTACTTCTTCAGTACTACCGTCTTATCATGCATTGGGCAATTTCACTGTGCCAGCACCAATTTGGAATCACCAGGGAGACAGATATAAATCTGTTCACGATTTTTGGCATGCAGTATTTACTTTAATTAAATAAAAGCACGGTGCTTTTTACGTTTTTCTGCCGAGAAACAACATAAAACAGCGGTGTAAAATGTCTCCCAGAACTTTACAAGTGCTGCTGGCAGACCGGGGTCGCCTGGGAAAACAGGGGTCAAAGGTGATAGAGGGCCAAAGGGAGATAAAGGAGACTCAAGTGGTGGAACATCTGGTACGAAAGGGGATAAAGGAGATCGAGGATTGGCTGGGTCACCAGGTAGAGATGGTGAGGTAATAAAACATATTGTCGATTTATCCTTAATGAGGGAAGAGTTTTATCAATGTAACATAGATACATGACATAGATACTCGGTTTGAATAGCATAATTATATCTGACATATTAACAGTATTGCTGACTTGTTCCCATTTATTTTGCAATTCTGAAGGAGGGCCGTCCTGGTAGCGAAGGCCGTCCTGGTGCGACTGGACGACCAGGAACAACAGGACCTCCGGGTAATCCGGGACCTCTGGGTAATCCAGGACCTCCAGGTAATCCAGGAACCCCTGGACATCCAGGACCTCCAGGTAATCCAGGAACCCCTGGACGTCCAGGATCAACGGAAGTTCAACCTGACATTTATTATACAGACCTGGATAAAAAAAGTGAAAAGTAAGTTTGTTCAAACCTTTCTCTAACGCCTTTCTTTTTAAACCTTTTTAACGCATCTTTCTCGAATATCGAATCCTTCGCAGAGGCTACAACCTCAAAAGAGGACGATAAGAAATTCCGGCGTTTTGAAGAAATTGTAAGCTCAATAGTTTTCTTGATAAATTTATAACTTTCAGCTGTAACATCTCAATCGTTGGTGTTCTACGTTATTCTGCATCTAATGGTCTGCAACTCTGCACAAAAGTTGGATGGCGAAACATTGCTCTTGACGTCAATCCACCACATTGCACAAAGGATGTAAATATACCTGAACGTAATCAACGAGCATTTTACGATGGAAAACCTGGCATTATGTTTCAATTTAACAATGACATAGAGCCACTAACGAGTTCTTTGAGTTCTCTAAAAAATGGCGCTGATGTCGCTTCAGGTATGCAAAAGTGATTAATATCGATTTATCTTCATGACATAAATGATTTGAGAAATTAAGGGTAGATTAGTCAAAAAAGACGATGCGCAAATCATGGCTCGAAAACAAGACGAAGAAACTTTAAAATAGTCAAGAATTCGCTTTCTCTTTTTAAGAAATCCGACCTCGCAATTCAAGTGCTGTTTTTGTTAATGCTGTAATGCGACAAGCTATCCATTTTACTGGAGCGAACTACGTTAATGTCACAGGTATTCCAGAAACGTTTTGGCAGAATAACTGGACTATCGCGGCACTGGTAAAAATTGGTGATATATCAAATCCAAACAGCATTCAAGGGGATCAATATTATGATGTAGCATTGTTGGGAATTGGAATTCAAAGTGACCAATCACCTCAAAATGAACTGCATTTAGGCTTTAGAGGGAAGAAGAAAGCTTCGAAATTTCATTTTGTGAGTATAATGCCCGTTGTCTGCATGGATACCATATTTACTACAATTATGAACTCGTAAAGTACTTGAGACATTTTATGTTTCATAACTTTCAGGAGGTTCTTTTTGAGCATAATAACGATAGTAATAAACATGGCCCTGTACACACTAATACATGGTTACACATTATGTGGTGGTCTCAAAAAAACCTGGATGGTTCAGAAAACAGGTGAGACGCAATAAGTAGTTCAGTTAATTGTATGTATTCATCAAACATCGACTGTTTTTACGATCTAGAAACCAGATCGCATGAAACCCTCAACACACTTATCGAGGTGGCTTGATCCGTTGATCGTCATTAATAATCGCAATAATCCATGGACCTTAAAACTAAGAAGCTTCGATTCGCATGAAATGTGGTATTATATAGCTAGATATAAGTATAACAACTTCCTAAATTAGACAAAAACACTTGTCGACGTTTCGAGACGGGACTTTTAGCTTTACCTGGAGAAGTGGTTTTGTCTAATGTAGGAAGTTGTTGCACGAAATTTGATGCGAAGCTGTTTGAAGACGCTGCTACGCTGCTCTCTGGTTATATTGATGACTAAAAAGCATTGTAAATTAGTTTCTGTGTTGCGCTGAGAAAATTTGAAATTGTATCATAAACACCCCTTTTTACCATCTATAGAATCCATTCATCTTTTTCAATTTGAGGCACCGACCTTTCTCTTCATGAAAATGATAATAATTTAGATGTTTTTTTAGGTGCCTACAAATACAAAACGGCTACCGCCATTGTGATAATAATGTCCAACGTAAATATTCTGGTGGAAGTGGTGCTCTAACTATTGGTGATTGGCGAATAATTCATGGAAACATATCAATGGTAAACAATTTAATGGTAGATCATCTTATCATCACTACTGGAATTATTGATTACACCTCAACTGCATTAGACGAACAGCTTTGTTTTGCAAAACTGGTCGACAAACGTTTACCATGAATCATGCGTGTGTACAATAATTTGACAAAACTTTAACTGTGCCAGGGACGCTGAAGAAGGGCATTCGCCCCCCTTGCCCCTTGATTTCACTTGTTTTTATTAACTTTCACTTTATAAGTGCCCCTCAAATCTCGTTTTCGCCCCCCTAACAACGCGATCCCTCCGTCGTCCCTTGTTAAAATATTTATTGAGTATTGGGTCTAGTTGAATTGAAATTTACAAAGGCGATAACAATTTCCAAAAAGAACCGTAGCAAACTGTAACGTGACGTCCCTCACTTGAAGAAATACGTTCCTATAAGCAATGATTTTACGATTTGTACTTTTGAACTGTAAAGAAATTATCATGGCTATTCAGGGGTTTTAGTCCAAAAAATTCAGTCCCAAAAAAACTACAAAAATTAACTTGGACACTCTTTAGTTTGTAACTTTGTACTATATATGACAACGTCTTGTAATTGTATCATACAAGTTGCCATTGTTGCCATTTTTTTATAAAACATTACATACGTCATTTCAGTTAAATAAGTATTTAATTTAAGAATATGGGAGGAAAATGCTGTTCAAAGGAGAGATTTTTTACTGTTGTTGCAATAAAGTTTTGATACGCTATATTGCATAAAATCATTACCTAGACAGTTTTAATTCTATAGCGCATCATTGAAAAGCATAGCTGCCCAAATTTGCGTGATGGTTTGAACAGGAGAATTTTTTTGGAAATTTGTCAATATAGGGTACATTATAGTGCAATAAAGTAAACTATAATGTTATAAAGTAGACAATAAACCAGACCATGCAAATTTGGGCTGTCTTTGAATCAACGATTGAGTTGATTGGTGAGGCTTTGTGGTGACTGGTTGTAATCTTTCATCAATACTTCATTTATTGCAGTTGCAATGACAACTGAAATGTTCTTTCCTTTCCAAGTTATTACTGTACAAATAACAGTTTTGAACATAATAAGGGGAAATATATTCAGTTTTCATGAATATGTTAATAGTCTGAAACAGCATTGAATGTTTTTAAATACTTCTCACTGAAGTTTCAGATCTGCACTTTATGTTGTTAATGTTGAGAGCTTGTCAAGGAATTGTTCATGATTACTCAATGTTGCTAAAATACCACCACTATTTTTTACGTTAAATTGGTCACCATAATTTATGTCAGCACCATTAAGTTTGGTCATTTTGCCTCCAAATGAGCGAAGAATTGCATCTCCAGCACAAATATCCCATCTTTTAATCAATGTCTTGTGGACATAAGCATCAGCAATGTTATTAAATAATGATAAAACTTTAAATCCAGCTCCACCAGCTGGGATAATTTTTACATCTTTACCAAAAGCTGATTTAGCTGTTTTATTAACTGGACCAGCATGAGATCTTGAAACAATTATTCTTGGGTTTTGAAATGAGGCTTCTTTTACTGGTGGTTTAGAAAGAAATTTAGAGTGACCATGGTTTGTCCAAGCCCAATATGTTTTCTTTAAGAATGGTTGATGAATAACACCAGCTATTGGAATTCCTAAGGAATGTTATTATTATGAGATATATATTATAATATAAGGTTTACAGAACATTTTTAATTGATAAAAGGAGTATATTTCTGAAAGGAAGAGCTTTTCATGATTTTTATTTTTGCTGAAAATGATTGGATGTGTTACTGTTAACAGGAAACATGTACATGCATATATGAATTGTAAAATAACACTTTATAAGGGAGAGGTGATGCATGTTGCATGGTATTTCATGCTCATTCTCACTGTATGAGCAAACTGGAATATACTGGAACTTTCTGTTAGAATCAACGCTTGTATATAGTAAGGACCAAAATTCATTAATACCATGTAGAGTATGACATTATTACCTTTTACAACAATACACACCATAGTTGTAACATACTGAGTTAAATTCTCAGTGTACTCTTGTGTTGCATCCAATGGATCCACCCAAATTAAAACATCATCTGCTGACACTTCTTCTTTCTCCTTGCTATAAAGATCATCACCAATATTCAAAATATCTGAGATATTGATTTCATCATATTGCTTTTGTGTATCACCATTGTCATGTTCCTCTGACACCACAGTTAATAACGGAAACAGATAACGGAAACCATAAACCATGGCCTTGTGAGACTCTATATCACCTGCTGTCAGTGGGTCATTTGCACCTTCTAAAGTTTGACCTTTGCTGCGAGCCTAAAGGTCAAGAATGTTTTGAATGAAGGATTCAAGGTCCACTTTTCTGGTGTATAAACAATAAATCCAGTTGCTTATCTACCACTAATAAATCCTCTAAAAAGATTATTTCAAAACTCGAGGACTTTTTTTACGAAAATTAAAAAACTTGGTATATGAATATGCAAACCTGTAAGTCACTTTTCTCCCGAATATCTTTGAGAACTTTTCCTCCTCTTTCAGCTAAATATATTGACGTCTCCAATAATCGTTTTATTGGTATTTTTTCACCCATATACAATTCTAGAAATGGGCGATCATTAAACATGAAATTCTTCAAAGTAAACAGTAATACAAATCCACCACACACGCAAAAAAAAATACCAAGTGGAGAAATTCTGACGACAGTTGTCATTTTTAAGACCATAGGACACAATTAGGATAGATGAAAGACCACTAAGAGGTCAATATTAAATATTTACAGCATTGTTTTGTTACTGTGTGTATAGTAAATCCTTGTTATTTTGAAAATTGAAATACAGTACCTTTTCGAAGTGGAAACTAGAGATTTATAATTTACTTAATAATTTATAATAATTTATAGACACAATAATTTATTTTCCACGGATTACATCACATGCTCAAGATTAACCAATCACGTTTGTGTTGCAAATTTTAAAAACAAATCGGAATATCAGAACAGAAATTTGTTGTTGTAGAATTTGAGGAAGGTAGAATCTGCCGATATTTGAGATCAATTTGTATTTCTTCGTGGCGATCTAGTCCTGTAATTTCGCTCATTGTGATTGTCGAATAGAAATGGCATCAACTTCTTTAAAAACGCCTCGTCAGTTAATGATGAAATGCACAAAACAGAAACGGCAAGTAGATCGTGAAACAAGGGCGTTTGTAGCTCTACAGAGTCGGAAAATATCAAGAAGAAATGATATTGAAAAAAAGCGTGGAATTCCGTCAATAGAACTACCAAGCGATGAAAACAAAGCTCAAAATTGTCAAGAGCAAATCAAAACAGAGGAAGGTAAACATAAATTTGCCTGCATGTTAATGCACATAATTCTCCACGCACACGTCGCACAGTGTACTATATATTTTATATACGAATTTAATAATGCGTGTTTATTAACCGATATTTTTTAATTTAAATTTTTTCGTGTAAAAAGCAAACCGACGTTTAGTTACTGGTATTCCCATGTTCTATATGGTTATGACTTTCTACATTGTCTTACCCATGTGATTTGCAGTGCCTGCTGGTATAGCCTAGCTGCCACCTGGTAGCCTGGTACATACATATCAATCAATGCATTACAACTTCAAACAATCTTTGAACCTTTCACATCAACTCTTCAATGGAGTATACTTCCCTGTGCTCAGTGAAGTCATCTCTCCATGGCTATATAACCTCTATATATATAAAAGATTAATTTGCTTAGGATTGATTAATTAATTAATGTTCCTTTACTATGCATGTTTATAATATGTTACCAGCCTTGCTGCAGCAGGAGATCTCATTAGTGTGTATATTTTTTTATGATATATATATATCATATGATGAAGGCCCGGGTTAATGGACCGAAAGTTTTGCAGTATTAAACACATACGTGGTGTACCTACAAGCTAAATTACTTATCGACTGTGACCATGCAAACATACAAGAATATTATATAGGTTATTGTTGAACTTTCAATTTCAGGTTTTACCAAAATTAAAAAACCAGCTGATCCTATTAAAGAAGCCCTAAAGAAGTGGCAAAAAGAGAAACGACTTCGCCAGATTAAGGAAAAAAATACGAAGAAACAACCGTTCCGTATTTCCCACGTCTCTCATCAATTGTCAGAGTTTTCCCACAGCTTTCAGAACGATCAAGCAAATCAAACAAACAAAACAAAAAAAAGCAAGTCAAAAAATGTTAGCGTTTCCCAGGCTGCGCAGAAAAAGAATGTAAGTTTGCCAAGATGTTGAGAAACTGATTTATCAACCCAGTATCAGTTGTTAAACGCTTCGGCGCTCCGTTTGTGCACTAGCTAAATCTAATAAAAATAATTTTTTATTCAACGAGTACTCTAAATATTCTACACGAAATAATATTCCGTGGCATTTAGTTCATGCAGCGCTTGCGGATTAATTATTAAGCGATTACTCCAAATGGCGTTACTCCAAATGTTTCTAAATATGGCTCTCTAGCTAGCTGTGACTGTGACACGTACCTAATACTCCATTTCACTCAAACTGAACCTATTTATTGTACTTTCAGTATTCATCGACAAAAGAAGGAAAGGTATCAAGTTCTTTAAAAGAAACAAATAATAAAGGTAATATATTACATTAATTAACTTTTAGAAATTTCATTCCAATTCTCTTTATTCCTTTTTTCGCCTGAATTGCATGCCAGCCATTCAGTATCTAGAAGGTTTGCGTGAGTTGTTTCAAAAATGGGCCTAATATGGTACCATGGCATTACAAATGATTTTGATCCTGGTAAAATTATTGTCGGAAGCAGAATCAATTGATTTTCGTGATTTTAATTATACAACTTTGTTCTATATCTGTACTGTTACTAGGCACGAATAATACGACCAAGCCATATCCAACAAGATCATCCAGTCGGGCAATGAAAACAAGATCAATGGCTAGAATGGCTGCGACTTTGACCAACAACGCTGCCTCTATTCCGGTTTCTATGGAAACTGACGATATTCATACATCTCAGCCACCGTCCTGTACCAGAAATTTACCAGGCTGTGTGACCAGATCTCGCAGCAATATAGACGAAAGACAGCCAGTTCATCCCATGAATGATCACGGCCCCGCTTCTATACCAAACGATTTCTCATTCAATGTTCCAGTTGGTGTTAAAAGTTTTGTGTTTTGCGGAGATAAATTTAAGTTCACGCCTCTTTCTCCAAACAGCGCTAAGAAATTTTTCCCCACCCGTACTCCTGTCAGAGAACAGCGTGACGACATGAAACAGAAATTAGAAATAGGAAGTAGCAAAAAAAGAAACGGCGCGCCGGTGGGAATGGATGTGTGCGATAGCGTCAGCGCGGATATCACAACGGCAGATGTTCAAAACACTAGTGACAAAGCAAGTATTGAAGGAGCTGTGTTAGATACGAAATATTTCAGAAACATGGCAAACAGCGAAATAGATCGATTAAAATCCTGTTGTGCACATTGGGAAACTGTTCAAGAGGAAATGATACCAGAAGAAGGTGGGATATATTATATATGTGTTTAATGATGAAAAATAAAATGCTTTTCCTGGCTTTGTTCTATACATTATTTTAAAATGGTAACTGATCGAGTTATTTCAATATTCAAATATTTCAGTGAAAGGAAAATTAAGAACTGTTATTGGTCAAGTTCAACTTCTTGTAACAAAGAAATTTAAGCAATTCAGCGGACTTCTGGATCTGAGTGAGGTAGCTATTTTCTTAATTGCATGTGACCTATATCCGAACAGTATAGACGATGATTCTTAAACTATCGTATCTTCGTAAAGTATAGTAAAGTATAGTATTACGGTATTTTATACCAACATTACGTCATTGCACTATCTAATTTGGCAGACTGGATGGCATATATGGTGGCTATAATTAAGTTACAAAACAAATAATAACTGACCAGAAATCATACTTTTTTCGTTTAGGATACAACAGCAAAAAAGAAGGCGTTAGTTTCTGATTTGCAGGGATTCTGGGAAATGATGTACCTCCAGGTTATAGCTTAGTCTGTTAGCGGTCTCCTGGTAGCGGTCTCCTGATAGTACATCCTTCAATAGACAATAATCTTCGATTCTCTTCCCCCCTCCCTCCATGCAATCTTGTTTGCTTTGATTGCCTTCTCAAATTACCGCTTTCACCTTGGATTTTATTTTTTTTAAAAATGTAATAAACGCATTTTGTAGGTGGAGGACATTGATAAGAAGTTTGCGGAACTTGAAGAGATAAAAAAGAACAACTGGGAAGAGAAAAAAGTCGAAGTAAAAAAGAAAAATGTAAAAGTGCGTATTTTTAATCCCAGAATTTTTCGTCGATCGTAATATTCAATTATTTATGGCCATTTATTGTAATTATTTCGTGTTTAGAGAATCGCGAAGGCAAAGAGGTCTGCGTCAAAAACAGCAAATCCTAAGGTTTCCGAAAGTAGAAACAAATTTCGTGAGATGAGAGCGCAGATGAAAGCAAAACTGGAAGCAAATAACAACGAGGAACAAGTGAGTAGACGACGTGGTGTTTTCTGGAAATACGATAAATCGGTTGACAAGGAATACGACTTGCTGGAATACTAGAAAATGAATCAATTTTACATATGTTTCCAGGATGCTTTTAAAATTATCCTTACCCCTATGAAAAACAAGAAAGCTAACGCAGGTTTGTTGCAGACTGCAGTCTTTAATCTGCCGCTTTCAAGATATCATTTTTTTATTTCGTCTGATCATGACAACCTATATGTAATTATCATTCCATCAGATCCAAGTGTACCTGAAATTGTTTTGACCCCTGTCAGACGATCAACCAGGAAATCTCGAGGATGTGCAACCATTACAAGTATGTGTAATCTTGTATGCTTTGCTATTAGTCTTTCTCACATGTCGCGGTCAATATTCACTTTTTTTGGATAGCGTTACTTTTAATTTTGTTAAACATAAATTATGAAAAGTAATTTTTAGGAATCAGTAGATGAATTGACTGAGAATTATAAATTTAGCCTAAGGCAGTTGTTATTACGAGGTATATTAGCGGTATAGTCGTCATTGTGAGAATTCTAAGGGCTAGCTAATTCTATAGAGGTAACTCAGTCAGACAAACGCGTTAATAGTTTTCGTTTTATTCTTTTTTAGTTCCCCTGGTTAACTTACCTTCAAATGTTTCTGTCGATTTATTTGGTGCCTGCAAAACTCCTGAATTGTAAGTTTCTGCTATGGCACGGGTGACCTCGTTTGATATTTATATTAATATTAGCAATATCGAAAGACGTTTCTCAATATCTAGCTGACATCAGGATAATTGGGGATGCATGTGGTGTTACATTCTCAATTTTCTTGACCAATTTCGTGCATGCATGCAGTACAAAGACATTGACTTTTTCAGCATTATTACAGTTTAGAAAAAATTATTTTGTCTTTATAGGATTCAAAAGAATGCGGATAATTTTTCCAACCTTGATGACGACATTTTTCTTTCCCGTAAAACGACTCCTGTAACACAGTCAATCTTACCAGAAGGTGATCTCATGTCATTTACCCCTACAACGCCAGCTAAGAGAGGTAATTAATCCTCCACAATTAATGTATACATGTTATTAAAATTGGATTATGTATATGGAAATTGTAACTGTACGCGATTATAAAAGGCAAAATAGTGCTATCGCAATATAGTATACTGGTCAAGTTAAAAATTTAACAGTCATTTAAGATCAAAGAGTCCTTTCATATATCTTATATTAGAATAACATCAATTGCACGATCATATTTGATAACATGAACATAAGTTTGTACCAAGAGTTGTAGGGTGGAAAATTGAAAGATAAATATGTATTTAAAACATATTTTATATTTCTCAGTTTGACAGGAATCTTCACGCCGTACATGCTATCTGTACAAGTGTATATATCCTTTTTTCGTTTTACCACCTCACCTTCACTATATATACGTGACATTTGAGTTGATGAACAAATATTAGACAATTTGCACAAACACCGTATCACATTGTATAAATAACAAAAATTTTAAATATACCAATTATAAAATAAAGAAGAAGCGTGGATTTGATATAATAAAATTTTTTGATGGCAATTTTTGACGATCGATACCTGAAAGATAATGTAGAAAGATGATAATGTTGGGACTAGTGGTTTGCTTGAGGATCGATGAATGCTCAATATAAAATGAATATACTTTATTTAAATTTTTCTCCAAAACTACCACACAAAGTTGAAGAATTTGATTGTTAATATAAGTGGTACTTAAAAGAAGCCTTTAGCCAGAATATTATCTCTTTGTTTGGTCGAGCAATTTACCATGCGAAGAGACGCGCATTCCCGATTATTATACTGTGCCCAATGCATACAAATATATGATCATGTATCCATAACAAAACTCTGTGCATGAACGACGGCTGTATGTCAATAGCTATTAAAAGTACAAAACAAATTATGTCCTAAAAGTTGGTTTTGACCGCTATTAATTGACAAGCAAGACTCGTGTTTTATATTCCTGCATATATTTCACCCATGCAAATCATTTAGGCAAAGCTAAAAGAGTAGAATGGTGCACGCTCTTGTTGAAACAAGAAGGAAAAGTATATTGCTGTAACTGTGTATATATTTCCTAATTGTCAAGAGTTAGTCATCACTGTTAGTTACGATTTCTTGGCGCGATAAGTCGTATGTGACAAAATTCATTGGTGCGTTTTAGATTTTTTTTAGGCTTGAGCAAATCTTATTCCGGGCTAATAAAATGTTTAAACGCCACCTGTTGTGTTTAACTCCGTACTTGATCGTTCATCCATTTCAATCTGTTGAAAACTGCCGTCGTTTCTTTACAATATTCCGGCCTAATTTGAAATAATTCCCGAAAAATAACCGTTTTTAATGTGATATTGTATAACAAGGCCATTCAAAGCGCGTTTAGATACAGCAACAAATGTGAAAGATTCACTGAAATGGAGTTTTTGAACCAACTGGTATTCGCCGACCAAGGTTGATAAGCTAAAGCCTAAGAAAACCAAGAAAAAATATTAGATCGGTAAGTCAAATTGTGTTCTATAAAACTTCCAAAGGAAATCAGTAACTTCCACAGTGAAATCCAAGTTGTCAACATATTTATTCTTCGTCACAAAAATTGTTTAGAGACTTGGAATTGTTTATAGCGTTTGGGGGGAATCAATTGCGATCTATTGAAGCAATAACAATTTATGTTGTTAACTGTTAACTTACTCGTAAGATTTTACAATCAGATAACGATAAATATGACATCCAAAATATTAATTTCTCATGTTCAATTTATAGTTCCAAGGTTATGTGGATAACAGTAGAAATGGCGAAACTGCCTCATATTTTAATGACTTTAATATTGGTCCTCACTCCCTTGACTGAAGGAAAAGCTATAAGTTCACGTAAGTGTCCTTTTATACACAATCTATATTACAATAAAATATTGTCTCCATGCAGCAGATGAATGAACATTAAAAAAAAACTACGAGCTTTAGTTTATCAGAACGTTATAAATTTTTATCTTAATGGTAATATTTTGTCACTTTGGCACAAGAAAGGTGTTTATAAATTTGATTCGACAGTGCGTCGCTCGGAAATTTTTTTAAAATAGCTCTTCTCCAATATAATAAACACCGAAAGTATGGTATACGAAGTACCAATATTTTTTTTTTTTAATATCAGAAACACTTCATTGATGTATATTTTCTCGATAGATCATATATTTTAGGAATATCCATGGCAATTCCCGGATAAAAGATTACGTCCATAAGTGCGGATCGAGTAGAAACCTCTAGTTTACAACAGTAGTAAAGTTTAGGAGCTGAATTAGCTTTTTCGTTATGTTTTGTTAGTTTGGAAGATTTGTGTATAAGGAAATGAGTTAGAACAGTTTGTATGTGTGTATGTTTGTAAATCTCAGCAGTGAAATTACAGCAACATGGTAAGTAAGGCTGTAAAAATAGGCATTTCTTAAAAACGTGTGGACATTGACATGCACACCAGAGTACGATTTGCTAGAGATATCTTCAAAATACGATAAGATATTTGCATTTTGTACTTTAGACATTGAGACGAACAAGACAAACTATGACCTTACTATCGACTGATGACGTAATATCACAAAGAATGACCAGTGAACGAGTTCAATATGACTGGATAACCACTGAACCGTTTGACTCACCAACTGAACCATTGACTACGCTCAAGCAACGACATAAATGACCGCTCAAGCGAAATAGAAAATATACAAGACTGTGTCCCTCGATGAAGTTTGTATTGTTAAGTTAGCTGTAAAGGCCCGCGTTTCTTAACTCTCTATATAAAACCCCTTCGAAGTTGTTATTCTCAATGCCGCCATGATGTAAAATGTCTTTTAATGATAAATTTTGATTACCATATTTAGATTTTAGTACATTATTTTTCTCCTGTATCTTTTCGTTATTTCAACTATGATATAGTTTTAGCCCAAAATATTAATTTGCACGTAATATTCTATACTTGGGATAAATTCAAGAGGGACTTTTTTATGTCATGCGCTAACGACAGGATATTTGTCGTGAACTTTCCTTATTTCAGGAAAATCTGATTTATGTTACTCTGTGTTTAGAATCTGAAAGCAAATCCACTGTGAATGAAAGTGCCGGCAGTGCTGAAGCTAACAATGCAATTGGACTTGACAATGATGCTTCCGAAGAAGCTGGTCATAATAATTTACTAAGCGATCTTGCGAGAATATCAAAAGATGAAGAGAGCAACAATGCTGGAAATAGACAGACAATTGTCGGCACAGAAGTTAGTGCCGCGACTGTTAAGAATTCAAACGCTAACTCAGACTCTAATGAGAATATTGGTGCTGCTGATTCTAGCACTCGTGCGATGGTTAGTAACACACCAGCTTATACAGAGGCTCCAACTTACTTTACTCCACCTAGTCCTGCTAGTGGGGGGACTGAGAGTACAACAACAAACAATGACATGAGCCTAGTGAGATTATCACAACCAACTCATATTGTTTTAAGTAAGAATAAAAATGAGGAAAATCCGTTTTCAAAATTGATAACATCCAATGAAAATACTCCAGAAGAAGAGAAGTCAAATGACGCAGTGAAAAAACCTCAAGAGCTTTCGCCATTGATAAGCGAGAGGACCGATAACACAGCCGTAGACGTGAATAATGTAAATCAGGAATCAGCCTTTAGTGAACCAGCCGTAGCAGATGCAGCTGCTGCTCCTGATGAATCTAAACAATTAAAGGATAAAGATAGTAGTGAGACAAACAGTGAACTATCGTCTGCAAAACTTAACAGCGATGCTGTGAAATCTGAACAACATTCTAAAAAAGTGGAAAAAGGTGCAAAAGATGAAGTTACAGGTACGAATACCTCCTTTGCTGAATACTAGTTTATTAGACCTAACCGGAAAATTTTGTTATTTTTTAGACCATGTAGTTGTATGTGCTGGCGAAAAACAAACCATAACTTGTCCTGGGGTCGGCACTCTAAATATCGCCAATGCTGACTATGGTTATGACAGCAATAGCGGTTGTCCTGGTAGTCCAGATTCACCACCGTGTCAAGCCAATGGTGTTTATCCTGTGGTGAAGTCTGCTTGTCAAGGGCAAGCCTCGTGTTTACTGCAGTCAGATGGGCAGGAATTCGGTGGTATGTGTCCTGGGAAAGATAATTTTTTGAAAGTTGGATATTTTTGCCAGAATGATGATTCGCCGTCGTCTTCACCACCACTATCATCACCACCACCACCAGCGACCTCTTTTCAACCTCCTTCAAGTAAGTATCTGTTTTTTAATTCTTTCTTGGGAGGGCTGATGTTACATCAATTCTTTACCTACTATTCGCTCTTTCACATCTATCAAAAAAGAAAGATCGCAGCAGAAAATGCACGTGTAATATGTGCAACTGCAGAGTGAGGAGAGGCTAAGAAATTTGAGCACTATGATGCATCCAATAATTACTCGTTCAATTTTCATATAGGTTCCTATACTTACCAATCATCACCATATATCTCACCATATATACCACATCCGGTCTCAACGCAACCAACATACTATAATGGTTTTAATCAGGCCGGGACAAATAGCTACAATACTGGATACATGAACGACAATTACCTCGGAAAGACAAACTACCCATACTATGGTACCTATGGAAATCAAGGTTATTATAATTATTACAATCAACCGATTCAAAAACATCCTTTTCAACGCGGTGGAGGACAGGATCGTTCTTTTCAAAGCATGTCAAGACAACGGCCTGCTCAAACCAATTATGGATATAAGCCTTGGCTATCTGCACGCAAGCCCGTGAAACGACCAGCCGCACGTCCGTATCCGCCAAAAAATAGATTCCAATACAGCCAATACCGAGACAGTAACAGAAATCCTCAACGTAACTACAACAATTACTATAATAACTTGAATGGTAACTATAACACGAGAAACAATTATTATGACACAAGATATTACAATCAGGTAAATTCACCATCAGGTCAAAGCAATACTGGTCTTCAGTATCCACGGAATTCGTACCTTGGGTCATGCTACGCATGTCAAAACTGTCAGGAATGTTCGGAACGAGCCTATTGCCAGGGTTGCCCCAAATGCAAGCAGTTGTCTTGTAGTAAGAAGCCACCCAAAGAAGAGAAGTATTTGGATCCAATTGATAGCTTGGTTGAGGAATTTGGAAAGAAAACTAAAGGTATGATATTCTGGTAAACATATCCGTATAGCGAGAATGCAATTTTCATGTAACTAGGAACTTGACAAAACACAGTATTTGTGTGATATTTACTAGTAAGCACTTAATTAAACGCAAATGTGTGTTTATGAAGACCATGTTATTGATATTTCGTAGTTTAATCAGTGATAAAATTTATCATTTAGGGATGACGCCGATGGAAATGTCAGCAGTTGTGATCTCACCAGCTCCTAAGATCTCAGGCATCGTGCATTCCTTCCCGCTCCGTGCTCCGCCTAAACCTCTCGAAGAAGACGATGACGATAGCGATGATGACAGCGATGAAAATGAGTTTTCTTTATCTGAAGATGAAAGTAAAAATCGTGAGATTGAAAATCACGAAAGTAGTTTATCCCAAAAGAAAACATCCGTTTCATCATCTTCGTCCAGGTAACATTTTTACCTTGCTGTGTCTATGGCTGTGTTGCTAAAGAAAATGTAGCTATAGAGGCTTGTCCTGTCACTTGTTTTCAGAGAAAATATGTCTTCAATCATATCGTTATAATGGGTTGAATGTTTTTGTCTCGATGGGAAACACACAGGTTTCTCTCTTTAAGGAAGTTAAATTGAACATGATATAGTACATTCCGTGAATACTTACCTTGCCACAAGCTAGCTCTAATGATATTTTCGTGACTTGTTCGAAACTTGACTATTTATTCTTTATGTATATAGTGATCATTCTACAAAAAGCAAGAAATCTAAATTGAAGGCGGAAAAAGGCGAGAAAAGAAACAAGATTTATCATCAAAAACACAAAGTCAGAAAAATGTACGACGACGATGATGATGATGATGGTTACGATTTAAAGGTTTACAAAAATCTTTTGAAGAAGACGAAACCAAAGAAACATAAAATTCATCGCCATAAACATGCCAATCACTCAAAGAGAAAGAAATCTAAAAGACGACGTCTCAACAAACGTTGGTATGATGAGAATGAAAATTTAACAGAATTTACTGGTGAGAGAGAATTTGATATGGACCAAGGTGATGACAGACCTGTTGAAAAATCATATTATGATAGTGGTATGGTTTGGTAGGGAACTAGACATATAATAACCGCTAGTTTAAAACGCGAACTGTGGCTACATGCAGTTAATCTGATTGACATAATGATGTGAAGTAAATTTTCACAAGTTGTAGTTGTGTTTTGCTCTCTGATCTAGTCAAAAGACAAGTGAATTAACGAAACATCAGTTGCGCGTGTATACGGCGTTTTTCTGTCGTATTTTGTATATTCGCAAGGTAGCTACCGCAGCTGCATGGAAAGATAGATTCCATGAAAACGATGTTTTATACTTGGTTGGACCAAACTATAGAAATATCAGACCTATATGATTTGTGCTCTTAACAATCAATAGAAGACATTGAATATGTTTGCCAGTTGTTAATACATGCATGCAGGCGAATATAGACAGATTTTTATAGGCAAACCTAGCATAGTTGAGTCATAAAGGCAATTTGAGCACCAGTCACACGAACAAGCACACTTTCTATAGGTCTAATATTTTATAGACCAATCTTAGATTCACTAGAATCAGGAACATGTACATAAGTAGCTTGGGCACATGCGCTAAAGGGGGCTGCACATAACGAAGAAACAATGCGGACCGGTGATTTGAAAATTATAGTGTCGTTAATACAGACATTGTGTTCTTATTACTCAGGTAAATGTAAATACCCCTAGATCATGAACGAGAGAAGATGTACATTGATTTTTTAATAAACTGCAATCGCAAAGACCGCCAGACTAATATTTTGCTCCCATATATTCTGTGCTTCATAAAAAAAAATTGGAGGATCGACAAGACTAGGAACGGTTGTATAAAAAGGTTTACTTATGCATGGTCAGTGAAAATTGCATGATAATGACCAATCCAAAAGTATGCATTTTGAAGTTCACCTTGAATAATTACCCAAAATGTAGTTAGGGTTTTTTACAACCGCCCCTAGAGCGTAAAAACTGTGCAAAACGCTAATATAATGTAGATCTTGTAGCAGGACTCGATCGCCTGTGAAACTAAAACAGAGCAGACAACTGGCAAGAATTAAAAACCCAGCAGTCCCAGCACCTGAACAATACAACACATTTGATCATTACAACACATTTGATCCCGGACCATAATTTCCTCCTCGATTAAAATTCGCCGTTTCGATAGCTTTCAAAAACGCCATGCCGTGACCCGTTTAAAACGTGCAACATGCATGGTTGCAATGTTTGCCCCATTACGCTCAAACTGCTAATTTGGATGAGTGATTTAAAACAATTTCAAATGCAAATGTTTCCTTGAGCAGATCTAGAGATCTTTTGTAGCGCGGTATTCGAATAGGAAAATCATCTCGCATGTGCATGCATGGCTCTATGCATGTGATCGCCTGAAAAATAGTCAGGATAATCAGAATTGCATATTGCGTAATGTCCCTACGTCGCAAGAATTATTTTGCTATCACGTGATATTCCGTTTGTGAAGAGAAAATATCTACAATTAACTGTAATAATCCCTTTTTGTAGCCAATAGCGGTTTATTTGAAAATATGATTAAATATTTATGATGTGCAGATTTTGCCAAGACTTCACGGTTGGCGCTCCTGAACAGGTAGGATCAGTGAATCTTGTTCGCTTCGTGACTAACTTACTAACCATGGACGTCCATGTCGCATTCAGTTTGTTCTTCATACTAGATTTATTCAGCCATGGAATTTCAGGTAAAATTTCACGATATTTCGCATCGTATTTTCTCTCTCTCTTTCACGTTAGCTGCCTAGTGTATAATAGTATTATGCAAATAATTTTAGTTCCACTTCCAGTCTACCCAAACTATTATGACAATATGCAAAATCAAGGTAATGGAAATTGTTAATTTTTATATTATACTATTAATTTCTGCATCATATATAGCAGCTGATACCTAGCTCTACCAAGCCGGTTTTCCACTAACAATAATTTTCGCGCGAAGCGACATTTTAGTTTTGTTTCAGAGCTGTTAACTGCAACCATCTGTCAAACTGATCAAATATAAAAGAATAAATTTGTTTTGCGTGAAAAATATCCCTAGTGAAAACCCGGTTTCAACAATGAGGCAGGCCTTGGGTTATGTCCCATGCTTATGACCAAAATAGTTTCCTATACACATGAATAAAAATAAAAGGAGGGTGTTGCAGTATAAAGTTTAGAATCTATTTTAGGTTACCAGATAAGCGATGATACAATGGAAACAGACACCTATGAACGTTATCCGCGTGATACTCTGCCAAACCCAAATTTTTGGCATCGTAAGTTTTATTTCTGTGTAAGACGCAGTTTGTCCGAGGTAATCCTGCATGCTTAAGTAGCGAAATCTAAGAACTGACCGAAACCGGAAACGTGATAAATACAAAAAAATTCACTTCTATATACACTACATCACAAAACATACTCATACTAAAACGAAAATTCGACAAAAGACAAAGAAGAACTGAACAAGAATGCATGTTCACATGCAAACAATTTCTAAATTTGTCTCAATTCATAATCTCACAGGCTTTCAGTTTCCTTTCATGCAAAACTGAGGTATTATAGTCACATTATCAAGATTGAAAACAGCAAACAGTTAGTAGTTTCCGCCCACGAAAAAGCTGCTATTCATTGTCAGGTAAGAATGAGAGTATACCCGAAAATCCGTTGCAGCAAATAGGCGTTTGACGTTCATGAGTGATGTTTGGTCAACAAATAAACATTCTTATGACCACAAGCAGACAAGGAAATAGATGAAAACAATTGTGGAAATAAAACCAAAAGATTTATGGACGGATAATTCTGAAAAATGTTGCTCATGTAATTGTGGTATGACTTTGTAGCATTTGAAACTGTGGATGGCCTCTCAAGGTTTATATTTTATAGAATATCCCTGGTATACTCGAAGTTCAATTCCCTCGCATCCGAGACCAGCATCTAGAAGACATTTCCATCTATTTCATCTTACATCAAAACACCCAAACGCCGGTATTGTATTATTTTACGCTTTTGTCAATTGTCATCCATAAATTCCAAACTAGCAATACACTATCGTTAACAGAATCGTGCCCATGGATACGGGTTCTATTTTCAGAGGGGGGGGGGTGACGCAATGAACGTTTTGCCTGCAACGGACACGGAAATTTCAGGCTTAATTTAATTAAACCTTCACGAATGGTCCAAAAGTTTTTGAACACTCAATTTAGAAGGTTTTTCTTACTATTTATATATATATATATATATATATATATATATATATATATATATATATATATATATATATATAAAATAAAATTCTTTATCATTGATGGGAACAAGTTATTAGAATTGTGTTATTTTTATAGTCTCCTATCATGTTATTGAAAAGCCACATGCTGCAGCAAAGACTACTAGTAAGTTAACATGATAACTCTAGCCTTTTTTTAAATTACGTGAACTCCTCAAAAATCTTATCTTTTTACCGGCAGGCCGGCAAAAAGTTGAAAGCAATCCTCGGAGAAGTAATCTTTATAACAACGGGGGTTGGCCGTATCCACCACAGTCTTACTATCAACAACCTCAACCAAACTACCAATATCCCGGTAAATCTTTTACAAAACCTGATACAAATAAGAAAGAATTATAATTATACCTTTCTTAATCTTTCTTTCTTAATATAGTTAATTGATATATAGATAAATATTAATGATAATAATATACTTCTGTTATAACACCTTTATAGGATATCCACAGAACCAATATGGAGTGCAAAATGGTGGCGGATTTCACGACTCAACTTATGATGGTATATATGTTGCACTTCAATGACATTTTAAGTAGTAATTATGCTATAGTTTTTTGTAAATACATTGTGCTCCGTAGATATTTTAGATGTTGTGTCAAAGCCGATGCAAATTGGCAATAAAATCATTCCACCTTACCACGGCGAAGGACATCAAAACGACCAGGCACGGACTACAATTGAAGAAGCAGCGAAGCAATTTAAACTGGCTTCTGCAGGTATATATGGCATTTACAAAATTGTTTATCATTTACCACTGCTCTGCATATTTCGTTTGATTATTCATTGATTGCATGGAAAAAGAGCTAAAAAATATACGCCCAACTCAGCAATAAACAATTCAATTTACGTTTTAGATATGAGCAACATGGAACTTGCCTCTCTGGTTATGTACCCAGTTCCCCGATTTAGGGTGCAGTCGAAAGTTCACAAGAAGAAATCCAAAACAAAACATATAAAAAAACATCATGATAAAAAAGTAGAAACTAAAGCCAAGGAAGAGGAAAATGAAGGCAAAAAAGTTACAAACCTTGTGGATAATCTCATTAAAACAAACGAGAAAAGTGCGCCACACGAGGCTACTAAGGCAAAAGATAATAAAGAAAATGATATCGATCAAAAAGAGAAAGAGGTTAATGATGAGGGGATCAAAGATAATAAGAATGATAGAGAGAATGATCAAGAAGAGAATGGAGATGAAGGAAAAACAAAAGAAAATAAGAAGGAAAAAGACGATAACAATGGAAACAAAGAAAAGGAAAATGACGATGACGTGAAGGAGAAAGAGGATGATGGCATGTATGACAAAGAATCAGCCCCAAAAGACAGTTGGGCTGAAGAAGAGATTTCCTCAAGAGGAGTAGGACAATTCACTTCCAGCAAAAGATCTAAGATTCAACATGCCTTTGATAAATTCCCTAGTAGGTAAGATGTTGAAAAAGATTATCAATTAAATAATAAACAAATTCACTGCATTATCAAACTTGTGAATAACGCACTAACTTTGTTCATTATTTCAAATCGCACGGATCACACTTTCAAGTTACTAAATACTAGTGTTCAGCATTGTATAAATCAATAAATTCATGTTACTATATTTCCCAGCGATGACAAATACATTTCAAGTAAGAGATCTGAAATCCCACATGCCTTTGACGAAATATCCAACAGGTAAGATCTAACTAAAGTGGTAACGAAAAAGAGAGCCGATTACACGATTTTGAAACGGTTATTCGGGGGAAAATTATCTTTCTCATCGAAAGGAGTTATCTTAGCAACATACAGCAAGTGATGAATGTGTCTCGTCGCGTGCTGTTAGATATTTCGCCCTCCCTCCGATATATTATTTGATGCACGATATATATTAGTTTTTTTTTAAATATATATTGCATGTTTTACTTTTTTCCAAGCGACGAAGACGCTGATAGCGAAGATGAAGGGGATTTAAATGTTAAAAAATCGGAAAGTGATAAAGATGATGATCACGTGTCCGACCAGAACGATAAAAAAGAAAATGACGAGGAAGACCACACCCAGGGGGGTGAAAGCAAAGAAGAAAATGACGAGGAAGACGACAGCCAGGGGGGTGAAAGCAAAGAAGAAAATGACGAGGAGGATCACAGCCAGGGGGGTGAGAGCAAAGAGGAAAGTGATGAAACACAAGTTGATGATGATAAAACTGAAAAAAAATCAGAAAACACAAAAAATGAAAATCAGAAATAATCAAACCAAGTGTATTTCAGCAATCTAAGTACCCTTTTGTAAACGGTGAACGTTTTTCTATAACATATAGCTAGCTACTTACACGGCACCTGTGGTTAATCAAGTTGCTTAAAGTCGACCTCCCATCTTTTCTTTAACAAATACACGCACGGTGAAGCACGTGAAGCACGTGAAGCACGTTGATGTTGCTGCTTGTGATTATACGCGCGTGCTCTTGTTATGCAATTCCAACAATGAATTAAAATATGAGATGAGAAGAGATGAAAATAGAATCTTCATGTGACGCCACAGTAGGGTTCTGGAGGGCAAGTTAACGTAGCATAAATTTTGTTAAAAATGTAAAGTTTTGGTAAAATACAGAAATATCAACTATAACGAAGAAACTTCCGTTGACGATGACCTTTCTTCATCCTGCATTGACAAGTTCAAAGAATTTAACATTTAGATTGATATACGATCTTAGATTCATAATTGTGCCATGAACATGCTGTTATTAAAATAAATACAAGCTTATATCAAATGACAGTAATTAATCCATGGCATTCGTTTTCCGTCAGTTGTCAGACGAACAGTTGCACAGACTCAAGTTTGCATTTATTAAATTTAAGTGGGAAAAGGTAAGCTACAATTGATCTATCACAATAAGTGGACGGTTTATCGCATCATCTCAATGTTTCCAAGTGAATATTTTGTAAACATGTTTATCAGGGGTTACTAAACAGCACGGGCACTAGGCTAACTCGTTAGAGTATATTTTATAATTAAAGTTTATTCATTTATTACCATAACATTTAACATCCGTTAGAGCTTTTTTATTTAAGTAGACTAATCGCTGGCGAAACTGCAAGAGCAATTCAAACGTGTTGAACTTTTGCGTATAACTTTTTGGATCAGAAAAAGCGTATTAGCTTTGCAATGTTTGCCATCGTCTCGACGCCGAAACGGCGGAGTATCTCGCCTCAGATTACACACGTCCTTTTTTGTTTGCATGATTGAACAACAAGGGGGAATTTCGTCTTCAACCAATCAGCATAATTGTTTACATTTTTAGTAAGCCAATCAGAGTACATAAATCTTGACTACTTACTTCCGGTATTAAAATTTAGGAAATCTGATTGGCTCTGCCTGACAAATGTAAACAAACATGCAGATTTATTCAAAACGAAATTCCTCCTTGTTTGATTGAACTAAAAATTAATTAAATAGTACTACAGTAAGTTCTTATTTCACACATTCTTTGCATAAAAACAGTCAGGTTTAAATGGGACGCGAAGAAGGATGCAGCAGTAAAAATCTCCCTTGAATGATATCGACCGGTTGAATCATCTCGCGGCGTGACCATCCCAGACAAACCAAATATTTGAAAAAGTGAATCGATCAGAGTGAAAAGCTAAAAAATCGAAAATCGCGCCGTCGAATCGCATCCGATGTGTTTCGTTCTTATAAACTTAGTGCTTATCCAATAAAGCACCACGAATGAAAACGAGCAATTCGTTTGACAAATCAAATTAAACGCCTTTATTGTCTATTGAAAGGCCCTGCATATTTTGTATATCGTCCAGGGAACTTTGCGTCGCCCAGGAAAGGTTTAGACTATATACAATAATATACCGATCATGCATTTTTGGCTTAATATCCCATATTTGCATTAAAAAAATACACTGATTAATACAATAATACCGATCATGCATTTTTGGCTTAATATCCCATGTTTGCATTAAAAAAATACACTGATTTTTATGAATAATGAAATATCCTGAGAGATTAGATGCTTAATGATGAGATGATGATTGAGTTTTTCGAGTTTTAGAGTTCTATTAAAAAACCAAGTCTGAGAGGTCAGGCAGCTAACAAGCTGAATTGTACAGGACTTGTTACAAGTTTAGTAGATATTAAAACTATATATATTAAAAATTTTCATGATGAAGATTTTATATGAACTACGATACTGGACGGGGTAAACGAATTACGAAGTTTACTAGTTCTACAATTAATAAGATCAATATGTTGATCATTACGTAAATTATAATTACGTATGTCTTCCCGTCTCTATGATTCATGCAATATGCCTTTTTGTCTGGGCATATTTTTTTCCTTTTGTCTGGAATGTCTGTGTATCGAATCTATTTTAATTTGATTTCTAAAATGAGTTTACCGGCACTTAATAAAGTGACATAAAAAAGGTGCAAATGGAACATGTGCTTCAAAAACGTCCTCGTTATTTTAGAAGACAAATTAGTTCTAAATTGAAGACAAACGAAATCAATATACTACGGAAAGTGCAACTAATTACTTTTATATGTTTAAAATACTTCTTAGAATCTAGAAACATCAGTCTACTTTTCTCACAATGGCGCTGAGTATAGATGAAATTTTGGAGTCAATTGGTGGTCACGGTCGCTTTCAAAAGATTTTGTTGTTGTGTATGACCTATGCATACATGTCCATGGCTGCTTTTCATTTAATGGTGATTACATTCGTAGCTGGAGAACCTAACTGGGAATGCGTTGAAAACAGTACAATATGCAACCTTACTGAGGCAGTAAGTACAGTGAGTGAACATTACAAAGAACGATGTGACATGCCAAGATCTGAATGGAAATTTGTTGATACTTACACATCAACAGTTACTGAGGTATGTCGACTGTTGTTGCTTTTGAAAAAGTTGTAATAAATTATTCTTATTATTATTTACAATTATTTTAAAACAGTAGCCCTTCAGCAAAACTGATTTTCAGGGGGCGTTTTCTAACGATATTAATAACTATAAACCTACAATTATAGAGTTTTCGTTCCTACAGATCTCTGGGCTATACTGTAACTATTTTATCCTATTACTTTTTTCTTAATTCTTACTTCTTAGTACGAGCTTGTGTGCGATGATTCCATCCTTCAAAGTGTCGCTTCGTCGATGTACTGGGTTGGGTGGCTTGTTGGCAATATCGTCATTGGATATATTTCAGATAAACTTGGGCGTAAGAAAGCTAATCAATTATCAGTCGCGCTTGTCTTTTTCTCTTCCTGGGTATTAATTTGGCCAAAACAACTCTGGATGTTCGTATTATGTCGTTTTATTACTGGAATTGGAAGTGGTAATTATTGAAACTGCAGGGTTGATAAAAATCAAGCCCCTCATTAAAATCAAGCTTTAATTAAGAATTAAACGCCTTATTATTATGACAGACTCACGGGTGCTTAAAATGTAAAGCGAGACCCTCAATTTTGAACGCTTTTATCTAATTACTATACTATTTATCAGTGCATTCATATTTCAACAGAGAAGCTTCATTTTAATAGGGGGTACTTTTTTATACACCATACATAAGCCAAACAAGGCATATAATGCAAATTACCGACAGCATGTGTCAATCCCTCGGGGCACAGTTAGAAACTATAAATAAAATTAAACGAGAAATGTGGACAAAGACTCTTCTCTTTTCAAGTTAAACGTTTATTTCCTGTTTTTGTTCATGCAAGTGGGAGATGGAGCAACTCTGACTCTCGTTCTAGACCTTTGTAACCATGCTGTGTGAAGGAAATAGCGATTAGATTGGTTTGCGAGTGATTGGATTGGTTCGCAAGTGAAATTTTCTGTGAAAATTCAAAAGAGAATATGCAAATATTTCGCTAGCGAACTAGTGTTTCTCTGCTAGTGGAGACTCAGCCTAATTATCTAATTTCTTCATGTGTAGGAGGAGTATGTATGTGCGTTTTTATTATTGTCGTTGAATTCAGCCCCAGTAAGCAACGTGGAACAGTGGGATCTTCGCTATGGTTATCTGGTCCAGTTGCTTTTTGCTCGATAGCGCTGTTTGGGTATTTAATTCGTGATTGGAGATATTTGATGCTCCTTGGTGCAGCGTTGGGTACTCCTGTCATGATTTTTATTTGGTGAGGTTTACTGTTTAGTGGTTAATCTTTCAAGTAGGTTTTCTCTATCGGATGACTATGTATTCTACTGAATGTCTCACCAATTATTCTTTGATTATATAAAATTATTAAGATATCAGCTCTGAACTGTGTAGTTTTACATATAAATCCTGTTTTCTCGGGCCTGCTCTACTAACATGGTGTTAGGATGCGTCAGGATGCACCTGTTTTTGATTTACCTAACAAATATTTCCGCTAATAGGTTTATTCCTGAAACACCACGACACCTGTTGGTTCATGGGAAATATGAAGAAGCCCGAGCGGTCCTGGAGAGAGTTGCGCGCTGGAATAAAAAGGAGATGCCCCAGGATGACATTTATGTTCCTAAACAAGCTGACAGTGAAAAAACTGATTTTAGAGATCTTTTTTATGACAAATCAATTACTTTGATCACTTTAGCAACCTGGTTTTTATGGTAAGGTCAACTTATAATTCGTCAATTATAATGCAAACATAGACTGACGTGAGCAGGTGCATGCTATCTCTCTGTCTTTCGTCACGACGTCACCAGTGACGAAATATAATCTGTCAGTTATAATCTATTTAATCCCGCGATGGGACGTAATTTGTGCGTCTACAATGATTTGGGAGGTTGTAAAGAGTTTAGGTTACATAGTTTGAAAATTAAACGTGACTTACCTGTAAGTCGAAGTTTGATTGTGATTCTGCCGAATCACCCAGAGCGCACGTGATCGCTAAGCGCAGCGGGTGGTGTGGTAGAATTCTCAATTATACAGAATGAGTCGAACTGAACTGAAAGATTGAGGTTAAAATCGTGCACTCTATGTTCTCTTATAGTTTATATAGTAACATATTGGATGCTCTCTTCGTTTCGTATTTATAATCTATTAATCGGTTCAATTTTTGTATACATAGGTTTACAGTCTCCTTGATGTTTTATGCAGTTTCATACAATGCTGTATATCTGGGTGGCAATATTTATCTCAGTTTTTTTCTCACCAACATCGTCCTGACTCCTGCAAATGTATTGACAATTGTGGTAATTAAAAAGTAAATAAACGGTTTCTTTGTTAATTTGTGACTACTTTCGTATGTGGTATAGAAAATCAAAGGCAGTGACGAATTATTTTCCATGGTATATAGGTTTGGTCGTAAAAAGACAATCATTATTGGTTTACTTATTGCTGCCATTTCTAATGTGGTCACAGTCTCCATTCCGGCTGACAGAACTAACACAGGTATGCGGAAACGCCGGAGAGCCTTGCGAAAGCTAGATTTTATACGAAGTATATTTGCAAAACGTATAAAGAAGCAGTTGATCTCTGCTTAACCCTGCTTGATTGTTCGATGATAGGGTGGCTGGGAAGCAAGGGTTTTCCCTTCGATTGTTTTGTTCTTGAAACTCGTTATCGACGCCTGGCCGTCGTCTGTCGTGAACACATATTACATCACATCAAGTGTTCTTATATGGATCTTTAGTAAAAAATAATTTACAAGAGATAGATTGCATATACAATGATAAATAAAGCACGAATTATATCCTAATCATTTATGGATCCAAGCACCAATTAGACACCAAAGGGTAGAGGCGTATTAAACTAGTTTCCTTCAACTACATTATTGGGCGTTTTAATATAGTTTATAGATTAACTAAACAATACAGGTCAAATACAGTCAAATCTGTCAATAATCATAGATTTCTCAATCAGCTCTACATGTCAGTCCGGATTTTATCTTTGATTAAAATACAGCGTATTTTCCTCATTCTCAGGTTTCTCAGCGGGAAGAATAATTACTGCGATGATTGCAAAAGGATCGATTTATGTTTCATTCATTGGTATCTACATTCAAGGAGCTGAAGTATTTCCAACCACTGTTAGGTACGGATGTACTTTTGCAACAAGGCTTCCACCGCTGGCGATCGACTTCATTACAAATTATAAAGCAACCTGTAATTTATTCATGTGCCTTATTAAATTACATCGATATTATTAATTATTTTTATTATCGATCAACTCGTCAACACCACTATATTAGTTGTATTTTATTTATGTAGAAATATCGCTATGGGAACATCTTCTGCTTGTGCTCGCGTTGGATCTTTTATTGCTTTATACATTATTTGGTTGGTAAGTGTTCTTATATTAGGATTTGAATTATTTGATCCATTCTGTATCAACCTGCACCAACTACTCGTCTCAGTTTGGAAAAGTACGAGCGAGGCTTTAAGGTCAGTGCTAAGGCTTCGTTTTAAACGTAACATTTCGGTCGCATCGAGTGAACTTCGGCCATGTCTTGCCCAGAAAATCTGAGTAAATGTATAATGGATCTATATTTCATGGCCAAAGCCTTGCTGTCGACACGCATCGATCCCAGACACCCATAGACTCGTCATTATCCCAGACACCCATAGACTCATCATTACTCCAGACACCCATAGACTAGTAATCATCCTAGACACCCATAGACTCGTCATGAGTTGTAAGGAATAAAGCCTGGTCTCCTTATAACGCCGACCTGCCGCCCTAACTTATTGTCTGTAATTATCCAATAAAATAGTTTCAAGGCAACAGGTAATTTGCCTCAGACCCCAGTTTTTTTATCGTTGGGACCTCAATAAGTTTTCATCAAATTTTAGCAAAGAATCCATCGTTACGTTCCATATACTATCCTGGGCATTCTGTGTTTATTATCTGGAATCACAAGCTACGTATTTATTCCTGAAACGAAAGGAACGACAACACGCGAATTCTTTACCACTAAATCAAAAAATGATCAAGAAAATGAGACGCATCCTCAGGCTTATGAAAACCAAGTGTCAATCAATTGATCATTTATCGTTAACTTTTTTTTTAATATACAAACTTGTCCATTTGGTGAAAATTGATTTAAACACCCCGCACACGCGAACATTTATACACTGAGGATATTGAAACTTGGAAATATGTTAGCGTGGGATATTCTCGGATGATGGATTCGTGAGTAATTCATCTCACAAAGGCATTGATATCAGTCATATTAGTTTTTCAAGTCGTGTTTTAGAATCTATTGTCTCAACCCAAAACGAATCCTCGCACGAATGAAAATCGCCTCCGTGGATGAATTCCTCGCAAATTCATCTATATTAAAAAATGATCTATAAAGAATCATCTATAAAGAATAATGAATGATTGTGGTTATCAAACCGTGTAATATGCAAGCCAATATGTATACTTTTGGGGGGAAATTGAATAAATCGATTCAGCTCGCAGCAGAACAACTGAAAAATGAAAGACATACTGGCAGTTAGGTCGGATAGCTTGCCTTCGAATTCAATTCAGTGTGACTTGAAAGAGATCAGATGAAATATCAATTACTGATCAAGAATCTTAACTTCATGCGTATTTTAAACTTGTTCGAGAAAAATAAAGCTGAAAATCTTTATACGCGCCGTAGGAAGTAACGGGTGTTGTATGAAGCTAACTGGAATAAGTTATTAAAGTGGGCTATTCGGTATGATCATGCGAGTGATTATGTATATAATGAATAGTCAGTTTCTCTTGTCTTCTTCTCTTCTTGGCCATAACGTAATCTTATATATCAATTAAAGTTCAGTTAAGCCGTCAGGCCAGAGAGCGTTTAAAGAGAGCTTGAAAATAATGTGTGGTACATCTTTTTTTTGTCCTATAAGTCTTCATTTACAAGTCTTCATTTACAAGTCTTCCCTTCCTTTCTGCAACAGATATGTACTTACAATTAAAAGAAAAGCACTCTGTGTTTTATCAGTATAATGTTTAATACAGATACCCTAATTTGAATCGTAATTGTTACTAATTTATTTTGTTTAGCCACAAATACGCAAAATTGATGTCAATTTAGTTGTTATATATATTCATCTTCACGATCATATCCTTGTCTTATTCATTCCGTTCTTTCACCGTCCCCACATGCCAATTTTTCCTGAAGATGTAGTTTTTTTAGTTGGCTTTAGATTTTTAGTCTTGGCCCGCACTTTTGGCTTTGATTTGCCCTTTGGAATTGATGAGTCAGGAATGTAATCAAGTTTTTCTTTCCATTGTGTCTCTCTGCTTTCGGGAGAAAACACTTCTTCGTTTCCTATTTGTATAAAATCTGATCTTATAACTTCACTGAGAACGAGGAACATTAAGATGATTGTCAAGGATGAATTCATTAGATACCCCATAGTGATACTGGGTATCGAACTATATATATGCCGGCGCCCGGCGGTTCATGTATGCCTGGCCTAGACTTGTTGAAATTCTTCACAATTACTTTAGTGTTCTTGTGTGCGAGCGAGCATTTATATGTATGCTTACCCGTGGTAAAATTAACAATTGCGCACCCGCAGAAACAAGACAATTGCAATTATATATTGATAAAAATGTTTTTTTCTGAATATCACGAAACAGACAAAGAAATAATAACGCCCTCGGTTTGTAATTTAGAGCAATTTCGGAACACACATGCAATTATCGCAATAACAATCGTCATTTTGGTGTAGGATTAGTCTGACTAATTATTTCAACTTGTTGTTTACTGATGTTGTGAGTGACGGTCAATCTTTGATGAGTTAATTACCGCGGGACGCGAAAACTTTATAGCGTTTATAGAACAGAATAATTATGCTTGCTGTCTTGGGCGGTGATCCTCTCAGCATGCAGGATCCGGTTTTACAACGTGCTTGAGATCATATATAGTTATATAACTATCTTGGAGAAAAAATAACAACATGCAAAATCTCCGACATGCCACCCATATTCCTCATATTCCTTCAACACGGCTGTTGAATAAATTTCAAATTTATCTCTTAATCCTAAATTCGGCATTGTTTTTGACTGGACTATATTCATCACGTCGTAAATAAAAACGAAAAATAAGTAATAAAGCTCTGTTGTAATAAGGAGTAAAGATTTACCTACCTACCTATACCTGCTCTTATATGCAGCGGTTGCATCATCCGGCCTCAACCTGGCTCATAATTCTAGCATATGTTGAATCAGCTTACTTCATTTAAATCCACAACGATTCACGCAATGTCTATATAGGTTTGCTGAGTTTATTTTACTTTTTGAATCTAAATCATTTCATGTCTATCAGAGGAGCTGATCTTTGGCCGAATATATTGTATGACATATTATCAATCTCAATCTATCTACTTATAACTTAAATATACTTTTTATTGTTACGATTATATCTGATATATATAGTTGTTCATATAGAAATATTGTTAATGTTTGTCACACTATATTTAATGGATGTTCAGTTATTCTTAATCCTTTGTCCTTTTTCCGTTCAAACAATCCTTATCACATGATAGTACATTGACTAGATTAAGTGAACTTATATCGCGATGTGACTTGTATCACGAAGTCCCCGTCCCCACCAATCCCCATCTGGTTTTTTATCCTGGCCATAATAAGACATATCATCAATTGTATCTCGACGTCCCCACCATCCTGGGACTTTTTGTCTCCTAACCGGGTCATAGCCATTGTTTTTGCCAATTGTATCTCGTCTTCCCCACCAATCCCCGTCTTGACCGGTACCCTGGCCATATCCATTACTACTGCCAATTGTATCCCGTCGTCCCCACCATCCACCGACTTGTCGTTTATCTTGGTCAAATCCATTGTTACTGACAATTGTATTTCGGCGTCCCCACCAATCCCCGTCTTGACCTGTACCCTGGCCATATCCATTGCTACTGCCAATTGTATCTCGGCGTCCCCACCATCCACCGACTTGTCGTTTATCTTGGTCAAATCCATTGTTACTGCCAATTGTATCTCGGCGTCCCCACCATCCACCGACTTGTCGTTTATCTTGGTCAAATCCATTGTTACTGCCAATTGTATCTCGTCGTCCCCACCACTCACCAAGTTGCCTTTTATTAAGTTTTCTAGGATGAGATATCTTTTGTATTCTCGCATTATTGCCAAAAATACTAGGTTGACCATAGAAGGTCGGATTTAAGTTCGGCGAAACATGTACTGGCCTCAGGTAACTCTTTGTTTTCAACTCCCCGATACTCCTTCCGCAAGCATTGTGAAATAAAACCAGCGCAACAACCAAGGTCACGAGTGCACGGTGAATTTCCCCGTTCATAGTTTAACTAAAACGTTAGGTACATTTGAGTCATGAAAAATAAATAATATACGAATGTCGATAATAAATCAATATGAATATGAATTAACTGTCTCGGATGTTTCATTCAAGAGTTCGTTTCGAACAGTATGTATATGTGATTAGAGTTCATCAGGTCATACAAATTGTCTGTTTATGAACAGAACACTTAGCTACAGAACACTTACAGAAACGTAACATGCAGTAAAGAGAAGTTCTATATCGGATGATTCTGAGATCGAAACAACTAATTTTAGGTTTATAGAAGTTGGTTTAATAGTTACAATAAGTTACTCGGTACGCGAAATGCACACAGATTTGAAAACATTTAGGTTAAGCTTGTGAACAGTAGGAAAAACAGGCAAGACATTTTAAAATATATAGCATTACCTTACCTTTAGTATTGACTGAAAATTCTATACTCTTCAGGGAAACGCTCTTAATGTCGACAGCGCTGTTCACTGGTGAAAGCCCTTTTAATCATAAGATAGCCTAGATAAGATCAGCTGGTTTGGCGTATTAATGGCTACCGATTGTTGAATGTTACACAGATAAGACGGCTATGATACACAGATGAGAAGCTATAAAAGTAATGATATAATAGTAAGTTCAGCTGAGGAAAGTGGATTGCTATCATGGACAATTCAGTTGAACTCCTATTCATATAAATGGTGATATAACATATAACCTTATAGGTCAACATAATCACATATATTTAATAGTTTCTCCTATATTTTTTTAATTGAACTGTGAAATATATATATATATATATATATATATATATATATATATATATATATATATATACGCAATATTTCATATTCACTTCATCTTTTTTCCACATATCTTGCTTTATCTTAATTGCAACACATTTGCGTTCGCCAATCAACCTTCTTCATATAATCTTAAATATCAAGCCGACCCTTAGCTTCACTTTTATTGTCACCCGGCAGAACCCATTAAACATTTAAATTGCCCATGCAATTTTCCGCCACGCCATTTTTTATTACAGGCATGCACTATCGATTAGTGTTAATGCTTCTATAAAAAAATTTATCACAGCAATTCTGATATTGGCGTCCCCTTATTTACTTTTGTATGTACCTTGGCTCGCCCATAATTATACACTACCGCTTTATGATAGATTGCTCACGCGGATGATTAAAAGAATATGATGCCCATGATTATGATATGTTTATATATGTAATTGGTAGGAAAAGCTGTAATTTATTACATGTTTAATTTTCGCAAACACCCAACCCTAGAATATTTGCTTCAGTTGATTTTTTATTAGGATTTGATATGTGTTACTGAGGTGAAGAGTATAAACAAGATGTAGCTAAAGATAAAAAAACAACATTGCAAGCAAATGTTTAAAAAATTCCTTTACATTTAGCAAATTCGTGGAAGATATACGTATACGAGCGTTCCGATGTGCTTTCTTTCACTATAAGTCAATTGAGTTACCAATAATGTCGATGGCTGCTGTTTGATGGCCATTTTTGCTCGGTATCATTAGAAATTATCGAAACATCCAATTTTCAAAAAAACTTAATGTTAAAAAAACTTTTCAATTGCAATAACTTGCATGAAACTACCGATGAAACTAGTTGCTATATGCTTACAACTTACGATGGCACTAACCTTATAGCATGTGGGCGAGGGTGTCGCAAGACATTACTTGAACATAATTATACATTGTTTATATACCTGGATCTTTCTTACGGAAGGAAATATTTCCCTTGAATTTGTATGGTATCAAATTCATCCAAGCTTATCAGTTTGACAAACGTTATCGTGTTGTTACGTATATGCACTTGCGGTTGAACATTATTTGCAAGCTCAATGATAATGTGAACTCGCAGTGCTAAAACGAGTTGATCTTTTGTGTATCTTATACGATAACTTATGTAATTAATGTTCTCTTTCATTTAGTTGCTAGAAAGTATCATTCCATTTAACCAACATAGTCAACTTATTAATCCACATAAATGCATACTTAATCTTAAGCTTTTCAATCCGGCATGCACATGAGCCGATTTAGGTTAAATAAACCTAAACTAAAATAGTTTCATGGATAAAGTCTCATCTATATAATATTACTTTCGTGAAAAGCGTGCTCAACAGGCACAAATGTGGCTTTGTCTGCGGTCATGTCAGGTTTAAGCTGTCCCTATGGACATATAAAGGAATGTATTATGAAATATATTCTATAAGCACACAGCTATATAGGGGGTGGGGGTGCAGCGAGGTTCTTTTCAAACTTATTCTATGTGTTGTTGCTTTAAGGTCACTGATCCCGTCTCCCAGTTCAGTGGGAAAACTAACCATACGCATGCATGTCCTGAGCTTAATGCATGGAATATTTTTTAAATATTTTAAAATTTTTTTGCCTGCGCGAGAAAGAAAGGATAAAAAAAGGAATAAAATGAAAGAGGAATAAATGGAAGAAGAAAGAAAGAGTAAGCAAAAAATGTGTGGAAAGAAAAATATGGTTGAAGAAAGAGTGGCAGGGAGGAAAAAATAATAAAAAGAAGAAACGTAGAAAGAAAATAATAAAAAGTATTCGAAGCATTGTTTAACAAAAGGCGAAAATAGAATATAAAGGGCCTGGGAGATCATAGGGATAATAAGGGGTAGAATAAGGGTCCCAAAGGCGTCAGGAGTTTAGCTTTTCAATTTCAATAATATTGAGAAGGCAAATCTTTCATGCACTATCTGAATTTTCAGCCATTATTATATATCATATAGGTGTCACTATAATCACTTACAAATTATTTCATCTTGCAATTCCTTCCGTACTTTTCATGAAATAATTGATTTTTTTCCACATAATTTAAAGTGGTATAATGTTTCGTCTCGTCCTAAATTAATCAGTTGTATCTAATATGTAATCCAGCAATTGTTTTAATTGATTGATTATCTCCGGGACCAATATAGAAGGGAGAGTTTTGAATTTTTAGTTTAAATTTTTTACAACTGCGATCATTTGGTGCCAAGGTTCTCTTTATTTGGATTTTCCAAACACACATAGAATAACTAGTTTTTTACGCATTCCGCAAATGGAATTTAAGTTCTATTTTCACTATTTTATTTATGTAAATGGTATTTCTATTCTTTTAACTAGTCTTTAACTATTCCAGTTGTTCTCCATCGTTGAAATGTTTAGTTTTTTGGACTGAATCTTCTGTATTGACTTGGGTCGTTTGATTGCTGAGATTTTTTCAACAACAAATCGCTTTTTCTATTCCGCAGTGATCGTCCCCACATCCCACAGCATGGCTCAGAATTCGCATCTGACGATCCAAGATTATTGCGACGTTTTTCTTTCATATCTTTCCCTAGGCGAATCTTCCTATCTTCATCGGGCTCAAAGTTCGGTAATTGTTGCAAAAATTCATAAAACTGTTGTCTGGTGACATCATGATTGCCAGGAAGTTGAGGGGCATATTCTGGCGACTCGTCAATTTCGCCAGAAGCAAGTGAGAATGAAAGAAATGCGAGAAGTCCAACGATCGAAATTAAGCTGTTAGACATTTTGCTGTTAAAAATCCTAAAAAAGAAATACAATACATAGAGAGTGACAACTCTTGCTTTTGAATATAAATTAGATCAGATCAATTATATAATTTGTTCTTTGTTCAGTTGTAAGAAAGATTTTACTTTATCATAAGGCCTATAAGCAAGAATTGTTTGACGTGAGAAGGAAGAACATTATCAAAGTCAAATCGTTTGCATGATTTATACATACTTTTCCTAAAAGTTCTGACTTGAGTTTTACTTACATAGGTCTATATTCGTCAAGGAAAATATCATTATTCATGCATGTGTGAAAAGTAATTTACCTAACCTAAACATCCTCCTCTCAAATGGCAGTATGTTTAATAAGTTATATGTTTAATAAGTTATATAGCCAACACAAATTATTAGTTATAAAAAAAGTTATTACTAAACATACCTCCTAAATAATTGGTAAATATAGTTGTCCGTTCCTTGTTTATGCGGCAAGAATACAACCCCCTATTATTAGTCACGCCTTTTATAGCATGGGGCTGAAGCCTGGAGAAGTTACTTCATTAATGTGTGACTGACGTCCTAGGGAGGCAAAAAGCAGATCACTCATTTTCACCGTTATGTTCAATTTTTTTAGGATCCTTCCTGTTGATTTAAATGGCTTCTCTTTTTCGAGAAAGCATATTTCAAACATTTTCCTGATAAAACATGCTGCTTTTTGCAAGATATTCGACGTCTGGCGTAGGAAGTGGTTTCAAAACAATTTTCAATTACTGACGCTTAGTTGGAAAAACACAGCAAGCTATAATACCGAAATCAATACTATGCTACAAGAAAACACTAAATGGCAAATATACGCGTTAAATAAACCAAATTAAATTCTTTATTTGAAGTAAACTTAGAAAAATGTACAAACTGAGAATAAACCTTGGCATTTTATTGCTTTTGTGGTAAACAAAAACTCATTTACCTGCGAGCCAAGCATGCTGACAGAATATCTAACAAACAGAAGGATATGAAATTGTTTTGGATAATTATGAAGAATATATAGAGTCAATTTATATTTTATGTACTAGAAGATATACGATTTAATTATAAGGAAATTATCAGGAGGTAATATAGGTAAAAACAGGTTGAAAAACAGCGACTTAGCATTTAGAATGACTGAATGAAATTGTTATAATGTATATATTTTCTCGAATTATATGGTATTTTAATCGTAGCTATATAATTCTATACGGACAACTGCAACTAGTTCCTTATATGTTGAAAAAAGCTGGTATACTTTAAAAAATGTACCATGCAAACGACAATTCATTTCACATGAATTAATGAAAGTGATTACTATAAATATAATATGATAGGTAATATAAAGTAACTCTCAATCTCAGTTTAAGGATTAACAAACGGAAGAGAGAATTGGATAATCGAACTCCTGTTAATATACTAAGCATTAAACTATAGTGAAGTCACTTCACGAACGAAAGATCATGAATATAATATTTGATCGCGTGCATGGTTCAACAAACGTCGTGCTCAGTTCATGCATATATACATGCAGGCATTATTCCATTATATTAACTATCGTCATCAAAAAGGACGCGACTTTTCTGATAGATTCAATAAACCTACTTTTAAACACGAAGATATTATCTGGAAATTAATTCACAGTATGTAAACCAGCTTACTCAACATAGCTAGGCGTCATGCACAGTGACTGAAATAAACAAGGAAAGCAACTGAAAGGCGACTACACTTTGCGATCTAGAAAAACAATTTGTTTTTCAAAGCAGTTCAAAACATTATTTTACATATTTATACACATGCATACACTAATTATGCTTTTATGTCTTCGATTTAATTATTTAGTCGTATAATCATAGAAGGCTGCATTATCATTAAAAAAAAGACTTTGTCAGTTATGTCTTTAGGCTTTTTAGCTTACGAGTCGTGTCATGAGCCAGTCATTTAATTGAAATTTGCGTTTGCTTCTATTATCGAAGGAACATCTTCTCAGAAGCAATT